GCCGACAACCTTTGCACGTGATGTTATTTTGCCAGATGTTCGTCAACATCTCATTGACGAACTGGCTCTAAGGTGCATCAGAAATGGGGAGTTGGCTGAGTGAGAAAGAACTTCAGAGCATACTGAGGTTCTACAGCAACCTCGCATCACCTGACCACCTTGTACTCGCTTCGAAATAAGACCCTGCAGTCGATGTTACAGCCCCACTCGTAGATCTACACATTTTAGGAAGCATTATTTCGAGCACACTAATCTAAAAAATCTAAAAGGCGACCAGGACCCATCCGTGGATCTCCGGAACCTGAGCGTACTATCAATAACCTTTAGTAAAGTAGGGAGAATTCATGGTACAAGTAGGAGAAATAAAGTTTGAAGTCCGACGTCTGGGACGCTTCGAGCCGAAAACCTCTCACCTGACATTTGCCAAATGTCGGCCAACATCCTGTTGCCGAACTGGCTCTTATGCAAACGACTGTAACTAGATACACGGCTTGGCTAACTACAGCTCCAGCCACGGCTAAAGCCGGACATAAACTGGAACTGCGGCAACACTCACTACGGCAATGTAATTCGTGCATTGCTTTTTCCCCAACACTAGGGCAGTCGTTTCACCCTGATGATCAGTTCACCACACACAACGCTTCAACATCACGCTAAGCCTGACAATGATCAGGGTTTCCTACGACAACTCAACAACACATAGCCGTAATGGCAGACTGTGCGTTGTCTAGCCTTGTTCATCAATTCGGAATCAGCACTCAGTGCTTCTGAGCAGTGCGTGAGTAGCCAATCACATAGGCGACGTGGCTGTATGAACACTATCAAGCTTTCGGGGTGCTACTGCTAGACATGAGCCTCTCGGAGGCGCAATACTTGGGACTGCCATGAGTTTGCAATATTCGTTCTGGTAGTCACCGGGGAACGCAATGCCCAACGTATTCAATTTCGTACATTGCCATGAATTGTCTACAATATCCATCCGATGAGGCGAAACAGTTATCACCTTCGAATGATGTTCTTTGCACCGATTCTTGCCAAAACGTGGTGTTCAACTTACTTTATCATGATGGCGAACTGAAATATCGTGATGTTCACAGCCCGGTAAATACTCTGGGCGGCTGTTGATCGATTGTTGACATTAGGCTCTGGGCTGTTTGATTTTGATCTCCCGGCGACAAAGAGGTACAGCAATGTATATTTCGGAGATGAATGGGACATACAGCAAATTTACTTCTGCGCCCTACAATATTCAAGACTGCGGGTATCGCATGATCAAGTTGTATGCCCCCAACAAATATATAAAGTCTTTGCGTTGGGGGATTGGAGCCTCACTTCCAGTCGATCACATTCTTCAATCGGTCCTCCAAACTCCTTCAGCTTACCGAAATGACCCATTTAAAGTCTCTCCTGTCTATTCTCCTCATTGCCCTGTCCGCTGTGAACGCATCCCCCTTGCGCCGTGATGCTAGCATGGCAACCCTTAGGTTTGCCGCTAGGTTGAACGCAAGGGATGCTACTCTCAGTGTCGCTGATGCCGACAGGGCTCGTGCCCAGGCAATGGTGCACGCTGGCTCCAAGAGCAAACGTGCTGGCAGTTCCTCTGTCAGCATAACTAATAATGTCGTGGAGTACGTTGCCCAAGTTGGTGTCGGCAGCCCCGCTACTCAATGTAAGACTCGCTGTCGGGTGACCCAGATAATTTCTGACTAGAAGAATTCTCAGACTCGCTTCTTGTTGATACGGGCAGCTCCAACACTTGGATAGGTGCGGCAAACCCATACAAACCCACTAATACTAGTGTAGATACCGGGGACACAGTCGTATGTCTTTTCGCATCCTCTGCTTATAAACAAGTCGCCCATGACAAATTTTATAGTCCGTCACTTATGGTTCCGGCGAGTTCTCCGGAGAGGAATACTTGGACACAGTGACGTTAAGCTCTGACTTAGTCATTACCGGACAATCTATTGGGGTCGCGAAGAGTTCATCTGGCTTCAATAATATTGATGGAATTCTCGGTATCGGACCGACTGACCTCACGCAGGGCACCGTTTCGAATGGTGGTTTAGTTCCCACTGTCACCGACAACCTCTTCAGCAAGGGTATCATTGGCACTGAGGCACTCGGGATCTTCTTCCCTCCCATCTCTGCTAACAACGCTGGCGAGCTCACCTTTGGTGGATACGACAGCTCAAAGACGACGAGCCCAGTGAATTATGTCCCTCTCACAACTACGTCACCCGCTAGCAGTTACTGGGGCATCGACCAATCTATTGCCTACGGTAGCTCCACCATTTTGTCCGAGACCGCTGGTATTGTTGACACTGGCACAACCCTCATTCTCATCGCCACTGGTATGAAAAGTCACTCATAAACGGGTGATCCCAACTGACTTGAAAATATTAGACGCATTCAACCAGTACAAGTCTGCCACTGGTGCTACGATGGATCAGACCACCGGTCTCTTGACGATCACCTCTGATCAGTATGCTAAGCTGCAAACCCTGACCTTCAACATTGGCGGGAGTCCCTACGACCTCACCCCCGACGCCCAAATCTGGCCCCGTTCCTTCAACGCTGAGATTGGCGGTAACAGCAGCAGCATCTACCTTATCGTTACTGATATCGGTAGCAACTCTGGTAGTGGGCTCGACTTCATCAACGGTTACTCATTCCTGTGGGTGTTTTAAGTCACCTCATTTAGTATAATGCTGACCATCTGCTCCAGTCAACGCTTCTACTCCGTATTCGACACCACCGACCACCGAGTCGGCTTCGCGACCACTTCGTATACCGATGCGGTCATTAACTAAAATGACCGTGTGGTGACCTTACTCATACGCACGATTTAAATATTTTATATCAGCTAATAGTTATTCAAGATCGATGGAGGCTACCATGTTATTTTAATACATTAATTAATGATAGTTACAAGACTAATGTAATGCAAGTGGCATCGCAATGATTGCAATGTACATACCATCTACACCTTGAGAATTCCAATTCTCACTGACAAATTCCCTGTACAGAGCCCCATGTACCTGTCAATGGCTGCACTCAGCAATTTGACTTGTTAATGTATACCTGTACCGTCTTTTAACCGGTCCAGTTGCTTTCATTATGGTGTAGCTGGGCTAATTTGGGACTTCACATCACGATGAAAGCAGGTACGATCCATGCCAATCTGAATAAACCCTTCCCCGGGCGACTCGGAGTTCCTGGGTTGCATTCCATCTATTACAGATCCTAATCTCCCTACCTTCGAGTCCTCGTCGTAATTCGACCCAAACATCCGCAATGCAAGCGCCCTCTACTGCCTAACCCCTTGTCTCGATACCAGTGACGATGAAGGCACCACAGTATCTTGTCCGCGATGCCGAGGAGTTGGACTTCGACGCTATCCTACTCAAGCGAATGAATATATGTACCAGGCAGTGTTATCTACGCACAGGCTTGACACCCTTCGGCGGCCGGATCAGTTAGCACTGCATGTACGATTGGCGATGCAACTCATACCAGTGCTATAGTTGGTGAGTCCCCTAGCTACCATATTCATGAGCTCACTTTTGAATGGAGAAACGCCAGTGGACTTGAAAGGTGGTATGTGGCGGGTGGGTATGTGGGGACAGCACGAACCACTACTACACACTACATCAAGTCTTGCCTCGACTGGAAGCGCGCGGCCCCTCTCTCAACCACTGCACCTCCGAGTACATCTTGACCAGTGTTTCTTCCTCCCTCTGTTCAGTCGACTACTAACAATTCATCAGTCGTCACTTTTTTGTCATACACCAACACCTCCACAAACAACAGTATAGGAACCGAGCACTGCTTCATCTAGTCCTGCCACGACCGGAACGCCGTCATGATGTCATACTCAAATGACGACTACGATTACGTGATTCACCTTTCACCATGTTTTTTTCTGTCACATGGAATGTCAATTCAACAAACCAAATAGTCTTGGTATCACATACTCTCCACCCTCCAACACCAACCTCACGTACCACCAGCCGCTATCATCTGAGGTACTGCCACAATTGCACTCCTCGCCTAAGTCAGGCAGTAACTTTGACTCATCTGGCGGCGGCACTCTCCCTCAGTTCAATCTCAGAGAACAAGATTACGCCGTTACCACATTGACTATGGCCAGTACGAACATTTTCCGTACCTCTCTGCTGGTGGTGCAGGTATTGATGTCGGCTGCGTCACGTTCTATTACAGCTACCCCTCGCATCGCTCTGGAAATTCTACGACCTACGACCATGAATGGTGCAGGTGCCCTCCCAACCCTTGTAGGAAGCGGTTAAACCAGTGGGACATGTCTATATTTGAGCTGTATGAGCCCCATACTCCCTGAATTCATAAGCGCCAACCAGCAACGGCTTTGACATTTCGAGCCTTGGACTCGCACGCAAGCAGGACTTGCTGTAACTCTGCAAATATCAACCCCTTTTATTTAAGAGTGGTTCCGCCAATGAAGCATGTCTTATCTATTGTTGAGCTCATTTGCCATTCAAATCTCAGACGCCGCCCGATCCTCCATGCACTTAGTACCGCCACTCGATTTTTGCCAAACTCAGCAGCCAGGTTATGGACTGCGAACCGCAGTATCAGCGTATCCAGCGTCTATTTTCCTTTCGACATTCTCAAGAGCACTGGGGCGGAAGCGGGAAAGCCTTGGATGAGTGTGTACTAACGTGACATGTCCATGATTGCATTTATATAAACACTCTGTTCCACATTACCCCCAGCGGTTGCGGATGGCAAGTGACAAAAGCCTTTGTCACAACCAAACATTTATCTCTCTTGTTTCTTGTCCAAATGCATCCGTCCAAACTCGTAAGACGTTCTTGTGTATTATTATTTAAAATAGATGTAGTAGTTTTGAAGATTTGTAGTAGAAAATGTGTGGTTTTGGGAGGATGCACGAAATGTGGTGTGCACGAGCAAGTGGTAACCAATAGTAGAGCCACTCAAAGAAGAAAAAATATTCCCATCTAAAATTTCCACCCTCCAGCAAGCCCCATCACATTGTCTGGATCAACAGCCTTCTTTATATCCCGCAGACGCGCCAGATTATTTCCGTAGATATCCTCTACGGTTGTGGAAGGAGATGCATCGTTGGGATACACAACCACATTTCCGACGTCCTGCCCTGCAGCGATCGCTAGCTGCTCTATGTAATTGGAACTGACAGTAACGGCGTCATATATGAGGTCGTCGTTACTTGAATCCGTCCATGCATAGAATAGCTCCAGGAATGAGTAGCCTTGTTCACGTGAATCCGGATACGCAGATGGTGTATCGGTGTGGTCGTAGATCGAAGGCAGGTAGGGCCTCACGTTGTAAGTTATCTCAGTTACGCTATTTCCCAGCTTGTCGCCGTAGAACTAACCGCTCATGTCAGTAGACGACCTAAAACAAAACAGACGATGCTCACGAGGGTCTCATTGGCAATGTGGTTCAACAAAGACACCGTCCACTCCTCGATCGCTATGACATTGAACACAGCTCTGTTTCGCAGTGAGTATACGCCGGGCATAAAACCAAAAATTTACCTAAGGCCAGGTGTACTTGACGGCAAATCTTTGACCATGGTTGTGAAGGATCGGGTAGAAACGTCTTGCTCCTCGTGCGGAATCGCCAAGAAGTCATCGAAGATACCATTTGGGCAAGTGGGTGCATCATAGAACAACGTGCACGTTATGACGGGCTACGCAGCAGCGCGTTAACCCGCGACCCCACGTAGATTGCCTTTGGAATATGCTCACCATTCCAGAGACATAGTTATATGTGGAATATAGCGACGCCATGGGATCTGTAACGTCTGCAGCGAATTTAGCGATGGCAGCGTTTACTGCCTTGAGTTGATCTTGATTGTACGCGATATTTCCACCCTATTTAGTGGTCAGTGCTGTACGATACGCTGTCGTCTGACGTCTCACCCAAACTAGGGATTGAGAATACGTTTTGAGAGTGACATAGGTGACAATTCCCTACGAGAGTGTTAGTCCATGGTTTCATATGGTGCTTCTTCAGATGACCACGCACAAAGTTATTGAAACCTCCCTTCGTAGTGGCATGAGAATTTGAGACATTGACAATCTAGATGACCAAAAACGTACCCGCAAGCCGAAGAATAGATCCGGGTAGCTGGAGCCGGTGACTGTAGTTACCGTGCCATTAGGCAAAACGAGTTCGTACGCTAATACGTTGTCAATTGCCAGCCCATACTGGTTTGTCAGATACGAATATCCTGATCAAAACACAGAATGTTATATCACGTTTGAATCATCCGGTGACGTTCATACCTCCACCAAGTACGAAGCCGCCAACTCCGATGCCAGACTCTTTCCCCCCTATAGCATTCACGCCGTATTCTCCCAGCGTTGAGTATACGTCATCCCATATCGCACCAGTACCAACGGTTGCTGTCTGGGAATCCGAGTCAAACGTGATGTCTGAGAATAAAGACATTGCAATCTGAACGCCTTGGGTCGACGAAAAGCCTGGGTTGGTCGCGTGACCACCGCTTTTAATCTATTTGATAGATGTGTGAGATAAAAGCACAAGCTGGAGAAGTCTTTGCTCACTGCAAACGGCGTTCTGGTGTCTCCCAATATTTGGACCTGTGGGATGAGATTAATTTGACGAGGTCATTATTTCAGCGACACGAACCGCTTTCGCGAGGTCCTCAGTGGTGCCAGGTTCGAAGGAGCAAGCAGAGACTTGACTACTCGAAGATGCCCAATGATAATTATCCTTCATATAGGCCGACGATCCTGTCGGCGTTTAGCCTCATTGACACTTGGTCTTAGTACTAGTACATACCACTGTAAGAAACTGCGGATTTCGAAGATATGCAGGCTGCAATCTCCGCGCAAGCAGTAGTGTCACGAAGTACATTCCCGAGCAGATCTGAAGAAGTCGCAAGCCCCCCAATACTTGCAAGAAGCGCGATGGATATGCTAGCAGAGAGTGTCATCTCGACAGGTAGAATGGGTCACACAAGTTCATCTGGACCCGCTCGACAATTTATGTAGGTTGTCCAGGCTTCTGCTCGGATTACTAGTGACGGTATGCTACCCGGATGAATGGTCGGTAGCCTAACCCGGATCTCGTCCGAAGAAGGGCAGGATCGGGGTTAAGTAGTAGTACGGAAGCACTGGCCCGCGGAGGACTACTAGTTCAAGTTGGCACGACCACTTGCACGCAAAGTTCGCTGTGAGTAGATGCTAAACATCATGATCTTGCACCAGTTCTGAATGAACTGCTCACCGACTCAAGCTAGAAAAGAACACCGCTCACTGTGTAAGGTCGAACTTCACGTTCCCCGTCTTATTAAAGTCCTCATGGGACAATCACTGAGGCCCTAGCCTAGTCAGCTCCCACGAAAGCGAATTGCCAAGGAGCGTACCGTCATCGGGTATGAATTCAATACTATAATTTCGGGTCCCACTATGGGAGAACTCATCTCAGCAATGATTTGATTCCTCGTATGTATATATAGGAGAGACTGGGGCCACCACAGTGACTGTCGCCATGTGGAAAGGGCATCAGGCAGGGACCTATGTTGTTCGTTGGGGCGGGAACAGGGCAAGCATCGTTCGCAGTTTGAAATACAAGGGCGCAAGAGCCTGAGGGAGACAGTGTGAAGCGTGGTTGGAAAGCCCCGGGGCCGGGGACTCGCGGGGAGAATTGTACGTGATAAACTCGTATAGTACTTAGTAAAGGAGAGTAAAGGGAGTTTTACGAGAGGTTCGGAACTTCCGGCGTTATGAGTCAAGTACTATCCCTTCCGGTGCAATCGACACACCACAGAAGTCGGCAGGTCACACATTTTGGCGGGAAAACGTGACAATTTTGTTACAATCGGTCACAGGCAGTCACACAAAACCCTGCGAAAAAGCGTGACCGCCGACTTCTGTGGGATGTCGATTGCACCGGAAGGGATAATAGGCCATCTGAGAGACGGCCTAGTTTACGTTCACATTTGAAACTTTCTTCAGCCATAAGCGTGCGCTCTCATTGGTGAAGAGGTACTTAGACGACGCTGGGTGCTCGGCTACGTACAGGCTTCTGTTGAGAACTTGTTTTGACCGGTTCGACTGATACAATGTAATTATGAGCAGAGAAATGTATCTAAATATTGAGATCCATGGAAATACCGAAACCGAATAAAAAAATTCCGATAACGAAGGCCTAGAAGCCTGCATCAGCAAATGCAACTTTGTTCGAAAGCACTCACAAAACGCTCGTGTGTATGTTCTTTTTGGTTTGGTTCAAGTTTGCGTTCGTAAGCACACATTTTTGGTTATATGTTCAGCATCTCCACCAATCGCATGAGTGCGCTACTGAAGTCATAAGCGTTCATTTCAGTGATTTTGCAGACGAGCACGCGATGTTGAAGTCTTTCCTGCAAAACAAACCATGAGCAAAGAAGGCACGAAGAAATAAGGAAAAAATTGGTGACAAAACTCCAGCCCTCATTCCTCCTCCGGATCAAGGGAAATCTATCACATCGCTCACCGATTCAGACTGTACGTTTCCCTTGGCGGGGGCGTCAACCATGACGGGTATGGTATCACGCATTCAAGCCGTGATATCCACCCATGGCGTCCCAGGTCCAAATGAGAAAGGTTGTGTGGTCGTGGGTTTGAAGGGGGTAACCAGGAGGACCATCGAGTCGACGTGCGCATTAAGGATGACCTGTAAACGTGTTGCGTGAATATATGCGCGGGACGGTGATGACCGGGGTGAACGTACTTCATTTTCCTATAACTGAGGTTACTCCATTCGACGCATACATGACTGTCCTCGGATGCAGCGGCTTGGAGGAGGCACAGTCAACTGTCCATGAATTACTTTGTGCACTCAAAGTCCACTAGGGATAGCTGCGATGCGACTTAGTAAGATCGTCCATAGAGGACACAGCTTGAGTACGAGGAAGAAGGGATAGGTGCGAGGAAGAAAGGGAAAACTACGATGGGCCAACATGAGACGTACCTATTGTGCTCTTGGGTCAGTCTGCACGAGCCTGCACTGGAAGAGCTCCCGCAAGCAAAGCTCGATAATTCGAGATGCAATCTACCACGAAATTCAGCACATGAATGTCCAAGGTCAACGATAGGAGAAGGAAATTTGCGCACCTCATCCCGCTCCTCCTGCGGCAGAGCTCCAATAACAGCGTCTCCGATGCCAACCCCTTCTACATGCTCCATCAGAAGCACACGCTCTGTGCTACCTGACCATACCCACGGGACCTTGAACGCATTCGTCAGCAAGCTCGATTTTAATCGCCTCAGTATCAAGGTGAGTAGCCGGATATGATGAAAGGGAGTTAAACGGTCGGACAATCAGCTACACGGCAAGGATGGCACTACAAAATACATGCTTGAATGGTATGGTCGAGGAACGACAGAGATGAATGGATGCACACCTTGGGTGCACATGAACTGGTCGAGTTTCAGTGCGGCACCGCCCATCTGAGAGAGGTTGAACACCAGGCGGGTTATGTTCGTTTCTGTCATATCAACGGGTGATGTATTGTATATATTGGAGGTGGTAGAGCGACGTAAGAGTTCAGAAGTAGCACCATACGAAAATGATGTTGCATCGGGTAGTGGAGGTTCAAATGGGTCACTAAAACTTGTACAGCCATATCAGACCCGTCGGCGCTGAACGCCTTTCATAAGGACCTAGAGCCAAATTCATAACCCCAACCTCGCTCGGTATATGTAGTGCAGACTAATATTTTTCTTAATGGCACTACTACATTTTACCTTTGTCACATCATTTCTGACCTGCGAATCAACGTCCTTGAGGAGGGTCACTGTTATATGGTACAACGTGCGATACCCTAGCGCTGTATTCTCCTCTCCTTTACCCGCTCACATGAAGAAAAGGTTCCCAAGAGATTATCTATGTCGTCGTGCGTCTTCACATGCTTCACATCCCATGCATCTCACTAATTCTGACGCATGCGAAACACCAGTGACCCAAGTGTTCAATATTACGTCATTATTACGCAATCCGGCGGAGTTCGCCGTTTAAAATTGTCATGAGCCCCTGTGGCGTTAGGGTCCTCCGGCAAGATTTCCTATACTCGGCAGCCGGAACGGCCGGCTATGCCGTCCCGCCCGGTTATCCGCGTTTCTCTTGGCACAACATATAAGTCGTAAATTCGAAAATTGCTCAAGTCTCACTGCTCATCCAATTTATTAACTGCACATCGTCTTCGATATCTCCCAAAAATCTTGCACAAGTCTCAACTCCACTGGCAGTACCAAATCGTCGACCATGAGCCACATCGATCAATTCACACTAGGGCTGTTAAACTTTCCCGTCGAAATCCTGTTGGACATCTTCAGCTATCTAGATGCGTACGAACTAGTTCGAGCACGCAAAGTAAGACAAGATTTGTTTCACCCAAATCACTAACTCAAACCTCTCCAGGTATGCAATGATATCCGACAAGTGATCGACTCTTCCTCGGAGTTGCTGTATTTGATTGACCTCAAATACTTCAATACACTTCCGGACCCTTTGCTCGACTCAGACAGTACGATCGGAACACGTCGCAAATTACTTCAACAAAGTGAAACCGCATGGCAGAAAGCCGAATACTCTAAAATGAATCACATCCCCGTGCCCTACCCTCCCGAGCTGATCGGATGGTCGGGCGGCATCCTTGGACTCCCATCTGAATCTCACGAGCAAATAACATTCGTCCAGCCCGCACTGTCAGATAAGCATACCCACGCTGCGAAGTGGGAACAACGGAGCTGCAAAATCGACAGCACAGTGCTCATGGGTTACCGTTGTTCACCTGCGCAGGATCTCGTGGTTATCCTTTCCAGAGCGACCTCAGGGTGAGTGGTCATGGTTTCTTGGTATCTGCAGACAGAGTACTGATGGTACTAGGGAGAGTCATCCATACGACGTCGCTTTCAGATCGCTTTCAGAGGATAAGGCCCATCCTGAAGCTGCTGTCGCTGTTGCCAAAGCACTCGACAATCAGGTTGACATGGCGCTCTCCGACCCCTTCAATCCGAAACAAGTACTTTTCGGAGATTACTACGGCTTACTCTCCAAACGTGCTCACAAAGCGGGCGGTGGGGTGGTCGACTTTTTGCAAATATGGAATTGGAAGTCCAAGGACGCCTTTCAGGTTAGTGAAGGTCTCCTGACTTCTTCTGTTGTGACTCATTAACCACCTGGACCTGTAGTGCCTCGAAGTTTTTGATGTGGCTTGCAACGTGCATAATTTCGGTTTCCTAACGAACGACAAACTTCTGGTCATCACCCCGAGGGAAATAATGATGTACTCCCTTGTCGAATCCGCCAATGCCATCCAGCTTACTGCCAAATTCTCGCTCCCTGCCTTACGGGATTCCTCTGAACTGGAATATGTCGCCTTCAACAATGACATTCCATTTTATGCAACCACGCACAATCAGCTTGTCACTATCAGCATGAAGATTATGAGCACGGATTCGGCATTCACTACCAAGCCCTCCCAGGTCACATTCTATGTCAAACGTGATACTCTCTTGGAGCTCGAGTCTACCTATATGAGCCTCTATGGAAATTCCAAAGTCAGTCAAGACTCCCCTAGTCTGCCATGGTCTACCTGGGGTCCCAAGTACACCCAAACCTTCGAGGAGAGCTCGTACGATAGTTGCAAACACAACATCTTTGGCTTCCGGACTGTCGGGTTGGCTGGCGACTTTGTGTCCCCTAAAGGGAAGGCGCAACGGCGACCACTATGCATCCGCGACTTCAACCCTCATCGAGTGGCGGACTTCAAGGCTGGAAAGGGGCCTAAATGGAATCAACGACTTATCGAAGGCGAGACAGCGAGTTCGAGTCTTTTCTTGGAGCCATTGGGATCCGCTCTCCCGTATCTCGAGAGCACCACCGAAGAAAAGTTCCTTTCGCACGAGATGACCTTGGAAGCCAACAGGGTGACATTGCTATCCTTTGAATTCCTGAGGACGCCGGAGATTTCTGGAACTGTACAGAAAATCGAAGTGCTTGATTTTGAGTAGTCGTTTACATTAAGTTTGCAATCCATTTTTTCGCATGCCAGAATGCGTTGGAAATCCGTGGTGTTAGCTTGCATAACCAAACTGTCTGATTCGCGAAGCCTGCTCTATGGGGAGCAGCTGTTGTTGGTTGTACGGCTCATCACTAGTCCACATGTGCGATCGCCCAGATAAAATTCAAGGTAAGTGCCGAGTTGTTTTCACCGTCTCACTATCGACAGAATCGCACACACTCCGTGCTGCTACCACCCTCTCGTTCACATTGCGTTAGCTGACTAGCACCATCATCGATCCTTGAGACCTCTAAAGACCCCAATATCCGTGGTACCGCACCAGAACGCTGCTTGTCTTGATCCAAGTCTGACGAAGAATTGTCAAGAGCCAGCAAAGGACCGTGAAGTGATCGGGTTTATTCGGAATTCTCGGATACTACCAATATACTGCAAAGAGTTATGAGAAGTCGATCGCTGTTTGGTATCATCCCACGAGACGCTTTGAACGGCACGAGTACCTCCGTGGTATGATTCCGTGGTGGTGGTCGTGTCGCAGGATCCTGTTTGCCCAGGACTTTGAGCGACGAGAGCATTGAGCAGTCTGCGGTGTCAAATAATAGCCTGATGACCACTACAACAACATGATGATGGGGGGACTCGCAGAGCCTCGCGCAGTATAATGCTTTCACCTTCCGTTCCAGCACCTACTACTAGTAGCTAGGTAGTGGCGAAAGGCCCCTTCCAAATTGTGTGACCACTGATGGTCCGGCCCAGTTCCAAATTCCAATGATGCTATCCAGGGCCCAGGTGTCCGTTCGACCGAATAATCATATGGGCTGGTCTAGCAGGTACGAGGCTTTGCTTTGAAGTTGTCAGCACCAACTTGAAGTCCCACGAAAACGGTATCAATCGCTCATGACAATCGCGAGACGCTACTATCCGCATCGATATCGGCATATGAATTCGAACCCATAGTTTTCAGATGGATGCGCACACTGCAAGAGACAGAGCTAGACCATCTTCCCACCAGAAGCTATACTTTCTCGCTGGCGTCCGTTCTTTTGCCAGCATCATGATATATCTCCAGGGACGACCGTGGTGGTATGACACCACCGTGACATGCACGCACGTTCTTTTCCTCGTGAAACGTTTGAATGGCCTGGAGGTACGAGGTACGAGATCTGGTGATGGCGTTCCCGCGATGTATTCCTTTGATTTCGTCCCCTGATTCAATTATGCACACTTTTTGCCAGATGGCGACAGAATTCGCCGCTGGCGTCGGCTGGTGGTGTTTTGCGGTATCAAACAGACATTGACGTGCTCCTTACACCCGCATCTACCACCAGCACCAGGCGCTGTCAGATAGCACAAGGAATGCAATGAACATGCCTTAGATCTCCAAGAATAGACCGTAAAATTCGTTTAGGTCCTCCTTCTCAACTCCCTCTGAGCCGAAAATCCTTGATAGGCGAGGGCCATTCGGCGGAGTTGTTCACGCTTTTGTTATCCCCGCGTATAGCAGGACAAGTTGACAGCGAAGCATATCAATATTGTAATCACCGTTTCCTCCTTCCAATAGACCTTGACATCGACATCAGGCCACATCAGAGTTTGGGCCCGTCGAAAAACGATCGTTGAACGATCCCTGTTTGGTATGGTCTCGGTCGAACTGGGATTTCTCGTCCTCTCCACCAATGAGAGCGCTTGCTTAAGGTTGGCGAAAGCTTCAAATTGTCAACGTAAAGAGAGGCTCTCTCAGATGCACTCCCACTTTTGATCGGAAGGCTCGGCCGTTGCCTCGGACATGTCTGTCTATGATAACAATGTACTGCGTACTCATTTCATGAATCACAACATCCAACGCAGAATCTATGCATGAGACTAGTGCCTCACTACTGCTTGAGTGATCATATCAATCATTAGGCTATATAGATAAGAGTGAAAAAAAGGAATGTAGGTGTCAAAAGTCGTAAAAGTAAACACACGTCGGACGTCATGAACCGAAGAAATCAAACCAAGAACAACCGACGAAAAGGGCACGAGGTATCATGATCAAATGCCATGCGTATATGTACGTGTGATGGTGACATGAAATGAGTAGGAGTAGGCAAAGAGAGGGATGACACCACATGCGAAAGACGGCGGGCCTTAATAATATCTAGATTACAGATGATATCGTCCGCGTGCTTTAACGGACTAACTCGAGACACGCATCCCCATTCTACAACTCACGAAGTCTATGCAGCAGCGGTACGACTGGGATTGCGAGCAAGTGTCGCACCCGTACGTTGCGCTTGGATGCTGCTGAAGCGTTGGAGCTCTTCGGGCTTCATCGTAATCTTGGAGCCGAAGCCGACCTTGCGAGCAGCACGGCGGATGAACGACACACGGTTGGAGTACAACGACTCGTGGATCGAAGCAGCGCGAGACTGGGTGCGAGTGATGGGAACACCAGAGACAGCCTGTTCTGCTTGTGCAGCCTGAGCCTGTGCGTGACGTTCACGAAGCTTTTTGATAACGGTTGCCTTCATTGCGAACTTGATCCAGTCGAGAGGGGCAAACCAAACAATGTTCTACAAATCCGAGAGTCAGCAAGCACGTAAAGACAACGCAACAGACAAACGTACCCAAACCCAAACGACACCAATCCATCCACCTGAGATCGCCTGGATCTGCGTGAATCCCCAGTTGGCGTAAGCAGCGATAATTGATGACACGAGCTGCGCGATGCAGAAGGCTCCCAAGAGAGCCATGGAAGGGCGTTCCATGAAGAAGAAGCCGTGCGAGCGGGTAATAAAGATCAATGCCTGCGAGATAATGGCGACTTGGAGATAGACAATCATGTGGAGTTGATAATCATTGGCACCGTTAGGAGTGGGGCTCCCGTTAAAGTTGACACCAAACTTGTCATAGAAGAACGTAGTCTTCATGATGATTGCGACCAGAGCGACACTACAGGACACAAATTAGCTTGATAGTGAGGAGGGTGAAAGGCGGTGCTTACGTCGAGGCAGTCAAGTAGATACCATAGGCAACAGCATACGCGAAGATCTCAGCGAGATCCCAAGAATCGGGGGTCATCGAGGGCAAGACACGGTCGACTGAGAGCGTCATGATGGTACCGTCGTTCAGGAGGGCAATGATCAGGACCATGAACGGAGGGAAGTCAAACTTGAAAGCGAAGGCGAGGATAGCGAAGCAGACAACGATACGGATGGTCACAGCACAAGCGTATATTGAGTAGTTGCGCATACGCTGAAAGATGACACGCGAACCGCGAATGGCATGGACGATGGTAGAGAGACCGGGCTCAGTCAAGACGATGTCAGCAGCGCCGCGAGCAGCGTCTGTGGCACCTTCGACGGCAATACCAACATTGGCACGGGAGAGAGCGGGAGCGTCGTTGGCACCATCACCAGTCATAGCACACAGGTGGCCAAGACCCTGGAGACGCTTGACGATTTCATACTTGTGCTCAGGGAACACACCTGCGAAACCGTCGGCATCCAAGATCATCTCGTCGAGTGACAAGTGCTTGCTACCGGGAGCAGGACCGTCCTTGAGAACCTTCGCGGGGTACATGTGATCACCGAGACCAAGACGACGTCCAGTCTCCTTAGCAATTGCAAGCTGGTCACCAGTCACCATCTTCACCTTCACACCGAGAGCAAGAGCATCGTCGATGGTCTGCTTGGTGTCTTCACGAGGGGGGTCGAAGATGGCAAGGAGACCAATGAGCTCGAAACCGTTACCTTCACTTTCTGGGTCGTCGCCGTCGAGCTCCTCATATGCGACGGCGAGGGCACGAAGACCGCGAGTAGCGAACTCCTCAACATCAGCCTCAAGCCTGTTCTCAAGCTCCTCGGTCTTGTTACGCGTGCAAAGTTCGATGATGATACCGGTCATACCCTTGGTGACGCGCTTCAACTTGCCGGAGCTCTCTTCACGGTAAGTGATCTCCGTGCGTTTGTCGACGGGGTTGAAGGGCTTGAAGTCAAGGAGTTTGATGCCAGCACGAGCACGGGACACTTCACCAAGAGCCTGAACGACGGCAGAGTCGATAGCATCCTGGTTCTCAGTACGAGAAGCGTAGGCAGCGAGGAGCATGACGTCATCAGCCGAGAAGGGCCCGTATGTGCGAATGGTAGCCCGGTCAATGGTAAGCTTGTTGGTGGTCAGCGTACCCGTCTTGTCGGAGCAAAGGATGGTGACACCGGCCAACTCCTCGATAGCAGTGATACGGGTAACAATGGCTTTGTGCTTAGCAAGTTGCTGGGCACCGACGGCAAGAGTAACCGACAAGACAGTCGGCATGGCAATGGGGATACCACCGATCAAGAGCACCAATATGTTGTTGAGACCGCGACGGTAACTGTAGTGGAAGCCCGCGTAGAGCACGAGAATCTCCGCGATAACAAAGATACCGATTGACACCAAGCAGAATGAGCCGATCTGCGCAAGGATCTTCTGCAAATGACCCGTGGTGTCATCGTCTTGGCCCACGAGGGAAGCAGCACGACCGAAGAAAGTGTTGGCGCCAGTGGAAATGACAACACCTTCCGCTTCACCCTGCTTGCAGGTAGAACCACTGGAAGCGGAAATTTAATGGCCAGGAATGTATCAAACCAAAAATGACGTACGAGAAGCACTGGTCACCCAACTTCTTGCTCTGAGGAAGAGACTCGCCGGTGAGAGCAGCCTGGTCAATAGAGACGTTGATGGCCTCCGTCAAACGGCAGTCTGCGGGAACAATGTCACCGATCTTGAACGAGATCATATCACCAGGAACGAGTTCCGAAGATTCAATTTCCAACCAGGTGCCATTACGCCTTACTTTCGCTTTGGGGGCGAGGGAGTCCATAAGTGCCTTGACGGCATTACCAGCGTTACGTTCTTCATAGAAACCGATTGCAGAGTTGATGAAGAGCAGAAGGACGATACCGATGAAGTCCTCCCAGTCTGGTGGTTGACCGTTACCGTTTGATAATACAATGGCGACAAGAGCAGCGCCCTCCATGACCCAGGACAATGGATTCCACATGAAACTCAAGAACTATGAAACAGAGTCAAGGATGAGCGCCCCTGAATGAGACTGGAATCCGTACCTGCAAGAATGGGTTCTGTTCTTCCTGCTCCAGCTTGTTGGGACCGAAAAGTTCAATACGACGATGTGCCTCTTCGGTGTTGAGACCATTCTCGTCACATTGGAGGAGCTTGAAAACATCCTCAATAACGATAGTCTCAAGGTCGACCTTTTCCTTGTCATAAAGGTCGTCCGCTTTCAACTCGATCTATTAAGGAGGTTAGATAACATGGTTAACGGCAGACGCGGCGATTACTCACCAATGACATGTCAACATTGGCATCTGCGACGATTAAAAAATAGAAATAGTATCATAAGATCAGGAAACATCAAAAGAATGCGAATGCCTACGGGTTGGTTTCTCTTCGTCATGGGTGAAATCCTTGTACTCTCTTTTCTTCTTTTCATCTGGAGAAGTGGATGGTACAATAGGCGACTCTTCGCCTTGTGGACCGGGCTCCTTAGCCACGTTGGGTTCGGACATGGTTTAAGACGCAGAGAGGGGGAGGAGGGGGAGAGCCCTACAGATGAATCTATAGTGTCGCGGGCACTTTTGAAAGGAGAATTGACGAAAGTCAAGGAGGATGGGATGAAGGAGTGGGAGAATGTCAGCCCTGTCGATGAACGGACTTTATATTTGGGAGTAAAATTCATAGCGATCAAACAACCAAATAAATACAAATACGAGGGGCCCGATTTGGTCAGAATCGTAATGATCCTTAAGATTCTGAAATCTCGGCAACTGTCGTTCTGACACTGCCGTTCCGTATCCTTCCTTGTCCCCGATCTCCTCGAACTTATACCTACCAGCTGAACGCTCTATCACCGTGGAATATCTGAGCTCTATGTATTTCTGTCAGTGTCCTAATCCCGGTCATATTTCCAAAATTTGGAACACGCCAGTCTGGTCTGGTTTATGATGCCGTATCCCCGATAACGTTGGTTCGATTTCTTACTTCACTAATTAGCCAGTACATACTTCGAAGCGCCAAGTTCACACTACGTGTAATTCTCTTGGACTCTTGGGTCGTGGCGACCGAACTACACTACACTTGGCTCGCTGCGCGAAGCAACGTGTATGACTATGAGTCGTAACATTTGGCAGACAGCCAAGCTCCTAAGGCCGCGTGCAGTAACCATGTGCGACTGCCTGTGCGTATTTACCTTAACCTCCGCGTCCTCCGCGTAATTCCATCATGCACATCAAACTCTGGTAGCCGTACACCAATACTTCTTCTTGATGAGAACAAGACATGGCCTTTGATCCAGGCTTTGATAAAATCTGTAGTATGGACTCCTCCGAGGTCACAAGATCATTAATGAATTGTTTGGACTAATACTTTGTCGAGTTGGACTATCGGACTTGTAATGGTTTGATCGCCAACAGACAATTGCTCGGAGCATGATAGTAGCTTGGTCTGTACGAGTCATATACTGCTCCATGGCCAGCAAAACCTGAAGCTCGTCGATCGCGAGTCGTAGTTACTCCGCTTGCTATCTTGATTATCCAAATATAGCATCCTTCTGGTCAGACCAAACACGCGAAACTTGTTTTAACCTTTGCCTTGTCTTCCCGATGCCGATCGGCCCGAGTCACCTCGCGATCTGAGTCCTTTTCGCTGTACGTTACGCAAAGGCTGAATGACACGAATGCCATTGTACATTGGCATTCTACGCCGACGGTGACCAGTGCGGCAACGATTCGACTTTGCTTCCAGAAAATCGTCAATAGGTCGACTGCGAGGAACATTAAGGGGGTGAAGCTATCTTGATCATCCAAACACGGCACCGCACGAATTATTTCCTGGTCAGCCCAAATTATAACATACTCGTAGTGCTTTTCACCTCTTGCTCGTCTCTCCGATGGGCCCCCGATCGGTCCGACACCCCTTGCGACACACAGGCTGAGCCGTTTTCGCTGCACGTCGCTGATCCTGAATAACATAGTTGCCACTGGTATGGTGGTTACTGGTAGAATCTATGCTAGCAGTACTGCGGCGTCTGTTTGTTTCAGGCTCCAGCCGAAAGTTTCAACTCAAATGTTTACTCCACAAGATGGTGTTCCCTCTATTTTCGTAAGTCATTATATTGGATTCTCCCATGGATCTTGTCTTCATTGGCGTCTGCTGCGTCTTCTGCGGAGGGAACTTTGAGGTCGCAAGGGTTCTGGAGCACTAGGAAGTACTAAGTAGCCTGGGGTCGCGATCATCCACGGAATCCGGTTTGTCCCAAGAATATTAATAACTATAACTATTCTGACTTGCTTCTGGCTAGTAATTCGAGAGCGCAGCCTATCATTAATCCAGTCGAGGAGGGAGGATTGGCATTTGTAGACCTGTGAGGTTGCTCCTCGGCGTTAATAATAATACGGGCTCTAATCTTATTCACCGGCCCCCCGGGGAGCCGCGTGTGCAACCGCTTGGACATGGCTCGCGATCGCGCTAAGGGATACCCTTACCAAACACTGATACACCAGGATACATACAGCAACCGATAGAGCGTAGGAGATGAATCCCAAACGATCACCAAGCCCTCCTGTCCCCATGTCCTCACAGCAGCGCCCTAGATTCCTTCGCATAAAATGGATCAAACGCAATCAGCACTGCTTCACTCTCCATGATCATATCAGATACAGTACGAGAGCTTTGCCCAACAACGGCGACGGAGGGAACTTCCGTCCTATTAATATGCGTCTGCTCATCATAAATAAATATGATCTCACGACTAAGGTGTGCCCTATTTTCCTGTGTCTCTAACTTATGATCACACCACAAAACAAGTGTACAGTCGATCACACAGTGACGACATCCATCCGTTCGTGGCGCAGTTCCCTTCCCTTGATCGATATGAGCACCGCAACGCATTTCCGTTTGAAATTGGTGCAGGAGAAGCGGCTATGGGAGAAGACCATATATGTACGCAAAGTACCCCCATGGTCCGCAGTTTGAACACATGCGGTTTGATAGTCTGATACAGTTGGTTTAGTATGTACGCAGTGCTTCCATTGCCACATGGCTCCGTTGCTGTACCGGCGTCAAAGTCTCGAACAGAAACTGTCAAGTTTCATCATCACTAGTGATCCTTGCGCCAAGGACGCACAGCGACGGACGCGAATTACTTAGTCCTATACATAGCTGCTAAGCACTTCAGGAAGAACTTTTGCCAAGTTCTTGCCAGCAGCTAGCGTACCGGTGATTTAGTCACTGGGCCGGGCGCCTCAACTTGCTAGCTGTTCGGGGGAAGTCGGGCGGCTCTGGTGGCACATCGTGGTTGGTGGGTAGTTCCATCACTGCCCTTGCGTAGACATTTGCTAGTGGCTACGCGTCCGTTAGAGTTGGTCCCTGAATCCGAGCACGCGGGCGCACAGGCAGAAAGCACACCAGCATGATTTGAGAAGGGAAAAGATAAAGGCATGCTGCAGTCCCACAAGTGAGTCCGGTCACCCCTCGGGGTGTCTAATATACGCTAATAATAATATAACGGTACTATGTGCTGAGAACAAAGAATAGATTTGGGCATCCTTCTACGCTCCACTGCGAACTTCTATACACCCGCACGGTAAACGATAAGTACTTATTCATAGTTCAGCTTTAAGCGAGGGCTAATTATATGTAGTGCCTGCCACGCAATTATCGTACTGCATGATAGTGCATGATGCGGGGTAAACAGTACAACAAGTACTCATACTGATGTCATGGAATCCGTCCGCCGCTCACACGACCTACATGTTAGACGCTGGAATCTCAGGTACTGAGTCACGTCCGATAGTGCCGATATAGGCCCACGCCCTGCGCTAAGAAAATCACGCAATGGTATTCTTTTCTTCCTCCTCTTCCGCCAGATCTACGGTGCCCGCGCGTTCATTTCACGATGACTACTGCCCCTAATCGGACATATTGGCGCTACGGTTTTCATCTGGCGGGCCGTGACCTGTGGATTTGGCAAAGCGACGATGTGTCAAAGATGTGGCTATATATTTTGAAACTAGAACTCTGATTGCTTCTCCCGTAGACGAGGACACCATTCATCGCCGAGCTCTACTTACATGCAAATGATGCGAACTACCGCCTTTTCTCGCGTTCGTGACCATCACACGTCGTCTTTTCTGTCTTCACCTACGAGTTACAATTGCTCCGAGTTGCGCACCACATTCGTGCGTATGCTATCCTTCTCGCCTTGATTGTGGACCAATGATTTATCGCTGGCGAATCATATTTTCATAGCCACAAGGAAGTGGACTTCGCCACATTACGTTGACACTCATTGCCACAGACAGTTCCAGATAATCCTTGCCAGTGACCTTTCTACTTATGTGCAGACTGTGAGAAATCACTTCAGTGAAGTGTCAGCGCTATTAAAGGTCGCGATGCTGGTTTCTGGTCTTGTCTAGTACGCCAAAGAAATTCATACAGTGCATCTACCTTCGATAGCATACAGCTATGCGCTTGCACACGGGCACTCAGGCGTGTAAGTGAAATGCGACCACAAGTTTCGGTTTTATCGCTCATTCCTTCTGCTTAGGTCTGTTACTATTGGCACATGCTGTGGAAAGAGCTGCTGGAGTCAACTTCACTCAGTGTTTTATCGGCATCGTGGCGAATGCGAATTCTACGCACAACTTAGCCGGTCTACTCGATGCCGACGGGTATCCCGTGTCGAATGTTTCTGATGCGACAGCGATTAGCTACTCGCTGTGCACCTCTGTCTGTGGGTCTGGACCAAGAACTTTCAACTGGCTTAATTTTTCGCAAGATTTCAGTGCATGGCTACTGCCAAATCTTGCCTTGATTTCGCAGCTCCCCTTTGGGGCACAGTATAACTTTGATGATCTCATGTCTGCTGTATTAACCGTTGGGTCACCAGCGCTTGCTGGCTACTCTCTACTCATCACCGTTCTTAATTCTCGGTGGATCAACCGCCGATTTACTCCATCAGTGAACTATCCCAATTCACATTTGGCAGTATCTATCTTAAGCAGCCTTCAGCAAGTCCCGCTGAGACTGCATTTCCATGCACACTTTCCCTCTCTTGTTATCCTGCCGGAAAATGACTCCTGGTGGAGAAATTTCTCCGAATTGGTGGACTACACCCATACATGGTCAATTGCGTCCGCGACATCCATCGCCTGGGTCGTTGTTGCCTATATCCTGACTGTAGCCAACTCACCAACAGATTCTTACGTGAACCTTCAAGCCGACGGTGACGCCACTGGCACACTGTGGCTATGGTTGATCTCAATAGTTGTTGGATGGCTGCAACTATCCCCGAAATGCAATTTTGATCGTTTACGAGCGGCTTATGATCGTGCCGACCGATACGCACGCACAGGAACACCAGATACTCATATAGGAATGTCGCCTCCGTCCGCCCCGAGAGCTTTAACGATAACCGCAACGGAGGGGGATGTGATGTCTCCAGACGAACTCCTCACCCCACCGGTGTTTAATTACACCCGTTCATTGCAATGGGCATCTACTGCGGAAACTGTCTTCCTGGTGTTCAAAGTAGCATCCGAGAAGGCTCAAAGCCGTATTCCCGTTCGTTTTGAGGCTGAGTGGATTGAGTCTAACAATATCAAACACATCCACCCCACCAATCGACGCGGGTCCCCGCAGGAAATTGCCATGTACTGTGCGCAGCCCGACGGCGCACGACGCAGCCATTGGGCACCTGGCGTGTTTACCAGAATGGCTGTCGCTTCATGCGCTTCGCTTGCATTACAATGGGGAACAGTCGGAGGAGCAGTGACCGTGGCATATTTCACTCCTACGACAGTGCGTTTCTTCTGGTATATGTGATATGTAGACGAATTCACTAACCCCAGGCAGCGCATCGGATGTCGATCTCTGAGTTACCTCATTTACGGAGGCATATCGACTTTAGTTTTGGCGATGCTCCTGATGTCTAGCATCCTCGCACACTACTCCGCATCTTGTTCCAAACGAGCGTCGCTCGCTGCACGTGTTACTCTGGCGTCGTCGCACTGGCTGCGAAGGATGGGCAAACTGTTGGCCATTGTAAACGCCATCTGGGTGGTCTTGGTGTGTATGTTCCAGTATTCCAACGTTTACGATACATGTTTCTGTAAATCCAGTGTGATTGGTAGGGGAAAGGCTGCGTATGCTGTGATCATCGAAACCTCAGCCCAAGCTGCACTGCTTAAGGTTGCCTGGACCAGGTGTCTCTTGTCTTGGCCTGTACCTCAGCGTCGATGTTCCTTGGCCTTGTGAATCTTTTATTGCACACTCAAATACGATAGCTATTAATGTGTAGGCTCAGACATAGCAAGCATACGTATACTGTTGTATATTACACTTGTGTAGAGATCGCTGTCGTCAACAGCCATCGCGATCGACCTATTTGGGGACGTCACACCAATTTTTGGGGACGATGGACATTGTAAAACATACAGAAAAATAAAAAACATATAAAAACACATGCCAGTAGTTCTACTGTTGTTCCAGCTTTACAATAATATATGAATCAGACAAGAAGCCAAGGTGCCCAGCAATCACAATTTGCCGAAGCTATTTTTTATGTGGTCACAGGTCACAGGGTCATTCGAAGCTGTGACACCAAGTGTGACTGTGTCACGTGCTGCACGTGACGAAGCTAGTGTCGTATCTCTACAGTATGAAGAAATATAGCAGTAATATTTAATGCCAACGAAACCGAATCTTGACAAGGTTAGGCTGAGATTTAGATGACAGCACAGGGGTCGATCATCATTCATATTAGCGCAATACCTGCACACTGACTGCATCCACTAGTCTGAAACCGGAAAGAGGTTCTTATCACCACCTGCCCAGGTGAAATGTTCTCTTCGAGGCGACTAAATGACGTTCAACATGAGACAATGCTCGACGCAAGACCCATCTTTGAGATCAGTCATAACTCTCGAGCTGGCCGAGTACGCAGCGCATAAATATACCTTAGCACGATGATGTGGCCGTGGTTTCTCCTGGCTCCCTTGTGCTCGACTTAATCCTGGGGCGATTTGGCGGCATTCAGTCGCGCCAGTCCCCGACCCCTGGACCGGCCTTTGACAAAGGGCGTGTTGCCATTTCACTCGCTTCGGGAACAGTGTATAAAAACAACCCCTCGAACAATCCTCGAGAGACGGTCATTCGTCATAAGTGAGCTTCAATGTTATTGCTGACAATAGCCGGTTCCGGCAACCACGGCTATAATTAGAAACTCTGAGAGTCTGAACACATGTACAGCTGTGATTCATCGTGGATTATTCGTCTTGTTCGTTTCGCTTACTCTTACCTCGCATCCGAGTTGAAGAAAAGATCCCTGCAGGAAAATATTGGTTGGTTCGAGACTGTGACTTAGTGAGTGCTCCTTCCATGATTGGCAGGTTGTTGAAATGGCGTCATATGTTGATGGACTTTATAAGGCAGGAACCTGTCGTCGTCATCATATTGACTGTGCTCAAAACAACAACGTGTCGTTGAACTTCCCATCGTAGGTTGGAAATCTAGGACCTGGTTATTTTATATGTGCTGACCACCGCATAGAACGTGTCCACCAGTATAATCAACATGTCAAGAACGGCACCCGAATTAAAATTCACGACGTCGGAAGAAATCGATGAGGTGCGACGCTTGTACACTATTCCACTGTTCCATGGCTCACAGAACCCGCTTCAGATTTACTCCACTCTCCACAAGACTTTCCTGTCCGGCAAGACCAAACCCATTGAAGCCAGAAAGGTTCAGATCCTGCAACTGGCTTACCTTTTGCAGGACAACCAAGAACGTTTCAAGGAGGCCTTTGCCATTGACCTCGGGAGACCCTCACTAGAAGCTTCCTTGTAAGCATTATCTCAGTCGCTGTGTATGAGGCTCATTTCATTGCGCTCCAGCCTCGAGCTTAACTCGACTATCAGCGACTGTAAGATCGCCTATGACCGGGTTGAGAAGTGGGCTCGGACGGAAAAACTACCTTTCAATATCATGTGGGCTGCATTCGGTCCAGTGATCCGCAAGGAGCCGAAGGGTGTCGTGTTGTCCATTAGCCCTTTCAACTATCCCGTATGGCTTGCGCTTGGACCTATCGTATGTTGCTTTTCGTTTTTCCCGCTCGCTTCCAGCTCGCTCAATGGTCTCCTTTCAAGATTGGAGCGATTGCCGCTGGCAACTGCGTCGTTCTCAAACCATCTGAGCTGACCCCCGCTGTAAGCGGCCTCATCGCCGAGCTTATTCCAAAGTATATGGACAGTGATGTCATTAGAGTCGTGCTGGGTGCCGTTGCGGAGACCACCAAGGTATGTTATCCACCCTTCGTTATGTATGGACTGGGTACTCATTAATGCAGCTTATGGAATACCCATGGGGCCACGGTGTGTTCCATGTACTATTTTTTATTGTCTTATTTATGATGCGAGATGACTAGTCCTGTACACTGGGAGCGGGCGTGTAGGAAAGATTATAGGTATAGCCGCCGCGAAGACTCTTTCGCCCGTCAGTCTTGAGGTAAATCTGCACATTCATTATGATATACTCGTACTAACATCTTTCTAGCTTGGAGGGAAGTCTCCCGTTGTTATCGACCCTAAATGCGACTTCAAGATCGCTGCACGCCGTATCATGTGGGGCAAGTGCGTGAATGCGGGTCAGACCTGCGTCGCACCAGACTATGTTCTCGTCCCGCGCTCTGCTGAGGATGCGTTCGTCAAGGCCCTCAAAGATGCGTGAGTATATCGGCAAACCCCTGTGTATGTCATGCTCAATCTAGACCTTCCATGTCCGCAGACACGACGAATTTTATCCTTCCGGCGCCCTATCTACGACAGATATCTCTAACCTCGTCAGTACGGCGCACTTCCACCGTCTCAAGAATTTGCTCGGGAGCACATCCGGCACCATTGCTTTTGGTGGGCAGACCGATGAGTCGAGAAAATTCATCGCCCCTACCATAGTTAAGGGTGTCAAAGATGGAGACTCGCTGATGAGCGAGTGCGTAAATCTGCACAGGCATCCCCAAAAGCGTCTAATTGTTTGTATAGTGAGCTGTTCGGGCCGATCTTGCCCATTATGCCTGTGGACAACGTCGATGCTGCAATTGCATACATCAATGCTCAGTGAGTTGTGCTTCTATTAGCATGTTTATATCATATTGAACGTTGCCAGCGATCATCCCCTTGCATTGTACTGTTTCTCACCGGACGCGGCCTTTAAGAACAAGGGTGTGTTTTTCTTTCGGTTACCTATTAAGCTATCGTCGTTGACATTCTTCGCCAGTGTTTGACAATACCCAGAGTGGCTCGGCAATCGCCAATGATGTGTTGATACACTGCGCTAGTATGTCTTACCGTTCCAACGAGGATAGGTCACTGATTGTGCTTCAGTCGATGGATTGCCATTCGGCGGTACCGGTCCCAGTGGATGTAAGTTTGTCCTTCTCTCAAGCAAGTCAATACTGATCGCATCTTATTAGCTGGGTACCACACAAGAAAATTCTCTTTCGACATGTTCACGCACCAACGTGCCTCCCTTGACTCCCCCGGATGGTTCGTTATTTGCTTGCGATTCTGCCTGTCTGCTCACTTGTTGCATCTTATAGGCTTGACTCCCTCTTAACAGGAAAGTTTCCCCCTTACACCGTAAGTTTTGACGACCTATGTCTTTCGGCAGTCTCCTCATGACAATGTCCAGGCCAAGAAACAGGCTACCCTCAATCGGATGATGGGTGTCAAACTCCCACCCCGGCCCCGCTTCCCAGTAGCCGGGGTAAATGCCAATGTACGTCGTCATAATGTCTAGTACTCATGAGCCTGGCTTATTGAACAAGGCCCTCTAAGGGTTCAATCAAAAGGAGAAGCAACACTAAATGGCTGCTTCTTGTGGTAAGCATGGCGATAGTCAGCCTAGGTTACACGCGTGCTGCGGACGTTAGTGACTGGGCTGGGCGGTTGAGGGCGTTGATTAAGGTGTAGGGTTATTTTTCATTTATGTCTGTCTGTTGTTGTTCGACCAGCTCTACTTATCGTGACTCCACTCATTTCGGAATGTATAGCTAGCGGGACATCACCTGATATTATTGATCTGTTGCACTTAGACTTCATTCTTGTGAGAAGGCATCTTGAGGACGGAATTTATTGGAGTCGATCAAGTATCGCGTTCCGTTGACGGACTAATTGAAGCACCGTAACTGGTGGCCGCCGCCCAGTATAGAACATCCTCAAAGCCCTATTCCAAGCTTGAGGTATTTAAACCTCTGTCGGCAGTGGCAACACCCGGGTTGCGGTCATGATACTGCAGGCTCACTTTCGGTTGTGCATGAGCAAAGTAACCGAATCCACACGCCACGTATCTCCTTGTGCTCAGAACATCGATCGTCAGGCTGGGACCGTTACTATTGTCAAAGTGAGATAATAGAAATAAATGTAGATTTGTTGTTGTCATTTAAGTACCAAGTATGTATGAGGAGTGTAAGTGATTGTTAATGTTATAGTATCCTTGAATTATTCATGAGCGATGGAGTTGCTCGGCGGGTATATTACTTCCTCCATCCTAGCCCCTCCCCCTCTGATTCAGAAGTGTTTGGATTTGACCGCGAGGGAAACTGAGAGCGTTTGCGCGATGGGCTCGAGGATGGGCTCTGGCGCATATGCCATTCATGTGATTTGCGCTGCTTGCGGGTTTGCACGATTTCTGGCGCTACAGCTCGCAAGGCGCTTAATTCCTCAGACGAGAACCTTGATAGAGGCGATGATGCCAACAGTAGCAAGTCTGAAGGTGTGTAGATAGGCACTGTATGACGTGGTAGTTGAGTTATTGTCACTCGAGGGGAAGGCTAGGAGGTGGTACTCACGAGAGGGATGCCCATCATGAAGCATGGGTGATAATGAGCGCGATGATGGCGCTGGTGACGAAGCACATGATGAGCTCGGTGAGCCCGTTGAAGGTGCCCGTCGATGCACGGGGATGTAGAGGCTAGATGATGACGACGTTGGGTAATTGATAGCAAGAGGCGACGACATCACTGATAATATGGTGAGGGAAGCGGACTACTAGAGGAGAACCGGGTAAAGACGCTGGGGATGATGGATCATAGTTGAATAAGGTCTTATATATACACACAGGAGGATCCTGCATGCATGGACCCATCGGTAGTTGGGTTGTCGTGGCCTGAAAGCAGTGGTGACTCATCATCCACTTGGACCGCGTCAACAATATTTACTCCGGAATGCTGGAAGGTCGTGGAAGGTCATACAGATCGCGAGAAATGGTCTCAGCGCTCCGAACCCACTGGTCACCGCTTGCGGCTTCGGCATGATAGAATGTTCCTGGCCAAGGCGATTTATAATGGTCACCTGATTCGATAGCATCAAACTTCAGGAAACTAACTGGATCCCTGGAATAGCCGAAAGTCGCTTCTTGTACTTTCAGCGATTATGATGTCAGTGCTGGAGCCTGCATGGGCAACTTCACATGTGGGGGATCAACAATAATAAAACGTCGCTGCGTTAACTGCGGATAACATATCGGCACTGCCTCCAGTTTTATGCTTGGCTGGACCTTCGGGGACACTTTGACGTCGGCCGTATCATGACCGTAGGGAGTGGGAGTTCAACTCACAAATCACCCCTTCTCATGCGACAAGCGAACACGTATCTCATTTTCGTAGAGGGATTCGAGACCTGTTCTCTAGTAGAAGGTCCAGCAGAGCAACTGGTGAAAGCTCGTCAGAGTCAGTGTTTCGGAGCTAAGCACAATTTGTCATCCAAAACGACGATACAAATCATTGTCAGTGGAATTTGTGACATGCAACGCATTCGTGTGTATACCAACAAATGACTTGGGGTTCCAGCACGCCCCTTCAGATGACTGATACTTTGGAATAAGCAATAGCAATGAGCATTGAGTAACATTAGATGCTAGTGAGGGATTGAGGGGGGAGATAACAGCAAATAAATGTATGGTTGTACGTGTAAAGATGCGTGCGAGGTCATGTAGATGATGGGGATGACTTTTAGGGAGGTCATGAAAGCGAAATAAAAGTAAGAACTCCGTGCTTATGCCTCCACGAAGTTCTTCACGTTGTCCAACCACCTCACGTACTCCTACATATGGCAAAGCGATGAGGTCGTGCAAAAAAAGACGAGCATGACCACTAACCTTCTGCTCTTTAAACTCTGAATATTCAGGAATGAACATGGCAAGGTTCTCATTGATACCCCGCTCCTGTACCCATTTCTCAATTTCCTCCTGGACAGAAACGTCCAAGGTATCAAACTGAGGGCCAATGTACAAGCCCCGGCGTTTCCAGTCAGCCTCGGCAGTCAGCTCAGTACCAAGCTGTGCGTCGGGGTAGTATGACATATTATCAATGATGAAGGCGCCTTCCTGGCACATGGTGTCAATGTTAACAGACCCCTTGGCGTTAGCCTACACAAGGACAATCAACGTAAGTAAAAAGCGCAAGAAAACATTTCACGTGGGCACATACCTTCGTGATGGAGAATGAGGCACGGATAGGGTACGAGTGGAGAGGCTGATCCTCTCCACCTTCACCTTCCTCCTGCTCGTATTCCGGCTCCTCTTCAGCACTTTGAATGTCAGCGATGGAGAACATCAAACGGATACTAAAAGCACATAAGCACATGCAAAGCGGAATAAATTTTCACCAACCTCTCATTGCCGAATTTCCGTACAAGCGTCACCTCATCGTTACCGATGACGTCCTGGATCTGTGTGCGAGGTTGAGGAACAAGTCCACAAACTAGTCTGCTTAACACATACCTCCCAGATACCCTGCTCCTTGAAGGTCTTCAAGAACTCAGGCTCTGCTGGCGAGTCAGCGATAGCCTCTTTCTCATACTTGAGTTCTTCGGCAAGTTTTTGTGAAAGAACGACGTCAGCTGTTGGCACCAAAGCATCAGTACTGATTCATTGAAAAATATGTCCAAACTCACTCGAACCCTCCGAAAAACGACGCGCAGACACCGAGAAAGCTCTTGCAGCAGTCATAGAAGCCCGTGGAGCAAGCTGCACTGTCGCAACCCGCAGAGGGGAGGAGCGAGCCGCAGGACGAGCAATCGCCCGAGACGAGGATGCAGTAAGCTGACGGAGGGCACGGAGGACAGACATGTTGCGAGCGTGAAGACAAGTACAGAAGATGGTGAAGAGGAAGCTGAGACGGACACAAACCAGTTTTCGAGTTTTGGTCACTCAAAATTTAAGCGATTGTTTGGCAACGCCTTCTGAAATAAACAAACGCCCGACACCTTATGACGTAAGTTGTTCGAAACTTTTCTTGTGCCGTTGCCATCTGTATCCCTCCCCACTATTCAAGCGTCATTTAGAGGGCCTATATCACCGCACTTTGAGACAAAATCATGCAATCGTTATTTGGTGGGAAATAGGTGATCTTCTGTTTGAAAAAACGAGAGATCACCTGGAAATAATCCCCATGTGTACTGCTCAATCCTTCGTTTTCGTCGAATAACCCCCTGCCATTTTTCTCGCATTATGACAGAAGTACACCAAACAAAATCTGAACCCTGTGCCCTGCCTTGTCTTCAATGTTCATTGATGTACCAGCGACAGCGATAGCACCACAACGATCGGACAGTACCGGGCCCTTGGAGTTGGTTCCTAGGAAAGAGATTTAAAAGAGTGGTATGTATTGATATTGAACTCGTTGACAAGTCACTGCAACTCATTCGTCGAGCAGCGTCTGACTGAGCATCGCCGATCACTCAAAGAGGTAAATTTTCCCCAAGTATCTTTGGATCTCTTGGCTTACGCAGTCTAACAGTGCATACTTATATGCTACTGATTGGTAGCCTGCGGCGCCGATATCTGCCACAGTCAAATGGTTCAACTCACTTCTGGATGCACTCCAGTAACTCAAGTGGAACCATAAATCACCTTGTTACTTCAACCTATCCTACAATAATAAATACTCCCCAATCATATATACGTAACTGAAAGCAGCAGGGCAAAAAGCATAGAACATCAAACAGGCCGCATACATAGTACAACGAGCAGAACCGTGAATCCAAAGGGGAAAAGGAAAAAAAAAAACAAAAACAAAAGAGGCTAAACAAAATAGCCAGTGGTGTTCAAAATGACTGTGGGGGTAAGCGATAACTCAACGTACGTGGGTTCGAAAATGACAACAAACTTTGCCTCCGGCGGCTTTTTGACCACAAACAGGATCCCGTCACACGATCTGCACCTCTCTCCACATTCTATGTTCCTCACCGAGACCATGTTAGTGGTCAAAGAGCGTCGGAGTGTCTGAAAATTTACGTAGGAGGCAAAACAGAATCATATCGAACATGCATTTGAAAATGAACAACGAGAAAGCAAACAAAGAAACAAGAGCGGCGCGAAAGCAGGGATCTGTGGGCAGCAAGAAAGGAGAGAACCAGTGACATTCATGCATCACCATTCTCAGCTGGGCTGCCATGTCCAGGTTCCGAGGCCTGGTCGCTCCCTCCCGTCGTACCGCTAGATGTTGAAGACTCTTGCACGACAGCAGCACTCTTAAACTTCTTCACTTTCGGCTGCCCATCTTTTCCCACTCTTGATCTCTTCTTCGAGGTTGTCTTTGGAGCAGGCGGAGGAATTTCTTCGACATCAGGATCAGGATCCCCAGAGTGGCCAGACGTCCTTTGGAGTTCAGCCTGAGCTGGATCCATGGTGGGCGGCGGGACGCCAGGAGGGCCATAATACGGCGGTCCATAGTATCCGGGAGGGGGCATATAGTAAGGGACCATCGCAGGAGGTGCCCCAGCATTTGGCGACCCTTCCGCAGGCGCTTGACCCTCAGAGGGCGGTACGAAGCCAGGAGGGGCAGGGTAGAAATATGGGGGCGGATAATATCCTCCCTCTGGTGGTGGTGGAAAGGATGACATTGACGGGGGTGCAGGAGCTGTGGTCGCAGGACCTTGTGCCACGCTCGGAGGGTGCCAAACCGGATCTCCATTCGCTTCGGGTGGGGTGGACGAGAAGGCTGTGAATCCTGCTCATGAGCAAAACAAATACAGAAGAGGATTCATGACGCACTCTCGAAGGTGGCATTAGGAGTAGGCGAGGTGGCAGGGTCGCTGTTGCCGGACTTATTTTTGCGCTTGTAGGGTCCTCGCTTAATTCCTTTCTGTCGCTCCTTACGCACACCATCTATGCATGACTCTGGGATGCCGTATTTGACACATCGCTCACATGGACGTTGCTCGTCGCAACGCTTGCAGGCATTCGCACAGTTGGTACACTGACATAATATCGATTAATTAAGACAAATGGGCATATAAATGTACGTCAACGTACCGCCATCTTGACCTGCTTGCGCTTAACACGCTGAAAGTTAGTTTGCGGAGGAGGAGCGTAGGGCGGGAATCCTATAAGCCTCTAACGTAAGAGAGAACAATGGGAAACTGCGGCGCGAAATTACACCCACCAGGAGGAGGATAAGGGTACATCATGCCTGGAGGTGGATAGTGATAGATATACGGAGGTGCTGGGTGTGGCCCGCCATTCGGTTCAGGATGGCTGGGATCGTAGTAGACGGGGAAAGGTTGCGAGTAGGCACCGTATGGCTGGTATGGTGGCATGTGATGTTCCTGGGCCACAGCACCAGCATTCTTAGCTTGATCGCTTGCCATTGTGGACAAGAATATTGCCCGGCGCTCCCCACAGAAAGTTGTTCTCTATGAGTAAGCGTATAGACACGGACCTGTAGGACGGGAACCATGTTGAGCGTTTGATCGAGCCGATATTTTGTGAAGCAGACATATAGGCTCCAGATGGAAGGAAATAGTAAGAAAGTAGTTTGCTCACTCCGCTCGAATTGCTTGGTTTTCCGATCGTCACTGCTCAGAACAAGTCTCCCCGGCTCCGGTTCTTAAATTATTGGATCTGACGATATCGATTAGATACCAGATTGGATATCTCAAAGGTCTTGAAGAGTATAGCAGGAAAAAAGAGCAGGTTTTGAGTAGAAATGAAGTAGTGGTGAAGGCGCAACTGAGAGAAATTGCAACGTGGGACTTGAAGAAACCTTGAAAACGTGACTAAGTGATACCGCGCGCCTTTTCTTTCATCGTCCAAACTTCATAATGTCGAGCTCTACGATGAGCAGACTTTCGAATGTAAAGAGGGATAACTGCGAATTCGTGGGCCATAATTATACAATTCAAAGTTGGGTTTGACAGCACACGCATGATCCAGTCTGTTTCTCCGACCCAACATCCTGGACTCCGCTCAAACATCCAACCTCCCACACTCCGTACCATACGAGTTCGGGAATCTAACCATTGTCATGTCTTTGAGGTTCTCACCCTTGTTGTCGCTAGATTTACACTTGTAAGTCTTTCTCCTGCTAGTTCGTGGTTCTTGTGGTTCAGCGCTCAGTTAAATAACTTAATAGTCATCCCAAAAGGAGTTGCAGCGGTTGCGATCTCAAAATATCTGCGCCCTCCTAAACGAGAGAGAAGGAGCGGTGTTGGTAACACTATATGTTAATTCTCTGTCGTTTGGGTTCGCTCCAGGTAAGCAGTATTACCCAACCTTTCACTCGGGTAATGTTGCAATAATTCAATAGCAGCTAGAAGGTCGCTGGTAATATTTATTTTTCTGACCTACCTCGGCGAATCAAAAATTATCCTCTTTGATTCTCCGCGACTTCATCCTCCCAGCGTCTGTTCAAACCTTGACTTGTGCCGCATGATAACAACAGCGTGCGCTTTGATTTTCCTACGCATGATGTTCTGTCGGCATTCTTTCTGCTCTCATTGTTCTGATTTGCAGAAGAGACAAAGGGAAGTTTTCCATTCAATGTTCCTGATTCGAGATTACTAGCCAGCCCTGTACGTGCGATAGTTCGCAATCAGATGGTCGCATTGTGCCACACGGCGCGAATGCAATGACTTATCGAGACTCAGTCCAGCATCTGACATCATGCGGACTTGCAATCTACCCTTCTAGCTAGCACCGAAGAGCCACAGTGCTAGTGATGGCTGCGGACGTCATGTCCATCTTTACAAGCACTTTATGTCTGGCCGCTGTTCATTATCTCCGCAGGCACTCGGCCCCCAGAGGTCAAATTCTTAAGGACCCTCGCTAGAACGGCAACATAGCCTCAGAGAATTGTTGTTAGCCGAATTATTGGACCTCCGCAGTCACTCGAAATATCCATAGGCGCAGAACCCTCCTTGAGTGCAGTGGGCGTGGACGAAATAGGGAACCGATCCACTCTTAGCCGATCTTTGCGCTGTCACTGTTTCAGAGAGGCGCTGCGTTCATAAGAGGACGCTGGCTGACTTCCGTGTTCTGGACACATCTGGATCTTTCAATGACACAGGAGATGATCCAAGCTGTCAGGTGAGCGTTCCTTCACCCACTAGCGAAATTGCCCGACATTGTTTAGCTCTGCTCTGGGTCTGTGGCTAGCGGTAACATTTAATTCGGCTAATGATAGGTCGGTTTTTGTGCCTACTTGATATGTCTCGCCCCACTGTCGGTACCGAGATGGCTTGGCTTGTATCGTGTAGGTCGGCATGTTTTGCACCGTCTTGCCGCTTTTTGAGCGGGCTTCTACCGCGCCCGTGGATGAAGGAAAGATCCTCGTGATGTACAGTCTGACCCCCTTCTTTTTCCTTCAAGGGTTGTCTTCGTGTAATGACTGCGGACACCTCATTGATCATCTTTCACGCAATCCAACCATCAACTCTGCTTCGTGCGTAAGGACGCACAAGCCAATAAATAGAATTCACAAATATTATCACCTGTAGCAGGTAATAGGTTAAGTGGTTGTGATCTCTTCCTTTTAAATATATGTCGCAACATCAAACTAATACTACGACGAAACTCGAAACAAGTAATCATCATTCCTGCCATTCCCGTACTACACACCACTGTCAGTTGAAACATGTATGCGCTCCTGGAAAGCAAATGTAATCATGGAAGTTCCTGTGTCGGAGTTAGCCACGAGCTTAGCGTGATGTTTTCAACCGCTAAGAATGAGGCATGGTCCCAACAAAAATATATTGATGAATGTCGTTACAGATCTCAGTTCCCCATAAATATGAGTCCATAAGGTCCTATAGACATGATAGAGAGTGGTCAGATGCAAATATCGGTCACAGATCGGCGTACCGATAGCTTTGGAGTGAGATAGCCAAGGTGGAAGCAAGACCGGACGGCAAAACTAAGTCATACGTGCGGAAGTTCAGCGGGAACAGATGACCACATCCAAATTACGAGCTCACACTGCAAAGTAAAACACATGAGCTTTTATTAGCACCGTGAAACGATCCCCGATGGTTCATCCTGTTGATGATCGTCGCAGTTCCCGGGTGCGTTTCGTAACAATCCAGATTTCAGGCTGTAAGACACAAGCTACGCAGTGGCGACAACTTATCAGAAGTTGGAAGTCTCCCTCGAATTGATAGCCATACTGATGGATGCCAAAGAGGACAAATTCCTCTGATGATCCTTGATGCGCTAAAGTCATTCATCTGTGATCGAAGCTCACCCCCTGAAACCCGACTATTTATTTTTGCAATCAGAACTCCATAGGTGATCATGACAGCCAGAAAGATTGCAACGAGAAAGATAAGAATCTTGCTGGATCGCTGATACATGGCACATAACCAAGTGAACATGATGACTATGATATTTCAGTCAAAATCAATTACTGCTGCTGAGTAGCTCACCACCCGGTATTCCAAACACCGCGAAAGGCATCTATGATTCTGAGACATAAATGATACCTGGTGCTTGAAACATAGTTTTCGACGAGCCCCAGATAAGTAAATCCTTCAAGCAAGCTCAGTTGTTTTAGTCGTATCAAATCAACAAGCGGGTCAACAGTGTCACCCACCCCTTCAGAATGAATTGGATGGGAATGGCAGGCAACGGTACAGAATACTCACCACGTCTGTCAGCGAGTTAGGCGTCGACCAGAAGAAATAAATGAGGCGTATGCGGAGGGACATATATAGCATGCTGATGCTGAATGTAAGTAGCCTTGCGAACACACACAGAGGATTGTATCCCAACGTAGCCCACCTGAATATGTCGAGTAAAGATTGTCAACTACGCCAACTGCAATAGGCTTATCCTCAGATAAGAGACAGCCATGAAAATAGCTGTGCATCTTCCCCGATCAAACGCATTATCCTTTTGTTCGCTAGACCAGGCGAAGAACCGTTCGTAGTGAGAATCTGCTCTTGTAACAGTGTCAACCTGCCGATCCTACCTCTTGTCCGAATGTGACTACTAGAGAATACAATAGGGACATCAATAATTCCTTCCATATGTACTACCTTGCTCACCCCAATCGTATACCAACACAGTAGGGGATACAACTGTGAAACCCGGCAGCCAGAAATAGATTGAGGGATATCAGCATCCGCTCCCCACAAACCTACATGAATAGATAATAAACATTATACCAATTGCTTGTCGGCCACCAAGTGGGATCATTTGACGCTAGAGATTGAAGGGATGGGTATCAGTGAATGGCCACCACCTCGCAGAAATAGGCGGTCCGGTTCGGTCCGGTTCAGAGGACGCTGGACGAGAACCGAGAACCGAACCATGGTCCGGTTCAACGAAATCATTGAACCCAAGGTCGCCCAGGAAGCTCCACAGTCGACGCAGCCCTATCATTCGTTCATGATATCGAAGCAGCCCGTAATCACGGACTTGTCACGTCGTGCATCACATTCGACATCAAAGGATACTTCGACTTCGTCAATCATACACGGCTACTCCGAATACTTCGGGACAAGCACCTACCGCTCCCTATGGTAAAGTGGGTGAAATCCTTCCTCAGCGAACGACAAGCAGCAATCTGCCTGGACGGAGTACTGTCACCATCGGAACCAGTCGAAAACGGTATACCTCAAGGATCCCCAATATCACCGGCCCTTTCGATTATCTGCACAAGCCCACTAAACGAAGCCTACAATGCGAAAACTCGAGCTCGTGAATTACGCCCGGACAAAGCCACACCGACCACATTAGCATGCTACATCGATGATGGAAACTTATATGTCTCCTCTCCATCCTTGGAGAACAATGTCGCAATACTCCGGGAGGAGTTCATTTTTGTGAACAATTGGCTTCGCGAAGCTGGACTGATGGCGGAAATTGACAAATCTGAGCTCATCCATTTCACATGGCGTCGTGCACCGGATCGACCACCTATCCTGCTGCCTAGTGACGAAGGACAGGTGACAATTAACCCCCGTGACTGTATCAAATGGCTTGGTATATATTTCGACTCTAAACTCTCTTTTCGCAGGAATGTATGTGAACTGGCAGGCAAAGCGGAAAATATCGCCCAAGGACTACAAATGCTTGCAAATACGGTAAGAGGTCTCTCGCAATCACTATTGAGAACTGTATACTCGGCTTGTGTCCGCAGTGTAATGACATACGCAAGCCCCGTTTGGTGGACGGGCGTGAAAACCCATGCAAACATGCTTACCCGCGTCCAAAACAAATCCCTTAGACATATCTGTGCCGCTTTCCGAACCACCCCAATAAAGGCCCTAGAAATAGAGACATCAATCCCCCCCATCAACCTCTTCCTCGAACACGCAAACGATAACGCCGCCACTCGACTACTCAAACTCCCCTCGTTCAACCCAATCCTACAGAGACTTGATCAACCCTGGCGACAATTTAACCTCGCTGACCCCCCACCCGCTCTTCCCACCGACAAATACCGTCCTCGCAGCCGCAAACCACCAAAATCGACCAGACTCACCCGTCTGTCAAAACGAGCATCCCCGAACGCGGAACGCATCAACATATTTGCGCTGCCACCTTGGGCAAACACGAAGGAAACGTACCGCGGCCGCCTAACGATCTCGGACAAGCAAAGAGGAGGCAAGAAAGAAGCCGCCAAAGCGCACATACAAACCGCTCGTAATCTACGAACGGAGGACACGCACCTTCTCGTTTACTCAGACGGATCGAAACAATCAGTCAGAGAGGAGGAAAGAGCTGGAGCAGGATGGGCCGGCTATCACAGAGGAAGAGAAGTCTTCTGGGGTCAGGAAGGAATGGGTCCCAAAGCAGAGGTGTATGATGCAGAGATGGTAGCGCTCCTTCGAGCAATATCGCGAGCTATCAGCTTCGCGCAAAATTCCCAGGTGACCCATTTACATTTCTACGTCGATAACAACTCTGTGGTGCAGGCTGCATATGCAGCTGCACCCGGACCCTCACAATACATTGCATTACAGATCAGACGCTCGATCGAAGACTACCTAACCACATCCCCCCTCCATCATGTCCAAATTGCATGGATCCCAGGACATCACAACATCATCGGCAACGAACGTGCCGACGAGCTTGCAAAAGAAGCCACTGGACGTAACGACTCGTACCACTCGACCTATGCAAATGCGCGCCGAAGAAACAAGGAAGGGATCTTGCAGAAATGGACAGAGAGTTGGAATAGAGACGTGGCAGCACAGACTGGACGCTTCGCTCTCGCAAATCGACTCCCACCAACGCTCAAACCCCGCCAACATTTCACTCACACTCCTCGAGAAGTATACGGCCGTCTTATACAATGCCGCACAGGACACGGATTCATGGGAGAATACTACGCTGCATTCGTTCCAACCGAACCCACCCTCTGCCCATGTGGAGAACCACGTCAAACACGAGAACATATCATACGTGACTGCCCACTATTTGCGCGACAACGCATCCATCTGCGTGAGGTATCACACAACATCATACTCAACGAAATTTTGGGTACGGAGAAGGGCATAAAGGCACTAGCGAAGTTTATTCAAGAATCCAGCGCATTAAAGAAGGTCGCACTGGAACGAGAAGGAGACTGGGAAGAAAGGAGAGGGACAGAAGCCTGAGTAAGGGCAAAGAAGGAAGTGACGAGGGAAGGAGGAGACGAGGAGAGATCAGAAGGAGGAGGAAGGAGAGAAAGTGTATCATATTATACTAAGCCTGGACACCAAACGAGCCCACACGCACACCAAAACTCATCAAACGCGGACCGCTTGGCTATTCGTACTATACCTACATCCCTCACCCTGTTACAACACTCCCCAGCACAGCCCTAACAGGGCACCGCGTCTTAACAGCTCACTTTGTTTGTTGCGGTATATAAATATAGAATTTCTCTCTCTCTCTCATTGAACCCAGAACCGGACCTCAGCGAACGGTTCTTTGCGGTCAGGTTCTTTTCTGGTCCGAACGCGAACCGAATCGGAAATTTCTTAGTGAACACAAAAAAACATTGACGAAATACTTCTGACGTCGAGTAGGTAGTCCAACAACATAGCTGCATGCCTCAAATGAGTGCGGGACGAACACAAACACAAACATGCAAACAAGGGCAGACGAGCAAGGACAGTCACAGACGAATTGGGACATATGTCAGCCTCCTGATCTGGCGATTGGAATCCTCCTGTACTTGAAGCTTGAAGGATAGCCGTTAATGTCGATTCAGCAACGTCTTGATTTGCATGCACCAGCCTCGCTCAGATGGACAGCAGCTCAAGAAAAGAAGCATCAGAGCACCCCCCGATATCGCAAAAAAACCATCCTCATCTTCTTCACGTGCTCATCGAGCCCCTCCTTTCTCTTCGCGCAGCCGCCAACAAGTACCACAACGAGCTTCTCCAGATCCTTGCTGACGGCGGTGGTGCAGGTGAAGCAGAGGAGAATATGATGTAGTATGCTTTGGGGTACGAGAAGATGGATACCAGCGTGGAGCGTAGCGGAAACCTCAACCGAGAAGACGCTGTAATGCTAGAGAATAAGAGATCTGGTTGGCTCGAGCGTGGAACGGCGTGAGTAAGTGCTCATTATCTCGCTTCTGTACGCGTTATAACACCCTTCGCAGAGTTTAAATGCAGATTCTGCTGTATTTCCTCAAGCTCTCCCTCCCTGGACCGTGCACACTGTTATGTCGAAGTGCCACCCACAGATAACACGTCCTTCATTTCACCCGTCAAACCCAGTCGCTCGTGGAAGAAAAAACCAACCTTGATCACTCCTTCCTCCGTCGAGTGTTTTTTTTCATGCAAAGGCTAGCAGTACTAAAGATAAGCACTCGTAGTTATCTTATCCCGTGTCTTACAACAACACCCCAAGCGCAGTTTCTTCGTACGATAAACAGGACCAAAGACCGTAACATCCTTCGCTGGAAGAAGGAAAATATGTAAGTAGTGTATCAGGTGTCCCTGGTTCGTATACATAATCGGCGATCACCCAGAGGGCCTCCCCCTGTGAGCACCAATGCTCAGACTGGTCAGCAATCCTCATCGGAAACTCAGCTAACTTCTGCAGCACACAGTCACTCAACGCCGCAGCAACAGCCCCGTCACACAGACGGCGATACAATACCCTACGCAAGAAGACTGGCTATCGGGGTAACTTTTGGCTCGCATTCTGGTGCATGCCTCGTCGCCCTCGGCGCTGCTCAGCCTGCTACTTCCTGACATCACTCTACCAAGCATTTCCTCTCCTGTATCTCTGTGTACTTTGCTTCGATACCACCTCATTTCTGGATACGTGTTCATACTGGCTCACTTACTTACATGTCTGACTTCCTTCACACATCAGCCTTTGATCATGAATCGTGAGCGGCGTCTCGACGAAGGTAATCCGAGTCATCATAAGTCCAGCCGACACTCCCAAAAAAATCACTCGTTGCGTCTCTAAAATATCTCTGTAAGCATAGTCTGAAAGGCACCGGACTACATATTACGCAACGGAAATCTACCCTCGAACTAAACAAATCGTCGACACTAACCTTCTCGTTCGTCAGTCAACCGTGACGGTCCCACAGCTACTGCACCAATCCCACGCAGGATCTATGGCGTTGCTTCCAACCAAATCTGCAGAATTGACTCGAACCGCCCTCTATAGTGGCATTTGGGCCAGACACCAAGCCGTGCGGGCTAATCTGGGTCCTACATGGTGTTCTGGCGTGCAGAGGTTCAGACACCAGCGGGTGGCACCTGGATGTACAGGGAAACAAAGGTATTGATGGCTGAATTAATGGAGTATGGTATTCTCGAGACCAAGCAAAATCGAGAAGACAAGACAAAACCAATTGGGAGGCAGTCCCGGAAGGGCGGGTATGTGCATGGCTTGACTCAATACTTAATGGGAGTCAGGGAGAAACGGACATGGCCTTCATGATCAGATGAGCGCAGGTGATAGTGATAATAATTGATAAACGCATGAACTAGACTAATTTGCACTGAGGCAAGCCAAACTTCACTAGCTGCCGGGGCCCACAAACACAAGGTTTTGACCTCATGCTAGCTGCGAGAATTATTTAAAAATAGCGGAGGGTCGACATCAAACATCTGTAATTGAACAAGGTGAATAGAGCATTCGAAAATAAGGTTAATAATAGAAAATTACCTTCAGCATTAGAATTGGGGGAGCGCTCGTCGACGTCTACGTTAGCAACCAGGTAAACATAGCACTCAAAAACAAGGGCAGCACTAGAGAATTACCTTCGACATCAGATTAGTCTTCGGCAAGAACATCTAATTAGACAGTGTCACTGAGATAATACTATGGGCACGTTAGAATTCAACTTACAAGCCTTGCGGTAACGAGCTGGATATATATCTAGTTAGGACAGTGCGAATACTATAAGACACATCGAAGCATACCTTCGAGGTTCTCCGCGCGCTTCTCGACGACTACGTTGTAATCAAAGTAAATATAACGCTCGGCAGCAAAGTCAGCACTGGAAAATTACCTTCGACATCAGAGTAGTCTTCGGCAAGAACATCTAATTAGACAGTGTCACTGAAATATTACTATGGGCATGTCAGAATTCGACTTACAAGCCTTGCGGTAACGAGCTGGATATATATCTGGTTAGATAATGCGAATACTATAAGACACATCGAAACATACCTTCGAGGTTCTCCGCGCGCTTCTCGACGACTGCGTTGTAATCAAAGTAAATATAACGCTCGGCAGCAAAGTCAGCACTGGAAAATTACCTTCGACATCAGAGTAGTCTTCGGCAAGAACATCTAATTAGACAGTGTCACTGAAATATTACTATGGGCATGTCAGAATTCGACTTACAAGCCTTGCGGTAACGAGCTGGATGTGTATCTAGTTAGATAATGCGAATACTATAAGACCCATCGAAACATACCTTCGAGGTTCTCCGCGCGCTTCTCGACAACTGCGTTGTAATCGAAGTGAATATAACGCTCGGCAGCAAAGTCAGCACTGGAAATTACCTTCGACATCAGAGTAGTCATCGGCAAGAACATCTAGTTAGGCAGTGTCACTGAGATATTGCTATGGGCGCGTTAGAATTCGACTCACAAGCCTTGCGGTAACGAGCTGGATGTATATCTAGTTAGATAATGCGAATACTACAAGACACGTCGAAACATACCTTCGAGCTCCCTCTCCGCACGTTTGTCGACGACGGGTGCTGCCGTCGTGATTTGTATCAAAGCAATAGCAACAAAAACAAAAGATAAAGCGAGCTTCATGGTGGCTAGTTGGTAAGATAGTTGGTAAGAGTGCGTTACTTGTGGTGTTGACTGTAGAATCGATACAGGGGGTGGAGCCTTTATATCTTTCGGGAACTGGATTTCAGACCCAGTTCACAGACCGATTCGTAGAAACCTTCATGTGGTATCGTTTCGTTTTGCAAATTATGTGGTTAGGCAAGGTATCGCTACCCATAGGTGTCGGGGACCGGCACGGCCGAGTGCCGTTACGATATCGGATCGTGTTGTTTTGCATATCATGTGTGGTTAGGCAAAGTGTTCTTCCGTTCGCGACCTGCTTTTTCGCATGTTTCGTATCAATCGCTTAGGCAAAGTGTTCTTCCGTTCGTAACCTGCTTTTGCAATGCGTCATAACGAAGCGAAAAGGTCGGACAGCAGGCATGGGCAGAAGGAAGTGTGTGGTAGGGTCATAGTGCTAAGACTCGGAAGCTCCAATATTCTGGCTCGATCAAAATGGAGATTTCAGTAGGCACGGATCAAACTTGCCCTCACTGGACGTGTTTGTCACATGGACAGAAAATGCAAAAATTCCGTGAGCCCTGAATGAAGATAAATGCTTACGAGTCATCAACTCAGAGTGCTCCTTTCATGCATAGTAGGCTTTGCGCCCTTGGGCATTTGAGCCAACCAGCATCTGACAAATCGCCATTAGGTGGGTACTTTGCCGCTGACAAGCAAAAAGAGGTTCAACAACTGCTTTTCAGATATATCACGCACCTTCATGGCTTCGTATTCGCCTCTTCGAATGCACGATCTAGAGCACCAACCTGAAGACTCTGAAGATGCTATTCTCCTCCCCAGCAAACAGTTCATCTCTCAGTACCGTACAGCAGATCCCCCATCTGAATGGCCCGCCTGGACTGCATTGGGACTCTCCGTGCTCGCGGTTGTTTGCGCATGCACGGTGTATATCGCCTCTGTCAGTACTTCCGGGCTGCGTGACGCCCATGGGTTGCGCCAGCCTACCCAGTTTCCAGGTCTCGAATTTATCGACGAGCCCCGGCAACAGGAAAAGGGTATGTGCTTTCAGTCATCATGGACACTGTGTAATGACTCATGAATGTACCTGTATGGCCAGCACCACAGATGTACTTCCCGAACACCATCGTACGGGCGAACAAAGCCTTACCTGACCAGATGTATACTTCGGGCTCGCACGTTATCCTGAGTGAGAATGTCAGTGGATCTTCGTGACCTGGAACGATTCGGTCGTTTATAACATTCCAGGACTCAATGTTCTACCAGTGGCACCTAGGTCGGTCCAAATTCACCTCTTGCTACATCGACAGCGTCGTTCCCACTCCCGAAAATGGTCTTGCAGCCAACAAGACCTATACTGCATCTGGCTCCCTCACCGAAATCCAGATTTGGAATGTTACCACTCCTGTTGAGGGCATGAAGAGCCTCAGCTGGAACACGCGACCTCAACGAATCGCACTGATGGGCACTGTCGCGTTCCTTCCTGAGAAAGAGAAGATCGAGCAGCTGCATTTCGAAGATGGCTGGCAGTTGCGGTTGCCAACGCGATTCTCGTGTGGTAAGAAAACGACGGTTAGCATCGAGGTTGCCTGCGTTGGTTGTAGACTTGAATTCGAGCAAATATTCTCATCTCCTCCGTTGGGTGAGTGCGACTGTACATATTACAGGTTGAGGTGACAGACTGACCCACGGTGTAGCTTTCGACCTGATGGAGATAGGATAGCTTCGGTATTCAGCAGAAAATGATACCGATAATCTAGATACATACTTTAATGTGACAGTCAACCATCGAAGTACCATACCAAAGTTACGTAACATAGTTTGGTCGCGAACAATCACATGGTCATCAATGACTAATACTACGAAGTCGTGCAAGGCCACGTGCCAGTGCGTGGCAGAGCCCACTAAGTACTCGTATTTTCGTAAGTCTTTGGATGCAGATCTCTTGGACAACAGTTCATATTCATTCATGGTGATGCCGATATAATAGGATGCCGTGGAGCAATATTAGTAGAAGCTGTCTATGTAGTCTGCGTAGGGACGGCGGATCCTGCACAAGTTGTATACGTAAAGAGCACATTTGCCTGTCGACTTTTCAAGATGATGTCAAGCGCACAACCAACCATATCACTCTCGTCTCTCGATGGCAAATTCTTATTGAAATATGACGACAAGCAGGGGCACATGAAGCACAATCGTGACACATTTGAATCACACAAGCTCCTGAGAGATCATGAAATAGAAGGATGCACCCTCAGGACAAAAAGTGCGACAGAACGCGAGAACGAGGGTCAAAATCATGCATCTGATCTGGGAACAAGAAATCCGTGCTGCGATCTAGCGACATCATCCAGAAACTGCGATGTAGGATTGTTAAACATAGAACAGCACAATATCGGTTGTGCAATTACGTAGACGGCGAACGGAAATCGATAGTCAAAGCTTGCGGTGACCGGTCGATGGTTGTGAACGTCGTCAGACAAACGGTGCGCTCGGATCGTTCGGGAATCATTCGTTCCGTTCAGAGACTATGACAAATTCGGAGTTAACGTTGATATTCGATCTCGCGGAAGTACGAATAGGCAACCTTCCGGCCATGATGCATGATCGTCAAAAATGATCGAAAAGTACCCCACCTAAAGGTAGGTAACGATAATTAGCCTATCAGTAAAATCCCGAAGTTCTATTTTGACATGGAACCGCTTAACTTTCAATGAGTCGACAAGTCGCAAAAGTCGACGTTTTCTCAAGGCGCGGCAAGTGTTCCAAGACAGTAAGGAGGCTTGAGGAGAAAAATCAAGTCATTTACGCCTTTCGCCAGCGCGCCATTGCGAACGGCAACGAATCGCACCTACCCTAAATCATGCAGATTGCACGTGACCACTTCACGGGCTAGTTATCCGCATTTGTTATAATAACAACCTCCACCAAAGTCAGCATTAATGAAGTTACTCTATATGTCAAAAAAAAAAATTTGACTTACTTTTCGGCATCGCGATGTGCACGGCGAACATTGCTATAAACGTTTCCGCGTTTGATAAAGCGGATAATAATTATCACCAGTCGCAACGGAGATTGTCCTTTTATCGCTTCCGAGGACGACAGGCACGAAGGTTGAGCCAGTTATCTCTGGGTCTCCAGCAATAATGTCCTGTAATGGGCGAAGTTAGACATGTCTTGTATGAGGCAACTCTCGGAAGGGGAGTCGTGCAACTGAAAATCCCTGCAAAAACGATCGACAAGTGACACCGCAAAACCCACCCGGACCGAAAGGCGTAGCAGGAACAACGGAAATGAATGCCCCGGGCCCTGCATCGTTAATTTCCCCGTGATCAGCTCCACTTCGAATGAACGGACACTCAGCGATTGTCCTTTCGGTGTGAATGCCGCGGATTTTGTTGGTTCAGGGTTTGCAGGAAGCGAGCAAGTCTGAGTAATAACAGGTTACCTTACCTACAACTAAGTACTAAGGGACACGCACCAAAAGCAAACGGTTTTACGTGGCCCTGCCAGCAACGGCCCGAGCTATAGCTCCCAATACTAGTGGTTTCGGTTTCTGACAACTTGTCACAGTTATATTCTGCACTGTGCAGCATACACATAAGGGACTTGAACTTCCTTTCTTCAGATCACATTCAGCGACAGACTCGATGCTCCATAGCCTGAAACCTCGGTCCTCAGAAATACTGCGCGTATTTGGGTCTAGTGTTTTCGCCATTAGCATCTTACTGAACATCCTCACCATCCTGCGCTTGCAACCCACATCGGTCGATGGCAGGAAGTACAGTATGTCGTTGTCGTCTTCACTGACGGCCACGGTAGTTCAATCTCACTCAATATATTTGATGTAGCTTACATTGACGACGATCATCCGACCGAATTACCCCTCCGTCTAGACACCGTTGCGTTGACGTTTAACAACACGGAGCGTTATAGTACATCTGGGATCATGGTCTGGTTGGAGTGGAATTCACTTGATCATTTTTCACGAGGTCACGGATTTGTGCGCCTGGGACCAAATGGTAAATTACCATCGCCCAATTTTGGTCAATGCAAGATGCTCACCATCCACGAATTCTGTAAGGGCGAGCGTTTGGTATCTCGATGTTTCACCAGATACATTGTCTGCAAATGATCCGGCTCGCCCTCATTAACGGACCCGAAGACCATAGTGGTCATTGCCTCAACTTCTTGCGGCAGGCCATTCTTTGCGATGCTGATACTACCCTCGACCCACTCTTCGTCGACCCCGATGGAATGATGACAGACACAGACGGCTTGGGTGTGACGCATGTATGCCGCCGCGAGGTGGTACTACCGCCCTGCCTTCTTCCTCGTCCGCGGGGCTATAATATAATTTGTAAGGTTAGTGACCGGCTGTTGAACGACAAAAACAATGCAAAACGCACTAATACATGTCTGAATCCATTATGCGGTGGATGCCGCATGAGTGTTGCATCAATTTGCCGCAAAGCCAGGTGATGCACTCTGATCAATTCTGATAGTCCTGAATCATTTCCATGCTCAGGTCATGGGTGAGTAGTGCTTGATGCCGCGATACTACAATAGTGAAGATTAAGGTAAATAGCATGCCCAAGAGGGGTTGCTGCGTCTTACCGTCTTCTGCAATCTTGAGTGAATCCTTATGGGCGTACACAACGTCTTGTACATTGTATTGGCATGCTTTGCCTCCCATATCTCCGTTCCTCCACTGAACAACCTGCAATTACTTATCTGCTCTGAGTTGATTTCCTAAAGATCTCGATTAGGCTCTTTGTAGCGCGGCGGCGCCTACATAAGCGCTGGGTTTTAATGCAGTTCCTTATAAGCCAGGCGGACTCCGAAACTATTCTTCTCCTCAACCAGCTCGAAGGCCACGAATGCTCATCTCGTACAGGTGCTTTGTGCATCCACATTTATGAGCGGGCTAAGGTCTGAGTATTCCAATCCCCCTTGATTGGCTCTAGCGGAGCCCGGCTGTAATTAGTCGCGCAACATACCAGAAAAGCAGCTTCATTTTCATATCCCCAAGATCCTGTCACAGCAGAGGAGGGCGAGAACGAGAGCTTTGAAAGTGTTGCGGGGATCGGGCAAACTTGCATCCATCGTTTAGCAGTCCTATCGCGCGTGCGTCTGTCAAGACGCTCAGGGACTGTTGAAGTCTCTACGAGACGCTTCGGAACCCTTGCCGCGGACATTCTTCTCATCTAAATCACTAGATGTTCTTTCGTCACCATCAGGATCTGCTCCTGAGTCCTGGTGCACATGCAGAATCCAGATTGCAAGTTGAGGTATCCCTACCTCTTTCGGCGAGCACTCTTCGCTTGTACGCTTCCGGCGTATCCGCCGAGCTTCATGAACCGCTTACGGCTGGAGACGATCATGCTCTCCTTGCGTATGAGGGATATTATCCGATGGACCGGATTGCTCCTGAGTTCACTTCGTGGCTCGCGCATCCTTCGTGGATCGTGAAACTCGATTCAGACTACTCTTGGGCTGGTTCTTACGAATTTTTTACTTCTTGAACTCCTTCGTGGGGTGTCCATGATCTCCATTTCTCAACTGGTCGAAGGATACACAGTCGAAGGCACGCATGTATCTTGGTATGTAGTGTTCAAACCTTAGTTTGACCTCCCAAGTTTACCTGGCGAGGACAGATAGTTGTTTTCTGTATTTGTAGCCACCATAATCACGATATCTGTTTATATCCATGTTGTTCCTGAAGCTTCTTGCTTATTGTCGGACTCGGAGTGCACAAGTCTCTTCGGAAGGTCTCTTAAGCTCGCTCATCACGTTGCTCGTTCAGCACATCAGGAGTCTATTCATTAGGTGTGGGCAACACTATGTGACTTTTAGTCCGCTTGATTGATTCCTCAGCACGCATGCGCTCTCTCGCCAACTTTCCAGTCCTAGTTTAGAATCACGGACCAGCATGTTTATGTGCTCTGTCCCACTCAGTGCCCTCATGGGACACACTACATCCAAAGGCTCATTGACCACTTCTTCCAGGACATCGGGGAATGCTTGCGCACTGTCCTCCAGGCAGGCATCCTTCCCCCTTTCTCTTCCTCAATACCCACCACTCCTAGCAGTGCCGAAGATGCTTCATATCTCTTACCCTATTCGCATAGCTCCTTTACACCACGCCCGCCCCCGTCACCCAGAAGCACCTTTCCTACAACTGAAGCCTACCAAAAAAACAGTGAAACTCGAGAGGGGCGGCTGCAGGGGTTTGGAGGAATTAGCTTGGTGTGCAGCAGGAATTGGGTTTTGGCCATGAGGGCAACGGCAGCGGTCACCGGAGAGCAGTCGGCCCCGTGGGTGGACGTGGATAAGGAAGTGCCGAAGGACGCCAACGCGGTGTCCATGACTTTGCCCTTTTGGAGAATGACCGGTGCTTGTGTTATTCCTTTCTGGCAGTTCCTCAGCGTGCATGCAACTTGCCTTTAATGCAATACACATCCGTGGCGGTCGCAAAACATTATTCATCTTCATCTCGTATCTATACAGATGGGCCTTTATCTAGAGCTTATGACCACGCTCGTCTCCTACATCCGCCGTAAAAGCTTACGACTGGCACGGCTCGACGACGATATTTGCCATCATGGAACCACGGCATGCCGGATGTGAGGGTGAAGACGTCCAGAACTCTAGATGGGGATACGTTGAAAAAGTTGCTCAGAGGTGAGCCACAATGCCAGTATTCTGAGGCGCAAGTTCAAAGTACGCTTTCGACGACTCCTTGGTCATCTACATATAACTTCTTATTTGTTGCTTCCTGCAGCTGCATGGATGTGTCGTAATTTCTCTGAGAGGGCATGTCCTGCAAGTTAATGAGTAGTGGCAATGATTTGGGGTCCGGGGGACGATATATTTGCTCACCCGATCAGGCTGGCTGGTTCCACTTCTAATAGAACAGGCCCTGGATGTAGTATTAAGAAGTGGGAAAACACGAAATCTGCGAATCATCCGCTGGCACTGAAGTATGGAAGCCCGGACACTCGTGCTCAATTACTAAGCTAGAATTCCCACATATGGCAATGGCTTCTGCGGGACCACGAATACCGCCAGCGCGGATAATAAACAAAACGACTAAAATGATATTGTGTGCCATGTCCGTCGACAATGTAAATATGGGATATGGGAGATCACCATTTGCACAGCTACACCACGATCGACGCAAATCACCATTCATCTGGCACACTGTCCGAGTCATTGCCATCCGAGTCTGAGAACTCCCATATGACCAAACCTGCATGATCCAGTCCCACCACATTTTCATCAATGCCAAGTGTGATGTCAGGCTCGTCATCACGAGCGAGACTCTCTAACTGGCGTAAATGCTCATCACCTGCATAGACATCAGTCCCCTGCATTCAAGTCATGAGAAGATAACATACTGAGACTGAGACCGCCACCCACACCGCCCATGTAGTACGCACCGTTGCCTTCCTCACGATAGGGCAGGTCCTGTTGGTCCTCTAAAAGCAGCAAAGCACCTAAATCTTCCTCCATGTCTTCAAGCAGCTCAATGTGATGTGGTATCTCCTCGTTGATCTGCAGTATGTTGAGTAAGCGCAAATATACATCCCACGCAGATTGCCTTGTGACTAATGGGCGCCCAAGTGTTATGATCAACGTTCACCGAATGGCAAAGGTTTCACACAACCACTAGGACTCGTCAAAGAGTAAGAGCAAGGATAAGATTGAGAGTGAACGTCTGAGTCTACACTGGGTAGGAACGAAGAGGTTAAGTCTAAGGAGTTCTACTGACTATGACCTAAACTATATACTACTCTCTAAGCGGAGATATCTGAGTATGAAAGGTAGTGATATATCTATATAAGATCATAACATTGCGCCTAGGGTATAGGGCGTCTTATCAACCAATCAACTACAAGGAAGGGAAAAGGGTCTATAGGGGTATCGGTGATTAAGCAGGGTTCTCAGGGTACTGCTTCTATTCAGGGTGGACGGATATGAAGAAGGATGAGAGAGTTCTGTGATAAGAAGTCTCGAGCGGTAATTAAGGATCTCGATAAGAGATAGGATCTGGAGATGTATCGGGTACGATCGGATCTAAGGGTTCTCCAGGGTCTTCGGTAATGAGCCTGCTTCTCTATGAGTGGCGCTTCTGTGGTAGGGTTCAAGGTTTTAGCTGTGACTGTGCAACAGGTTCTTATGTAAGGGGTTCGGTGAATGACAGAGGTAACTCTTAACATGTCATGTGTGGGAAGTGAAGGTCTGCGATGTGAAAGGATGATGACTCTTCGAGAGATGGCTCGTAAAGGACTCTCGGTTCTGGTTCGATCATAGAGGCGTGTAGATGCTTATGATGTAGCCTATGCCTAATCGTAGGACTTCTAAGGATGTGATGAGTGTCGGATGTCTAGGGTTACGGATATAGATGGATAATGTCGATGTAGTATAGATGTGATGTAAAGATAGTGATCGTTAATCGGTTATCCATCTTATCTTATCAGGGATCTTATCTAATCTAATCTTATCGGATAGGTGACTTAGGTTTTGATAATCGAAATTTAGATGCAGTATGTAACATTCATGACACCAAGTTGGTCATAGCAGTGCTGCACGCACTTGCTGAACGTCTTAGGAACGAGGTCGAAGACGACATGAGAAGGTTTGATATAGAGATTGCGTACGTGGTCCAATGCCTCACGTTTGACTTTGATCTATGAAAAAATGGTAAGCACCAGAACAAGCATGCTAGTATTGCTTACTTTAAAGTCCAACGCACCAAAGTCCTCGGGCGACTGGTAGACAATGTTTTGTACACCATGGGGAAGAATTTTATTTCGGTCCCGCCGTTTTGCAGTGTTATTCACTTGGTCCTGGTATGCGTCTAACTCCCACTGTAACCAAGGTATAAAAACCCATTGAAAAAGCATCCTAAATTAAGACCGCAAGCTAGTATCAGCATAAGATGAACAACTCAGAAAAATGGACGCACAATTGGAGAGTATTATTGGCATCATACCAACCTGATGTAACACCATGATCCAAAAGTGTCTCGAATCCTGGTGTAAAACATTGTTGCAGTTGCGACCATGTTATTTCGGGCATTACGTTCTTCTTGTTCCTCATCCAACGGTGTTGCAGGGTACCCAGGAGTGCGGGATCATGCCATTGGTGTAGCATGGTATGGGCATTAGCTATTCCGAAGTTTTCTGACCCAGGGTTGCTCTGGGTCACCATAGGCATATCTAGGAGGTAGATTGCTGTGTCAGTGAAGAGACGATACTGGCCAAAAAAAGCTTACGCCCGAGTGTCTCGAGTGTATTGAGGTAATAGCTTAGGATAAGCTGCGGGTTCTGGTTTGAGTGCCAGACCCTCATCCACATAATCCGACCAGAGAATGGCTCAATGCCAGTATGGAGGCCAAGACCAAACCTCAGCCATTTGTCATGTTGATCGACTGCAAATAGATCATTCACTCCTGCAGCCCAAAATCACCTCCTTCGAAGGCGATTGGCCTTGCGCTGGCATACAAGCTCTGGCTCGTATATAGTGAAATAAGATGTCACAACACTCCTGTGAATAAGAGATACAACAGTCAATGATTACAATGTCACGATTACAAAAAAAACATTACCTAGTTACACTCATGCTCCTTTCGTGAAATAATAAGCTTACAATTTCACGCGCTCCAGCATTTGGATACGTCGGCCACAAATCAGCCATGGCATCACAGATAGTCTCGACTGTATGACCTTGCTGGCATGTTCTCCGAAGGCCCATCCCTTCACAGATCTTGAGAAATTTCGTGAGTCTAAGCACAATGTCAGAACATCGAGGCAAGGTGAAAGATTGCAAAAGACTAACCCGAGACCATAGCATGATGTATCAAAGTGTTTCTGCAATTCTGTAACAATTTGCTTATCTGTCTGTCGTGCCTTCCAAAGGTGAAGGATATGTGGTTGAATTAGATCCAAAGGTGCTGATCAAATGCGAGTTACTGGTGGTGTCAGTTCAGAACAACAGGAACCATGGACGTATGAGTAGGTTTCCATTGGTTGGGCATTGCTAGTTTTAACAGTTGTGAGCCAGTGCTCGATTGTACTTAAATCGCTTCATGGTTGATTGTCTCCGCAGAGACTTTTCTAAGGGATACTTGGAGAACACTGTGCATTGGGGTGTTCCTGCCGCCATCCACACTCACCCTAACTCCACGTCTGCTTCATAGTTGACAAGTTGTCTCCTTTCTAAGGGATACTTAGAAAACGCCATGCGTTGGGACAGACTTGAAGCTCTTCCTGCTGCTATCCACACTCACCCTAGTATACTGCGAAGCTGAAGCAAATACTAATAAACACATGATGCACAAATTCAGTGCCACTGGTGCCTGGTGGATGATTTCTAAGGGATACTTGGAGAACACCGTGTGTTGGGGCAGACCTGTCCACTCGTGGTTTATCGGACATATTAACATCAAACTAGATTTTGACAACCAAAGATAGAGATAGTTTAGACATTATCACCCTGACACTCACCATTTGTGAATCCCCACCAGCCCCTAATTCCAACATACTGCGAAGCTGAAGCTCTCCCCACTCTAATTCCATACAATGTCCTGCTCAAGATAGAGATAGTTTAGACGTTATTACCCTGACACTCACCGTTTGTGAATCCCCACCAGCCCCTAATTCCAACATACTGCGAAGCTGAAGCTCTCCCCACTCTAATTCCATACAATGTCCTGCTCAAGATAGAGATAGTTTAGACGTTATTACCCTGACACTCACCGTTTGTGAATCCCCACCAGCCCCTAATTCCAACATACTGCGAAGCTGAAGCTCTCCCCACTCTAATTCCATTCAACGTCCTGCTCCTCTGAGTAATGGGTGCCTGTGCATCACTTCTCCGGACATGAATTGTCCAGGTGTCAAGTATTCTGTGCACAGAGGACATAGAGAGGAGACGCGGTGCCCTGCTTCTTGAACATCACCGGCAGACAATGCACCAGGCCTTTAGTATGTTTTCTCAATTCAACTTTTGTCATATTTAAGGCTTGCGGCAGCCATGTCACACTACTATTGACTGTCCACCTCATTCTTATGGCCAACCCTAATAACATTGTCTGTCAGTTTACGGAAGACGCATTTGCTGCTGAAGATCAGATCTGCAAGTGCCCATCTTGTCGTGCCCAGATCAACAAAGGACAACCCTGCTTTTATGTGGCTACAATCAAACCCAGCAAACCAGGGTGCAATGTATGTGCAGCCTGCTATACACGGTATGAGAAGAAGTCTGTAACATCAAAGAGACCCACTGGTGAGTCGTTAGTGTACATTTTACTTAATGTGATATGTGATATAATGATATTTTGTATTAGCGTCACAATATCCTTCATCTGATGCAGCAAGTTATCACCGACCTGATCCTCAGACAATTCGGCAGTCAGTTAATGCTGCCCAAAGGAAATGTGAGTTGCACCTGCGCCCTGAGATATGACTCAAGCTGATCTTTACCAGTGAGCATCAATCCACCTCCTGTCATTGCGGTGCCTGACTGGACAAATGCTGCCATGGGTCCTCCGCCTGTCCCTCGTCACCGTGCAATCACCGGCCCTGATGTGGCCATTCCTACATCTTGGCAGGGGTCAGCCGCATCTCCAATACCATCGAGACTCACTGGTCTGATTGGATATTCATCGCACCATGGATCATATGCCGCAGAACGTCTGAGATGGGTCAAATCTGCGTATGCTACTCCCAGCTCTATAGCTGAAACCATTGCCCTTGAGATTTTGGCCGTCCACAAAGCGGGGGGGGGGGGGGGGGGTGTAAGAAATTAAGAGGAGTACCAATTGGAGTATGGTCTTTCATATGTTCTCTTACATGCACAACTGACCATATTTTTATCTAGAATATTTGTGAGGGCAAGAAAGACATTGACGCCCACATTGATGCCCCAGGTCTGATCAACCTGGCTCTGGAAACAGTTGGGCCTAAGCTACAAGCATTTGGTGGCCTCTTCTCATGGTGTGACAATGAATTCATCATGCGAGACTCAGGATGGGTGGATCTCTCAACATACCAGCCATTGATCCCGTACTTCTACTTGCAGTGTCTTCAGCCAGCTCGCAAAGGCTCCAAGGCACCAACATTCAAGACGAAGCAATTTACCCTCTGTCATGAATGCGACATACTGCATCTAAATTTCGATTATCAAACTCTAAGTCACCTATCCGATAAGATTAGATTAGATAAGATCCCTGATAAGATAAGATGGATAACCGATTAACGATCACTATCTTCAATTCACATCTATACTACATCAATGTCATCCATCTATATCCATAACCCTAGACATCCGAAGTCATCACATCCTTAGAAGTCCTACGATTAGGCATAGGCTACATCATAAGCATCTACACGCCTCTATGATCGAACCACAACCGAGAGACCCTTACGAGCTGTCTCTCTAAAAGACATCACTCTTCACATTGCAGACCTTCACTTCCCACACATGACATGTTAAGAGTTACCTCTGTCATTCACCGAACCCCTTACATAAGAACCTGTTGCACAGTCACAGCTAAATCCCTGAACCCCTATCACAGAAGCGCCACTCATAGAGAAGCATGCTCATTACCGAAGACCCTGGAGAACCCCTAGATCCGATCGTACCCGATACATCTCCAGATCCTATCTCTCATCAAGATCCTTAATCACCGCTCGAGACTTCTTGTCACAGAACTCTCTCACCCTTCTTAATCTCCATCCACCCTGAATAGAAGCAGTACCCTGAGACCCTGCTTAATCACCGATACCCCTAACCCCTATGGACCCTTCCTTGTAGTTGATTGGTTGATAAGACGCTCTAAACCCTAGGCACAATGTTATGATCTTATATAGATATATCACTACCTTTCATACTCAGATATCTCCGCCTAGAGAGTAGTATATAGTTTAGGTCGTAGTCAGTAGAACTCCTTAGACTTAACCTCTTCGTTCCTACCTTGTGTAGACAGAGACGTTCACTCTCAATCTCATCCTTTGCTCTTATCTTGACGAGTCCTAGTGGTTGTGTGATACCTTTGCCAATCGGTGACGTTGATCATAACACCCTCATGGTAGTCGTTCCAGAGGGACAATGGAGGGAATTTGAAAATTGGCAAGAAGATAATGAGATGGTACAGTTATCCATTATACACATGTCGCATACGCTAATTTATACTCAATTGTACAGGTGATCGAGCGTTCAACCGGTCGCGCTAATGCCAATGCCAAGGGCAGTTGTGCTACCACCAAGGACAGTCGTGCTCATACCACCAAGGACACTTCATACTCCTACTCAGCAGACCTGACATACTCATACTCAGCAGACGCACCATTCAACTCAGCAGATCCTTCATCTGCTACAGCCCCTTCATCCACTGCAGCCCCTTCACATGACTCAGTCTGATCATGCGAGACCGACCCCAAGCTCTTTTTACCAATTACCACTACTGGTATCGCCATCAAGCGAACACATGAGCATGCAACCAGTTCTTCCTCTAGTACCATTTCCCCCCCTCGCAAATCAAAGGTCCCTCCTGCACTTCTCTGCTCTCCTGATCGCAATGACCTCAAGGAGGCTCTGAGGATAGGTGGAGGTGCCAACTTGAATGTAAAGCAGGGTATGTTTTAGTTTGTTGACGTGCTCAACATACTCATTTGTATGTCAGTCTCCAAGTTCCAGAATGAAAACATTCATTTTTACTTGATCCCTACCCGACCTCTCAATGACCTCTTGAAGTGTACCCGATACCACTCATTTTCGGTGGACAACGCTGATTCCTCAATTGGCTACGTGACTATGGATACATCCCCTGAAGGTCGCATTGGAATAGGCGGATTCAAAATGGCACACACAGGATGGCTAACACTGATGGTGCCTCCTAGGTCAGGTCTTGGGTCCAGGGCAAGTCACAATGTCATTGTGAAACATCCATTCTACAGGGTGGATCTTCCAGGAATGCCTGCCTCCAGTACAGATTTTAAAATTGGACGCTTTGCACTTGCGGACGAGTTGCCCAAGCTATTTCAAGAAGCAAATGTCCTATACTGGGCGAAAGCTCTATTAGGTCTTGTCTATGACTTCATTGACCATGCTGTGGCAGGCACATCTGAGCCTCTGCCATTCAATATTCCACGTGTGCGCTTCATTGAAGCTGGGCTTGCAATATCTTGCTATCAAGGTAACAGCAAGTCCACATTGAAGACCAGGTCAATCCGTGCAGCTTTCCTCCTTGAGGAGGTCATTGATAGTGGGGATGAGGACTTTATCAAGTTTATTCATAATGGCGACCCCAACCCATTGCTCAACCCTGAACAGTATGGGTACGACTTTGCATTGTTTCTGGCCTTCACACAACATGTACGGTATGTGAAGACAGACAGGCTGGTCTTCATCTCTGACTATCAAGGTATGTCATGTTCGATGACCTGAGTATCCTCAATGCTAATATCAGGATTAAACAGGCAGTACGGAGCTGTTAACTGACCCACAAATAATGACACACTCATCAGTTAGCAATGGCAGTGATATCTTTGGGGAGGGCAACATTGAGAAGGCCGTCGGTGAGTTCGAGAGGCGCCATGTTTGCAATGACTTCTGCAAATGGCCAGGGTTCAGACTCAGAAAGTTTGGGGCAGAAATAGCTTAGATGACACTGTTTTTGGTTTTGCGTATGGTTTTTTTGGCTGCATTGCAATGTATCAGAGCAATATGTTGATCTTGATGTCGCATTCATCACTAGCTCAATGCCACGTCTCAGACTCCAAGTACGCAAATAAGTTTGCACTGGTCAACACAAGCAAATATGTTAGCACGGTGTTAGAGGTCCGATTACCATATGTAGTAATGCTGGCTTAGTAATTGAGCACGAGTGTCCGGGCTTCCATACTGAAGTGTTGACAGCCGCTACAAACCCTGCCAAAAAATCACAGACTATTTCTGACAAAGAAGACGGAACACATTCTGCAACAGACATGAATATACATGTTCCTAAACCCACCCCGCAATATCCCGCATGCACACATCACCCTAACATTGCAAGTTCACTGCCCAAACCTCCATTTAAACTACCTTTTGCCATCACCGACAGTGTCCGACACCATCATCGCAAGGTGCGGCGCTATCGCGTGCAGGAACTGTGGGATCGACATCATCAAGTCTAGCACAGTCAGTGGGTCCAAGGGACCCACACACGTGATGTGCAACTCCCCGACGTCAAGTTTGGTCAGGTGCAAGTTGGGTTGCGGACCCGCTCGATCATAGTTGCTATTGTTCGGAAGCGTTGCCACGAGCGCACCGAGCCCCACGTCCACGTAGAGCGAGACCTTGTGCAGCTCATGGCAGCTCCCCACAAGAGTGCCTAAGGCATACAGGGAGACAGGCGTAGTCATGATCTCATTACACTGATCACGTGGGGTTCGTTGTTTTTGCATCTACCTTATTAGTGTCAGCTCTCTCAAAGTGTATGTTCCCAAAAGAGCAAGAAAATCAGTTCTAGTGACTCAAAGTTGAAATCTTCTCCCCTAAAAGACATTTGTCAAGCTTTCCCAAATCCCAAGTCAAAGGCGGTCGTTCAAAGGATGAAGACATCCAAGTATAAGTACATTGAGTGGCACGACGAATCCAAAATTCCCAAGAAAATATCACCATCGCCCAACATCAAACCATCATGGTTACTAGGCTAGTTGCACCTCACGTCATCAAGGACCCACTGGCCGTATACGCCTTGAAAGACCTGGAAGTAATCAACAAATTGTGCAACAACTGATCAAACTGAGCTAGCAGCGAACCCTTTTAAAGCAGAATTGTGCCCCCAGGAAATGAATACCATGGAAGCTTGCAGGAGTGGTAGCACAGAACTCCCTCCAATCACTTCCTGATGGGAGGTTCTGAAGGCGGTGTTGGACAAGCTGCATATCGTCAACCTCGCTCACTGTATTGTGTCTGAGAAACTCACTTGCTGACCGGATCCAGGAGAAACGCAGCCCTGCGACAATGAATAAGTTGAAAATATGCAGATGAGAAGTTGATGGATAAACGAACAAGATCTTTGTACCAATACCAGTACGATGTGCAATCTGGTTGCTGCAGGTCGACTTCCCAATGACCTATTACATTGTTTGGACCCTGAGTGCAGGATATCAGCTACTCGTGCTAAGAAACGCAGGAATATTTACATGATCCTCACACCACTTGGTTGTGTAATTAACCCCGTGGATCTCTATCGGTGTGGCCATGCAAGCGTCCACGCGGCGATTGTAGTGAGATGGAACGTTCACCAATCGGGCAGTATACTCTCGAGTGCCATATGCCGTGCACGTCTGGGACTTCAAGTTGGTCCAAAACATATTCAATCTAAAGCGTTCTTCTTCTTCACGCTTCCACTTCTCCTCCATTTCATGGTGGTAGTGAAGTTCTATGTCCCATTCCTTGCGAATGTGGTCTCGAACATCCGGATCTAAGGGGTTGTTGCAAGGGTTGAGAGATTCCACTGATGCAAATATGGTGAGCACAATCAGCAGGGAAATGAGTGCTGTATAGATGAGAGACTGATGGCGATGGGAAGGCTTGGGAGGCACCAGAGTGTCTGTCTCTGAGGAACTGCAAAGCCTTCCATTTCATTCATCAAGTATCAACCTATCACTGAGCCTCACACACCTAGGACAGTAAGATGGGAGACTGCATACCCTCGTTAGTATCAGTGACAACAGTAGTAGACAGTAACTTACTCCTCGTCTCGTCTCATCTTGGGGATTTTTTCTGGCGAATTGTTGACTAATCACATCGCAGCACAATGATCACTGTTGAATGTTGAATATTTGCTGAAGAGTTAATATTTACGAACTTCTGCTTCAATGATCAGCCTGAAGGACTTGTAGGCTGGTGAGTTATGAGGAATGAGCAAGTGTTTACTAGACTTGCATAGGAACTTGCGGATGACCGTCAACATGCTTGAAGGTGGGTCTATCTGAACTAGGGTTCGGGGAATTAGGGATCCTGCTCTGGTTGACTGGCTAATTAGCACGACCCTCCGTGAGGGCCTAATTGACAGGTGTAAATGACAGCAAATTCACTCAAATTGACCCATAGCTCTTTGACACTGATTTGCGCTAATTTGCAGGTAAATTTGGTCTAATTGACCGTAATCTACAACAAAGCCGCCTATCACCATTTCTCCCACTCGTCATCCATCGGTGTCAAGGACGAAGTTGTGGCTTGATCAGCCATCACCTTTGGTGTCGACAGGCCTCCCCAAGCAACTGTGGGCTGTACGGCGTGGTCTGACAGGATATCGAGGAGGTAAGTGGATGATAAGTCAATATCTTTACCCACGTCAAACTCAGTGCTTTTCACACCAGCTAAACCCACATGGTCCGCAATATCACCATTATCAAGCCAATCCCCAGCTTCGGCATCCAAGTCTGAACATCTACCTTGATGTTCATTGGTCAAGCTCAAAATGATGTCCGTTTTCATGGTAGGCAGTCGAGCAGGCGGTGGGACAACAGGTGGTGTCTCAGGTTTACCATGGATGGTTGCATACATATCTCGCCATTTGACGGAAGGAGTGACTGTCGGTGCTACTGGCTGTTTCAAAGTATGAGTATGTTGGGAGTCCAGCCAACTGAACTTCACTCACGTCAGCTTGCCAGCAGTGCCACTGACGAATCTGTATATGTTCTTTTAATGTTGAGATGTCTTGTCTGCTCCGAGTGGGACTGTTAAGCCACATGATTGTTGAAACTGTCCTCTCATCGGCCATCGACACTGGGACGACGGAGTATAACTTGATTGCAAGGGCCTGGACATAAGAGTGAGTCAAATAACAAATGTATCGAGCGAATATCATTGTCACCCCAAGAACTCGTGCATTTTCGTCCTTTTGAACAGCTAACCACCAGTCTCGGACATTCTCGTGCTTGCGAATCTTGCAGTTGAAAGGATCCGCTCCTTTGCGATACTCCTTGAGCTCAACCTTCAACGCCTGCAGAGCCTCTTGTGGAGTCAATCCAGCCAAGCGGGGATTTCTCTCTTTCATAAGTTTTGCAGCGGCTTGGTCTGACCTTACCCCATTATAAACATCACCGTACTCGTGCTTGAGCATGAGCTGAAGGCTCGTGCCCACTCTCTTGATGATTGAATCTTCGGGGGATACAACACTGTATGTCCCATTTGATTTCATCAAATGGATGGGAGGCAGGTCAAGAGGATTGATATTCTTGTAGATCTGTGCAGTTTGGTATTCTTCAGAGCATCAGTTTTGCGATGACACTGCAACAAGTTGTCCACCTACCTGGGTGCAAGAAAAATGCTGTGATATATGGATCGTTTGGTGCATCATTGATCATCTGATCGAACCATTGTAGGGAGTATCCCTATGCTAGGCTTGTATCCACCACTTTTCCGATGCATCAGGCATCCATCCGACACCTATCCATTCCATCCGATACCCATCCGCTTTTCGGACGACATGCGGATACCTTCGGATCTCCCCCTATAGCTCGCGCATCCGCCGCATCTGTCCTGTCCATGTCCATTCTACCTCATTGGTACGTACTCACACGCATTTTCTTGTTACTGACTGAACACAGACATATCCTCTCACACTCCAGTATTTTTCGGATAGCTTATGGCACGGTCTAGACTCGCTACCTATGTATCTATGTTCCTTGAAAATACTGTACCCTATAAGCATGGAGGGTTTCGAAAAATACTTACTTCATGTAACTTCCTCCCACTTTTCCTGCACCTTACCAGAAGGTCGCTTTGACTTATACCCACTATCCATCCAACCTTTAATGAACTTCCTTTGACTTTGATTCGCATCCTGTCTGATCCGCAAGTGCCATCCGCTCCATCCGACGAATCCATACGTTTCGCATCCTATCCGTTTCATCCGCTTTTGCGGATCTTTCATCCTATAGGGTTGTTTTAGACAGAGACTAGTATTCCCCAGTAGCAATCCCCTTAAGGGTCGAACGTGCTTGCTCTCAAGTGAGGCAGTAGGCAGCAAAGACCCAACTGTGTAGTAGATCGATTTCTCTCCGCTGCACTTGTTGTACCCACACCGTGCATTTGTAATTGCACAAATGGCCAATTTGGTCTCTTCCAGCAGTCGAATTGTATTGCCTCGAAGGAGTTGTTCCATTTGTGCAACAATGGCAAGCCAGTACAGATAGACGTCTGCGCATGTTGTATGTGCAGATTCCAGACACTGAATCGCCTTTGCGTATGGTCCCGTAATTGCTATGAGCTTGGCTAGGGCAACTTGAAACATCAGTGAATCTGTGGTGTTCACCTCAAATAAATGATTTCGTCCCTGCACAGATGTTTGTGAGTTCTTGGTTTGTATCAAAATGGTACATATCTTACCTTCACATTGATCCCCAGACTCAGATTGCTAACTATGGCTTGCATTGCAGGCAAACAGCATTGCAGTGAGGCCGCAGACCAATGAATGTTTGCGAATCGAGTTTTGCTGATTTTTTCTAGACCCTGGCCAATTTTAAGAACACCACGTTGATAGTTGAAGTGCTCCATTGCATAGCCCGACTTGTCCATGAAAGCCAAAATCTTTCTAAGATGGTCAGAGACCTGCAGGTATGGTCATTGGCCTGAATCTTGATGAGTATGAGTATTACTCACCTCTTTGAATTCGGGCAGCTGGCATATTTGCTTGGAGCACAGTGACAGTAAATGACATGCATCCTGGAGGTTTAATATATAAGGCTGCTTTGCCGACAAATCTCTGCGGCTGTTTTTTGTGTTTCCAGTGTCATCCGATGATGAGCCGGAGAAGTTGTAGGGCCTGATTTCGGCAATGACCTATTGCAACATCAAGGTGAGCTTTACATTTGTGCGAGCGAATTGGACTTACACCCTCCAACAACTCTCCAATATATTGGGCTGTGTGACTGAGCATTGAGGCGTCATCGAGCTCAAGCAGAAGGGTTTGCCTGTCAGCAGTGGTGACGTGAACAGTGTAGAACAATTTGGGCTTCCGGATCTTTCCACCATCAAACGTAATGGTGAGATCACGTTGTGTTTTCAGATAGTCGAACATTGTTTTTGTGATTCTTGCAGATTCGTTTGAAATTAGTGTATCAGCAAGAGTCGTTGCAGAGGCAGGCTTGTAGTTGGCATTCAGGATGCTACAAAAAGCCTTGAACTCATCCGAATCAATGACATGTGGTGGGATTCCCGTACACGTCAAAAATAGCATGAGTGCATGGTCACCTTTCACCTTTAGTGCTTTATGACCTTCGGTAACATACTTCTTGTTGAATGATGCAACCTGCAGCTCCATCCTTGGTTTCTTCATTGGCCGGTCTTCCACCTCCATGACGTCATTCGAATCCGAGTCCGACTTTGACCCTGCTTCTAGGACCACACCTTTTCCCTTCCCTTGTACAGCTTTGGAAGCCATGTAATCGCTGGCTTCTTTGCGCCACTCCCTCGCCATACTTGGACACTCATTGGCAGCATGCTTCATGATTCATTGCCGAGCTCTTGGCCATGACCAGGTGATGTTACAGCCATGGCTGGCAATGCACCGAACAAGTTTTTCCCCAGTGGGACCACTTGCTAAATGGCAAGGCTTCAAAATCTTGCGAAGCAGTGGGTGCATCTTGGCACCACCTTTTCGACTGTCATCGTCTTCGCCAGCACTGATGTACCGGTCGTCATCGAAGGTTGACAATATATGGGTATCAAGCTTCTGAACCTTGGGCTTTCATTTCCCGGGTATCTGAGTATGATTGACTTTGATTGGCTTTTGTTTTGTAGAACTCAAGTCTGAGACAAGGACTGGCAACTTCATAGTGTACCATCAGTAAGTCTGTTTTATTGGAGGGAAAAATAAGATTTGACTCACAGCTTTTCCAGTGGCAAGAATGAGGCCCTGCGCAGCTTCGAGAGTGTCATCAACCCATTTCTCCAGGATAACATCACCTGGAAATTTCTTAGTCCATGTTTCAAAAACATGGACTATGGCCTCCATCTCTGGGCCTCGTTCAACAAGTTTCAGGCCATCAACTCGACTGCCCAACCTGACTTCTAGCTCTCGATTGACAGCAGCTGTTACAGGGACTCTCAGACCCCTATCGTCTCCGCCAAAACATCGCTGTCACAACCGCGTCACAACACGTGACAGATGACATCACCGGCACATGACTAAACTGCAAAGCACAGCATGACAGCTGTTGGAGCATGACAGCTCTAGACTGAACCTAGACTGGGATCAATAGAAGCTGCGCCCTTCTCCCTTATCACCCCTACCAATACACTGGTACTAACTATTGTTTATCCTATCGCTTATCATGACAGATAGGGTTATCTGACTTGGACACCTACCGCTGTGCCGGTACCATACCCTGGACCCTTACCGTTGAACCGGTACCCTTATCTCTGAGTCCTTATGACTCACATAGACGCTTACCTAGTTGGGACGCTTTCTGGCTACCCAAGCCTACCCTGAACTCATAGGACGATACCTATATATACCACAGTAGTTAGACCATGTATTCTCTAACTTGATCTTCACTTGTGATATACGACTCTAGCTTCTACTATTGAAACTTCAGTCAGTCATTCTGGATGGACAGCCTCCATTCAGTCTTCCATCATCCTGGTGCTCCATGAAGCGGACACGGGATTGACCCTATCAAGTGCACTGTTGGGAAAGCCGGGCTTTCCCGTAACAGCAGCAGCCTTGCCAATGTCTGCAGCCCATTCAGCATCTGGGCTGAAGTTCGAGAATTTATACTTTGACTCCTTTGGAATAGGTATGTCTGCTGGCAATGCTGCAAGACAGAGTCGTAGTTCAGCTAGTTGATCCTTGAGATGTTGTTGCATTTAGCTTTGCGATGGGGAGGACAATATTTACAATATTTCTGCGACTCGAACTTCACAATTCTTTGGATTCTCAGTGATCTTCCGAGTCGGCAACCAAATCAACTTATATATTTTGACTATGACGAGCCAGGGTGTTCAGAAATTAAGCTTTTTACATTGGTCCAGCCGAACCAGCCGAACTGAACCACTGGACCCAAATTGACCCAAATTGACACCTGGTTTTTGAGGGTCTGAATTTTACCCTGTCATTCACGGTAAATTAGCAAGGCAAATTAGCCAGGCAAATTAGCCCACCCCAAATTCCCCGAACCCTAATCTGAACCATGTTCAGTCGGAGTCGCGCAGTTGAATATTGATATCTGATGCCACCGTTCCGGATTTGTGGGGCCAGTTTCTGGGGTGAGACTCTGGACCAGCCTCTGGGGGCCTCTGCAGGGCCCGTCGGCAAGTGCGGCTGATCCGAGCGGAGTTTAAACTCTATATTGCAATTTGCAAAGCATCGTGCCGCCCGCTGTCGCTGTGAATATGTGCCGACGCGCCCACCACCTGCAGTCAGCATGTTACAGTCTTCCGACAGTGACTGAGAGACATTTCTTATACTACCTAATGCTAGAATTGCGGTCTAGCTCACTATGCTTAGTGTAGACGCCAGAACGAACGGGCTGACCATCACGGTCTTTGGTTGTAGCACGTCCGTGTCAGCCTTATGTTCTTTTCTGCACTGGCAGAAACATGCCACAGTTCTAGGGAAAAATCTTTCGGACCATCCCAAGATCCGACGACGCTGCTCCAATCTTGAGTTAGTATCCCTTATGGGCATATACCATGATCCGCCGTTGGTTTGCTTCCATGTGCACCGAGTGGAGGCATCTTACTGAGCTTGCTCGAGTCAGGCTTGTGTACTTATGGCACACATAGTCTCTGTGAAGCGCTGAGTTTTAATGTAGTTCGTTATAACCCAAACGGACTCCGAAACTCTCCTTTCCTCAACCAGCTCGAAGGCCACGGATGCTCATCTCGTACAGGTTGTTTCACGCATCCACATTTCTGAGCGGGCTAAGGTCTGAGCATTCAAATCCCCCTTGATTGGCCCTAGCGGAGCCCGGCTGTAATCAGCCGCGCGACGTACCAGAAAAGCAGCTTCATTTTTATTTCCCCAACATCCTGTTACAGCAGAGAAGGGCAAAAATGAAAGCTTTGAAAGTGTTGCGGGGATCGGGCAAGCTTGTATCTATCGTTTAGTAGTCCTATCGCGCATGCGCCTGTCAAGAAGGCGCTCAGGGTCCATTATTGAGAGGTCTCGGGACGCTCACTACATGGGCCCTTGCCGCGGCTTACTCCTCCCATCTAATTCACTAGATGATGTTCTTTCGTCCACTCTAGGATCTGCTCCTGAGTCCTGTTGCACATGCAGACTGCTGCCAGTGCAGGTATCCCTACCTCTTTCGGCGAGCATCCTTCGCTCGCCCGCTTCCAGCGTATCCGCTGAGCTTCGTGAGCCGCTTACGGCTGGAGACGATTACACACTGCTATGTTGTACCTATCCTTGCGTACGAGGGATATTATGCGATGGGCCAGTTTGTCCTTGAGTTCACCTCGTGGCTCGCGCATCCTTCATGGATCGTGAAACTCGATTCAGACTACTCTTGGGCTGGTTCTTACAATTTTTTTTGCTTCTTGAACTCCTTTGTGGAGTGTCGTCCTCCCCGGTATCCATGATCTCCACTTGCTACCGAGCTGGTTGAAATGGACGCAGATGAAGGGATGCGACTGTCGTCATTGATGTGTCTTGGTATGCAGTTTCCAATGTTAGTTTGACCTCTCCCAAGTTTACCTGGCAAGGTAGTTGTTTGCTGTATTTGTAGCCACCGCAATCATTATATGCATGTTGCTGGAAGATTCTTGCTATCGTCAGCATCCCTCCTACTGTTTCATCTCACTAATACGCTGAATAATCCAGTGGGATTGCGACATCAGCCCGAGATAAGAATATGGGTATATATAGCTTCGAAGATATGGTGGCGTTCCGCACAACCTGATTAGCCCTCGACATGCAACCTCCAGCGAATAAGCCCGCACCCGCCATCCCATACTTTACCCCTGCGCAGGTTCCTGCGGCAGGCACAGCATTCGACCCCCAGCCCGATGGAACTCCTTTACCAAAACTATTCCAGCCCATCAAGATTAGAGGGACAACATTCCACAATCGTATCTTCGTGAGTTGTTATCTTGATCGTCAGTGTGATGGTGGCGTCACGTCAGTTTCATGCAGCTATCTCCACTGTGTCAATATTCTGCAGATGACGGTCATCTCACGTCTTGGCATATGGCGCACCGTAAGTCTATGATTATCAAGCATCAGGGAAGTATTACTCATGGTATCCAGTGGGTGGCATCTTCACACGGGGCCCTGGTCTCTCAATAATCGAAGCCACAGCAATCCTCCCAGAGGGTCGCATCACCCCTGAAGATTCAGGCCTCTGGAAAGACAGCCAAATCGAGCCCCTCCGCAAGATAGTCGAGTTTGCCCATTCATAAAACCAGAAGGTTGCCATTCAGCTTGCCCATGCGGGCCGAAAAGCATCCACCGTTGCACCATGGTTACGTGGTGGTGGTCTTGCAGCAACTGAGAACGTGGGTGGATGGCCAGAAAATGTATGGTCGCCTTCCACGGTTCCATACAATGACACCTTCCCGGTGCCTAAGGAGCTATCGAAGGCGCAGATTCAGGCCGTCGTCGTCGCATTTGTGGAATCTACGAAGAGAGCATTGAAAGCTGGCATTGACATCATTGAGATTCACAACGCACATGGTTATCTGCTTTTCTCTTTCTTGAGTCCTGTCAGCAACAAGCGCACGGATGAATACGGCGGGAGCTTCGAGAACCGCATCCGTCTAACTCTCGAGGTCGTAGATGCTATCCGTGAAGTCATCCCTGAAGACATGCCACTCTTCCTGAGGTAGGTTTCAGTCCATGATGTGTTCTTGCTCGATCTGATGCCTTGTAGGGTTTCTGCGACCGAATGGCTCGAAGAAGCCCTTCCAAATGAACCGTCCTGGCGTGTCGAAGATACCGTCAAACTCGCTGGTATTCTTGCTGAGCATGGCGTTGACTTCCTCGATGTCTCCAGCGGTGGTAGTCACCCGAAAGCCATCACGAAATCTGGTCCGGCATACCAAGCACCGTTCGCACAAGCTGTCAAGCAAGCTGTTGGGGACAAGCTTGTCGTTGGGTCTGTCGGCGCAATCACCGATGGCAAGATCGCCCAAGAAGTGCTTGACAAAGGTCAAGCTGATGTTGTCCTTGTTGGACGACAGTTCCAAAAGAACCCAGCAACTGTTTGGGCGTGAGTGTATATTCATCGTGAGATAAGTTAATTGATCTGACGACGCGTTGGCAGATTCGCGTCAGACCTTGGCGTCGCGATCAAGGTAGCTAACCAGATTGGTTGGGGCTTCGTAGGTCGGGGTGGTCAAAGTACTCAGAAGAAGGTGGACTGGAAATCGTAACGAGGGGCGGATAAGAATGTCGCGTATACCCGCATTTTGATATATCTTTGCTATTCGCGTGTTCTCGTTTTTGTGTTAGATGCGATATGATAAAATCTGTCCCACACTTCCGAAGTTCAGCAAGTTCGGGTGGTTAAAATCGGGAGCTGATAAGAGATGACTACGCCATGAGTGTACCTTGGAACCAGCATATCATGTAAAACCAAAAAAAAAAGTTAGTTATTGAAGCTTCAACGCGATCAGAGACGCCTTTTCCATAAATTTTCCATTCACGTTATGGAACTTATCACGATATCGGGACATAGCATAGCTCACAAACGACAAAACTAGGGAGCTGTATATAAGTGAAATATTTACATACGCGTGGACTTCGACGCTGACGACTAATCCTCCTTTCTACCCAGACACTGTTCGCAACCGACGCTCTCTCTTCAACTCCCGATCTTTGGTGAAAAAGTGTACCGCACGATGATATCCTTCCTCGAACGATTTGTTGTAGATCGGGTTTGTGACCAGGGTGCCATAGTCGTCTTCTTCGTCTCCGCTGTCCCCCTCTCCGTCTTCGCCAGCGAAGTGGAAAATTGGTGTGGGAGCTTCTGGGGTGAGTGGTTTCAGGAGTTCTTCTGGCGGTGGAACCTCATCATCTACGGATCCGGAGGGAGTTATCAACGGTGAAAGCGGTGCAGCCTGGCGGAGGGCTTGGTCACGCTGTACAAGACCAATGAGTAGCTCCCAGCGAGCATACCAGCTCATCTCCCAAGCGCGGTTAGTCTCCCATGCACAAGGCGGGGAACCTTTTGGAGTTCCAGGTAGTGGAGATCCATGATGAGCCCCAGTTTCCAGCGTTTTCTTCTCGAAAAGTGTTTCGTCATCAGCAACAAGGGTCATATCCTCATCACCGCATGTCGTTGAACCAGTCGAAGACTGCAGGCTCTCTGAAGATGCAGAACCTTGCATATGTTCGGAAATAGGGACAGCCCTTTGATGCATGTCAAACACGTAGAGCGTCTTGTGGATAGTCCACAGCGGAAACTTGAAGAAGCACCGGTCGACATTGGCAGAGTATGGATCACGGAGCGCGGAGATGTCGCCCACACGAGGGTAGATCGACGAGTTCAAGTCCTGGGCAAAGTCTCTCGATGCATACCCCTCAAAGTCACGCTCCAAGCCGGATGGAGGTGCGCGGAATTGCGATAGCGGCCCTGAGACTTCCTGAGCGCCTGAAAGCATGATGCCGGTATACGCGCCTCGAGGGTCTTGTGCGCATATACCGTGGTCTGCCCGCCGTTTCACTTCTTTGGCCTGCCATTCCAGCCATTCGTCATGGCGTGCTGTCCAGAAAGACTTTCGATGCAAAAAGGCACTCCGTGAAAATCCGTGGTGAGGATAGTTCAGCCGCTGCGTGTGGATACGTGACACAGGCGTAGGAATCTGCACCTTTGGCTCTTGTGAAAGCGTAGCATGGCGCACAGGCTCTGGTGCAAAAGGCTCTATGGTGACTGCCCGAAGTGGTGGTGGGGCGGATGGGGGCTCGTTTTCTAAGCTTGTCTGGGAATTTGTGCTGTGTTCATTCGCGTAAAGGATTGGCAGAGCAACGAAAGGCGCATCGTCGTCGTCGTCCTCCATGAACTTCGCACGTGCCTGGCCGCTACGAAAGAAGCCGCGTGTCCACTTGACCCTTGAAATCGGTGGTTCTGCGTCTACGTCTGATTCAGAGTAATTGAGAATGTCTTCTTCTTCATGAAAGAAGTCGAGTCTACTAGGAGAGCGTGGCGGAGAGATCAAAGTGTCTGGCTCTTCAGATAGAGAGAGCTCTGTGTATGAATCGTGTATCACGTCCTCTGGAACTTCCGGGGCAACGTGCACGCCAGAGAAATGAGGCATTGCTGTAATTAGGATATGAGAATAGCAATTGACTTGCAAGGATGGCGGAGGAATAGCAGATGTGAAAATAGTCTTCGGTTGCGGGTTGTTAGCTGTTGGGCTGGCGAAGGAAGTGTGATGTACTTATCATGTCGGCGTCGCGTCGTGTACAAACAGACATACACAAAGGACGCGATGTGCTCACGTGAATTGAAGTCACTCAATACATTTCGTGGACATCCAGTGGACACGCTGAAACTTTAGACATGCACTCGCTACTAAGTATTAGCCACAGGGCATGGCGTAATGGAAGTTTATCTCTCATAATCTCGTGGTTTAAAAAGGTCTTTGACCGCGGATATTTGGAATGTGAAGTGACGAGACAGGTAAGAAGCTCTCTTTCTATCTGACAGCGCTTGAAATGTTCGGCAGCGAGCAGTCGTATGACCTGACTCCAAATTGCGAACTGTAGAAGATTTTGCATGGCGAGTGCCTTGGAGTCCCTGGTGTACTGAAGGTGGGTACTTCATACCCAGCCATGACTAACACATCCTCGCATGTGGGGTGCGCAGCGCAGTGCGTTGCAAGTATTTGTTGGTTGGGTTTTGCGGGTCCAAGATGTACCAGTGAATATTTGGTAGCACCCCGACTCCTTCGCAAGGGACGTATTCACGGACTACACAATTGAGGGGCGGACGATCACTTTTATTTCGAGTGTCAGGTAACGAGTCGCATGGCATTTTTTTAGTCACCGTTACTTTTCTGCTAGAGCGCGGATGCCGCTATGGGGCCTGCAGGAGGTACGAGGCTATTGAATGCAACCGCGACTCTAACGGACATTACATGGATCGTTGCGAGCATCATCAATGTCTCGAGGACGCCGACGTCTGTTGTGTCTTCTAGGCCATGTAGCGTTACACCATATCATACAGGTACAATTGGAAGAATTGAAGCGGCATGAGGAAGCGTCCGGGATACCACAAATTGTGCTACTTACACGAATGGTGAAAAACGATATGATAGTCAAAAGCACGCAAAACGTACACCCATCAGGTCGGTCATATAGACAAACTTGGGACTTCTGTATCTTTCTCTTTCTCAACTTCCTCCAGTTTCTCTTCATGACCTTGAAGGACCTCCTCATCGCCCGACTTCAGCTCCGCATTTCCACCACGCACCAGCCCAACTTTCACCTTCCTCATCTTGTCCACACGCTCGGAGGTGGGCGCTGCATAACCAGCGAGGCACGAGACCAAGCCCGGTCTCCTTCCTTCGTTAAAATCGGGCGCAGAGATGGTTTGGATAAGCGCCTGCGTTTCAACACTGTGCACTTCGATTGTGCCGTTTGGAAGAAGTGTCGTTAGGTAGGGATAGTCGAGGCCTAGGTAAATTCATTCGTAGTTATTAGTCTTAGAACTTCGCGAGGGAAGCACAACGACGAGACAAGTCACGAATGTGAACGAGAAAAACATTCAAGAACTGATGGAAGTGATTTATACATCGCTCAGAAAGTCGACAAGTGTTGGCGAGCCAGAGGAGCTGAAGCAGCAAGACGAAATGAAGTTCGTATAAGAGATGACACTTACAAATGGACACCGGATGCGCTGGCCACTGAAGTGTTCCACGCGTAGGATCACCCTCACCGGTAATGAACACACCAAGTGTGCTCCCGCCCGTCCAGCTCAGTATAAGGAACTCAGACGGAGATATCACGAGGATATGTGGTTTAATCGTACTTTCAGCCGCGAGGACAAGGTCAGGGTCAGTCAGAGTCAATAAGGAGACAGATAATGTCTTACCCCTCTGTGCCTTGGACCTGGGTCACCGGGAGTAGCTCAAACATCTGCGCGCTCGCAAGATCGATTATACTGTAAAGATCTGCGGTTGCAATGCACAGATGATGCCCTGAACGCCGAGCACGGGGAGCTTCAGTTCGGAAGGGAATATCCTACGGGCGAACGGACGTCAACTGAACAGAAAAAGAATGAAAGTGTAAAAGAACAATGAAACCAACCTTCGTATATGTTAACTTCTCCTCGCCCAAGCTAAACATTGCGATATTGTTGCGCTTTATCACGCACATCTCGATAGCATCATTTTTCCCTCGGTCGGTAGGAAAATTTGTTGACATGGAAGTGGCTCTGGTGGTAAGGGAGGTGGCGGCGGGGCGCTGAAGATGATTATGGTCGACTGCGAGAGCTTCAACATGGCGGATGGGTTTGATGTTCGGAACGAGATCAAGCGAAGGGAGGGTATATATGTGAACTTGGCGATCTGCAAAGGTATATCAATATGTGCTCGGGGATTTACGCAGATGTCAAGAAAAAGTATGACGTAGTGCAGACAGCATCTTAAAGTTTTACGACGCAATAAGCCGTACACCATAAACCAAGCACTCAAACATGAAGATTATGCTACGCACCACATAATATTAACGCCCTGGCAATGCAGGGTACGAGGATGAGCTCGTCGATCTGCTTGCCCGAAGGGAGGCTTTGTTGCGAGAGGAGAGTGTAAGTGGCTAGCTGGGCTAGGTTAGCGTGGTGTCGCAGATTTGAGTAAGGAGAGTAGCGAGATAAGACAAAAGAACAACTGAGAGTTGAAAATAGAAAAATCATAACATCTGAAGGATAATGAAAGGATGTTGCACACATTGACACCGACCTTAGTGGGATCTGCGTCTGGATGGATAGAGTAGCGCAGGAGCTCGCCATTCGAGCAGCCTACGTATATTTCGGTCCCTGCACTTGGCGTTAGCACTGGTTCTTGAATCTAGATTAATGATTAGGGAGACCAAGGAGGTTGAACGCAAGAAAATGGTCGTCTATGGCTATGGTCGTTCACGCACCAAAGGCCTGCGCGCAAGTGACAGTCCCCGCAGTGATGCTAGGGATGAGTGGTTGGAGGAGGTAGGGCGGCACGTCAAGCGGATTGGCCATGTCGCTGAATATTCACAGTCGAATACTAATTACGATGAATGACTCAGATGAACCAAAATGATTGGCTGACTACACCTTTCAGCCTAAATTCCTTGTAATCACACCTCTTTGATCAGTCACACTAACATCATTGTTCGGGTAAGTTTTGCTATGTACAACCTCACTACATACAACCTCAAAATCGAGCTAAGTACCTTTGTCCATGCTTTGACTGAATCATGGCGCCGCTACAGTCTTAATCTTTGTCTGTTCGTTTCCTGAAAGTATTTAAGCAGAGTGGTCTCGACAATGTGTCACTTATTCAGTAAGCTCTGAATCACATCTTTTTTTGGAACTCTACTACTCTCAAGACTCAGGCTACTACTCGTTATCGTGTTTGGCAACCGACTTAAGCTTCGGTTAGTTCTTCGAGTCCCAACCTATTAGACGACGGACCAAGCTCAGAGCTGAGAAGGAAATGAGACGCAAAACAGGGTTACTGTCTCTTCCCGAAGAACTCCGGTCTTATATTCTGAGCTTCCTTCCTTGGCGAGATATTCTTCGTTGTACATCCGTGAGCCGCTATCAAATTACTGATCGGTGTTGATCGTCTTAGATAAACTTTGATACTGACGATCATTTGGCAGCTATGTAAGGCCCTTCGTCAGACATACATGTCATCTTCCGAGCTTCAGTACATCACTGAACTCGGTGGCCAACAACTGCTCCCTGTATCCAACAACTACATTTGTGTTTCTAAGCGTCTACAACTCCTGAGGGACAAAGCCTACGCATGGTTCAAGTTTGACATCGAGCGCTCTTTTAAAACAATCTCTATACAAAAACAATTCTATGAAACAACAAAAACGTTCATCGCCGATGGGCATGCCTGCTTCTGGAACCCATTTATAGAGTCGGTCAAGATCTTTCCAATACTACCGAAGCCCTCACAGCAAACTATCGAGCGTGATTTCTCTCCGGGATCGCTTTGCTCAGTTCCTAACCAAAACAACATCGATATCTATATGGACCCAGCGCAAAACCTACTCGCCATCGTCTATGCCATTAGAGATGATAGTTTCCCGTCTGATGAGAAGTTCTATATCGACCTTGTGACCCTGGATGGAGATGGTACCCACCCGCAAGCTGCGGGACGGACACTGTTTCTGTCCGAGTTGTGCCTGCCTGATAACTTTCTAACACAGAGTTTGAAACTCGCGGTTTTTGGGAGGCATATCGCTTTCCGGCGCACCCTACCATTGTTTGATGAAACAGACGAGCCTTTATTTAAGTCTATATGGTGGTTGCAGATTTGGGACTGGCAACACTCGACGACGTCCAATGTGAGCCTTAGTCAGAATCACTTGATAGACTTAACAGTTGACACTCGATCTAGAGTGTCCTCAGTAGCCCAATAACAAATCAAGATTCTTACTATCCAATGGACTTTTGTTTTCTCGGAAACGACAGATTTTTGATTGTCAGCGACAGTTTAAAGCTCTATTCAATTGAGGATATGTCCCGGGAACCGCAATTACTGGCGTCGTTCATGTTGCCTGTATCAACGATGGACATACGGTGCTTCACTCCGACGAACGATATCGCACGTAGCTCATACCCGCAGATACAAGCGATGTGGACGTCAGATCCTAAAAATCGACTATTAGCCCTTGTCATCCCTTCAAGTCTCGACTTCGTCGTTTCCACCAGGATTTTCTTCGAGCCTGACTTCCAAGGAATTACAGTGCCAATACCATGGGAAGATTGGGGTCCTTCAAATACTCGTGTTTTCCCGCACGAATTTCCATGCAGACTTGGTGTCAGTGGGAACAGAGCCCTGTACGCATTCCCTGCAGCCGGCGCGGCATTAGATGCATTCGATATTGCCGCGGAGTACAGGTTGCATTTGATGGACTTCAGCCCATTAGCTGTTAAGCACTACCAGCAAGGCCTAGGAAGATTGGTAAATGAGCCGTCTACGGTAGAAACCAGCCAGTCAAGACAGACTCTAACAACATCCTTGCCCTATGTCGAGTTCGTTTCGAATAGAGGGTTCAGTTATGGCGAGGTCATCGAGATATGGCTCGATAAAGACAAGATTTACTTGTTCAAGGAAAACATCGACACAGTAGGTTCTTCCTATTTCCCAAGGAAGTGCGACGTAGTCATTGTTTATCCAGAATAAGTTGGATGAGCTAGAGGTCATTGAGATTTAGAGTAGACGGTGTATGATACAGCTAAATCTGAATCGTTGGCCTTCAAGTCGAGACCTCAATATCAACGAAATTTGCAAGATAGCGATGTAAGCGAAACAAGAACTATTGACACAAAGCAGAGGCCTTCAAAATTTCGTATAGAGAGTATTACTTATGTCCAGAAAGCCCATCACCTCAGTTTGGTATAAATATGTGTGAGATAGTGATGACTTTAGAGTGTCCATTGAATGTTAACCCACCATAACACGGAAGGCTATGCGGGCGCAAAGTGCAGACAATCAAGCTCTCGTGCATGAGCGAAAAACGAGCGCACCACCGCCATAATCCTTCTGTGCAGATCCTTGATCCACTTCGCTGCCGTAAGCACGCTGCCAGATAAGTGCCCACACTCCGTGCTGAAATTTGAATCTCCCAACGTGTAACAAGACCACGCAACAAGCACCAACACAGTAAGCGCTGCGACACCCACAGGGACAGAGGGAACCGCACCCGAATGACTGAAACATTCAGTGAAAAAAGCGAGCACGAAAAATATCATACTATCAGCAGTAGTGAGTAACTTTGAATTTGACAAGGGAAAGTGTGATCGGACGTACCCCCACATAAGTAGCGCGTACGGAAGGCTGTATATGATTGCAAGCGTTTCGAGGCCATGCTTGGGGTGCACTAAACTCTCCAGGTGCGCTTGCTAAATTGAATTCATTGTTGAAGACGGCAACTAAGTTACTCGTTCAAAAGACGCACCGCGTTATCAACCATATCTGGACCTTGAGCGTAGCTTTGTCTCGCGAGCTTCACACCGAGTAGCATGCTCCCAAAGCTTGATATCACAGACACATAGCTCGCGACCTGTGACAAGGAAGATCCGGCACCACTATCGACGTCCTTAATCCCCAAAAACCCAACATTCACACTCAAGAGCACCGTCGCCTGATCACTGACATGTCAACCTAACTCACGGTCGCTAAAGGGGAGGAGCTTACGAGCAAATTGAAATCCTGCATCTCAGCATTCAGCTTCTGAACGAAGGTGCGCCAGTCGATGTAATTGACAATAGAGTCAACGTAGAGTTTGTGAAGAGAGTAGACGTGCTCGTAGGGGGCATTGAAGAGCAAGGGTGCAAGACATGTTATCATAATGGAACGCTGCTCGTAGGTGTCGCCGTGTACAGTCTGGTCACGAGAGAGCCGCGCACCCTTCTGCCCATAGTAATTGAGGTATTGACAGTGTTCTGGTGCATGATGTGGTAAACATACTCAACAAGAATCAGGCCACGTACTAAAATGATTCATCATCCTGGCTGAGGGTTACACAGTCATCAGTGTCGATTTACCAACACAGGACATGAATATTTACCAATGAAACATTTATCATATGCCGATTGAATGCAATTGTCCTCCACTTGATATGCGATGAGTTTCATCATCTCGGGAGTTGGTGTGACCTACCGTCCACATCTTTGATTAGGTCCAGAGTATTCTTGAGGACATCCATGCTCAAAGCACAAACCGCCGACACCTCAGAGGTCATGCAATCTGAAGTGTGGAATGGAGCTTTCGTATAAGATCCGCGTGGTAAAATTCTTACCACTTATCGCAAAACGGATTATCTGCTGCAATTCTCGAAGGACCTGAGAGTCGAGAGCACTTGCGTGAGGAAACAGATCGATGTGCTTCCTACTCGTGTGAGCAGGCACCATGCCTCGACTGAGTTGATCAATACAATAAATTTTGGTGCATGCAATTGAGTTTACTCACAAGCTGCTGTAGTGCGTACCAGTACTGGGCCTCCAACTCGATTCCTGCATATGTTCATCAGACACGGCAAAAAATGAGCACACCCAACAACCGACGCTTATGAGAAAGTTCAGTGACCCCACTACATTCCCGCAAGATGACAGTGGCATCGAAGTTCTGCAGCCAGAATAGACATCTATTATCGCGGTGCACGAAGTAATACCCTCCTGTAATGGTTTCCCCCTCATCCATAAGTTCCACAACGAGGTCCACGTTCACCGGAAAAGAAGAATAGTGACAAGCACGGTCATAGGCAAGCTTTGCCAGGTTCTCGATTGTCTCAGCAACCCCGTTACGAGCGAGATCTGCCTGAGTCATAACGCGAATTTTCCGTGAATACTCGTCAAAATCCACCACGCTCTCATAACAGTAGTAGAGGCAGCCTTCAGGATGAACATGCACTTCCCATGCAGGAGGAACTGGTCTCCTAAAACATATACATAAGATACTACAGTGGCGATATGAAATGTGTTACTTGATAGGATCCGTGATCATTGGCGGGATGTTGTAATCCCTAGTGTTTCTCGGGCTGTGTCAGCAGTCAGATATGGTCTACCATCTTCAGCGCCGACCTACATAGTATCTCTGTTGCCTGTGTATCTCTGTGCTTGAACTCCATCGGCGGACATGGGGCTGAGGCTGAAACACCCATCAGAAGATGATATAACATTGCGAACGCCGGATTCATTGACTGGGCTAGGTCTACCTGACTGGTGGAACGTTGGAAGACTAGAGGACATGTTGTGTGACGACTAGCTGCTCAGCACTCAGCATTAAACCCGGAGGCACCCGGGCCAAATGCTGTATACTTTGAGTTCCATAGTTTCGGAATTTTGATGCAGGATTGAACTGGGTTGTCCGATCAGATCTGGGCTTGGACCTGTTTTTGCACGTTGAGGTGGCAGATAGAAGTAGATAGTGGCAGTACTTCATCTGTGAGAGGCCTCTCTTTACGTTGACAATTTGAAGCTTTCCCTAGCTTATTTAAGCGAGCGCTCTCATTGGTGGAGATGACTAGAAGTCCGAGACTATACCAAACAGGGATCGTTCAACGATAGTTTTTCGACGGGTCCAAACACTGATGGGCCCAGTCACGGTGGGCGAGCTTCTGCCGCAAGCTCTTGCCAAGTGACCGCCCAACCAAATTTCAGCATCATTGCATCCGGGTACGACCCTACTAATACGGTTCAAGAACAATGGCTGCACAGCTCCACAATTTACGGTCACCGTAATCTCAAGCTGGCGTCTACAGCCAGTCTGCCAGATCCGGGCCAGTCGCAGATTAAAGATGCGAGAAGTCATTGTTGCATTTCTATACTGCGCTGCATCTCGGTTGTGTTCTAAGTAAGCACCAAACTTGATTCTATAAATCATGCACTCACGAAAGCACGCATTGCAGTACACCGTGGCCCCGCAGTGCATGAAGCAGGATGCTTCAAGTTGCGCCAATCGGAAAGCTCGTGTTGATGATTTGCCTGATCATCGTACATCTCCTCATCATTAGTGAGGTATCATCCGTCGAGGTTCCGGATGTATACAAGGCACTTCTCAGTCATTTTGGATTGACTGCAGCTGCCTTTCTACGGATCGAATCATACATAATGTTGGGGTTAATCTGCTTTGTTACATCACTCCATGCGGCAGACCTTCTACTCGAACGTAAGTCCCTCTTTCCTATGCTTATGATCATTTCGTCAGGCTCAGGTTACTACGCAGGCGTCGTATCGCATCATCCTACAATTCATGAAAACCTTTGTAGATGGCTGTCTTCAGGAGCTCCGTGGCTTGCTTTAGGAAGTCAATGGATGTTCTGTGTTACGCGTGAGGCGATAGACATCCAGCTGATGTCTCGAGCTTCAAGTTGGTGGATATTCCTACCGCAGATGAGTTGGGTGAGAGACATCTAAGTCCCCTTGGCCTCACAAGTTTGGTCGATATGCCGCAACTGGGAAGAGGTGGTAGACCTCTCGTCTGGCTCCGCTTGTCAAGCTCTGTGCTGCGTAGATGACATGCAACATTGTAGTCCAGCTGCGAGTCGGCGAGGCGACTGGTCGTCGAAGACCACGCACCCCGAGTCGACAACATGTGTCATATCCCCAAGGGTAGGTCACATTTTATCTCGCTCGCTTAATGTCCTTGACGTCCTTTTTACAAAAGAGCCCCATCTGTGATCTGAGAGTGGAGAGTTATAAAGAATACCGCCTGAACTGCAAATACCGCAGACCCGTACACAAGCCAGAAAGATGGCAATCACCATATGCTACAGCGAAAAGCCGCCGCCACCGCATGTGCTCTCCGTACGACCACCCCCTTGCGGACGCCCAACCCGTCCAATAAAGGGCAGTACAATAGAAAAACCAACAGGGCAGAACTTTTCATAGTATCTCCCGTAGGTTTGTTTTCAGCATCTTTTTATTTATTTGTCTCCTTGTATGTGTGGACTCTAAACCCAGTTACACGTCTGAAATAGTATACCCTCGACGATGTCGTCTGTGGAGCCTATAATAGCACCTAGTTCCATATAACACATGTATGTAATTTGAAAAGAACGCATATACGACTACATCTACCTTTGTTGGTTCTGGGCTCATCAAGTTGTTAGCAGCTACCTGAACTTCCTCGGGGATTCCAGATACTCTGGCGACGTGAATTATGCCGTATTTCCCTCGCACACAACAAGTTCCCGCATCGTTGGGTTTGCCATACTTGACTTTATAATCTTTGCACTCCGAGTTGTTGGAACCTTAAGCTCACTCTATCCTTAAGCACACTTTAAAACATGAACATATGGACATGGTACCGGGCAATTAAAAAAATGCGACCAGGTATGTAAATACCTCGATGGCTCAAAAGAATCATCGCGCAAGTACGGCCGAACAGCAGTACACAAGCAGAATTAGTGAGAAAGTACGGAGTTACTTAAGGTTGGGAGAATGGCACTTTCATCGAACGGAACATTTGGCATGCCATCTATATTTACCCCAATTTCTACCGGCGAGACGCATGCTCCGCACATGCCATGCATGCGCAAACCGTTGGAACGGTTCAGTTTCCGATGACCCACGGGCTCCCACGGGTTCCATGGAGTTTCGTAGGGAACAAGAACACCCACATAAATGATGTTTGATATTGCGGCCATAAGTAGCCCCTGGTCGTCGTAGAATAAGTGCTCGATAGCCGGGATGAACACGTTCCATGTGTTTATGGTTTCGCCCTCGAAGAACTCGGATGTTTCGTCGTACAACTGTTGTGTTACGTGTATGAGCACGACGAATGGGTTCGAAGGCAGAGCAGTGCACAAATACAAACTGACACGAGCGTAGCGTGTCGCGAAAATGACGATATGGTGCCTCTCGTGTCAAGCTGCAAGGAACAGGCACATAATTGGTAGAAGAGAATGTGCTGGACACCAATATGTATAGGTATTTCGCTGTATTCCGACAAATGACGAGCAGGGAGAAGAAGAGATCAATATCCATATAGCCAATGATACAGTGACCTTGCTGGCGGGACATGACCAGATGTGAGGTGGAACTTTTTGCAAGACATCGTTGAGCATACGCGAGGAGCAGCACTGGGCACGTAATGGAGGTGGCAGGTCGGAGGGAGGCCCGTCAGATCTTCAGAGGTGATAAGATATTCATGAGTTGGGTCCTGGTGCGCAGCGGAGAAAGAACGGTAGTTCTGAGAGGTGTGGGAGCAGACACGCTCACCTACATCTCACTCAGTGCTACATACTCAATTCAACTGTTGTGGAGTCACTCAAACCTAGAATACGAGCCGGAGCTTCAGTTCTTTAGTTAATCAGCGGTGATGGTATCAGTGGGGGCCCGGGGCGTCCTCAGGATCGTTCGCACAGAAACTTTGAATCTTTCCTGGTTGGTGACGACGTGCCGCAAAACTCATGTACAGGCGAGTCCGTCACATCATGCATATTATGCATCGTACATCATGACCCTTTATGACCTCCCCCAAGCTTATGAGTTCTGAACTTTGAAATGTCAAGGATTCCCTGCTTCCTCGGGGGGCTATGCCAATCACCTAATATGAATGTGCAGCCAACGTATCGGCGCTCTGCCAGGCCGTGATGGCATCACAAAGAAGTTGATCTTAACCGAAAATCATGCGTTATAGCTCTATAGCCTCACTGCGGGATATATAGTAAGAGAGAACTACTGCGTTGCTGACAAAATTTCCTTGTCAACAATGTCTTCTTCAACGCAGGGTGTCATCCCACAACTCAACCTCGGGAATACGTATGGGGCACTTTTTATCGGGGTTATCTTTGCAACGATGTTAGTCCACCATTTTCTCACCAGTATGCAGTCGAAACTGAGCGTTTCCCGTCGTCGTAACTTAATATCACGGAACAGCCTATTTGGCGTAACAAATGTTCAAGTTTTCATCTACTTTCAGACACATAGGCACAGGGATGACATTCTATAAGCTGGTTGTACGTCTATGTTATCTTCTTAGTTCTATTCTTAAAATTGTTTCAGGTGATCTGGCTTTGGTAGGAATCACTTCGAGTTGCAATTATCGAGCATGTCGAGATCACGCATTTACACCCTGCCATTTTAGGACACTTGATGCTCTGCACTTGGCCTTGATCGTCCATTGCGTCTATTATTATTTAGTGACCAACTACGCGAACATTGCTGCACTCCCGGAAGTTGTATGGAGTGCCAAAGTGAGTTACTACTTCGGTCCTCCGAGTAGCCTCTCCTAGCATATTGATGAACTCGTGCAGCTTCAGGTCATAGTCGACGTAAGTCGTAATTCCTAAGCTCCGTGATCCGTCCTAGACATGCACTTCACAGATGCTCGTCATTTGGGGGGTACATATGTACGTTCGATGTGTGCGGTGTTATGTGCAACACGTAATGCTGTCTTTGTTCGTAGCCTATATGTTCATCGCATATGGATAGGTATTTGTTCACCCAACGAATGCATTTGCCACGACTAATGTGATGAACGTAGTCAGCAAGGGCCGATCAAGAACTCTCCCTATAACAGTGGTGGGTTTACGATTGGTATTCACATAATATGTCATTTCATTCTGTCGATCCACTATTGTGTAGGGCATAATTGTGGTCCTGGCTTCAGGTGGGTCTGTCACCTAGAAACGCTCCTCGCTCGGTCTTGAAAAAAAATCTTCAGGTGTTGGCACCGGTGAGGACGGCTCACATGTTACTCTTGTTGCTGGTTCATATTTTTTTACCCAATAACAGCCCTTCTTTGGGGAACGTGAGCGAAACAGCATACCCCGTAACTCTACGAAGTGCTGATAGCGAGTAGATATCAAACCCACATGTTCGTGGATTTACTTAAAATTGAATGGGCGACATACTCGACGTTAGGCACGATTTTCTTGATTGATGTTCTTATTGCATCATCACTATGCTATCTCCTCGCTACCTCCCGTACTGGGTTCCCCAGGTAAGGCATGGTCCTTCCCCTGTCGGGACCTGACACACTAACGTGGAGTACTTAGCACCGATTCCTTCTTAACAAAACTCATGGGTTACACCATCTATACCGGCTTTGTGACAAGGTATTCTTCTTCCAGTGACTTCCACCTACTTCTACCTTGACTTATATTCTGTACAGTGTATTCTCATTGATAGCTATCATCACAGTGAGGTTCCAATCATTGTAATGTCTGTCTCGTCTCTAAGGGTCTTACACAGTGCGCAGCGATGCCGAAGACCTTCATCTTCCTCGGTGTTGAATTTTTAGTGGCAAAATGTATGAGCAAAGCATTCTCTCAGAACTGTCCTAACCAGTGGTACCGTTTCCAGTATTTGTCAATTCATACATCGCACTCCTGAACGCACGATACTACCTACAGGCCAACGCAGACAATATTGATTCTTCCGAGTTCCACAACCGCCACGGCGTGTACCGCCCGGAGCTGTGCATGGGCGCGTCACAAGACGAGAGCTTTCATGCACCTCAGAAGAATGTATTTAAACAACCCGACGATGATGTGCTACGTATCACTCGACCCGTTGAGGCTACCATGGTTGGTAGTTGCATTAATGTTGATGGAAATGGGCTAAATGACACTTTACCACAGCGGCCGATTGAGACGGCGATGGAAATGGATTATTTCTCATCAGTGTGATTGATTAGTATCATACGCATGGATCGTTGCATGCTTGTCTCGTCACGGGACAGGACTCGCAAATAACTTATGAGCTCTCTGTAAGTTATCGCAATGCTGGGAACGAGAGGAATTGATCCACCATGTGCTTCCTAATTCGCTGCAAGAGGAGTCGTTATGTCCAAAACAGTGGCAGGTCTCGGGCAACATGACTTGTTACTACAGCCAATTTGCCTGACGAGTGCAACTACTGACCAACAGGGCAACCCAAAGAATGGCAATATTACCCGACTCTGAGCCTCGATATGCTAAGTGCTGGCTAGTGACTTTTACCAGTGCTAGACATGCGACTAAATAGCAGCGCCAAGCATTGAATGAAGGCACGTGAAGTCCGAAGAAGTTGACCAGGAGAAGGATCTAGAAGGACGTCTTGAAAGAAACTTATCTCGACAAACTCTCCACAAGCAGAGTGATGAACTTCATGCACATGGTCCAATGCAACCACCAAGGGCCAACCCGGCCCAGCTGCTCGGTGTCAGGTTCAGAAGCGCCCATGCTGTAAATTCTTCTGCTGCGGAAATTCGGAATGATTCGAACCCCTTCCCATGTGCCTGACTGCGTTTGCTTATGACACCACAGTACTCAGTACTCACTGTCAGGCAGGGTCGCACACCTTCGCAGAAGAAATGTATGTTAATATGAGTCATACATTTTGAGACACTTTCCAGTGCGCTCTTGGCGTCTATCCCCCCGCACGCGAGGCAAACAACAAGGAGCTCCTCGAATATCGGCGGCGCAGCGACTACGTAAAGTATGTATTACTCAAAAGTTGTACTTGAATTTGAGCCTCATAATGCATCCAGGGACGACCCTATGCACATATGAAGACTTGCAGTCAGCGTATAAATAAGGGCCGTAATACGGTTCAAGATCGGGGGCTGCGCAGCTCCGATTTTCGACGCACAGCCAGCTGCAGTCTCAGATAGCATAAATATGCTCAACGGCCATCATTGCGTTTCCATACCGCGCTGAATCTCGGTTGTGTTCTGGGTAAGCATCAAACACTTGACTCTATAAATCATGTACTCACAAGAGTATCCATTGCGGCCCTGCAGTTTATAGAGCAGGATGATTGAATTGGCTGACCGAGCTATACTGACACTTCGTAATATTACCGATACTCTAGAGGAATGTCGTGATCACCACATGTCTCTCCATTATCCCTTCGCATCTCCTATGAAATCCAAGTTGATCTTCGATCTCGCGCCACTTTCCAGTGGAAACCGTACCATTCTGTCAAGCTCTGGTGATAGCCTACTCGAACGTCAGTCCTCTTTGCTATACTTGCAGTCATTCTGTCAGGCTCAGGTTACCCCACAGGTGTTGACGCACATCGTTCTACAAGTCCAATTCACCGATTGATGGACTGTAACTGGCAAGAGGTGTCAGACCTCTCGCCAGACCTTGCTTGCAAAGATCTGTGTTGCGCGGATGACTTACATCCTCTTAGTCACTCGTCGCCGAAGACCACGCACCTCGAGCTGACAAGGTATGACAGTGAGTTCAGAGCATACAGTTTGGTAGGTCACATTTCATCACGCTTGTCCCGTTTTTAACGTCCCCTTTTCAGATGGGCTTGTTCTGTCAGGGAGTAGAGATAAAATATGAATACAGCCGACCCGCACGCGAGCCACTAGCAGAAATATGGCAATCACCAAACATTGCAGGAAAAATCACCCGCCGCCGCCGCCGCCGCCGCACGGTGCTTGTCCCATTCTTAACGTCCGTTTTGCAGAAGGACCCCAGAGTGGAGATGAGCTGCAAATACCGCCGACCCGCACGCAAGCGATACGTTGTAAGAAATATCACCTGCCGCCGCGTACGCTCTCTCGCAGTAAGGGTAGGTCATATTTAGTCATACCAAGTTGCCCCGTTCTTGACGTCCTTTGTGCAGAAGGACCTCTTCTGTGATCCAAGAGTAGAGAGGTATCGAGTAAAATTAACCACCAACTGAATTGCAAACACCGCGGACCTGCACACAAGCCATAAAGATGGCAATCAACATACATTCCAGGAAAAATCACCCGCCACCACATTGCGGACGCCCAATCCGCTTAATAAAGCCAACACAACGGAAAAACCAACAGGGCAGATTCCAGAACTTTTCATAGTCCAACCCGTAGGCTTTTTTCTCATCTTTCTATTCATCGATCTCCTATGTGCGAACTCTGAACAGAGTTTAGAATTACGTGTACCAATAGTCGTTATACCCTGTACCATAGTCCCTGTAGTCTTCGTTGGCTCTGCATCGCTTAGTGCATACTCTATTGCCTATAACACATGAACATCATGAGTTTCAAAAAAGAACGTGTACATCTATTCAAATTCACCCTTATTCTGGACTTGCCAGCGGCCAGTGGAACTCTAGGGGTTCCAGATGGGCCACCTGAGCGTACAAGACATTGGCTGCTCTGGCAACATGATGTTTTCCCAGCACAGGACAAGTTGTTCCGTAGCGTTGGGTCTCTGACCTTGACTTTATATTCTGGCTTGATTTTGACCTCGCGCTGGTTAGAAATTAGAACCTTGAGCGCGGTTTATCACACACATGGACGGGTGAACATACCACAATGCAATTAACTATAACATTGCCAAGACGGTATTCCAATGCGACCAGGTTGATCCCGATACGGGCGGTCGCCAGTTAACTGCGCATTCACCCATCGACCCACCTGTTAGGCGTATGTTCTCAGACGCAAATACTGTCATACTTGGCGGGCCACGACACCCGAGGCGCATCACGGACGGGGGTTTCCGGTATCAATCGAATTAGACTATGTAAGATGCGGCACTTACCCATGTGCTCTCGTTTTTGGGAGTCTGATATCTCTCTTCAGAACTCTTTTGTGGTCATCCACTCACGTCACTAGCAAGGCGCCAGGATAGATTTGGTTTGCTGCACAACCTTTATTGGTAGAAGGGTAGTCACCTGCAGTCGACTCTGACGTCAACCCGCGGTGTTTGAGGCCTCGTGTGCGAATATCAAGGCCTTAGGCCTTAGGATCCAGACCGTCCAATGCCGTCCAATGACGATACTCGCTAATTTACTCTCCAGAGCTCCAAGTCCCAACGTCCTGGAAATGATGTCTTGGTAATGGCTCATCTTCGTTGATAGATGCCAGAAAACCCAGCGTATCGACTGAGATCGATATGGATTAGATGGATCCTACCAAGCCCAGAGGATAGGCACCAGGGATATTTTAGTGTGAGAGTTTCAAGTGCAAGAGCGTCAAAACTGAAGATGATGGGGCTGGAAAGGGAAAGGCGGAGCGGTCCTTATGTTACTACGCTGTACTACGTAATAAGAGGAGCGGAGCGCAGCGGTTATTATCCAAGTCATGTACCACATGAGCCGTCCCGGCCTACAAGTTCTTATCACCCTGCCATCGTGCCTAGCGCTAGACCTCATTCTGTTTTAACTCAAACTGTTACCTGGATATTCAACGCGAAGCTCGAATCTGTGAAATACTGATTAGTATGGCACAACGGAGAGCATCCATCTCGAGGACCACGCGTGTACGGAGCCCAACAGTCGCTGTAACCGCGGATGTCCCTGCGGCAGAGGCGGAGAAGTGGGTCGGGCAGTGGGCACGTGTATTGGCTAGGGGTGCGTCTAGGTCTATAGCAACGCGTTCCATCTCTGCTCCCAATTCTGTGCCAGAATGCTGACGGATTCATACAGACTTAATCGATGTGCGCATAGTCGAAGTAGACGCAGACATGTCCGTCGAGGATGCGTGCGATGTGAGTTCAGCGCTGCGCTCGGTAAGTACTCGCGCTGACTCTCCCTCTAGCTCCTTCTGCAAGAAGACATTCCGTGTCTCGCTGTCCGCGCTCTTCCAGAGTCAGCAGATGCGCCTTATCTTGGGCTCTTTGACGTGCGTTGTTATTTGGTTAGTTCCATCACCTCGTCCAAGCTAACTTGTATCCCCCTCTATACCACACGGATCATCACTATGTTATGCTATTGCGCAATAATGTTCATTCGGAAACATGCACATAGTTCTCAGATGTGAACGCCTTCCTCACGCTTGCAGCGACACGACACACGATCCCACCCGCAGAGCTTCGTGCGAACTCGCGTGCCGACCAGATCATGAATGCAGCGCGCGAAGGAAGTGTACCCGTGCACCTTGTTAGCAGTATGTGTCGAGCTTTCTTCATCATATTTCAATGTCGTGTTTTATGACCTGAATCTCTTATTCTACGCCACGAATTTTGACTCTGTATCTTTGGCTTCTTCCCATTTTCTCTCGATATTGACGTCCCTTTCGCTCGCAGACCTCTCGGAGAAGAACTACCTGGAGACTCTTCCGAATGACGCCAACCTTATTTCACTGCTTGGCGTTTTTGCGAAGGGAACCCATAGGGGTGAGTCTCTTGTTTACCTACTTGTTTCTTCACTACTGACGCCATCCCCGCTGGTTCTATTCTTGTGACGTCTCTGAATCATGTAGTGCTTGTCGAAGCCACCCCACCCATCGCTCCCGCAGAGGGTAACACTGTTCCCGAGGCAATAACAGCAAGGACCGCCTACCTCGGTGCAGTCTCCGACCGTGCTTTGCTGGCGTACTTCGCCAACTTTGCCGCGCAGCCGGACACTGCCGTACTCACCCATTCTCTGACACAGCGCCCACACTCACCTCGGCTATCGGCCTCCGTACAAGCATCCACACAGCTTTCCAAACCTTCTCAGTCGCCTAAGCTTGTATCAGCCCTGACAGCCTCCCGTCCTACCCAACCACAACCCCAGCACCCTCCCTCTACTTTCACGTTTGCAACGCTTCTTACGTGCCCCCTCCACTCACTTGCACTTCCGTCGCTTCAAATGTACGCGTCTGTTATAGCTGCTACAAGCTCTTCTACAGTGCTTGACGCGATGCGCCTGATGAGCGAGTGTGGTGTGAGCAGTGTAGCTGTTGTCGATGATGGCGCAGGAGGATACGGAGCTGGATATGTATCCTGGGGTGGGCTCACTGGAGCGGTCAGCGTCACTGATGTCGGAAAGGTATGTTTTCTTCGCTATCGCCGAAGTTTTGAATTTGATCAGTTTGTTTTCCACTTCCTTCACGATCTTACTTAAATATCTATAAATCACTACCATGCGCATACAGCTCGTCGTCCCCTCAGAGTCTAACCACATCCTCTCTGCGCCTTTGCACCAGTTTGTTGCGCAGATCAAGGAGCCGGATGGAAGCACGGATGGAGCAGACCGGTATCCTGGTTCGTACTTTTCCTCTCGTTTATTTTTTTTCATTCGACCACAGCACCTCCTTGTATGCTTTGCGGTTGATATTTGGGTAGTTTAGCTGACGTTGATGGGCTACACAGTATATGTCGTCCTCCCTACCAGCTCGCTCTCATATGCGATTCAGAAATTGCTTGCGAGTGCGTGATTTTTTGCTCCAGTTACAGAATTTGATGGACTAATTACCTGATATATTCCTCCCTCACATATCTCTCGTTGGCCATGTTTCCTTCAATGAATGATCAGCCAATGCACACCGGCTCTTCGTAACCGACTCTGACTTCGAGCCCAGCTCATCTCCTGGGACGCCCACGGGCGGCGGACTGTGCGGAATTGTCAGCATTGTCGATAGTGCGTGTTTCAGATTATTTTGCTTGTTTGCGGTCCTAATCTCGACCATATAGTTCTCTCTCTTTTCGCACGCATCGCCAACATCCCAAATGTTGATCCCACACAACGCATGCGGCACCGACGTGCCTCATCCTCGTCCTCATCTTCACACTCCTCGTCACGGGGCGTTGTGAAGGACCTATCACGCTCCGGGTCGCTCGCACACGCGCAAACACGGGATCTCTCACAATCCAGCAGAGATTATGCGCGCTCGAGGTCGAGTAGCAGGACGAGCATGCGTCTCAGCCCAAGCCCACGAATCATCCCAACTGCAGATGTGAGCAGTCCTCGTCTCGTTCCGAGTTTGGGGCTGGGAGACGTTAGGGATAGTCCGCGGATGGTGCCGACGCTTGGTGTTGGTGACAGAAACTCATTGGTGGGCTTAGATTTGGGGGAGCTTGTGGGACGGTGGGAGTGAGCGTGACGTATTGTGTGTTTTTCTATCTTTCTTTCTTTCTTTTCGTGGTTTGTTCGACGTTCGTCGTGTAGCAATTACTTATGGTTAGCGGGTCATGCCTTTTTGTACAATGGATAATGGCTGGATGGTGGCGAGTATGTTGGTTTGTAGGCGTTTGTATGTAGTACCAGTTATTCTAAGCAATAACTCCTGAGCTGCACTACAATTCTAATACTTGTTTGTGAACACTATCAAGATGCTTGTCATGAAAGCCTGACTTGCCCATATGTGATTAAGTATTGTCATAACATGACATCTCAAGGTGTCAATGGCCGCTTGCGCATTTTGTGCGGAGCCTCCACCCCTTGTTTTTATTTTGAATACAAATTTCGTCTTTGAGAACAATAGTTACTCTATATAAGACATGACGTGCAGTCATAGGGGCTCTGCAGGTGTCCCACGAGCTAGATAGATGACTCGGAATGCCCCGCATGCTTCTGCCAGTGGTCCGCCTTTCGACCCTCCACCAACACTGCCGTATGCTGCCGCAAATTCGAAACAGCGGCATCAGATATCAACTACACGGCTCCGACCGAACCTGAAGGTTCTTAAGCACCTTCCTTGTTCAGATAGACAAGCGTGTTGTCGTCTGCAAGTTCTTGTGTAAATTCGGTAGATGCCGTGTTCAAACGTTCATTCCTCATAACTCACCAGCCTGAAAGTCCTTCAGGCTTAGCGTCCTGACCAGGCTGATTATTGAAGCAGAGGTTCGTAAATGTTAACTCTTCAACGAACGTTCAACATTCAACAGTGATCTTTGTGCGGCGATATGGTTAGTCAACAATTCGCTAAAAAAAAATCCCCAAGATGAGACGAGACGACAAGTAAGTAACTGTCTACTAAGTACTGTTGTCACTGATACTGACGAGGGTATGCAGTCCTTCATCTCACTGTCCTAGGTGTGTGAGCCTCGGTGATAGGTTGGTACTTGATGACGACGGCAAGCCTTGCAGCCCTTCAGAGACAGACCCTCTGGTGCCTCACAAGCTTTTCCGTCGCCATTCAAATCCCAACATCTGTATCTACACAGCATTTATTGCTGTCGTGACCGCTGGAATTACGATCTCCATATTTGTATCATCGGTTCGTCTGAGCCCTTGCAACGATCCCTTGGATCCAAACGTTCGAGACCGCATTCGCAAGTTGTGGGACACTGAGCGTCTCCACTACCAGCAAGAAGTTCTCGAGCGCGTCGACACCAAAAAGCGCTGGCGTCTCGAAGACGATGAAAGATTTCATCTCCGCGAACAATGGGGAAGGGAAGTAGAAATGAAATGGAGGAGAGGCAGAAGCACGAGGAGGAGGAACGCTTGAAATTGAACATGTTTTGGACCAATCCGGAGCCCCACGCGTGTACGACGTATGGCACTCGAGAGTACACTGCCCGACTGGTGAACGTCCCATCGTACTATAATCGCAGTGTGGAGGCTTGCATGGCCACGGCGATACAAATCCACGGTGCTAATTACACACCCAAGTGGTGCGAGGATCATGTAGGTGTTCGTGCGTTTCTTAGTATGAGCAGCTGATATTCTGCACTCAGGGTTTAAACAATGTAATAGGTCATTGGGAAGTTGACCAGCAACAACCGGATTGCGCATCATTCTGGTTGTGGTACAGAGATTATGTTTGTTGATCCATCAATTCATCTGCATATTTGCGACTTATTGATCGTCGCAGGGCTGTATTTCTCCTGGATCTGGTCAGCGAGTGAGTGTCTCAGAGATCATAATAATGAGCAGATTCGACGATGTGCAGCGTATCGAACACTACCTTGAAAGTCTTCCGTCGGGAGGTGATTGGAAGGAGTTCTGTGCTACCACCCCTGCAAGCTTTCATGGTTTGCATTTCACGGGGGCCCAAACCTGCTTCCAAAAGGTTCGCTACTTAGCTACATCATTTGTGGCACAATTTGTTGATTACTTTCCAGGACTTAGGCACAAACGGGCACTGGGTCATTGATGACGAGAGCTACAATTAGCCAAATGATATTGATGATTTGATGTTGGGCGAGAGGGTGATATTTTCTTGGAATTTCAAATTCACTATTGTGTACATGTGCCGTTCAGTGTACAAATTGTATTTGTATCTCTTCATCCTTTTGACAACCGTTCCTAGCTTGGGATTTGAAGTTCGTCGACACTGGTACCTTCGCGATCTTGCAACGATGGTCCTATAGCAGATACATTGCGGCGGTGCGGACAGGCGCTTGGATCAATCCCACATGTGGATGGCAACACTAATGGATTCGAATGTACGCCCGAATTCAAGATGCGACCTTTCACTCACGAAATGCATCTTACTTAAGAAATCACCACCATACGTATGTATTAGATCGTCGTTCCCTCACACTTTAACCACACCTTCGAGCTCTCGACGCCTTCGCACCTGTTTGTCGCGCAGGTCAAGGAGCCGTATGGACTCGGTCCTCCGAGGAAAACACAGATGATGGATCAGACTGGGATCCTGGGTCATGCTACTTACTATAGATACGGCCGCTTGTGCATTTCCTGTGGATCCTCTACCCTCTCACACAGTATTAGTGTGCCTCCTTGTTTTTTTTTTACACAGGGGATGCTGTATCGATCGTATACGATTGCTGTATGATCCAGCAAATCCGGAACAGCGGCATTAGATTTGATTCTGCGACTCCGACTGAATCTGGCCGTTCATATGCATAAGCACCTTCCCCATTTAGATATTGCTTGTGAGCGTGTTGCTGGCGTGTTTATCGCCCGCAAGTTGCTGTGTGAGTCCTGTATCGATGCTTGTTATTCCTCATAACTCACCAGGAAAGTCCACAGTATCTTGACCAGGTTTATCAATCAAAAGAGAGGTATGCAAGTGTTAAACTCTTCAGCGAACATTCAAATGTTCAACAATGATCTTTGTGTGGCGACATGACCAGTCCTCAACCATTCACTAAAAATTCTCCAAGATGATGCGATACGGCAGGTATGGTACTATTTACTGCTGCTGTCATTGAGGCTAATGAGTGTCCACAGTGACCCTCGCCCACCTCCTTACCATTCTAGGTGTGTGAGGCTCGGTGATAGGTTGATGCTTGATGATGACGGCAAGCCTTGTAGCTCTTCAGAGGCAGACCCTCTGACTGTCTCGCAGGCCTTCCCGTCAACACCAAACTCTCAACATTTGTATCTACACAATATTGATTGCTGTCTTGGCCGGTGGATTTGCGAATCGCTATATTTGCATCAGCAGGTCTCTCTTAGGCCCTTGCAACAACCCCTTGGATCCAGACGTTCGAGACCGCATTCGCAAGCAATGGGACATTGAGCTTCGCCACCACCAACAACAAGTTCTCCAGCACGTTGCCACCGAAAAGCGCTGGCGTCCTCGAAGACGATGACAGAAATCGTCTCCGCGAACAATGGAGAAGGGAACGGGCAAACCACGAATCATGCAAGTGGAGGAGAGGACGAAGGCGCGAAGAAGAAGAACGCTTGAGATTGAACATGTTTTGGACCGACGCGGAGCCCCACATGTGCACGACATATGGCACTCGAGAGTACACCGCCCGACTAGTGAATGTTCCGTCGTATTATAATCGCCGTGTGGAGGCTTGCATGGCCACGGCGATACAGATCCACGGGGTTAATTACACACCCAAGTGGTGCGAGGATCATGTAGGTGTTCGTGCGTTTCTTAGTACGAGCAGCTGATATTCCGCGCTCAGGGTTCAAACAATGTGGTAGGACATTGGGAAGTTGACCAGCAGCAGCCGGATTGCGTACCACACTGGGATTGGTACAAAGATTTCGTTCGTTGATCTATCAACTTCTCGTCTGCATATTTGCAACTTATTGATTGTCGTAGGGCTGCGTTTCTCCTGGATCTGGTCAGCGAGTGAGTTTCTCAGACATGATGCAGCGAGCGAAGTTGACGGTATACAGCGTATCGAACAACACCTCAAGAATATCCCAGAGGGAGCTGACTGGAGGGAGTTCTGTGCTACTACTCCTGCCAGCTTCAATGGGGTGCATTTTATCGGGGCACAATCCTGCCTTTTGGACCCGAATGTTCGTTGCTCGTTACATCAAATGCACACGATTTATTGACCGTTTCCAGAATGGCGGTACATGGGGCTACTGGGACATTGATGACGAGCGCTGCAACAAGTGACGACGATGATTCGATGTTGGGCGATGTAAATATTGTCTTGGATTTTGGGATTCGCTATTTGTACCATTTGATGTGCATACTTGTACTTGTACTTCTTCATCCATTCACCATCGTCGTTGTACCATTTCGATCGATGCATATTTCTTCATGCTCGATGCCTGAACAAACTGTCTTTGCTTTGTATTTGGAAGGCTCGACGAATGTCTTTCAGCAAGAGAGAGGGCATCAACTTTGAATGGCTGGTATATGGGTGTGTACAGTAAACCAACCCCGTGATTAGTAACTCCGACTGAATCCGCTGAGCGCTGATACTGAACTCCAAAGCATCATCCAGATAGCCTTGTCCGTGTATTGTCCCGCAGGTTACTATGTGAGTGCAGTCTGACATGCTGACTCGTAAGTTATTCCTCATAACTGACCAGGAAGCTTTCCTTGAAGTTTCTCAACAGCCTGATCAGGTTGACAATTTGAGGGAGAGGTTTGTAGATCTTTAGCGAACATTCAAAATTCAACAGTGATCTTTCAAGTTGTGTTGCAATATAGTTAGTTGCTAAATATTACTCAAGATGCGATACGACAAGTAACGTACCGTCTACTACTATTGTCACTGACGCTAATGGGGGTACGCAGACTTCACTGTCATAGGTGTGTGAGGCTCGGTTATGGGTTGATATTTCATGAATGATGGAAAGCCTTGCAGCTCCTCGCAGACAGATCCTCTGCCAGTGGTACCTCGCGAGTCTTCCCATCGCCATCAATACCTAAAAAATTGGACTTGCACACCATTCACTGCCGTCGCTGTTGCATTTGTGGTCGTCATATTTGCATTAGTGTTCTCGCCCAAACCTTGCAACAACCCCTTAGGTTCAGATGTTCGAGACATCGAGCTTCTCCCCCACCAACACGAAGTCCTCAAGCGCGTTGACACCCAAGCGCGCTGGCGTCTTGAAGACGATGAAAGAAATTGTCTCCGCAAACAATGGGGATGGGAAGTAGAGAAGCATAATCTGGAAGTGGAGGAGACATGGAAGCGTGAAGAAGAAGAATGAATTCGCCTCCGCGAGCAATGGGGAAGGGAAGTGGAAGAACACGAACGCGACGTGGCGGACGAAGTCCTCAAGCGCATTGATACCCAAGTGCGCTGGCGTCTTGAAGACGATGAAAGAAATCGTCTCCGCGAACAATGGGGATGTGAAGTAGAGAAGCATAAGCAGGAAGTGGAGGAGACACGGAAGCGTGAAGAAGAAGAACGAATTCGCCTCCGCGAGCAATGGGGAAGGGAAGTGGAAGAACACAAAAACGACATGGCGGAGAGGCAGAAGCGCGAAGGAAAAGAACGAATTCGCCTCCGCAAGCAATGGGAAAGGGAAGAGGAAGAGCACAAACGCGTGGTGGAGAGGCGGAAGCGCGAAGAAGAAAAACTCTTGAGATCGAATATGTTTTGGTCTAACTTGCAGTCCCACACGTGCACAGCATACGCCACTCGAGAGTACACTGCCCGACTGGTGAACATTCCATCATACTACAATCGCCGCCGCATAGAAGCTTGCATGGCCATGCCGGTACAGATCCACGGGGTTGAATACACGCCCAAGTGGTGCGAGGATCATGTAGGTGTTTCTGCGCTTCTTGGTATGAGAAGCTAATATTCCGCTCTCAGGGTCTAAACAATGTAACAGGTCATTGGGAAGTCAACCAGAATCAGCCAGATTGCGCATCGTACTGGGATTCGTACAAAGATTTTGTTTGTTGATTCATCAACTTCTTGTCTACATATCTTAAAGTTATTGGTTGTTGCAGGGCTGCGATTCGCCTGGATCTGGTCAGCGAGTGAGTTTCTCGGATATAATACAGTGAGCGGAGTTGATGATATTTAGCGTATCGAACACCGCCTTGCGAACCTCCCGTCAAGAGGTGATTGGAAGGAGTTTTGTGCAACCACTCCTGTAAGCTTCCGTGGTATGCATTTCAAGGGCGCACAATCTTGCTTCCAAACGGTTAGTTACTCAGTTTTATCAACTGTTGCACAATTTGTTGATCACTTCCAGACCTTCGGTGTACGGGGCCACTGGGTCATTGATGACCAGAGCTGCAATTAGCCAAGCGACAATGATGATGCGATGTTGGGTGAGGGAGATGTTTTCTTCAAATTTTGGTTTCCCCTTTTCGTCGTCACCTGATGTACCTGTATTTGCATGTCTTCATACTTTGAACAGCCGTCTTTGCCTGAGCCTGAGGCACTTGAGATGGAATGTGTGTTGGATCGTTCCCACATGTGCATTACATATAGTATGGTACTTTAAAGTGAGTGATGGAACGCCCTCTTGCCACCGTCGCATGGCTAAGGCTTGCAGTACTTTTCGTGGTAAAATATTGTGGCTTCGAATATACACCCGAAAGACGGGAGGGTCGTAGCACCAGCAAGTAGTTGATATTTCGTCACCTGGGTGCAACACGAACCGATGAGCTAAAGAGACAGTTGTAATCATAGGAGAAACCCTTTGTGAGACAATTGATATCGCGGCGTAGTTTGGATAAACACAAATTGAATGGCGACTCGAGGTTCAGACTCCAGATCACATCTGAAACCCAACTCGTCATTTAGTACTCAGTTCACGTGCTCTAGGCTCTTGACCAGCCCGGCTTATACTACCTAATATTCTCTCTGACGTAGCCAGTCTGGTCATGACCCTACTCGTGTCTCTGAGGTCCCATCGCACGCAAGCTATTATTTGTCGCTCCTGTCAGCATCCATGCAGCCGGCGTGTCGAGCGACAGTCAAATACGCATGAGCAGTGCACTGGATGGCGTGAGGCTCGGCATGGGCAACCTCTGCCTTGTCACTGAACGCCAGGGGAACAGCGAAGACAAATATACGAGGTACCAGATTGATCTTCAACAGACAAAGCCTATTGTTTCGATAATCGTCTGTAGGGCGGAAATCTAGTGCTGGGTTCCTTGTCTCTGGGCTTATTGAAAGGCAAGAAAAGAAAGGTTCAAAGGTTCGACAGTGATAACTTATCAGCGATTCTTTATTGTTCGCATGATCACCTGCAACCTGCTTGAGCGTGCCGGTCACTAAAATCATGGAATAGAAGACATCCATAGCTCAGGGCTTTTTAGTGATGAAGCACAATCTCGTTCACAGTGAATTGGTAAGAAGGAACGGTTTTTCAAGGTCTGGCTTGGGGAGACTGCATCAGATGAATTATGACTCGAATAGATCAATTTTACCAATCCGGGCCATGGGTACCTTCTTTGGCAATTCCCGGCTCCGGCCTATCAACGTATTGGGAAGAGCACTGAAGATTTTGAACGCTCGAGTCCGGGAGTACTATCCCTTCCGGTGCAATCGGCATCCCACAGAAGTCGGCAGTCACGCTTTTTCGCAGGATTTTGTGTGACTTCCTGTGACCGATTGTAACAAAATGTCACGTTTTCCCGCCAAAATGTGTGGCCTGCCGACTTCTGTGGGGTGCCGCACCGGAAGGGATAGTAGTTACGGCATGATCAGCTGGCATCACCACGAGACACAGTCACTACAGAATTACTGAAAGAGTCAGATCAGTGAACAGCGTCCCTAGGCTAGATCTGAGGCAGCCGCTTCCCCCGCGACTAAATATTATGACTACCCCAATTTCCACCAGCAACCACACACTTGGCTGTGCAGTGCCGCCCTTCACTCCGCATGCGATCTCTGTTTCGTTGCCTACATGGGCAGACAACGTGGGATACGAGCAAGGAGAGAAGCGCGTCGTCGATGCGATGGTGTCCGGATACCCAAGGTTCTTTATCCATCTAAGCATCCAAAAGGTATGTGATTGTTCCAGGCCACACTGAATGTATCCCTGACAACATTAATCGGAAGCTTGCACGGATGTGTGAGCAAAAATTTGGGGTGCACAATGAAAGTTGTCTGCTATACCCATCCAAGAAAATTGCAGATCGGTGTCGAGCTTTTATCCTTGAACGTGCATCATTAGAAGGCACGCCAACGCACGTGCGGCTCGTGCAATATCGCATTTGTCCTGAAGACAGTCCGTTGCCATCATCGCAATCTACTGTGGAGCTACACATTGTTCTCTTCCCAACGGAGGCATTTCCTCTTGCGAAACAATTCTGGCAGCATACTGGTCTGGGTATCTCCTCCCGCCTCGCCGATTACTGTCTCTCCTTGCTCCCTGCCGAATTACCAAATTCTCCAGTACTCTCCTCGCCAACGCCTCCTCGTGCTCCATTCAAGGCGCCGAACAAGCACTATAGCATCAAGCACGCCCCACGATCGCCATCCTTTGGATCGGCTCTTCCCAGTCCGAACCCGCAAGACGTACTTAGTAAAGACCTGAGTATCTATCTCGAAGAGCGCTACGGGAGAAACCTCCCAGTCAGCGCTGGTTCTTCTGCAAAGCGGGCATTACGCAGACGCATTGCCGGCGTGCTCGTCAGAGACAACTGGGAAGACTGTCCGCAGGGTCCATGCACAGGCGCCCACGATTTTGAAGTGGGGCCCAGTCACCGAGGTGTGAAGGAGGTGACTGAGGACGACGTATACTTGTTTTCGACCGGCATGTCTGCAATTTGGACTGCGCATCAATTAGTTCTAGGCGCAAGGCCACCAGCCAAGAGCGTGTGTTTTGGGTAAATTTAACCATTCCAAATTGCATCGAGAGGCATGCTGATAGTTTGTTAGATTTTCGTACACTGATACCCTGAAAGTCCTGAAAAAATGGGGTCCTGGGTGTCATTTCCTCGGACACGGTCTGGACTCTGATATAAACACGCTGGAGACAATTATTGAACAGGAACTTTCTGCGAACCCTTCCTCGCAGCCCATCGCTGCACTTTTCACAGAGTTCCCGTCAAATCCTCTTCTTCGCTCGGCTAACATCTCCCTCCTTCGTGCGGTTGCAGATAAATATGATTGCCTGCTCGTCATAGACGAGACCATCGGAAACTTCGTCAACGTCGACGTAGTGCAACACGCAGACATTGTTGTGAGCAGCCTGTCCAAGATATTTAGCGGTGACGCGAACGCCATGGGCGGAAGGTACGTTTCTCTCTATCCTCGAAACCTCGATCTCACATTCGCTACCTCAGTTTAATTCTAAATCCTCAAAGGCGTCACTACGCCACGCTCAAAGCGTACATGTCCGCTACATACGAAGACACATACTTCGATGAAGACGCCATCTTCATGGAGCGCAACTCCCGTAACTTTGCACGGCGCATTCGCATCATCGACGAAAACACCCTCGCGGTTTGTGAGTACTTGCGATCGCGATCCATCTCAGGCGGAACATCCCTACCATCTCCCGCCATCAAAGAAGTCTTCTACCCAAAATACATCACGCCTGAAAACTACCTCTCGTGCAAGCTTCCGGAAGGAGGCTACGGAGGGCTCTTTGCACTCACGTTCACCTCGCTTGCTGCTTCGCAGGCGTTTTTCGACAACATGCCATTTTCAAAGGGCCCGAGTCTTGGAACAAACTTTACGCTCGCGTGTCCGTACACCATTCTAGCGCATTATTTGGAGCTCGGATGGGCGGCGGAGTATGGTGTAGAAGAGGGCTTGGTTAGGATTAGTGTCGGGTTAGAGGAAAGGGAGGGGCTTCTAGAGGGTTTTAAAGTGGCTTTGACAGCTGCAGAAGCTGCGATGTAAGACGGCTTCTACTTGGGGTGCTCCAACAGTACTTGCTTGTTTCTACCGTTCAACTCGGTACTCGCATTGGTAAGGGTCATTAGACCCTTCAGCGAGTTTATACCTCTTGCGCTTGTCAGACTATCTAGTGTCACCGCACTGACTGACAATTTGCATAATGTATCGAATATAAACTATCTGTGATTTGCCCGAACGAAAAAAATAACCGGAAGCTTCGAATACAACTACAACGTGAACGGAAGATACAACAATGAATGCATGCATGCGTGAACCAGTGTCGAGGAATGAGAATCTCTAGTCTATTCGAATTTCTATCAGCCATAACGAGAACGAAGAACGTGATAATGATAAAGACAAAAAGAAAGCTCGTAAAAGTTTTGAATCTCAGTGTTAACTGATTCGCCTAGGACGGTCCATTGCCAACGTTCGGCGCGTTCGCTTGAGCAGCGCCGTTGGCCTCTTCCGTCTTCGAGCTAAGAGCGTTGACTAACTCGCCAATCCGTTGTGTGAGCTTCTCAAGCAGCGGAGACACGCGCTCCTTGACCTCTCTGCCTACACGATTGAACTTCTCGGGGAATTGCATATCAGGGTTCGTGATGATGTTACGCAAGTCAGTGACGGTCTTGGAGACGTCAGGATATGTAGCCTGCAAGGTCTGTGGGAGCTGGGCAGTGGACTGCTGGACTTTCTGCAGCTCGGAGACCAGGTTCTCACCAAGAGTGTAGAAGCGATTTTGGGCATTGTTGATCTGGTTAGAGGCGAGAGTGGAGATTGCGTTGGCGGTGTCGGTAGCGCGTTGACTTAAGGGAAAGAGTTAGAATCGATGTATATATGCACTAAAAAACAACCCACACTAGGACACTTTGCTGTTGCACTTGTTTAAGGTGCTCTGCCGAATAGACGTATAAATTGTCCTTGAAGTGCTTGGAAAGGTTGAGTACGCGCTGGTACTGGTACTGGGAGTCGGAAGAGGAAGACGAGGGTGACGAAGTGCCCGATTCACTGCCCATATTGACAGCGAATTTCTCGATGAGGTCAACGACTGGTGTGAATTTCTGTAAACTCGAGTCAATCGTGTATTAGGGGTAATAGGTCACGTGGCTCCCACCTTGTCAAGACCCTCTGCAACGCCAACCGCAGGAGATTTGACATTGTCGAACGTCTTTGTCGCAGTTTCCCGCACGTAACTAGCCACCTCCTCAGGCTTGGCCTGGAATACGTAAGGACACCTCGACTCAACTGCATCGAGGCCCTTGTTGGCGATACCGTCTGCACGGACGATGAGTGGGGCAAGACGAATCTGAATAGGTTGGGAGTAGTTATAAGCGGTATTGGTGAGTGTTTGGGCGACGTGATACGGCGAGCGGGTGAGCCTGTGTTGCTCGAGGATGGTGTTTATCTGGTCAAGTGAAGACGCAACCAGAGGAATAGAGACAACGCGGTTTAAAGCCCTAATTTCAGGAGCTTGGGACTGGGACTGAGCTGTAGATGCCATTTTTAGAGTAACTAGGTGAGGGTGGGCGTGCAAGAGAAGAATGAACGAGAAATGGAGGCGCAGGGGTTCATATACTGATGCAAGTTGACATGTGATTATGCGACTATCGCGTCTGTCACACTTGCCATATCTGTCATATCCGTCACACTTCTATGATGGCAGGACTTTTGCATCCAGATTCTACAACGAACAGGCTGGACAGGGCTGGATGCGTTATCAACTTATCTATCGCATGCGATAACGTCGACACCCTCTACATCAGGCCAATTTTTGGTTCTTCTTCTCCGCTCTAGTAACGCTTCTTTGACATAAGTCTTGAGGTTGGGCTTGAGGGCCAGGTATGTAAATGTGGCGCAGATGGCCGATACTACACTCGTGATTGTGCAATAGACAGGGTGCGGAACCACCGCTCATAAACGTTAACTTTGACAAGACGCAAAAATCACGCGAACCTTCCAAAGGATTTGGATTTTCAAACTATGAGTCTAGTGACCCAACTCAAACTTACTAGCCCCGGACCAGCCGTAACTCTGAATTTTACATTGAATCCGGATCCGGAGCCAGTTCCTGTACGTGACCATACCAGACTAGTTTATTAATTTTTGCACGAGTCCTCATCGAACTTTCAACGACTGATACGCAAAGCGCAGATAGTGTTGATCTCCGACTCGAACTTGAAAAGCATAAGTGATCGGACCGTTGCTCTGCACCAGCTGGGCACAGTTTAGCACCATCAAATGCCCCGCCATTAGTAAGTGCCCCTCGTTGTCGGTAGGCATAACGTTCCATAACTATCACATGAAACGAACGTAGATTCCCGAGGGCCAGAGGTACGAAGATGGACAGATGAAGCGGATGTGTAACCTCGGGGTTTCGAAAATGAAACAGTTTGAAGCGCAGATCTACTGCGATCCAGAAACCCCGGTTGGTGTACAAAGTCTTCGAGGGGCCATGGCCATAATCTTTGTTGGTTAACGTGTGTAGTCCTTTCGAGACACGAGACAATTGTAGTGATTGCTTGGTGCGCGAGGGGAAATATCTGCGGTTAACGTTGGAGATCGCAGGACTGGTGTGAGTTTGTACCGTTCGTGCCATATATTTCAGTCGTATACACTTTGGAACGTCTGCGTAGGTTTCAAGCTTCAAGTATTGCTCATTAATCCCGGCCATAGAAAACGGGTATGTGATACGACTCAAGCTCACACTGGTTTTTCGACAGTATTAGTACTGTGCTGTGTCACGGCGCAAAGTTACAAGCAGAGATCGTCGGAAGGACAGCGTCCGGTAGTAATTGCAGTCATGGTTATGGCCCCTCAAAACCTTGTTCTCGTTAGATGCCTCCCAGACTTCTGAACCTACGAAGACTGCTTACAATTTCACCCGACGTAGACGTCCACTGTTCGCACCTCTGGTGCCAAGGCAGGCTGCGCTCATTCGATGCAATGAGCGTCCATCTAAAGTTAACAGACCTGGTCACGGTTATATCTAGGAACTTAGACTGCCCCTGGTCAACTGTATTCTGTGGGTCTTTTGTATCGAAGATCGATTGTCCTTACGTCTAAGTTTGTACTTTGATGATGTGTTTGGTCGCGGTGGTACAGATGGACAACACTGGGAATAATGACGCTGAGGCAAGTATCCCATCGTGTGCACTGTGGACCGCGGACGTGACACTCACAAATTACGACCTTGCGGATCTGTGTCAACTATATCTCATACGAGAATACGATGTAAGAAGTGATGAAGACCAATGGTACTTGAATTATTGGAACGACTCTGGAAGATTCGGCAGGCCGGCGGAAGTGGACAGGCGAGGGGGACCCCTTTGAAACCCAATGCGTAAACAATAAGACTTTGGCAATTTCGAAATTTCTGTGCAAAATATTTGATCTCATGAGCTGTCATTCACAGGCCACAGACCAGCACAGATGTAAGTACTGGATCCACTCGACTACACTCCGGGGCAAATGCTACAATAGGTATCTATAACCTTTAGGAAGGCTCGATGAACGCTCTTCCGCTTCAGCAGCTTCATTCAATCGCTGAAGATGCCGCCTAAATACCCAGCACAACGAGATGGATGTGCTGGCCAGCGCGATACAGATGAGGAACGAATTGGTATAGGTCGGGCCCCAGCTCGATGTCCAGATGTACCTGGTGTTGTATATCATTAATTGTGACACGCGGGTGGTATGAGAAAAGCACTGACGGCGACAGGATGCTCCCGGACATTCCAATAGAGTTCATGAACCCGATCGCAACTGCTCGCTTGGAGCTGGAACGAGAGAACGTGTTACTGATCCATATCAACAAGATGACGTTTGCGACCTGCGCTTGCGTCATGAGAAAGCTGGATGAATAATATGAGAGCAACTTGAGCGGCGCATAAAATATTACTGACAGTGCGATGTAGCGAACAGTGATATTCATCGTGGACATAGCCAGAGTATATCCCGTGATCAACATCGACAACGCAAAGACCAGATGCCCAAAGCGTTCACGCGTCGCATCAGAATGACTGGAAAATGTAAGTGCTTCCTATCCATCGAGGGGAAGTCGGATTTTCAACAAGGCCTACCTTGCGACACTGACTGCAGTGATTGTGCTTATAATCCATGGTGGTGCGCATAACAGAAGACTGATGGTAGGCGAATACCCCATTGTGGCCACCAATGTCGGGAAGAACATGTTAAAGGACAACGATGCATTACAGCAAGACAATGCTGTGCCAACCAACCACGCTCTCCAATCTGTGATCATCGACAGGAGATCGGAAAAGCCACCAGTTGGCTTAGGTTTGACTGGACCATGACCTTCTGAATCCTGGTCCTCCTCCATCCGCTTTTGAGCAAGAGAATGTTCTGCGGGAGTGAGCCATTTTGCAGGGCTCGAAGGGAAATCAGGAAGTATGAACATCCCACAAAAGCCGACAACGACTGTCAAAAAACCCTCTATGAAAAACAGCCATCTAAAAGTAGCCAAAATCTATGTCAACATGTGCAAATGCAAATGCGAATAAATTGTCTACTACACACCTCCAGGCAGCATAACCGAGAAATCCTTCCATGGTTGCCAGAATTGCAGAGGCTAACAGTGAGCCAAAAGCATTGCTAAAACCGATTCCTGCCGTGAAGAACGCAGTCCTGTACCCAAGTTCCTCTCGCTTATACCTGCAGCCATTTAGCAAGTCTGTATGTCATGTGAAGTTGGGGGATGTACCATCTTGAAAGCAGATAGATAGCACCAGGATAAAACGTCGCCTCTAAAAATCCCACCAGAAAGCGTGAGGCGAGCACTTGGTAGTAGCTGCAAAAATGCATATCAGCATTTAAATTGAGCAGTGCTGTATAATACACACACTTCGTGGATATCCCTTCGTCACGAGTCAACGTTCACTTGACCTCAGCAAACAGGGTTAAAACAACAGGACACACCGATGAGAGTGGTGAGAAGACCCCAGAGCGACATACTAGTCGATAAATACAGCGATGGTTTCGAAATGCGACTAATTATCAAATTTCTGCCACCATAGTTCACAGGAGATTACATGAAGTTCAAATCACAGTACTCACGATGGTGTTTGCATCAACACATAGCCGACGAATAGACTGCTGATCAGCGTATTGAACTGTCGACCATTCATGCCGAGGTCTTCCTCGAAACCACGAAGCCTTGCGGCGCTGCGGATGAGAACGAATATCAGGTCGATAGAAGCATACACATCCCTTTGAGAATGCCTTACGCAGCATTATTTCGATCCATCTGAGATTATGGTTAATCTCAAGCGGAGACGCACAGGACAACTGATGACACGCACCTGATTCAAGATGTAGATAAGAACGAGATACGCTGCTCTGAAATCCAGCTTCCGCAGAAGATTGCTCTCCAAAACCTTCCTAGAGATGGACTCCGGGTCGTCATTGCTGTTCAAAGCCGTACCGTAGGCAGACGGTGTAGAGCCATTGAACTCTGGACGTAACAGTGACCTACTCTCACTGGGAGATGACATGAATGCTCAGAGGTTCGCAGTCTGCAGTTGTAGAGCAGGCTCTGGCACAATGAACGAGCTACTAGTAATAGAATTACTTGCTTGTCTGAGTGAGCTCCGATGGACTCATTATACATTGCCCAAAGATAAGCCGAACATGAGCCTGAGCCTGAGTAATGTATAATTAGTCCAATAGTACCACCTGCAGGGTGAGAACTCAGACTCATCACATGGTCGTTGCTGACGATAGACTTGGTAGTACAGGTGGCGTGCAGGATGTCCGGTGGTCCATCAGGGCATCAGGGCCGCCGTGAGCGTTGTGAACTTGTAAGAACTTCGAAGGAGCCAGTGGAGCCAAAGAAAACACATTAATGTCGATTGCGAGCATGTTTTTTCTCTCTCATGCTGCGAGACTCCTGGCTCGGTTCCAGACTAATCTCCCGTTTAGTACTCAGAAGGAAGAGCCAATGTAGTCGTTCCTTCTGTATTCTGAGGGTTTCAGACTGACATTTGAGAAGCGCTCCGAGATAGATGAGCTAGCACTGACTCATCTACATATCACGAACGCCACGAGTCCAGATTCGATATCACCGTCTGAAAATAGATCCAGACTCCAGAGGGCCAGGACACTTGAATAGCATCGACACGTACTACGTACGTGCTTAGATGATCTAGAGACCAGCGACAGACATATAAAAGTTGGCACCAAGTCCTACGTCCAGGATGATGGATTATTTCTGGACTACTTACCCTCATGTGACCTAGGTGCCCATCTTCAATTCGGTGCATGCATATGACTCATACTATGAGAGATGGTCGTACATTGCGGTCACGTTCAAGTTCAAGGGAGACTGGGAAGTGTACGAATTCAAATTGCTCTCAAGCCTGCAGGGCAAGCTTCTTGGACGGATTCTCCTAAAGTCTTGTAGACGCCAGGTGACTCTCACTCGACTCTACTCTATGTCAAATGCTACAGCAGGTATCTATAACCTTTAGGAAGATTCAGCTCGCGTTCTTGTGCTTCAGCAACTACATTTAATCGCTCAAGATGCCGCTTAAACACCCAGCACAATAAGATGCATATGCTAGCCAGCACGATGCAGATGAGACACGACTTGGTATATGTTGGCCCCCAGCTCGATGACCAGATGTACCTGGTGTTGTATGTTATCAATTGTGACACGCGGGAGATACAAGAAAGGGACTGACGGCGATAAGATATTCGCTGATGTTCCAATGGTGTTAATGAACCCAATCGCAATTGCGCGCTTGGAGCTGGAACGAGCGAACGAGTTGCTGATCCATGTTAACAATATGACATTTCCGACCTGCGCTTGGGCCATGAAAAAGCTGGATGAATAATAAGAGAGGGCGAGATGAACGGCATACGAAATATTACTGACAGTGAGATGTAGCGAACGGTGATATTCATCGTGGACATGGCCAGAACATATCCAGTGATCAGCATCGACATTACAAAGACTAGATGCCCAAAGCGTTCACGCGTCGCATCAGAGTGACTGGAAAAATGTAAGTACTTCTAATTCACTGAGGGGTAAGTCTAGAGTTCAATAGGGCCCACCTTGCGACGCTGACTGCAGTGATTGTGCTCATCATCCATGGTGGTGCACACAGCAGAAGACTGATGGTAGGCGAGTACCCCATTGTGGCCGCCAATGTTGGGAAGAACATGTTGAAGGACATCGATGCATTACAGCAAGACAATGCTACGCCAACCCACCACGCTCTCCAATCTGTTATCATCGACAGGAGATCGGAAAAGATATCAGTTGGCTTAGGTTCAACTGGACCATGACCTTCTGAATCCTCATCCATCCGCCTTTCAGCAAGAGCATGCTCTGCGGGAGTGAGCCAACGCGCAGGGCTCGAAGGAAAATCAGGGAGTATGAACATCCCGCAGATGCCTACAAAAACTGTCAAATAGCCCTCTATGAAAAACAGCCACCTGAAAGTAGCCAAGATCTATGTCAAAATGTGCTCTGAAAGACGTCTGTTACACACCTCCAGGCAGCATAACCCAAAAATCCTTCCATGTTTGCCAGAATTGCAGAGGCTAACAGCGAACCAAAAGCATTGCTAAAACCGATTCCTGCCGTGAAAAACGCGATCCTGTACCCAAGCTCTTCTCGCTTATACCTGTAGCCATTTAGCAAGTCTAGTCTGTTGTATGAAGTTGGGGGTGTACCATCTTGAAAGCAGATAGATAGCACCAGGATAAAACGTCGCCTCTAAAAATCCCACAAGAAAGCGTGAGGAGAGTGCTTGGTAGTAGCTACGAAGACGTATATCAGTGTTTCAATCGTGCAGCGCTGTACAATACACCAACTTCGTGGATATCCCTTATTACGAGTTGTCATAATCATTTTAAATCCGCCACAACAAGCTGATTACACAACACACCTATGAGAGTGGTGAGAAGACCCCAGACCTGACATACAACTCGACAGATACAGCGATGGTTTCGAAATGCGACTGAGTATCAAATTTCTGCCCCATAGTTGAGATGAGATGGATTACTGAAAGCTCAGATTACTCACGATGGTGTTTGCGTCAGCACATAGCCAATGTATAGACTGCTGATCAACGTATTGAACTGTGTACCCTTCATGCCGAGGTCTTCCTCGAAACCACGAAGTCTTGCGGCGCTAGCGGGGAAGAAAAAAATATCAGCCAGAAGCATAGATATTCTTTGCAGCGCGTCTTACGCAGCGTTGTTTCGATCCATCTGGTCATCGTAGTAAGTAGAGGCAGAGAGGGACTGGAACATCTAATGTTACGCACCTGATTCAAGATGTAAATAAGGACAAGATACGCTGTTCTGAAATCCAGCTTCCGCAGAAGATTTCTCTCCAAGACCTTCCTAGAGACGGTCTCTGGGTCGTCATTGCTGTTCCAGGACGTACCGTAGGCAGACGGTGTAGAATCGTCGATCTCTACAGGCAACAGCGACCTACTCTCACTGGTGCGGGAAGAAGACATGAATGCTCAGAGTCTCACAGCCTCGGGTAGCGATGGCACAATAACTCGCTACTCGTATTGCCTTCGCTTGCCTCGAGCTCTAACAGTTTCATTTTGAGCCAGCATCGCCCAAAGATAAGCCTGAGTAATCACACTCCCTTAAGAATGACGCGTCGTGGTTCTGAGTCATTGACCGTTGCTGACGATAGCGGTGGCGGGCTTATCCACATACATGAGGTTTGATTGGAGATCAGAGCGTCAACGAAAAGCGGTAGTACTTGGTTTCTGTCACGCAGCGTTATCTGGCATGTGGTTACCCGGAGTGGACGTAAAAATGGTATATGCCGGCGGTTGAAACTAAAACCCTCACTAACCTCGCATCGCCATAGATGCATCAAGAGATTATCATCGCTAACAATTGTCAAACAATCATGACGCCATGCATGCGATAAGGATCTTTTGCAACGAAGAGGCCTGGATTCTGGAAGCGCTCATTGCTGGCTCCTGCATCAACGACGGGACTATATCATGTACGCGTCATATGAAGGAAAAGTAGCAGCGAGAGACCAGAGTTCAACCTCAATGCAAAGTGCCATGATACTGACATCACGCAGATTCAAATATTACTTTTGTCCACTTCCACATCTCATTAAGCTGCTTTAGTAAAGTCATTCGCCGGGTGTCCGATACTTCCTTTCTTCGTTGAATAGGGACTAGCTTGCGGGTGGCGTTAAGAATATCCTAGATCATGGCAAATTAGACCAGACACTGAAGAGGTGAAAATGACCAATAACAACGTGTAACTCTTCCCCACTCCTCACATGGGGATGCACGTCAGCAACACTAACACTCCGTTACTGGTCCTGCAGATGCAGCGCGATCTTCTCTGCCAGTCCATCTTTCTCATTAAAGCTCTCGGGTTCTCCAGCACCATCCTCGTCATCATCCGCTTCTTCTATGATGGCGCCTTGTTCTCGGAATACAAGGTAGGAGCCCTCAAAGACCTGCGAAGCACCGTCAGGACAGAGTAAGGTTTTGGGGAGTGGCCACACTGACCTTGGAGTTTTGTCCAGCACAGACTGCCTTGATTATCTGACCCTCGTGCTTAGCGTGGAGTGTCCGTCGGAATGAGTGAGTCAGGAAGGAGGAAAGGGAATCAAGTGGCCAGTCTGGCGGTACTAGGGGAATAACCTGTATGTGTATATGTTTTGTATGACATATCGTATTAGTCAGATAGTGCACATTGAGTTCGTGTCCGAAGATGAGAGTAAGAAGGAATGCACTCACGTCAACAGCATCTAAACTTGCGGACTGTGAGCTCAGTAGTCTTGTGGTTTGCTGGGGTTCCCTGCGAGACGATCATATGTGCCAAGACTGGAACTCTCGGGTTATAAACATACCCATCTTCCATGTACACCTCTAAAAGCATTTTTACCAACTCTCCATTCCCCTCTGCACTCTTCTCCCTTTCTAAGATTCCAGGACCACCCTTAGCTGAGAACAGCGCGCCCCATTCACACATTCCACAGGCTTCGACAGCTTTTGAAGGAACGATAATGCCCCCCGTCCTGGCGTACGTCTCTGCCGAGATAGGGTCTCGTAGCGAGAGAGCCAGTGCACGGAGGGCTATCCTGTGCATACCCATCTAGAAAGCAACTTAAAAGACAGGAAACATTGCATATCAAATAATGCTGACCTTGCCGTCAAGCAATGCCATCTCCAGGCCAAGGACTTTCTCGAAGCCGCTAGCAACAATTTGCGACTTGATCATTTCAGCGTTATACCCATGTAATGCTTGCAGAGCAAACAATGCTTTTAGCCGTGCGCGTTTCGATGGAGAGTCGGGTGCTGTTGATATAAAATATGCAAGGAAGGACGATTGCGGGACGCTGAGGTTGCATGGAGGAAGGGGAGGGTGTGCGTCTTTGTGAAGATTGCGAGGTGTAGGAGGCGACTATTTTGAATGCATTGGGTTGAAGATGTGAGTGACTAGCAAGAAACTAAACGCACATTTTGCACGCCAGAGTTTTAGAGTGCTTTCGTCCTGCAGGCACTCGAGCAGCTCGTCGATGCATGCTTGCACGAGCTGTGCATGGAGTTCCGCATCCTTATCAAAACATCCACGATAAGCCTCCGTAATAGATGCGGGGCACAATGAAACGTGCAACATACATCTCGCCTTCTCACAATGACTAACCACTCCAAGAATTTCTTGCTGCGCTGGGATGTAACTGTTGCAACTGGGAAAGAATAGCGAGGTCCTCCTCTCGATCTTTTTCTTTTGTGGACCTCTTGGTCGACATGAGAAGCTACACCATAGCGCCGTCAGTTGCGCACGGGTTACTGCTGTCTTAAACTTACCAAAAGCCCTCGCTCTGAATCTCGTACGGTTAGCCATACCCCCCATTTTCGAAGCATTGCCCTGTCTTTGCCTTGTTTGGAATTCAAGCAAGGCAAACATATTACTCAGGGGATCCGACACGGAAGGATCTCTATATCGACCCTCTACTAGCCTAAGTAAGCATTAGCATTGTGAATGATGGAAGGTAGGGTGGAAATAGTACTCACCCCTTCCAAATTTCCATTACTCGTGCTTCGTCACCTCTAGCCCTGAGTAATGCACATAGAGCACCTACTTCTCCGGCTTCGAGTAGTACAGGCTCTACAGCTGCAAGACTAGTATGATTCGTGCTTTCAAGGTGTGAAATGAGAGACGTAGTGTCGCCCTGATCGCGCGAATAATATAGCGAGGGCTGTATCCGTCACCTGGCAATTTCCTTTAGGGTCCATGTAAATCAAACATAACATCGTATAATGACCTCCTGCTGTTGATATTGTCCTTGTCCCTTGAAGCCCTGCAGAACAGACTTGATCATCACTATGGCTTCTTCCCGAAGAATCCTGCGAATCTCCTGGGCAGCAGGTGCCTCACGAGTGGAGGGCGGGAGATGAGGGGAGTAATTCCTGACTAGGTTTGCAGCAACTGTCAGTTCCGCCCAGACGGGGGAGAAGGGTGGGTGAGTCGGGTGCCGGGGTGTCGGAAAGAGGTGGTAGCGCATGGTCGGACAGAGAAGGATGGGAAGGGGACAATGATAAATTTGAATACTCACTGAGATCATCAATGTTTGCCTCGCTCGGCATTCGCTTTGCAATGCCATCGTACACCTCCGCTTCTTCACCATCCGTGAACAGTGGCCTTGACAACTCTGGAAAGTAGGACACGAGAATACGGGGATCAAGTGCACCTGCAAGAAAGTGCGGGGCCGCTTCCACGAAACGTGTCTGAGAGAACAGTGTGGATGCAATGGATTGATGTATGTATTGGAGTATCTCCGCCTTTTGGACTGGTCAATATTTATGTGACAAGTAGATGAAGCAATAGCACCTCGTTAGAATCCAATGCCTGACCAGATGCAAAGTTAGTTGCGAGGTCGGCGGCATCCTCAATTCGGTTGTTTTCAAGCAGAGCTTCAACTTGAGCGATGACAGTCGATTGAACCAGTGAATGAATAGTGTCCTGTCCGTAAACCAAAATGGAAGAACGAGGGAAAGAACTGTGGTGCATCCTGGCAGACTTGCCGGTGCTTGTAAATACTGACGAGCTTTCAATTCCTCCTTTAGATTCAGAAGGTGGGACACAAAGTTAGTAGTCGAGCGCAGTCGATATTCAAGATGAAGCCGTCCTGGCAAGCTTGCAGTGGTTAGAGCTGATACTCAGTGATAGAACCCGATCGTTCAATGAGTATATAATTGCAGTGCTGATGTAAGCACTTTAATTGCTTCGTGACGAGGATCGAGGGCAAACCAGAACGTCCACGACGCCAACAGTAGGCTCGCTGCCATGCTCGACGAAGACACAATAGACTGGTACGCGCTACAAGCTCAGAGTCTTCGCACAGGTGGGTTTGGAAAGGACAGAACACGTGTCTGGTGCGCGGAATTACAACTGTTTAGTTTCGTTGAGCTGTTTAACTTGTTATATGCTCACAGGCCTGCCCTGCTCGGGGTCCACGCTCCGTCGGAACCCCCTCCGTATACAGAGGTCTCTGCGGAATCTTCTACAGATGATGCGCCCCATCCTGACGAGCGTCAAGTACGTTTGGACACAGACCGGAGCTTTGTGATGTATCCCGTAGGCAATATATCTCATGGCTACATTTCCACGAGTGTTCGAACATGTTACAGGCAGAAGACGACGACGACGAAAGTCGCAGAACTGTGTTGCAGACCTCTCTCAACAATTTAATCGTTTCCCTCCTCCGAAAGCGTCCGAAGTTACACTATTTCCAAGGATACCACGACATTGTCACTGTTATTTTTCTTACACTTCCACCAGAGCTTCAGCTCCCTTGTGTAGAACAACTTTCCCTCCATCGGGTCAGGGACTCTATGGGGCCTACGTTAGAGCCTGTATTGGGACTTCTCAGGATCTTGCGTAATCTTTTGCGTATTATCGACCCAAAATATGCAAGGCTGCTCGAGAGGTACCTTTACGCATTTTGTGCCTTTTTACACGTTGTTCATTGTACGTTGCTCAATAGCATTGCGCCCCTACCGTTTCATGCCCTATCAAACCTTCTCACCCTCTTCTCACACGAAGTGCCCACCCTACCACTTATTCAGCATGTCTGGGATTTTCTGCTCTGTCGAGAACCTTTGGCAGTGGTGTGGCTGGCTGCCGCTGTAAGTACCCCTTTCTACAACCAACTGCTACGATATCATCCCATGGCAAACAACGTTGTTTTGGGAATTCCACTGTTGACTCATAGAAATTGTACAGGTCATTCTCGTTCGAAAACCTGATGTTCTTAAATTAGCCATCGAAGGCGAGGATGGCATGATACACTCAGTTTTGAGCGCTCTGCCTCCGCTCAGCGATGGTTCTGAAACAACAGACAACGTTCCCTCCGATCAGCATACTCGATCAGGATCACCGGATGAGGAAGACAAAGTCGCCTTCAGCGCAGAAGAGCCGAAGCAGCTCTCAGAGGCACCTGACGGGAACGCAAGAAACGAGTCGCCTATAGGACAACAGCAAATTATTGACCCGAAACCGGTCTCCTGTTTGACAGAGAATGGAGCGTCTCAGGATACCACTGACGGTCAAGTCGTACGTGGAGAGAGCAGCATGGCTGCTAATGCCGACCACTCTGTTGAGCATTTGGGCGTCCAACGATCGGAAAATTTACATCCCGCGTTATTCTCGGCTCAGCCTCAGGAAACTGAGGAATGTGCGGCCACAGTTTCTTCAGAGACTCATATCGATAACACTACCGACGTTGATGCTGATGCTGACTTCGTTCGGTCATCACAGTCCACAACTGCTCCCACCCCACCCACTATTCCTTTCCAAGCCGACACCCCCAACATCGTTACGTACATCTCGTTCTAGTTTCCGCACTGCGTCCCGTTCGCCCTCACCACCACCTCCAATTTCTCGCCAGGCTCCGATTTCGCTTCCGTCTCTTCTAACACATGCCGCACAGCTCCTTGAAGCTTATCCACCCACCCTTCCGCAGCTTCGTGTTAAGGACATACTTGGGCCCAAGAGCGTTGTACACACGTGGAGGCCTCCTCGAGAAGGTTTCTCCACACCATCCGGCAATGAACGTGATGACGACGTAGAGGGCTGGGTAGGGAGCCCTGATGTTGTCGTCCCGTTCATAGAAGATGAAGATATTGAGGAAAGCGAAACTGAACGAAAGACGAAGTCACGCAAAGGTCCCGCGACAAGGCACCGGAGATTCATTCTCCTTCATCGCCTCCGTCTTCGTTTTGGACTGCTCACGTCTGCTGAGAAACGAGTCCTTCTGGTAGGTGCAGTCGCGGTAGTTGGCATTGCCGTTGCCCTTCGGCACAACAGAGGCCTTGCGGACATGCAGAAAGGGTGGATAGCATGGGTACGGGCATTCGCCGGTGGAGTTTGATTTAGAACTGCGGTATGAACGGGACGATGAGTAAGTACCAAAATTATCTCAGAAAGCGATGAATCACTTCAATATTGATCAGTCTTCCTACAGATATTCGTGCGTCGTAATTGCATATAATTATAGGACAGCTTGCATTTTTATGGAACGCTTATTACTTCAAATATCAGAATGCTTGATTATAGGCGGATTATCCTGATATGCGGGAACTCTGCTTTATTTGATCGATTCCAAAGAACTGACAATATTCATGGCTAGTGATGCTGGGTCAGGCATCCATTTTCGATCGTGGCTTCGTGGTTGTGATCGAAAGCCCGTCCCGAGGAACTCGATCGATCATGATTATATCCCACACACCGAAGCCGTCTCACATCTTTCATATGGAATCAATTTTAATAACTGTGTGATTTCTACTCGACGGTCTGCAGCGGAAACCGTTGTGTTACCGACGGGACGCCAAGGTGATAAGTATTTAGGCCAATCAGAATGTGGACAATACACCCAGGGACATCTTTCAGCGAGTATGGATAAACGTACAAGGAGAGTGCCGAAAATACATCTGATTTCCGGCACCGCCTGATTAGAAAGGTTCAGATATCCGTGGTACATTGGTACGAGACAATCGGGGCTGGGCAACCCGATACGGTCAGTGTTTGTAGCTGAGTTTTTTAATACTAGGAACGCAAAAAAAAACCAACTCGATACGCTCGTATCCTGGGACCTGGGGTGAATTCTTCCGAGCCGCGGTAGTTGTATCCACGTTGACTTGCCGTTGATGTGAACCCGACTGAAACTTGCTGGCGTCGATCATCTGCATACGGAACAAGACTTTCGACTTTCCCGAATTATTGGAAGCCGTGTATTACCTTGGTAGACCAAAGAGGACAGTTCGAGCTATTTTCCAGTTTCCAGATACTCATCGCATCCATGGGATGGGCCTCGTTCTGAAACTGACAGGTTTCATAGGGCAGTCTCACTCTCTCTTGCAAGCACGTGTGGGAAAGGGAGCCTTACCATGTCCCGTGCCATGCTATAGAAATATATGGAGTGCTACCTAGACGGCATACGCGATATGCTGCTCTTTGATACTGTTGTGGAAACGCTGGCCCACACTTAAGCCACGATGGCTTCATTATGATGCAGCTCGGTTTAATGGCTGATTGATCCGACCAGGGCCCATCATCCCAAGGGTGGCGCAGATGTGATAATAGGCAAGAGACGTATTAGGAAGCTATAATAAACCCGGCGGTAAGTCAGTCGCACTAATTATGATCCGTGCTCCTCGCGAGATGGTTTGCACTGGACTGGGAGTACTAGCTACCTAGAACAAAGAGCACTACATGGATAATAATTGGGCAGACCTGTACCTATTGGTCTAAACATGCGAGTACCTGGTCTCCTGCACTGAGGGGTTCCTGACTCACGAGTCATCGATGATGACCGGCAACGTCCATGCATACTATGTGACTGGCTGTGCTGATGTACTTCGAACACAACAACATATTCTTGGAGGCCCTGCAGTTGTGCTGTAAGCTTGTACGGAGGTATGCTTTCTGGTGATCACTCACAGCATCACTTGGCTCGATCGCAATCACGAGTGCTTTGGAACGTAGCGCGCGAGTAGTCTTGGCATATCTACATTGAAACCGACAAAGGCACGTAGCCCTAATATCTTTGACAATGTCCGCAGGCTGATGACGTGTACTAGTAGCAACTGTGCTTCTCAATCCCCGTGCCTTCAGACAAGACGACACACAGACATAGAGGGCAATGTAAGACCGATTGAGAGCTCTGATATTCGCCACGTAACATCACCGAAAACAAACCGTCTTGAGGAATAATGACAGGTAACACTGCACAGTCGTGGAGACGATAAATAGTCTGCACATGTGAACCCAGTCAAATCACTCACAAGACACTTGCAAGATGTCCTCCAACTCCCCTGACTCACAACAGAACAAAGCAATCTCGCAGCGCCAGTACAGAGGGAAGGAAGTGGAGGGATTTGTGGAGCTTCAGCTGGTCATCCGTGAAGTGACGGGGGGAAGAGACGTCCCAGTAAAGCGTCATGAAACCTTGACGAAAGGCAAGTCTGACCATTCTGTCGACATTCAATTTCCTAACCCACACACCAGCGGCACAGAAGATTAGAGAGCTTAAGCATCAAAATGATGAATTGCGCAGACAGCTCAGCATCATGATACCAGATCCGTCGCGTGGAGCGCTAGGTACATTATCTGATTGTTGGGTCCACTATAATGCTAACAGTACGCAGGTGGTCAGGTGCCCGGGGCAGGGCCAGGGGGAGCTACCGTTAACCCATATGCTCCTGGTTTCAGTGCTTGGGAGATTGACTCCAGCACAGCCCAGTATCCCGCTCAACCATATTTTGACAACGCTGAAGTGTCAGAATTTAACTTGCCGCATGGGTACCCCGAACAAGGCAGTGGCATTTAAGTGATTGAACATCAGGCAACAGGAGCAAGATGGAATTGGCAACATCTCACTATTAATTATATATTGGTCTCTAGTAACTCGTCTTGTGCTTTTTGTAGAATTATCGGATCATTCCTCTTGAATACTTAGCAAAAAAAGAGAAGGATCGGCTTGAGCGATAGAGCAATTGCACAGTTTTAAGAAGGCTTGTCTTTAACTCCGGTGTAAGCACGCTGGCTTACCTGAGTTCCCATACTAAGTATATATACTGTCGCTGATACTGAAAGCTAAGCTTTCAGTATTCTACCTTTTGGTGTAACGGTTATGCGCGTGCGGCAGTCTGACCTACTTACATCCGGCTTCTAAGTAGGTTGCCTGACTTACCTCCGATAAATCTGATCTGAGTACAAGTGCCTGCAGCATATGAATTTAAATTCCGCTAACGTCGCACCTGAGGCCTGATCACCTATCGATCTGTGTGACAGAAGCGATCTTACATGAAAATGCGGGCCCTAGTAGCATTGTCTTAAGATGAGAATACTTAAATCGAATGCTGTCGTCATTACCAAGGACTTGAGGCTCAAATTCTAGTAGTCTCCCTGCCTATCGATCCGATATTTACTAACAACCAATAGATGGAAGAGTAATGACTAGGTATCTTTGCCTGCAAACAAATGTTTGGTTCCAATTACGACGCCGAGATCCAAAGACCACGTGCACAAAATCGTGTCTTCCGTTGATGCCGCATTTCGAATTGTGCGAACCTCGATGAACTCAAATGATCAATTTGACATGCTAAGGAGGATGATCAAGCTCCCGACGATGCCCGAAATCCGCTGATATCGATCCCAGACAAAAGACATCTCGATCTGTTTGAAATAATCCGACGCCTGAATTGTACTCGTCGGGGAATAAGCATCACGCCGAGAAGATCCATGCGCATAGCCTTGGTGGTAAATTGCTGCGGCACAGCACCCAAGTTAAGGTTGTGCCCCTGATTACTTTCACCGACATCTCCGGGCGAATCTGTTTTTACGAGGACGCTACTCAAGAGCCCGTCGTTGCCCAGCATATTAACGAAGATCTCCTTTCCCTTAGTCTGTTGAGGGGAGACTATGTTACACCACAATAGAAGCATCAAGGCGAGGATCCAAGCGTTCAGATGACAGGCAGAGTCATAAACCAAATGAATACACGTACCGCACCCCTGCATTGAGCATGGTCACCCTTGCACCAAACATGGTCCTGTGCCCTTGAAACGAGAATCGTTTGGGAACAACGAAAACAATGTATCCATGTGCCCGCTTCATGAGGCTAAGGGACCCGAAGTGCAACCGATGTCATACTCGTGAGATTCCGGAGACATAAGCGCCCCTATGAGCTGATCAGTCCAATCTGTGTAGAAAGCACCACTTCGACTGATTTGTGCTTGCACTACATCATGACATGTCCCAAGACGAGGCAGAAATTTTTCAGTGCTGTGTTTGCCACGTTCATGTAGAGGGAAGGCAGCGGGGGCGATGTTTGAGTATTTAAGATGAAGTTTCACCTGACGAATGAATGTAATGACTCACTACTCCTCCATGGAGCAAGCCCATTGTCGATCTTCGTTCTCTCCTATTTCAGAGGCTTTCGACATAATGCAAGATGATGCCACAAAGCGTACATCCAAGCAGAAAAAGTCCATACAGCAACGGCAATACAGAGACAAGGAGGTTGACAGCTTTGCCGAGCTTCGCGAAGCCATTCGCGAAGTGACAGATGATCAAGAAACCCCCGGGACGAGACACGAGACACTATCGAAAGGTGAGTACACTAAAGGAAATGAGCCAGCGGGAAGATTCACCATGTGGCTACTAGCTGCACAATACATTAGGCAGCTTAGCTGGATGAATCTGAGGTTGCATCAGCACCTGAGCATCCTGAAATTGTCTCAAATGAATGACGAAAGCTGCGTGACGATACCCAGTAGGTGGCGGCCACTGCGAATCCCTGCGCAATTGCCTGATACACAGACTTTACAGCGCAATTACCTACTATGCCATTGCACTGGAGCAGTGATATCGATCTGGCTGTCATGCACCGAACGACAGACATCATACCACAAAGCACACTGCACGACTTTTCCATCGGCGTGAGCTCTGGGGTGTGTGGTGACGCCACCGTGCCGGAGGGTGCGCAGGACCAGACGAACACCATTCCACGACGTAGTGACAGCTTGAGACAGATCAACCACTATACGTCCTCTAGACACCCCTTGAACCAGTCTCACATCTCCTATGACATATATTCATACTAGAAACGGAAGCATATGTAGAATAGCACCTACCACATTTTCTGTAACAGCACGGTTATAATCGACGAAGTATCCGGCTCCTGCGTGAGATGTATTGAGGGTGTTCATGGAATGGCCGTAAATGCATTTACGCGCCTTACTTGTAAGTAATTGTGAAAGGCGATGTAGTTCTGCTAGGAAAACACGCCTCACCCGGTATCCGGTACTAGAATGCCGAGCGTTTCATAAGGTGAATGCAACCCGATAGCTCGGGGAACTTGTAATAGTGAATACAAGGCGAGTTCAAAAAATATTCAAAACACTGTCATAGTAGTGATGGGCGAGGCTTTATCTGTGACAGATCACTGTAAAAACGGCTAGATTTAAAGCCTGGGATGTAAAGGTACCCACTGCAGTTGAGGGCACGGAAAACCATTCAACGATGAATATATGTCGTTCGCTTCCCCTTGTGAGCTAATACGCGAATGGATTAGATCTGATGTAACAGATATGGCAGGTTGGGAGCTGACTGTTTGCGCGCTAGGTATGCACCTTTATTAGAAGAAACCTTCTTCTGTAAGTCTGGCTAATAGGTGTGCATGCTGATGGGGAGCCCTCAATGTGCATAGAAGTTCCCCGGGACACACACCTCACCCTGTGGGAATAATGCATTATTTATTGTAATTACAAGACACAGCTAATGCATTAACAGTTGTAATGGCTAAATGATACATTACATAATGATAACTGTTAATTTTGGTTAGAGTTTGAGGTTAGATGTTGGATGTTAGACAGTTTGTTAGACAGTTGAGTAGTTAGTTAGAAGTTAGTGGTTAGTGGTTAGTTAGAGTTAGTTGGTGATTAGTTAGTGGTCAGCTATGATTATATTCTGCCTTGGAAGGTTAAATGTTAAATTAAAGGTTGGTGCACTGGTAGTTACAATAGTTAATGCATTACATTAGTCTTGTAACTATCATTAATTAATGCATTAAAATGACATGGTAGCCTCCCGAGTGATATACCTAATAGAACGATATATCTACTGGTTTGTTAGCATAAAGTGAGGGATGATGTTGGTTGAATCCGCAAGTTCTCTACCTTGGCAAGATTCTAGGTTCGGATGAGTATATTGAAACTATGAATCTCCCTCTGACCAGTAATTTCAAAGGGCCGCCGCCAACTCAAGCCTCATCATTTTGGTCAGGGGCGCATGTCAACTGTAAGCACGCTGGCTTACCTGAGTTCCCATACTCAGTATATATACTGTTGCTGATACTGAAAGCTAAGCTTTCAGTATTCTACCTTTTGGTGTAATGGTTATGTGCATGTGGCAGTCTGACCAACTTACATCGACCTCCCTAATTAAATTTTTACGTCACTAAGAAGTGCTGCTAGTGAATCCTGAGAGATAGGAATTGATGTGTTAATGTATGTATGATGGCATCCTATGGCGTCTCTTCACAGCGTGGGAGTCGATAATTTTAACTTTTGCTTGCCATTGATGGCTCATTTGATGACCCGGAAATGGTTTGCTTCACATGCTTGACTAGGCAGAGATTCATGTGTAGGAGATTGTTACAGGGACATTACGTAAACCCCTTGGACCAGCTTATTCTCTTTTACCTATCTTTCATCACCGCTATCCGTCGCCACAGTGACTTTCATCTTTCTGTTCTCTTGGCTTATCTGTACTGGCTGATCATTCTCGCACCGCTTATCTGGTTTACCCATTATCTCTGACTCATACCCTATGCCCTTACCGCATTGTCGGTACTACCCTTGACCCTTACCGTTCAACTGGTATCTTCTGCTTTTTGTATATAAAGGACTCCATACGCTGTAGTAGTCCTTAACTTGAATCTACTCAGTATCATGCCTTAAACCTCAGGACAGAGGGATAGCACGAAAGCTAGATAGCAAGCCTCATCGCTTCTATCACATTTACACTATCTTCTACTAGACGTTCCGTCTAGTAGTCTTACCTTGAAACTCATCGCAACACTAGATTGGTACTCCTTGTGGGTATCTAGTGCGGAACCAACTGAGTTCGTAACAGAGATAGGTCCGCTAGAAGACCTATCAAGTCTAGAAGGTCCTGGATCAGCTTACTATGGTTCTAGTCTCCGCTAGCCAGACATATAGAAGAAGGAAGGCAGTCATTCCAGGCTTCCAATCCAGCTATAATGGTTCCATGAAGGGCCTTGAATGATGGCAAGTGACCATGATATATGATAACTGGGACCTTTGGGCTTAAATCATTTCAGCAGGATATGCCTCCGATATTAATATTGGCAGGTTCACTGAGGAAGACTGGTCGTGCTCATTGTCACAATAGTTGAGTGCTAGCGTGGAGCTTTTTTTGCTTAGGCCTTGAGCCATCTCAACATGTCGACTTCGCTTCACTGCAGAAAAATGCAGATTATGTCTGGGACGCATCTGGCATGAATCTAGACATTCGCACCACATTCGTCGCACATAACACTCACATCACAGCAGCGCTGGGATTTCATACTAATCCTCTCATTATGACCAGATCCTTGCAATATTCTACCCACTGTTGAATTCAGGATCATTTTTTTTGTCTAAGTCCAAAGTTCTGTGTGCATAGAAACCCTTGACCCAGCCACAACACTTCTTGCACTGACATGACGACGAACACTAACTGCATACAACTCCAAGGCTATGACGTATGTTCGTCCATTTCATGTATTTGCCTGCTATACTAATAATGATACATGGCTGCTTGTGTACCAGCCTAAGGAGATAAGAGAATGTTGAAATCAGCATCTGCCCCAGAGTACCAAAGATTTCCCTCGCAATGGTGAGGTGACGACGCTCGCAGGAGTTTTCACATACTGAAGCATTGATTCATTTCTTTGTTTTGGTTCTGTAAGTGGCTAGTTCTTCCCTGCAACAGTACAATTGTTGTCTACTGAAGGGAGCAGTGTTTTCAAATGGGTGAGTGCTAATCAAAGTTTCCAAACATTCTACTGATATAATTCAGACTAGAATCAAATCGTCTTTCCTTGTGGCAAGATATTTGCGCCATTTATCTTTCCCTTCTCCAATACTCATTGGGTAGCCTGGTAAGTCCTGCACATTGAGTTTCTGGATGCCTAGCAGAATTCTGAAGCTTTCACCTACTAGATCCTTTGTTCTAGTGTTCTGTTTTGTCTTTTGTTGCCGCACGACTACCAAAAGGTATGCACTCTGAATTGCATCATCACTTGCACACTGTTGATCATCCTTCTCTGCCCTCGCATTTGTGGTAGATTGCTGCCCACTGTCATCTACTTGCTCACCCTCGTCATTCTCTATATCTGCACCATCACCTGCTTCAATATATTCAATGCTGACTTGTGCTTTGATGTGTTGCAAATGCTCATCTGCATCTTTCTGTTGCAACTTCAGGTGCAAGTTTTCGGCTTTGAGAAGCTTGTTCCCATTGTACAGGAACTGAAACTCATTTTCTGTTTGGTCTTTCAGTGTCGAAAATTTCGTTTCAAGCTGTTCATGGGCGACAATTGTGGTATTGAGTCTCGCAAGATTCGCAGACACAGTGAGGGGGAGAGTTGAACTGTACTATTACTAGGACATCATACAGTGCTTGTAACTACATCTGAGATCCACCAGTAGTACTGCTATATGATCTACTTGCTACTATAGCCAATGGTTTGCAGCACGAGCAGTAATTGGTGCGCTATAGCCGGCTGCAGCTGCTGGCAGTGGGGGTACTGGGTAGGTGGTTGAGGATTATAGAGCGAACAAATTACACAAGAATCTATGTGAAATGAGACACGAATGCATGAATATTGCGACCAATCGTTTGACATTACAGCTGCAACGGACCTGACAAAAATCTCACACGAGTCTGCTACAGATCTGGAGGTTTTTGCCACATCCATCCCATACATAATCTGCCTTTTTCTGCAGTGCTTGGTATTCCAAATGTTTTTTGCGGCCTTCTACTCTCAGATCAACATATGAAAGTCTACCATATTATGGAGCTGCTGATGCGCATTGTGCTTTTGAGTCAGGACTATATACCATCTGTTCTCAGTCTGATCTCTCTCGTCTTTCACGAAATGCAAGACCATGGAAACTCACGACTGGTCGCTAAGCCCTGAGGTGAAGTAATGCTCTTCATGAACAATGTACTTCTATGTTTGGGTTGCCTTGGGATAATAACATTGTCGGCCCCCATTCTTCGCTCATGAGAAACACGGAGGTGACCAGAGATGCTTTATTTGCAGTCAGCCACGAAGATCAGTGACATAAACTATCTTGGATCTTCTTTTTCATCACTAGTTTTGCATCAAAAGTGTGCGATGCCAACAAACCATGTTCTCTGTGGACGACGGTGAAGGTGCTTGTGTCTGAGGCTACCATGTCATTTTAATGCATTAATTAATGATAGTTACAAAACTAATGTAATGCATTAACTATTGTAACTACCAGTGCACCAACCTTTAATTTAACATTTAACCTTCCAAGGCAGAATATAATCATAGCTGACCACTAACTAATCACCAACTAACTCTAACTAACCACTAACCACTAACTTCTAACTAACTACTCAACTGTCTAACAAACTGTCTAACATCCAACATCTAACCTCAAACTCTAACCAAAATTAACAGTTATCATTATGTAATGTATCATTTAGCCATTACAACTGTTAATGCATTAGCTGTGTCTTGTAATTACAATAAATAATGCATTATTCCCACAGGGTGAGGTGATCACTCGTAGACTCGAGTTCCTGTCGAACAGAGACTGAGATATATATTGTTCTACTAGCTCTCTCGTCGCGTCCGCTCGCTTTTCATAACCATAGTTGAGTCATTATATTACTCATGTTTGTTCTGACCGCGATCAATGAATGAGCTATCAACGCGCGCCTCTCGGCCCTCGGACTCATCTCCGAGGCTTGTGTCGTATGTAACCCAGACATTCAAATCCTGAGGTGGGCTGATTCCTGAAGAGGGAGACTAGGTCGATGTTGTCCATATTTCACGAATAAGGAAGCACTATATAAAATACTTCTGTGTTGTCTTCTGACCTTGATCAGATCAATGTTCTTCAAAACCGACGTGGATTTTATAATTAACATTACATTCGCAAACTGGTACTCAGGACGATCTCCTCCAAACACAAAGTCAAAGTCATATATGTAGAACACACTTGTGCTCATTTCTTGCCGATAGCCCCTTTCCTCACGGGCAAAAGGTAACTGTGAATGCAGCGTTGAGAGAAGAGCTGCAGGTGAATAGAGAAGTCGTGTCATCGTATGCATAAGCGTATGCGTTGGGGCAGTTATCCTCTGCATATGGGCAATCAGTCATGTGCAGACAAGCGAAAGTGAGATAAATGCTTACTGAAGTAGCTATAATACTCAACGCCTGAGGAAGGGCATGTAGCAGGTGTGTCGTACTGACCACTGCAGCAGTTGGGAGAGTTTGCTAGAAGTCAGATAAGCATCTGCATGGTGCAACAGGAGAGAAATCTTACATGGATTACCATCGAGGTTAGCCTCGCACGCACTTTTGCACCCGACAGGGAAGCCGGTAGAGTCGTAAGGGCCTTGGAGTGGTGCTGGACCTGAGCATGGAAGGTCCGTCAGGAATTTGACCTGTCAGAGTGCGATTTACTCACAGTTAGGCCCCAGGTCCACGGGGCAACTTGGAACCCCACACCCGACATTATTTGTGATACTGACGGGCAAATTATACCCATCGACAAGAGACACTATGATAGGGAGTTAGCCTGACTGACGACTTCGGCTCAGCTCACACGCACCGTCATAGTAATCAACACCTCCTGAACCCAATGTGAATTCAGCAAGAGTGGCAGGAGGGACACCCTGATGACCGAGACGTCAGAACACTGAATCGTCTAACAGTAGACATTTTTTACCGTGCCGGTGGTGGTGCTGCACACTAATCCTCCGTTGCAACCACCGTCGAGGCAAGAATTCGGGCCGGGGTTGGTGCTGAAGTCACAGTCACGCCGTCCCTATTATAATATGAGAGGGTGAGAAAGGATGGTGATTATAGTGCAAACCAACCCAGATTCGTCCAGCAGTCCAGGCGCTCGGGACCTGTTGTCAGTCAGTCAAACAGGTCAAGACCGATGGAACATTATACGTACTTGGAAGGTGACGGCAGTATACTCTGCGGCCTCCCAGCTGGTTGACGTTCAGCTCAGGTTCAAGTGGTGGGTGTAAAATGCCTACCCAGTCGTGTAGCTAGGCAGTGTGCCAGAGCCGGTGAACATCTAATCAGTCATAAGTAAAGATAACATCGCTAGCGCAGCATGGGTAGAAACATACTGCGGGCCTGCAATCGCGTCTTCATCATCAATACAAATAAGAGGAAGGATACGGACATACCAAATGGTGAAAGGACACGCATTGTACACAGTAATGGTGCGCTGAGCGAGCGCTCCTGACGCCAAAGCAAGGGAAGACGCTGCAAGAAGATATTTCATGATACAATGCGCAATTGAACCCAAGTATGAAGATACCTTCACCATTCTCCCGACCGCCCCTTTTATAGTTTTTAGCTAGCGCTTGAGAATCTGCAAAGACAGTGCAGAAATATGCTAGGGAACAATATGGAATATCATCTGTTTAACCTAACCTGTGCTCAAGGGCATGCAACGCCGGGGGGCGGGATCCATCATATGGAGCGTAGTACAGATCTGTCGCACTCTGTCGTACCTCCGAATGAATAGTTCGTCCTGCTGATATCTAAATTTAGCGTTGAACGTAAGGATGGAGGAAACATTGATGATTTGGTACTAGCAGAAGGGGGGAAAGATCCCGTCATCCACACTTGTTTCTGGCCTCCACTGACCATCAAGTAAAGTGCCAAAAGAATGAAGCTATTCTCCAGAAGTGACCACAGAAGTGTGTCAGCAATTTCGCCCCTGCAGCTCAATCTTAGCTGCGCATGGAACATGTGCCTGGAGTTGAAATGAGTTCAGTACTCAGGTGTTCTGAGTCGTGAGGGGCTTTGATTCTCCGCGCACCTAAATTTCTGAACAATGCTGGAAAACGACCGAGATGGCGCCCGTGTCTACATACGGTCCCCAGCGCGTGATACAGTCCAAGATGTCACGAGTCTCCATACGTATAGCTGAAAAGAGGATGGTTATCATTTCTCCGGTGACTAAATATGTTGCAAAACAGCACTAGTAGTAGTGCTAGGAGGCAGTGTCAGAAACGACGGCACCATATGGACGGTTTCTACCATCGCAATGCATTGTAATATTCGTCAGAATCGTTTTCTAAAGTCATCGGAAAATTGCATGAATGATTGCGGTAGGGTCATAAGATACAGCGCAAAGGGTACGGTTAGAAACGAACCTTGACATGGACACGTCGCACACAACTGATGATGATTTGGAACCGGAGCAAAGGCACAGCAAGCGCTGATGCGGATCATGCGCAGAATTGGCAGGTGAAAATGTGTTGATCTGAATGATCTGACCAAGCTTGGTCCATACGGAGGCTCAAGATTCTGAATTTGGCTGGTCTGTGTCAAGTTTCTACAGAGTCCAAACTTGACGCAACTTCGTGACAAGTTCTACTGAAGGTGAGGTGCTAGTGTCCATACAGGGAAACTTCAAATCGAGGCACTTGCCAACATCTTCTACCTGTGACTGTCACGACTCGCCAGCTCGAATCTCGCAAAGGGGAGTCCTTTGGCCAGCGGAGGGAGCTAAAGAAGTCGATGTTCGGAGAACCAACAAGCCGGTCGGTCGGAACCGACGTTCGAAGTTGAATCAACTCAGAACCATGGGTATAACGGACGCAAGCGGACTAAAAGTTTTCGTTTCCCACTTTCGATTTCAACTTTAGTTTTCGGCTTTCGACTTCCAATATGGATTTCGCATCGCAGATGTGGATTCAACTTGGCCAGTGGACGGGTTGCTTCCGTTCGCATTAACGTAGCTCTAGGTGAAAGATTGAAAGCTTGCTGCGGTGCCTTGTACATAGTTAGTGGTAAGCGGTAGGGGTTATTTACGCGCTGTTTGCACCAACAAGCTGATATTTGGTTGTGTTGAGGTGTTAGTCCGCCGTTAACTTGTGCGTCTAGGTCCCTGGGCATCAAAGTGACTGCTGTGTGTCCTCAGAGCTCTGCCCACCTTGTCGTGTAACTCCCTTTGGTGTGCCGGGGGGCGAAAAACATAGGCAGAGCTAGTTTACCTCAATTAGTACCACTGGGATCCCGCTCATTCCAGACTGCCGGTACGAGCGCCACGCGTGGCTCCCCTCAGTGGGATCTCGTTGAATCGGTAAGTCTCAATCTAGTATTGGCTCCTTTACCTCCCCTCCTTACCATGAGGCTGGTATGGCCCGTTTTGCCCCAAGCCGAATGGTGGAGTATCACGCTCTCGTTCCCTCATCCATCACCGATTTTTTTTAGTTATATTTACTCATCACACTAACGCACTTGACCCAGGCCAAATTGCAACATGCATGCAGCCGAAGTTCTCTCTTCTGGCGTCTCACACTCGTCAACAACCTCTCCGTATCACCGGCTCTCATCGTCCTAGTCTCCGCAGGCGGCTCAGACGCAAGCATGATCAACAGCTACGGCGGACTCGTACTCGGCATCACAGCCCTCGACGGGCTTCTCCTCGGTTCCAAATTCTTCATTATGGAAATCAGTGCCATGCGCTGGGTCACTCGTCTCCGTGACACCGCTTTCAGCCGTGTTCTCAGCCAGGACAAGAGCTGGTTTGACCGTCCTGAGAACGGTGCAGCCAAGCTTACCCAAGTCATCGTGAAAGATGGAGATGATGCGTGTACGCTGATCGCTGTGGTGTCTAGATCGTTGCTGTTGGCGCGATGATGACTGTTGGACTTGTCTGGGCTATGGCTTGGGGGTGGCAGTTGATGTTTGTTGGGCTGGCTATTGGGCCTGTTTTGTTGGAGTTATGGGTCTGCAGACGGGTTTGATGGCCAAGTGCGAGGTGCACAATAAGAGGGCTCGTGAGGAGGTTGCGAGGGTGTACTACGAGGTGAGTTTCATCTTTGCTGTTGTTATGAGTAACATTCTGATTTGTTCTCTAGTCGATTCTCAACGTCCGTGGTATTCGCGCTATGTCTCTTGAACCTGTTCTTCAGGCTTAATTCGACAAGGCCGCTTCGCAGTGCCTTTCCACTGATGTACATGGTGCATTCGTCGAGTACAAGTGCGCTCCATCCGCTGGCTGCGGACATCTGTTGTACGGCGGCAGCATTAAGTTTCAGGAGACTAGATAACGAATCACTTATGTCGTCTTCACTTTGATTCGTTCTTAAAGCTCGCTTGATCCTCATAGATCTCTCCTCCTGTATCCATCCTCAGTCTAGACTCATCGGATAGCAAATATTAAAGCTCATCTGACGCCATCGCGTCAATTTAATATTTCATCTCCTCTTCATCTTCTTTTAGATAACGCGTTCATACAAAGGCAAACTATCTATCGCAGGATGATAAGCTGATTATACGGTGGGCAGTAGCAGGACGCAGTACTCGGACTCTTTAAGTGAGCACACGCAATTCTATTACACGTAATATATTTGTTCACTACGGTTGTAAAGCTGGTGATCCAGGCTCCAATGACCAATGTTCCCCAATGACATGTTGGTATCGCACAGTTCATAGCCTGTGCTGGTGACAAATGACTGTAATTCGGTTGGCGGTGTGACATCTGCAACCTGGAATGCGACGCCGTTTGGCTCGATAAAACAGTCGTAAAGTATGGGAGAATGCAAGTCCTCCGTGCAACGACCTGTTGGCTATCAATTACATAACGTGACCCGTGGACAGAAGATGCTTACTAATCGGTGTCTGGAGCCCTCCGACACAACTCGGTGGTTTGTCGGACCCGGGACGGGATTTGCAAAGCTGGTACTGCAACTCTGCGTTCAACACATAAAGCTCCCTAATCAGCCGCGCAGCTGAACAAACCAGTCAACTAGTTTCCTATTCTCATTCATTATATGCACGCACCTTTCTTCAGGACATCTTGTCTCGTCCTGGGGTCTACTTCTCCTCTAGTGGCGTGATAAATCTCTGTCCGTACCAAGGAAAACCCATCCAGTTCCTTGTTCCTGTACTTCTTTTGCAAGACTGACTTTTTTTGCTTTGGCATTGCTTGCTGAGGTATTCAGGTGACAATAAAGCAGCTGATACGAAGACACGGTATGCATGAATCCAGTGCTTCACATCTCTTCTTATACCCTGACCACGATTTCGCCATCAATATGCTAACTATCAAGGGTGGGTAACTTACGTCCAGATCCTAGCTGAACGGGATATCGGAATCTAAAATTTATCAATATTCCTCGTCGGCACAGGGTATTTATTTAGTGCCAATCAAGGCATGAAGTTCGAGCGCTAAGCCAAGTAGCTTGGGCGGCAAACGTCCTGGCCATGCCTGGCTTCTTCCGTTATCGTCCGAAGGAAGAGATCATTTGAAGGGAAGTTCCCTCGTTTGGGGAACCCTCACATTGGTGCACATGGTTGCGGTGTCTTCTACTGAGCAGAAAAGAAGGCTCGCCTGACGTTATGTGAGTACCGGACTCGAACGGTGCACATAAACCAGTGCATGGCGTCCACCCAAAGCGCTCTAGTAGTGCGACTTGTACCTCGTGAGAGAAACACACGTCTTTTAAGCTTCAAGCGCCAATTAATAGCGCACGCATTGCATCCTTCTGGGTTGAATTTGCTAACGGTTACAGAACAATGTTAAGTTGGTCATGTGGAACACCTGATAAGCGACCATGGCGTCAAAATCTCCGTGCATCCCGCTCATGAAAGTCACGTCTTCAGCTATACAGCAACAGTGGCAGAACTCAAATGGACAGTGGCACCACACCCTTACTGATGACGTACATTATCATACGCATTTGGGCTTGCCGCCATCATTGCAAGGCTCGGGATACTTCTAGCCCGTCGAATCCTTTATTACCTTATGCGGAGTGCCACATTGCAACGCATAGCTAGCCCCCTTTCTTCAAGTCCCTTTGGCATGCGCCTGGCTTCGTCCCTGTACGATATACGTGCTATTCTCTGCGTCGTGCATAATTCGACCGTGCCTTCCACTTACCCAGGTGCCTACCCACCATCATTCCGAGGTTGGCGGCTGAGCCTCATCTTCCACTATGCCAAGACTCATCTTAAAGCAGGTCCAACTCGGATCATGTCATCATCGAAGTGGAAATTAACACAGGGTACGTATGATTGGTGCTCGATCCGGGCCAGTGTCAATCCAGCTTGCTGTAGACAAGTTTTTCGTCCTTTTTAAGATACAAGTGATGGCCGCTGCGCGGCTCGTTTTGTCAAAGATGTCACTGTTTGTTTCTATTACTATAGTCTAGACAAACAGACCGTCAGTGACCCGGTGAGTTCTTGGTGGCAATTATGTAGATTCCGGTGCTTTTACATTGCATTATGACTTTTTATTCTCATGTGCTGGACTTCTTCTCGGCACATTACAATATATTACTTCGACCAAGCAATGTAATCAGTTCTCTGGTTCTCTAATGGATGTAGTGTGATTATCGTCCATCTTCTTGTCCTCCGAAAATAGTATGTGCAAGGTATGGAAATGACTGTATTTAAATTATGATCGCAATGGACGGTCCACGTGTGAGGCGTCAGAAACTATTGAAAGCTATATGTACTTCGACATAGCGTTGGTGCTTAAAGTGTTGTGCGACAAGGTTGCCCCTTCTGAACATTCAACAGACGACTGAGAAATATTCATCATCCACTCCTGAGCTGCAGTGTCACAGGCACCTTCATTTGAGACGTACCAAATGCAAGCGGTTCGCCTGTCTGTTTTCTGAATTCCATAGTGTTCTAGGATTGACCGACCCAACCGCCGTAGGCGGCCGCATATCTAATTTTTCGGTCTTATTTGAGGCATCAAGCAGTGGCTGCTTCGCGAGGTGGCAGGGAGTACCTGATAATAGTTGGACATGCCTTGAAAGAAGTTCCTGAATCCTGATGTGAAATATAACTTGGCGCTACTCGCTACTACAGCCCAGCTATTGATTTTGGTCAAAAACTCAACAGATATTTTGTTGCAAGCTTGTGGTCTTCAGTATATATAACACTCGAATTCGGAGAATCGGAGACTGAGTAGGGAACTGGCCGCTGCGATCAAATTAGGGGGGGGCGCTTTTTGCCCATCCGGTGCCATTGGAATGTGACACGGACAGAGATCGCAACCAGTGCTGCAATGGCATCCCATTAGTAGGTGTGCAGTCACTGGAAAATATAAGCTGGTGCTTGACTCCACGCCCTCAATATGTTCAAGTTCTGGTGTTGTCCCTTTTTCGGTGGCATCCGCAAGAGTGCCAAACCAACGTTATGCAAGAAATGAGCCCAGGAATATCCAGACTATGATGGGCCAGCGCGAAAAACGAGTGCAAGAGAAAGAGGGCGAGAGCCACATTTGGGGCAGACTTGTAGGAATGACGTCGAAATGGAGCAGATGGAGTTGTGCTGTAAAGAGGCGCTTATGATGGGATGGAAGTTTGCGCCCTGGCACGCGAGATGCACGTGGGTGGACGACGATCCAAACTTGTCAAGACATGATTATATGTCGTGGAATGGACAACAGGCCGAACTTCCAGTGAGGAATCGGCACGAGGCTTGGCAGAAATAGCGCACCTGATGTATTATCTTCTTGATCTGGCGGGAAATTACTTGAAAGTGATAGATATAGACGATATCTACGATATATTCGAGTGGGTTTCCGTTCCGAGCTCAAGTGTCGAATCATTGATCGAGCGCTTCCCTTGAACTTCCCAGGTGTTCGGTATTTCATTGGACAGCCTGGCAAAACTTGACTGTCTGGCGCTTATGTTGTACAGCAAGTACACTTGGCGCCCGCTAATACTAGAATGTCTGTTCCACGAGGTCGCATGCCTAGCGCAGGAATTTCTGCACGCAATCCTTATGTCTGTTGGCGCATAGCACACAGCATCATGTAAAATTGCATCGAAGTGAAATTTGTGCCATGTGGCCCATGCCCGACGGCAAAATTTTATAGTATCCGGAAGAAAACGCGAACTCTAGAGACAATGGACATTCCTGCACGGTAATGGTTCTACTTGGGTTCTACTCTTAGAGTTTCAACAAAAAACCTGTTCAGGTACTGGGTCATTGATCGGCCAACGGTCAAAGATTGGCGTTTTTCGTGCATGCGTTGAAGAGCCGCTAGTTTATCGCAAAAACAACTCTGGTAGGGATTAGCCTCATACATATCGCCAGCTGAACCCATCGGTTGCATTGAACTCAAAATCATTGAGCCACGGCCAGTCGGGCAATTGGTGGACTTGCGCTAGGCACAATAGCTCAGTATTCTCGTACTATATCTCATAAGTGAAGGAAGCTCACCTGGATGACTGTTGAAGACTGCTGCACTGTCGTCAGGCTGTGCATACGGCGATTTCTGGAGTTCCTTCAAGCGACGATGAAGGTGCTTGATCACCTCTGTGGCTGTGGTGAAGATTTAATGACACCGCGATTAGGGGCTAGTTCTCGAAACTTGATTACCTTTGACAATTGTCTCAAGTCGAGTCAGATTATCAGTGCTTCGAGTTATATCACGAAGTGATTTTTGGAGTTGCGCGAGTGCTTCCTTTTCGTTTGCTCTGTACTGCCGTTGTAACATGGCCTTGTCCTGAGCTGAACTTCCACGCTCGGCGTCAACGGGGTGCGATTGAGGATGATAAGACGAATGCATGACGGAAGACATTTCAATGATGTAAAGATTACCTTCAGTAGTGGATTTTATACCGGTCATCGACGCATGCGAGTACAAGGAGGACACAGGGTACTCGTGACACTCGGGCGAGAGCAGGCACAACCAATGTCGTCCATAAGCCAGAACGTATGGCACGTTCAAGTTGACAAGAGTCGCTTGCGCACTCACTATGGCACTGTTTGTAAAGATCTAATCGATAGACAATCGTGGACATGCATCTGTAGAAATCATCGTGTGAAGCGACAGAGTTCCAGCGGATGATCGATGAGGGTTTCGGACGATTCGCGGTTGTTAAAGCCCGGCATCTCAGAGTATATCTCAGCGACAGTACGAGGCTCCGGCACAGCATATTCGACAGTATCCAACATGCACCCACAGCCGCGGTGATGCGAGTTGTCCGGAGACAGCTGTTTTATACGTGGAAGTTTTGCTCGAACTTCAGTGGGTAGTAAGTACTAAGTATAAAGGTTTACATTGTTAGCATCGGTATGACATTGGATCGTCGGCCTACAGCTCAATCGATATCGGATGGATCTAGCGTCAGTACTAAAAAGGTTTACCTCGGTAAGTACCCGCTGAAAAGTCCCTGACCGTATTTTGATACTTGAGTCTATGTCTCGGAAGAGCGCGGGGAAGAGACCGGTTCCGTTGCGAACACATTTTAGGCCAAATCTAAATATTAGAAAACAAGCACCTACAATAGTCACGTGGTGATGTGTATTAGTACTGCGTGTCAGTGTCAGTGTCCCCAGTCAAGCAACGCAAGCTGAGTATCGATATTTAGAAGATAGATTTTGCAACGGTTTGGCTCAAGTACTAGGTGGTACGAGTCAGCAGTAATGCGTTCTGGCGCACTTGTTGTCCTTGGATGCGCGTTGCTTGTTTCCAGCGCGTCGCCCCCAGTCAGTGTATCTTTGCGTTCATCTTTCAGTGCCGCAGATCCATTACTTGAGGCATTGTAAGTTCGAACTATTCGACTCTCGGGTGCAGCTAACACCAGCTAATATCATATGTGACTTACTACAGAGAAACCCTGGCCCTTGCCTCTCCCGGTCACCTATTTTCCCTCCTTAATCATTTTCCGCTCCCGCTGAAACCCACAACCCCAGAAGAATCGCATAAGGCCGTCTTAGATCTCGCTAAAATTTACCTTCTGCCTCCGGAGACGGCTGCTGTGAATGTTGGGCTAGCTTTACACGTTGCAAGTCCAAAGCTTGCTGCACAGCACATACATGAAAGTGGAAGAGCAGGATGCGAAGATTGGGTAGATTGGTATGGAAATATTGCATGCAATGCAGAAGAACTCGAGCGTCTCGTCGAGATTTCTGCTGCCGCCTCGGATTCCGAGTCCCAACCAAAAATAAAGCACCTCCAAACAGATCATACTCCACCTCTTCAGCCCTCACTCGATGCCCCCAGATGGACAGCAATACACTACGCCGATCCTATGTCACCTGAATTCAAATCACTACACGGCGCACTACTCTCTTTCAATCCTGACGTGGAGTACGTGCTACGATGGGCTCGGCCTATTATTGCAACAGATGAACCATATTTATCCGGGTACGGCGTTGCACTGGACTTGAAGAAGATGGATTATCTCGCTGTGGACGACCGGAAGCGTGCTTCTACCTCCCAGGACGGTTTCCATGACAAGGAGGGTCAAGAAGGAATCGAAGAAGACGTACTGAGCTGTATATTTGAGTCCATGCCTTACATTGATAGCGAAATGGAGGAGAAAGTTGCCGGAAACAATCCTTTGAGTAAAGAGGAAATTCAAGGTAGTGCACTTTTCATATTTTCATATTACCCAGCGCTCATCTCGTATGACGTAGACCTCGGCGTCAAAGCAGCGTCTTTCCTGGCTCTCATTTCTAACCCCACGTCCCTCCCGCCAATCGTCTCTTCATGCTTATCGGACAAATCGCTCACCCCGCTGAATGTGTTGTATGCCCTGTCTACAAATTTTCCGCACTATGCAGCTCCACTTGCGCGCAAAGTTAGTGTGCCGGACACAATACGAGACGAAGTGCAAGACAACTGGGGAAAGGCAATGATGGGTGTGAACATGGTATGGGTTAATGGAAGGGTGCTAGAGGGTGAAGTTGGGATATTTGGGTGGGTTTGCTGCCTTTGCTTTCTTCCTTTATTCTCCCGCCGCCTCTTGCGTCGCGTTCTGAAATTCTGTTCTCTGTTCTGATCTAAGTTCAGGCTTCTACGCAACTTTGCGCGAGAACGCGCTCTTATTCGCTCCCTCGTCGAACTTGGTATGTCGCGGGCGCAGGCCATAGAGTTTGTCATGCACCCGGTGCATTCGGGTGCGTTCGACTCACCTCCGTCGAAATTGAAAGTCAAGAGAGGCACGACGTTGGGCTCAGCCAAGCGCTTTGTCCAAGAGGTTCTGGGCACGGACACCGAGAACGATGCTGAAGCAGAAATTTCTATTGAAGCACAGAAGACATATGATATCCCTCCGAAGTGGGATGACCTCCTCGACGGCTTGGTTGACTCTTCGGATAGGCTTGAGGGGGGTGGCGTTATAGTATGGTGGAATGATATCGAGGACGACACGAAATATGCTGGCTGGGGGACAGACTTGACACAGGTCGGTATATGCGCACATTTGTGGTGTATTTTATGCATGCTCACTTTGTTTCATTTGTGTTACATAGCTCCTTCACTTGCGTCCCACTCAACTTTTTAGCCCTCACTTGCGTTTGCGGGCCAACATCATTAATGTTGTCCTCGCTCTTGACTTTTCGCAGCCGCGTTTCTTTCCCCTCATTGCAAGTCAAGTGGATGGCATCGTCGCCCGCGGGTTTCCTGTCAGGTGGGGAATCGTTCCAGTTTTTGCCAACGACGGGGATGGTACGTACTATTTTCTCTCAACAACAATACTCATTGTCATGCTCGGATAGGCCTTAAAATGGCGAGAATTATTTATTACGTTGCACAGAAATTCAGTCGTCCAGAAGTAGCTTCATTTTTCCGCTCTGTATGACCTTCACTCTGCTCTCATTCTAAATCACTTGACGATCCTCTCCCATAGTTATCCACTGCGCATACGCAGCAGGAGTTCCCTGCTCTGTCCTGGAGTGCTGTCCATGCAGCATTCAACGCTCTTGGAGCATCAGATAATTTTGCGGACATTGGCAGCGGGAAGTTTCCCAGCGTTGAAGAAGCTGTTGAGAGCGCAAGGGGGTGGATGAAGAGGCTTGGTGTGAGCGGCAAGGATGGGGAAGGGTTTGTGAACGGAAGGTGGCATGAAGTGGGGGATAATTTCTTACGAGACTTGCAGAACGAGGCGGTTGGGCAGTTGCAGTTACTACAGGAACTAGTAAGTATTTCAATTTCCCCCCTGACCTCGCTATCTGATTGGCCGTCTCGTTTACTTACCTCCCATCCTTTAGGTCTACCTGGGAGAGCTGACCAGTGCCTCCGTACCGCTCATATCAACGTTCTTTTACGATTTCCCTACAACATTCTCGAGCCGGAATCCGTACATCTTCAGCAAGGCACCATCTTCAGTGCATGCTCATTCGTCAAGTGCTGGGAACCTAAAAATGTTTGATCTTGGCGATGTGAGAAAGCGTACGGGATGGAACCCGCTCACATGCGCATGGGTGACATCGGGTAAATCTTTGCGTCTTACACGTCCAGTTTAGACATCGCTAATTTTGTCCCGCGGTTCAGATGCCGAGAGGACACCAATGAGCATGGCTGTCATTGCCGATTTGGATTCGGCTGAGGGACAAGCACTGGTCCGGGAGGCTGTGGCATTCGTTTCTGTGAGTCATCTGTATCTTCGTCCACTTTCGTGCTCATCCATGTGCAGAGAAAGGAGGCACAATCACGCGTCACATTCCTGCATAACCCCGCTATTGGCTCAGCTGGCGGTAAAGTGTCATCCTTCTTTGCGAGTGTTGGGTCGACAAGCGACCTTGGGGAGCTCTCTCCCGATGTGTTACGACGAGCGCTTGATGATTTAGAAACGCAAGACTCTGCACAACTGTTTATTGCCGAAGGAGTACGGTTGCAATTGGATTCGCAAGCACACACAGCGTTTCTGACCACGAGTCGTCTTCTCGCGCGCGAGGCGGGTCTCCAGCCTGGAGAACAAGCCATCCTTGTCAATGGCCGAGTACGTGGTTCAGTCTTGTTTCAATTGAACGTGGACAGTAAAACCTCATGCATAGCTCATCGGTCCTATCGGTCCTGCTTCGGAGTTCGTGTCGGAAGACTTTGCGACGCTGGAGACGTATGAAATGAAGAAGCGAGTCAGGCGTGTGGTGCAAGCTATTGAGGATGTTCTTACTGACGGTACAGAGCTTGATACGTGGGTCGTCTACCGTCTAGATCTCTGCCACTTTCGGGTTCTGATATTGATTTTGTGAACAGAGTCGCATATGCAAATATCATATCGATGGCATCATCGATAATCTATGCAGATCAGCAGCCAGATCCGAGTGAGGCTGGATTATTCGACAGCGCGCCGAGACCTAGAACCAGGAATTACAGACTCTTATCCGGCAACTACACGTATGTGTTTTCTCTCACCTGCGTGCAGCGTTGAAATGGCATGTTGACTGAATATCTCTGTTTGCAGGAAATTTGAATTTGGTGATCGAGAGAACGCACTGACGCACCTTGTACTGCTCCTTGATCCCTTGAGTGAAGGAGCACAGAAGTGGATCGCAATCTTGGAGGTACGTCACAATCTCGGACCATAAGACCGTCAAGTTAATGAAGGCGACAATAGAAACACGAGGAACTCTTCCCGGAGGTGTACTTTGAACTGCGCCTCAATCCAGCCCTACATTCCGAAGTATGCAAAATCTTTTGGATTGTTCTTGGCACAACTGACTGGATTCACAGATCCCGCTCAAACGATTTTACCGATATAGCGTCGAGCCTCACGTACAATATGATAACAAAGGGTAGGTGGCTTGTTTTTCTGCTTGTGATAGCACTGAGGAGCAGTCCAGCAACGAGATTCCGGTGCAAGTAACCTTCAATAGGCTGTCCGTAGACCCGATATATACCCTTAGCATGGACGTTCCCCCCTCGTGGCTCGTTCGCCCACGAGAGGCGCTCTATGACCTCGACAACATCCAGCCAAGCACACTCCCACCTGACGGTCTTCATGCTCTTTTCTCGCTTGACTACCTTGTCGTTGAAGGGCATGCACGGGAAACACAGTCCAATAGCCCCCCTCGAGGCGTACAGCTCCAACTTACCACTTCATCATCTACTGCCAATCATACTCCGTCCGTAGTCGACGACACTCAGGTGGTTGCGAATCTTGGGTACTTGCAGTTCAAAGCGCGTCCAGGAACGTTCAAGCTTGGTATTCGCGAGGGAGGTGGCCGTGAGGTGTATGAAATGGCCAGCGTGGGCAGTGAGGGGTGGAATAGTCCCTCCGTGGAAGATTCTGGAGAGGAGTTGACTGTGATGAGTTTTGAAGGACTGACGCTGTACCCCAGACTCTCGCGGAAGCCGGGTATGGAGAAGGTGGATGTGCTGGGGGGACTACCGCAACGCTCAGGCCATTCCCAAATGATAGGCGGTATTTTGTCAAAGTGGGCGATTTTTCTTTTCTTGCCGCTATCGTTGGTCCTGAAGTTTCACCACAGGGTTTCATCTTTTTTCACATCAAAAAGTAAGAGCACGACTGAAGTCGTGGAGACGGCGGCCAAGCAAGCGGACATCAACATCTTCACCGTTGCTTCTGGACTGCTCTATGAGGTGCGTTCCCTTTCCCCGTCTACCAAGCTCCATGCCTCCAACAGTTCTTCGTTTCCAGCGTTTCGCTTCCATCATGATTCTTAGTGTCCTGCGAAACACCAAAAGTACTGTGAAATTCTGGTTCATTGAGAATTTCCTATCGCCTTCTTTCTTGGTCAGTTGACGTGCGGTATCACTTGCAACACGCCTCATTGTCGTATTACAGGAATTCATACCACACATGGCCGAAGAATACGGCTTCCAGTATGAGCTTGTGACTTATAAATGGCCCTCTTGGCTCCGCGCCCAGAAGGAAAAGCAGCGCATTATTTGGGCATACAAGATTCTTTTCCTCGATGTTCTGTTTCCCATGGACCTCGATAAAGTCATCTTTGTCGACGCGGACCAAATTGTCCGCGCGGATTTGCAAGAACTGGTTGACCTCGACTTGCACGGTGCACCATATGGTTATACGCCTATGGGCAATGACAACTATGAGATGGAAGGTTTCCGGTTTTGGAAAACTGGGTATTGGAAAGACTTCTTGGGTGGTCTTCCATATCACATCAGGTGCGTTCATGTGGTTGCACGTTGGATCGATCTGACGCTTCCCCAGTGCCTTGTATGTCGTAGATCTTGTCCGTTTCCGCCAGGTATGTGAGTTACTTCTGTGACGATCCCTTATTGATGGACTTTAGATGGCCGCGGGTGTACGTTGGCTCTTCACCGTGTCCGAGGAGTTTTGGTGACGTTTTTGTTTCAGGACATCCTCCGTGGACAATACCAGATGCTTTCGGCTGATCCAAATTCGCTTGCTAACTTGGACCAAGGTAAGTTGTGCGAGTTTCAAGGAGGCCCGTGCTAACGCAAGCGAAGATCTGCCGAATAATATCCAAAGAGACGTCCCAATAGTGAGTCGGAAATTGTTTTAATGAGTGATGCAGGACATTGATGGTTGCTAGTTCTCTCTTCATGAAGACTGGCTTTGGGTATGTGAACTTGGCTTGAGTGGTCTCGATCTAATACTGATGATGTGGCTGATGTAGTGTGAAACCTGGTGTATGTTATCGACCTCACTCTAGACCTCTCCCTTAACGATCTAACCACTATATGCAGGCAGCGCAGATCGTCTCCATCGTGCCAAAACCATCGACTTGTGCCAGAACCCCCTTACGGTCAGTCCTATCAGACGTTGCCAGCAATCCATCTGACGCATATCTGGCTTCCACAGAAAGAACCAAAATTATCTCGTGCAAGACGTATCCCTGAATGGGAGGAATACGACAACGAGATTGCGCAGTTCGCGGGCAGGTTGGCTGCAGAAGGAAAGATTCATTCGAGTGTTGCTACCGCTCGGTCGGATGTTATTGCGAATGTTGGATCGGCGAAGCCAGCGAACGACGATGACGTTGGGGGTGCTTCGGATGGTGAGGACCTTCAGCATCCGCATGATGAATTGTAGATATGTAGACATCATAGACGATTTTGTTAATGGATCTTTGCTGTGTTGCTTGAGATGTTGATCATTGCCAAGCTGTCGACTCGTGGGTTTATTGTCGTTAGTCCTCATGCTCGGATATGTCTTGACCCGGCCAGGATCCAGAACCAATGCAGTGATTGTGAGGCTTCATAGTGGGTAACTTATATCACAACATTGGTTCTGGAATCTCTCGCGTAATTGATCCTCATCGACCCGCATTGCAGGACAAACGACATACTCGAGAGGAGTCTTAGAACAAAACATGTTTCTCCCCCCGGCCATTGACAAGTCCGCGCGCAGCCTCGTAACGTCACAACGTCACCTGTCGTATTCACGCCTCACCCTGAACTTTGTCTATCGCTGCCAGCTGGCAAGAGATACCTTAAACGGGACAAGCCAGGGTCGAGACTCGACGGCGCTGTGGCGTCAGACTCAAAGGAGATGCTCCACTTTGCTATCCGCACGGAATTTCATAGACTTGAGTTAGACCTACCTTTCTCCCTAATGCAGAGATGCGATCAAATCTTCCTTTCCCACTTAGGACTGGACGGATGATTTTTGATACTTTTTAAAGTTTTTTGACGCACCTACAGTGACTGTAAAACGCAAGAGAGCATACCGTTTTTGATAATTCGGATGAGATCGCCGTGAACGCAGGGTCATGATCGGCTAGCGTCATTGACGTTGAGTAGATATGAAGTCTGAGTAGTATAATCTTATCATGATGCTGTAACACAGAATTTACGGAGAAAGAAAGAATCTTATCATCAAGTGGGCCGATAGGAAGCAGGGGGAAAATTTGGGCGTAAGTAGCTGTTAAAATCTGCAGGGGAGACGCGGTAGAAATAGGTGAGGGCATCGCAGGGTTTGAGTGTGTCGCCTCCGTTCATGTAATTTGATTAAATCCGAACGGCGGGGAAGTACTTACGCTACGGGCTCCACCGATATCAGCAGCTGATGCATGCAGATTTCATAATGATGGAAGTCAGAAATGGCTTTGAGAGACGGATCTGTGCAATGAGGCGTCTAGGAAAGGTAAAGGGACCCCACAGGAGAGGCTTGAAAGGGGATACCGGGTAAGGTGTGTCCGTAAAATATGACCACAGCTGGCAGGACAGGCACGGACGAGAATAGAGAGACTGGTGCGGTAGGGAAGGTATGATAAGAATGGTGGTGCAGGTACAGAGTGTGGGTACACAAAGGGTACAGCCTATAATATAATTGTTCTTGTGGGTCATCCTCGAGTGAGCAACGTTGCAATTGCGTCAGTACAGGATGAAACGCAAGTATAAGGCTGAGGAAGCGCCTGGAAGCGCGCGGTAGCGGCGTGCAGGGTGATTGTAGTCTAGGAGATCAAAATGACAATATTCACCGCTTTTTGCTATAGGTTATTGTATTAGCCTACTAACAATGAAGACAAGGGTACTGAACCGCAGGAAACACAATTGAGAAGGGCGGGAGAACAGAAGCCATCGAAGTTCTGTTCTCCTGGGTGGAGAATAAGTGGAAGAACAACAAGAAAAAAAAGGAGACTAACTGACGATATGCCACGGGTGCATGCGCGGATATAGAGGATCTACGGTGGTAATCTTGGCAATAGTCTGCGCAAAGAACCGAGCTTAACCGGGACAGAAGGCACAAGAACATCAAAGATCACAAACAATGTACAAACAATTTCCATATTCAGACTCAGATGATCAAAATGTCACATAATTACTAAATATAGAAGTGCGTTACAACTGCGCGGTGTCGGAGAACAAAAAGAGCTCCATGTGTCATCCACCGTAAGATCAAGTCAAGTCATCCCACGATATCCTCGTTTTTTATTCCTCCCAACTCGTCACTGTCGTCGTCGTCGTCGCCGTCATCTTCCTCGTCGTGCTCAACATCCTACGCTTCCATAAATGCTCCTTGTTCATAATCCACATCCTCCGCCCTTCATGTCGCCTAACATATCCCATCGTCGTCATCCCTCGGCTCCTCCAGCAGTCGTAGTTCAAGCAACCAAAACACCTGGTTTGCTTTTCATCTCAAAGCAGCCTTCGCGACCTTCAACTCCCCGTAATCATAACCAGCAGCCTCAGAGTCATCATCAGAAACAGATTCGGTCTTCAAAGCCGAAACAACCCGTTCCTCAGTCACAGGGCCGTGCAACACAGCCTCCAATTCCAGAGGTTCATTCATCCGATGAACCTTCTGCGCCGAAAATTCACTCTGATGCTGTTGAGAATTGCAAGAAGCTCGCTGCTCGTCCGGCTACATCATCGCCGGACAAGTCCGCACGAGGTAGACAATCCAAGGCACCCAAAGATAAGGCAGCGACAAGGTAATCATTAACCCCTTTCAATATGCTCCCAGCAACCATTCTAAGTGGCATTATTCGTTCGCTTAGAAGCCCTTCTCATGCGCAAGCTCGACGCAATAATATTCGTCAACCTTCACCACCTATTCCTCTCGCAGGCTGAGGGTGCAACATCTTTAACGCAAACTTTTACCCATCGTAACAACAATCCTGCATCCAACTCTTTTGATCCCTTTGTTGTCAGTTCTGACTCTGATTCGGAAAACTCAGCCACAGTCATGACTTTGACGTCCAAGAATTCTTCCTCTCAGACACCTGCTCTGACCTCTCAGCCGACTGGAAAACTTGCTACTCGTCGCCGACGTCATGTTCCGCAGCAACTTACTACACCCACCCCCGCCACTCGGGCAGTTCCTGTGCCACGAGCTAATACTCACCATATCCGTCCTAATGTCTCTCGTTCGGCTCCCAGCCAATCTATTGCGCCACTCCGAACTGCACGGCGTGCTTCCGCTGGGTCTGTCACAGATTTCCCGATCTGTGACGACACCACCTGATGTCGATGATAACTCTCCTCCTTCAACGCCCACTCGTGAGAGATCTGCCACCACCTGGCAGCAGCTTGCTTTTGGGGAAGGTCCCCGCACTGCGCCACTCAATGCGATCGCAGGGTTTCCATTTGGTGGGCGTTCAAACAGCAACACTCCCTCTCCAACCCACAGGCATTATAGGACTCCCAGTGAGGGTGTTTTTCACATGTCCTTTGACGAGGACATGGCATCGACTTCGGATGCTTCCGAAGAGCAGCAGAAATTGTTTGGCTTCATGCCAAGGAAGCATGGGTTAGTTGGACCGAGCGCCACCCGTGCCGGCAAGGACAAGGCTGGGTTCTTCGCAAGTTCAGTTTTCCAAAACTCGCCAAGCCCCGACGAGTTACCTCCACCCGCTTTTTGAGCGGCGCATTTCATCAAGTGTAGAGGTTGGTAACAATTGCAATTCGTCGATAACGTCACATCGTTTAACCACGATTTAGATTTTTCGTATTGGCGAACAGCCCTTAGATTAATATCACCTCAACCCCGACATAATCTCTCTTCTCGCCGCGGAATGTTCTCGAACGTATACTGAACCTAATTCACCTTCATCGCGCAAAAGTCGACGTACACCCTGCTTCCGACGAGCTCTTCCGTGGCGCACAGTGTCTTATACCTCTTTTACCGATATCATTATTCCTTCGAAATCTTCCATCCGGCATCATCTTCGCTGGGGTTTTCTCTCTTGGGCTGTTGGCTCCCACGTTTCTATGGCATCCTGTCGAATAGACTTGCCGCTCTGCACTTGAATTGCTTGTCACATAATACGGTCTATTTCGGTCATGGTCACCCGCACAGGACGCATTCACGGCTTATCTCAGATGTATTTCATCTGGGTCACCAATCAGTGGCGACATTCATACCTCGCTCGCTGGCGGTTCATTCTCCATCTATTTCTTTTCACCCCTCAATGTGTCACTACCACGGCTCAATCCTCATCATCATGCTTTCGCAACATCGCATCGGCATTTTCTTATTAGTCTCGGTTGCCCGACCGGGCTTGTATAAAAGGCGGCGCAAGGCGCAGACTATTCACTACATAAACGACAAAATCTTATCATCAAGCCTTGCGTTATCCGCTACGTATTGTGTATATGACGTCACGCCACACCCCTCCCCCTCCCAGCCGATCGTGCTTATTTATCTATCGGCCTCGCGTCCACACGTGGGGTCCTAGTATTTCCGCCCCGCAGCGTGTTCTTGGATCTTGGGACTCGTCTTGTGATATTTTCATATTTTCTTCTACCCCAACAATTTCTCATTTCTCGGGTTTGGCTTTAGTATCCTATACTTTCCCGGCACCCGCCTGTGTTTTTAGCTCGATTCCTTGGGTGCTTGGGTTATCTATTATTTTTTCCACTTCTTTCACTGTTCTCCCATTTCCTATCCTCCCCTTCCCGCTGCCGCGCTTTTTATCTCATTCTGGCGGCAGTGATTCCTTTTTTTCAGATAACACAAAGGTGTATCAATATTGACTCGGCTCATACATTTTCGGACTTATCACGTCGCATCATGACTTCACTTTCTTCCAATGTGCTATAGCCACTTCATTTTCTTAGCATTCGTGCTCTTTTATGCCCCTTACTTTTCTTCTCTGTTCATGATGCGACAAGATTTTCCGGTGTATAATCTGTCTGGGCGTGCGTTGCTTTCTCCTGGGTTTTAGGGCTCTCTTGTTGACTCGCTTTTGGTTGCAGTTCTATCATATGTTCCCACTCAGACGTCACACAGGCGCGGATGTATATAAATACTCACTGCTTCGTATGCCCCCCTTCCTCCCATCCCGCTCGCGCCTGTGCATTTTTGATGCGCCGTTAAGATGCAGTACTTATACTTTCACTCGTTATACATCTATCAAACCGTACACTCCTTATTGTGTTCTGCAATAGACCTTTATTGACTTTTGGGCATTGAGGGGACGTAAAAGAACGTAAACCTTTCGACGGCCGCTTGAATAGCTCGGTTGCTCCAGCTTGATGTTTTAGGGTAACAAACTGAGTCATGCAAACACGCTGGTCAGTGTTGGCAAGCAGATCCAGCGATCGATATCGATATCTTATCTTTCCAAGAAACCTCTGTGATCGTACACGCATTTCCTATTCTTACACCACTGACGCACAGAAAATGGAACCCGGAAAGCACCTACACGTCGCCGTCGTAGGCGTCGGCGGGGTCGGGACCCAAGTTGTCCAACAGATGATTGCGAACCCGATCTACGGGTTCCAACTCGTAGCACTCACCTCCTCCAAACGCATGCTCACGTGCACCAAAGACGTCTGCATCAACCCCGTAACATGGAAAGACGCCCTCAAGGCCAGCGAAACGCCCGTCGACCTCCCCGCGCTCAAAAACACGCTGCAAGAGCTGGTGAAGCAGGGCGAAAAGGCTTTGTTCATCGATAATACGTCTTCGCAGGATGTTGCGGAGATGTACCCTGAGTTGTTGAGTGCGGGGATTAATGTGATCACGCCGAATAAGAAGGCGTTTTCGGGGGATGTAGGGTTGTATAAGGGTATTGTAGAGGCGAGTAGGAGTGGGAGGTATTTGCATGAGTCGACGGTGGGTGCTGGGTTGCCTATCATATCGACGTTGAGGGATCTGGTGGAGACGGGGGATAAAGTGAGTCTTCGCTTGGCCTGGTTGGGTGGTGCGATGGATGGCTGCTGATTCTACGTGCGATCAGGTGGTCAAGATCGAGGGTGTGTTCTCAGGGACCATGAGTTATATTTTCAACAACTTTTCCTCGGTGGAAGGAAGCGACGAAAGCTTCTCCTCGATAGTCAAAGGAGCCCGAGCACAGGGATACACGGTATGGCTTACTTACTTTACTTGTTTGCGTAGTTCTCAAACGCCAGTCGTCAGGAACCCAACCCGGCAGATGATCTGAATGGCGCAGACGTCGCTCGGAAATTGACCATCCTCGCGCGTATCATTCCAGAGATGAAGGACGAGCAAGGAAATTTCCCGCTTTTGCACTGGGTACCAGTCTGTGGAGACCACTTCCTTGATCCAGGACGCCCCTGCGAGCGCTATTTCCAACGGGGACGAGTTTATGAAGTGGCTTCCCGAGCAAGACTCGCATTTTGCACAGATGCGTGAAGCAGGCTTCGAAGGAGGGCAGTGTCCTCCGCTACGTCGGCGTTGTCGATGTGAAAAATAAAATCGTAAAAGCCGAGTTGGCGAAGTGCGTCGATGATGAGTTTATAAGCATATTTCATTCTGATCAACTTTTCAGATACCCGAAAACTCATCCAGTTCGCAACCTCGTTGGGAGGATCGGACAATATTATTATGTTCCACACCGAACGCTACGGGAAAAGACCCCTCATTGTCCAAGGCGCTGGCGCTGGCAATGATGTCACGGCTATAGGCGTCATGAGCGATGTTCTGAAGTTGATTAGGCCATAGGGTGAAATACAACTGACTGACTGTAACACTAACTATCACCAGAGACGTCAACGCTTCTAGCAGTGTACGATATGAGTAGTGTGTGCGCGAAACATGTATCAAGGGAACTGCAAGATGAACTCCTTCATAGACTGATCCCAACTGCACAACGTTAGATTTGGCCCCCCGCATGTCTGCGACATGGTTGACCGCATGCCCTTCATGATCTTCTTCAGGCCTTGCTGACTCTTCTGAGTGGTCCTCGCCTCTATCGCTGCGTGACTGCGCAGCGGCATGATGCGCGACAGGTTCTCCATGCGTTTCCTCTGTCCCTTGTTGACATCCGCCATAACCATCTGCTGTACCTGGTTGTACTGCTTGCACCCCGGTGTAGTGTGGTTGACGAGCAAGCTAGTTATGTCGTTGAATATGATATTGATGAGGGTGGGGTAGAAGTGGACCATGGAGCCGGGCGTGCCGCAGACTTTGGGACAGTCGGGGTTTGGGCATCCGGGTGGGTTCACACCGTTTGCGTCTTGACACTTGCCATGGAAGTAACCTGGGAATATGGCCCTCTCGAGGCTGGCATAGGCGGTGAGGTTGTAGGCTTCCAAGACGGGGGCGAAGTACTCGATAGGGTTCTCTCTACGGCCTCCAGTGGGAACGACTTGCGTGCTGATCTGGTTCGCCTGTGCGTGCCATCTAATAAGTCTGACTGGAGAACGATGATGAGTTGAGATGTACTTTCCATCTTCTGAAGGCTCGTGAGCACGGGGTTCGTATAACGCCTTAGGTATTCGTTGGTGGTATCGCTGATGCAGGCACCTTCGCAGGCAGTTGTGGCGACCGGCGCCAGGAGAAAGGAGAGGATGGGAAGAATAAGCTGCATATTTAAAATAAAAGAGTGTGGTGGGCTCGCTCGGCGAGATGGGTGTTCGTTGATGGTTCGTGAAATTTACTAACCCTTAGGTTGTTTTATATCTCGCGACGCGACCTCGTCACGTGACACAAAAATCAATACCGAAGCTTGCTTTAACAAAGCTGTACGTAGGCCCGGGGGATATCCAATACTCGTACGAACTTTCTAAACGCCGGAGATTCCCCCATGGAAGTGAACTGCCAGTCTGCCATGAGACTACATCGCATCTTCTTTGTAGCTGCTTTTCCCGAACGAACGAACTGTCCTGTTATTGTTCAAGGCGCCACATATTTCGCGCGCAGGGTCAAGCTGGCGCGGACGCGAGACAGATGGTGTGACGTGAAAAAGACGATTTGAGACTTTGTAGTTGCCCAGGTCGAAATCAATCGTGACGCCGACCGTGACGGAGGTGCCGTATTCCGGGACGTCTTCTTCGGAATCTTCGCTGTTACGAACAGATGTAGCTGTGCAACCGATTAGTTGTCCTAGTTGAGGCTCCGAATCCTGGATTCGCGATTCCTTTGAACCTCCTGTCACAAGTATGGAGGCCGAAAGCATTGAGCATCAATATGAAGTTTACTTACCTCAAGGTGCTGACGGCGAAAGCGGTGCTTCCCCCATCCTGTCTTGGCCGCCTGGTTGCCCCTCCTAACATGCCTCTTAGTACTGCTAGCCGGCTTTCGTGAGTACACCCGTGGGTGATGGATCAGGGATCGATGTCTATGAGAACGACACTCCTAGCACTTGCTTTGACGTGCAAGTCACTCGCTGAACCTGCATTACATCTTTTGTAGCGGCACCTAAGTAGGTTTGAACCACTTATCAGATGTCTCCCACAAAGCCTATGAAAACAGGACAACAAAAAATTCGTCAGTCAAACTCTAGCTCTAGCTCGACTCCTAGTATACAAATTCACTCCATTTGGCAGGAATTTCAAAGACCCATGACCTCCGATGACTGGTCTATTTTTTTCAAATATAATCACCGTGTCCGTTCATTGCTCAATCAATGTTCATACTTACACGACAACGACGATCCGTGGCGCCGAAATTTGGCATCCATCAGTTCACGTTTACCGCTCTGAGGTTGTCTCAGTAACGAGAAATCCATATTTTATTGTATCATGGTTAATGCGTGATACCGCGCGAGGAAGGGAATATTCGAATTGGATCTATAGTCCCTGGAGCCTAAAAATGATAAGAAGCCAACTATCGCACTGGAATCGTGTTTAAGGCGACGTATGCATTATTTGCGATGTAGGAAGGGATGCCGGGCGGCGCCGTTGGGATAGGACGAAGACCAGAAGGGCCGATTATGCCTGCCTACATATCACTTTTGTGAAGTTAGGTCACTGCACCGCAGGTCCTTGGGTACTCAGGAGATACATAGAAGTATACTCCTAGTCATAGTCGCCTGTAGTGGATGCCATTGTTTGTGAATTCAAAAGTGCAGGAAGAGTATACGGGATACTCTTACCTCCGCCACCGCCATCATCTCCTCCCCCGCCGTCTCCAAGACCGTCCATATCATCTCCTTCACCATTATCGAAATAGTTCTCCGCGTAATCGTTGTCATATTCCTCGTCGACGTCGTAGTCTGAGTCGACAGGCTGAGATCCAGCGTCTGAACGTTCATCACCTGACTTCTCCTGAAAAGTTTATTGACGCAAGCACGTTTATATCTGAAGTCGCGACATACTTGGTCCTCAGCATCCTCCTCTAAGTCATCAAGATTGAGGCGTTTTGTGGTCGTTTTCTTTTCAACTGCCGGTCCAGTTAGCAACAGAATGAAATGAAGGCGGATTGACTGACCCTTGCGTTTTCGTTTTGGATTAAAATAACCTTCGAATATCTCTGAGGGAAAAAAAGGAGCATGAAGGTCCTTCCGTTTGAGCGTAGGCTGAGAGGCGGGACTCTGGCGATATTTATCAGAGTAACGCTCCAAGTCTGCAAAGCAAAGGCATTGAGTACCAATTCATCAACTACTTACGACCACTCAAACCGTTTGACTTCAACGTTTCGACTACATAGTAGGCTGATTTCCGTAAACGGGTAACAAATCCTGTTTGCAGATCGCAGATCCGTTTCTCGTCTGCAGAATAATCGGTGAGGACAGGTAGAGGATCCAATGGCTGTTCGAATAAAAATGAGATTGCACATTATGACGTTACAGGATTAAATGCACCGCACTGGGTACAAGGCGTCTCCTTCCCTGGACATAGCTTGTATGTCTGCAAATGTGAGACCCATGGGAGGCATGCTCCCTGCCCCGAAGCCACCACCACCGCCTCTAAAGCCGCCCCTTCCACCACCTCGTCCACCGCCACGTCCTCTGGACATATTTTCGAGAACCTTACAGGCGATGATCTTCTTGATCAGAAAGTGACACAGCCAGCCACAGCAAAGGATCACGCTGAGTTGAGAACTTTGAAACTCCGAAGCCTTATATAACGGGCACCTGCTGTGTTAGGGTCGCCTCGCGTCGCCCCTTTGCCATCACCACCTACCACGTCTACCTTTGTTGTAAAGGCTCTTAAACAGCGGTAATCGTCCCCGACAATAATTCACGCGTTCCCTACAAATTGAAAATAATGGACAAATCGCTTGACGAGGTTGGTGTTGACTTGCAAAATTTTCCCGCCGCGCTTCATGCAAATCACAACGTTTAGGTCATTGCTTCTCGCCCCAAGGGCGCCCGTCGTGGTGGTGCTGGCCGTCGCGCAGGTGCATCAGCCAAGGCCCAAGTTCTTGGAACCACTGGTGCCCACCCCGCCACCCGTGCTGCCACTACCGGCGCTATTAAAGCCGCAGGCACAACCCCTGCGCAACCTGCCGACAAAATCATTGTTTCCAACCTACCAACAGACGTCAATGAAGTTCAAATCAAGGTGTGTTCTACTTTTGGCGGCCTTACTGAATTCACTAACCATGGTCGTAGGATCTCTTCCACTCTACCGTCGGACCCCTTCGTGATGTCACTTTGCACTATGACAGCGCTGGACGGTCAAAAGGTGTCGCAGCGGTTCAATTCCAACGGAAGGGCGACGGCACAAAGGCCTACCAGCAGTATAACAACCGATTGATCGATGGGAGTTAGTATCGCCTGCTTTCTTATCTCCTTTCCTTGTCTCCCCCAAGAGCCCTTCATCCGTTACGGAGCTTCGTTGTCGCTGGTTCTCTGTTTGGCCCTGCCAAAACGACGTGCATGTGTAGCGGACACGCCTAAATGCGAGATCACAAGACTCTTTGGTGGCAGAGTCTTGTGCTTGCAGCCTTGACACCCTTGAGGTGCGTGCCAGATTGCGGGCTGGTTCGAAGGCTTGTCATCCTTCGAGCTTGCAATTCTGGTGCCCTCGCATTGCACGTCATTCCTCATGGTTCAGTCTCGGGATTGGGTTTCAGGCCGGTGCAAGTATTGTGGAGTTACGGGCGGGGAGGTACTCCAAAGCTTCATCCCTTGACCAATTTCAGGGCGGCCATTCGCGCGCAAGCCTCAGCTGTCGCGGCATATTCGAGGAGGACAGAGTCGGCAAGGTTCTCGGTAACGGTTTGGACAGTGGCATGATCATCGTATCCGTCCCCTTTTGCTTGCTTCCTCGCTGAAAGCACAGCCGGCTAACGAATGTCTATCTCTTTTCCAATCGCACCACTCGCACGTCAACTGTGCAGAACGCCCGATGAAGATTGAAATCGTTGTCGACCCCGCTCGTCCTGCCCCACCTGCTTCGCTCGTGTCGCGTGTTGCTCCTGCCCCTTCTGCAGCAGCAGCAGCTCCAGAAGCTCGGGGTGCCAGGTGCGTACAGCAAGGTTGCTGAGATCACGTTGTCTTATCAATGCGTAGGCCTGCCGCGCGTGGCGCTCGTCGTGGAAGAGGTCGTGGAAGGAAGGCTAATGAGAGGCCTCAGAAGAGCGTCGCCGACCTTGATGCAGAGATGGAGGTTTGTCTTTGCACCTCGTCCTTGGATCGTCATTGATATAGATCTGTTAGGATTACACTGCGAGCAGTGCCGTTGCTCCCGCTGCCGCTTGAAGTGTAGTTCGTACTATGTATCTGCTAATGCTGATCGCCTTGTTTTTCCCTCTGATACCGTTCCGATTTATTCTTAGTAGACTGCGTCCTGTATTTTACTCGCTTGCTTTTCTGGGACTCGAATTTCTATGAGTTCCACGCCATCCAAATATTAATCGGTTGGTCACTGCTGTGGCCCATGTTCCTTTTGCTGGCGGTTGTTCTACCTTGTTCTCGTTGGCCTGTCAATATTTCGCCTTGCATGCCATTGTAATTTTTCGGTCGTTGGTTACCTTGTCATTTTGGGGCTCTCAGAGCGTACACTAGTTTTAATCATCGTTATCAGCTCTGCCCTACACGATCAGGGCGACCTCGCCACCTGGCCCAGGCATCCCGCACTTGTTCATCTAGATTCTAAATTGTGACAATCAAGTCGGTGCCACCTCAGGTGCAGTTGCCATTCCTGGTCATTGTCCCTTTGTTTGAAACTTGCTTGAAACCTCGCGATAATCTACAACCTGGCCATGGATATCTCTGCAGAAGAGGAGAAGCCGTTGTATTCTCAGCGACCTGAGTGGGCCGATGTCATTCCTTTAGAACAGTACGAGAATGTCACCCCTCTAGCGCCAATCTTTTACACGGATGAATGTTCGTGAGCATACCGGCTCGTCCTGCAGAACCTCACTCAATGCGACGATTGGGTTGTATCTATTAGACAAAGATGCCACGAATTATTTCAGAGGGATTGTCAGGAGCGGTGAGATGAGTCCCAGGGTGCTGGAGCTCACCGAGAATATTATCCGGCAGAATCCTGGACACTACTCTGCATGGTGAGTTTGTTACTTGCTTCATCACGTTCGTTCAGGAGAACACAGATGGCGTTTCCACGTGCGATCAGGCAGTACAGGTACAAAACACTTATGGCATTGAAGTCTCCCCTGGACGATGAGCTCCAGTTGATGGATGAGCTTGCGATCAAGCACCTGAAGACATATCAAGTCTGGCATCATCGCCGGCTGCTCGTGCAGCAGACCTGCAGCCCTGGCCCCGAGCTCGAGTTCATCGCTAACTCGCTCCAAGCTGATACGAAGAACTACCACACGTGGTCGTACAGACAGTGGATCCTCGCGTACTTCAATGACGACAAGCTCTGGAGTCATGAACTGGACTTCGTGGAGAGCATGCTTGAAAATGATGTGCGGAACAACTCTGCATGGCATCACAGATTCTTCGTCGTCTTTCAATCTGGAGTACGGAACGGGGATGAGGACAGAGATGAGATCGTTCGGCGGGAGCTTGCGTGAGTCCCAGTTTGAGAAATCAGGTCCTCCTGGGCTGTAACGAACCTATTCAACAGGTTCGTAAAGGAGCGGATCGCGATAGCGCCGAATAATGCATCTGCGTGGAATTACTTGCGCGGGGTGCTCGATCATTCTAAAATCCCTTATTCCGATCTGCAAGCATTCGTGATGCCTTATTCTCTGCCCCAAACTCCTTTTGGTACACCCCCTGAAGTCGTTGATCTAGAGAGCCCTCTTCCCTCGAAGGATGCACAATTGCCCTGCGTCGCTGCTATGGAATTCATGGCTGATATTCACGAGGCGGCAGGGGGCGAGGAGTTAATTAAATCCACTGAGGTGGGATACGTACCTCACGGACTTGGCAAACAACTGACCTGTCGTAGCTTTGGAAATCCCTGGCCAACGAGCACGATACTATACGCAAAAGGTAGGTCGCCGATCGAGCGCTCTGGAGTACACACCTCACTGGTTGCTTTGCAGATACTGGGAATACAGAATCAAAGAATCATCGAAGACTCAGTCAGCTGGTGACGACTGACAAGCTTATCTTAATGCATCATCAAATATCGAACCTTTCCAATTTAAAGTATTTAAAGGAGCCTGCACTATTTTTTCTGCAAATCAAAACGATCATCTCAACTACGTATCTCGCTCGCCTTGTGTTACTTGAAGCAAGTTTCAGTATGGAGAATACATTTGACCTTTGATCCCCGAATCTGCGCTTTGGCTCACTGCTGAGATTCGCATGTAGGAGTTCTCAGTAATGGGTTGATACCTGCGTCAACTGATGGGTAGTCTGCATATTATATGATACACAGCCATGGTTCCATCATTCATTACCGTAAAGCGTCCTCGGATAGTAGCCTCAAAAATGTAGGCGGTCTAGCTAGTTAGCCATGCTCTACTTCGTCTGACCCATCGTCTGACTCGTGTTCATTACCATAGTATCCATTATTTTCCGGAACGACATCTGATTCATACCCAGAGCAAGTAACTAAAAATCGTGCCATGAATAACAATATCAATACGAAGGCAGAAACACGACTCCCTCTCGCGAAGTGCCAGCTCCTCGTAATTTTGCGTGTTCTTAGGATAACATATCCCACCGCAATTCCATTACAAAATGCAATGGGTGAGTCACGAGGTTGAACCCTGGAGCAAAGCAAACTCACAAAGTTATCCCCGTACTTTCCAGAGCAGCACTCATAGTCTTGACCACAAGGCGCGTCATCAGCACGACATTCCCGGCTGAAAACAACCGGTGCTGCATAGACACGCAGTCAAAGCAGCCACAACAGCAGGGAAGGAGAAACGCATTGGTTGTGCGAGGTGATATAGGATCTGTCTGAGGGGCTCTTGAATAGCTCTGAGGTAGGCCACGGAAGGAAGGTGCGGCTTGCTTTTATACCCTCAAAACCTCGCTAAACGTTCTGGGGACGGACAAGGGTGGGGTGGTATTAATAGTTGGTCTGCTCTATGACTGGCATGGGGTATGAAAATTTAACCACAGGTGGATAAATCTAAATTGTCAGCTCTGGGTGTTCTGTGAAAGTATGAGCTCATTGACGGGCCGTCACATTGGTCCGAAAATGATACTTATTTGCTAAGTAGCTTTAGAGTCTTCAAACAGTTCGGGTCCAATTAGGTTCAACGTAACGCATGCAACTAGTTGGACTCTTCAAGCTTCGATTTTCGTCCCGAGTATGCATAATCCATGATGCTGTGTGTGAAGTGTGTTCAGTATTTCCACATACTGGTGTAAGTAGTCAAGACTGTCATCCCTTAACCGTTACGCCAAAAGGCAGTGATAATGAAAGCTCACGCTTCATTGTTGCGGACAATATTTGTGCTGATTATGGGAACTCAGGTAAGCCAACGGGCTTACAGCTGGACCCTTGACTTATAATACTAGCGTTTGTTTGTTCATATTGAAAACGGAAGGTTTTGCCAAGCCACCACAAACACTCCGTGGGGTGGTCAGTCTCTAGATATTGAATTCCTAACTGTGACTTTGAATCAACCAACTCGTAAAACATGGCCGAGCGTGTATCCAGGTTAGCACAACCTATGCGCCACGTCCAATAAAGCTGCGCATGGAGGCTTGCAGCGCCCCACCGCACACTGACACCACTTCTGCGTCAGGGACCCAAGCAGTTACAGTGACTACACAGTGATACAAGAACGTTATCAATGACATCAGACGTTCGCCTGAGTAGCCTTCCAAGTCCAAGTCCAACACAACTTAACATGCCTCATTGTCTACGCTGAGTCGTTCCTGAACGTGCATTGGTGCACAGTGTTCCTCTAATACGTCTTGTGCTGGTCTCATGGTGGCTGAGAATGCTTCTGCGACTCAAATGGAACCTGGTTGCAGTGGGAAGGAGCGTTTGCATACCTCGGGCGGTTTGCCGGTGGGATGTTGGTTTGATGCTAGTGTCCATACCCTCGCCGGTGAACTGACTACTGCTTGCGCATTGGGTGTAAAGTGTACCTTCGTTGCCGCTGCACCCAAATCTTTGTGACAGTATCTGGCAAGCTTGGCGACATATGGAGAGGGTGGAATAAGATGGAGAAGGGAGTATCTATTCGTGAGGAAGTGGGGCGAACAGAGCGGTGGGGCAAAATAGGTTGCCAATTGCACATAGGGCGGAAGAGCCGGACGAGCGAACGGGGCGAAACCCTGAGATCCCCGATGTCTTCCTCGTCACGATTTTTATTCTTCGTTGTGGAAATGGACCTGAAATTTTGATTATGATTATCTGGTATGTATTCCAGCATGCGTGATGACACTGCTGTGACTAATTTGGGTACTAAAAGTAGCAGTAAAAGGAATCGGGAGCGAGTTTTGAAAAATCGCACTGCCAACACACTGTAGCCGAGCCGAGTCGCGCGCCCCATCGTGCGGCCGTGCCGTTGTGGACGAATCAGGCAGCGCAAAGGAAAGGACACCCGTTACCCGTAATATCAAGTCGGCATCGACAACGACATTTGAGAATTGAGCAGCACTTTGTTTGGGACGCAGTACGCGACCAGAATTCGTCTTCCCGTCGGCGCTTGAAAGCAGATTCTGAAGCGCTGGCTAAATAGTATAAAAGGGGCGGTTGGGGGCATGGTGAAGGTATCTTCATACTTTGGTTCAATTGCGGATTGTATCATGAAATATCTTCTTGCAGTGTCTTCCCTCGCTCTGGCATTGGGAGCGCTTGCTCAGCGCACCATTAATGTGCACAATGCGTGTCCTTTCACCATTTGGTATGTCCGGGACCGTATCCTTCCTCGTATTTAGCATTGATGATGAAGACACAATTGCAGGCCTGCAGTATGCTTCTACCCGTGCTGGTGCCGACGTATATTTACTTATGAGCTGATTAGATGTTCACAGGCTCTGGCACATTGCCTAGTCACACGACTGGGTAGGCATTTCACACCCACCACTTGAACTTGAGCTGAACGTCAACCAGCTGGGAGGCTACAGAAGGTACTGCAGTCACCTTCCAAGTACGTATAATGTTCCATCGGTCTTGACCTGTCTGACTGACTGACAACAGGTCCCAAGCGGCTGGACTGCTGGACGAATCTGGGTTGGTTGCACTACAACCACCATCGTTTCTCGCCCCTTCATATTATAATAGGGACGGCGTGACTGTGACTTCAGCACCAACCCCGGCCCGAATTCTTGCCTTGACGGTGGTTGCAATGGAGGATTGGTGTGCAGCACCGGCACCGGCACGGTAAACATGTCTGCTGTAGACCATTCAGTGTTCTGACGGCTTGGCTATCAGGGTGTCCCTCCTGCCACTCTTGCTGAATTCACATTGGGTTCAGGAGGTGTTGATTACTATGACGGTGCGTGTGAGCTGAGCTGAAGTCGTCAGTCAGGCTAACTCACTATCACAGTGTCTCTTGTCGATGGGTATAATTTGCCCGTCAGTATCACAAATAATGTCGGGTGTGGGGTTCCAAGTTGCCCCGTGGACCTGGGACCTAACTGTGAGTAAAACGCACTCTGACAGGTCAAATTCCTGATGGACCTTCCACGCTCAGGTCCAGCACCACTCAAAGGCCCTTACGACTCTACCGGCTTCCCTGTCGGGTGCAAAAGTGCGTGCGAGGCTAACCTCGATGGTAATCCATGTCAGAGTTCTCTCCTGTATAATCATGCAGATACTTATCCAAACTTCTAGCAAACTCTCGTAACTGCTGCACTGGCCAGTATAACACGCATGCTACATGTCCTTCCTCAGGCGTTGAGTATTACAGCTACTTCAGTAAGTGGTTATCTTACTTTCGCTCGTCTGCACATGACCAGTTGCCCATATGCAGAGGATAATTGCCCCAACGCATACGCTTATGCATACGATGACACGACTTCTCTATTCACCTGCAGCTCTTCTCTCAACGCTGTGTTTACAATTACCTTTTGCCCGTGAGGAAAGAGGTATTATTACTGTTAACGGCAAGAATTTGGTTTTATTATTTCTGTATGAGCACAAATGTGTTCTACATATTTAACTCTGACATTAGATTGTCATGAGTACTAGTTTGCGAATGCAGTGTTTTCCGAGGAAGGTTCAATAAACCCACGTCGATGTCGGAGAACATTGATCTGATCAGTAAGGTAACGTATATTCTATACGGTATTTCCTGAAAATCCACTCTGGTCGACATCGAGCTGGCCTCCCTCTTCCGTCCCGAGTTCGAGTTCATCGCTAACTCGCTCCAAGCTGATACGAAGACTATCACACGTGGTCGTACAGACAGTGGATCCTCGCGTATTTCAAGCTCTGGAGTCATGAACTCGACTTCGTGGGAGCATGCTTGAAAATTATGTGCGGGATGACGCTGCATGGCATCGCAGATTCTTCGTCATCTTTCAATCTGGAGTACGGAACGGGGATGAGGACAGAGACGAGATCATTCGGTGGGAGCTTGTGTGGGTTTAAATTTGAGAAGTGATGTACTGCTGGGGTAACGAAGCTGTTCAACAAGTTCGTAAAGGAACGGATCACCATAGCGCTGGATAATACATTTGCATGGAGATACCTGCGCGGTCTGCTTGATCCCTATTCCGAGCTGCAAGCATTCGCGATGCCTTATTCTCTGCCCCCAGCCTCCTTTCGATACACCCTCTGAAGTCGTTGGTCTGGAGATTCCCCTTCGTCGAAAAACGCACAATTATCCCGCGTCGCTGCTATGGAATTCTGATATTTACGAGGCGGCAGTGGGTGATGACCTGATTAAAGCCACTGAGGTGGGATACGTACCTCACGGACTTGGCAAACAACTGACCTATCGTAGCTTTGAAATCGAAGACCAAGCCAGCTGGTGACGGCTAACAAGCTCACCTTAACACATTATCATCAATTATCCATACGCGGTTATGGTTAATTTTGTATCTCCTTCGCCGATCAGGAAAACGCAGTAGATAGTGGTTGCAGTGACGTCAGCTGATGCCATCATGTAGTCTACATACTTATTTTATAGGCTTTTCATATTCGACTTCGTTCACTCATAAGTCATATTTTCAAGTCAATGTCGGTCTCGTTCGATTCACCACTACATAGTATACATTGCTCAAGAGGCAGTTGAAATTTGTCTGGCAAGAGCAACCATAGCGATCAACTCAGCAAGTAACTAGGAACAGTGTCATGAATAACAGCATCAATACGAAGGCAGAAACATGACTTACTCTCGCGACGTGCCAATTCCTCGGGATTTTGCTTGTTCTTAGGATAGCACATCCCACCGCAACGCTATTACAAAGCATAAATTTAGGTGAGGGTGAGTCATGATGTTGAATCCTGGATGCAAAGCAAACTCACATAGTTATAGCCGCAGTTTCCAGAGCAGCACTCAGAGCCTAGGTGGCAAGCCGCGTAATCGGCACCACATTCCCTACTGAAAACAGCTGGTGTTGCACTGACACACATAGATGCTGTCAAAGCAGCCACGACGACGAGGAAGGAGAAACGCATTGGTCAATGTACGAGGTGATATGGGATCTGTCTGAGGGGCTCTCTGAGGTTGGGCACGGAAACAAGATGACTTGCTTTTATGTCCTGAAAACCTCGCTAAACATTTTGGGAATGAACAAAGGATGGGGTGATAGTAATCGATCGTCGGCTGTGACTGGCATGAGACATGAGGCTAACAGCGCCACTACAATTGTCAGCGCTGGTGTTTCCTACTAGTACTTAAGTACTTAGTATGAAAGTGCCCACTAGTACTTCGGACGCCGTCACAGTAATCAGAAAACTGAACTGGAATAGTGTTAGACCTACAGCTCGGGTCCGATTAGGTTCAGCGTAACGCACAGTGCAACTAAGTTGGACTCTTCAAGCTTCGTTGAGTTGCCGCCGAGTTTGCATAGGGATAAAAATCTACAACGTTGTGCGCGACGTGCGTCCAGTGTTTCCACATACTAGACTTGGTGCCACCGTTGGTAGCTCTTAAGGTTGGCGAACTGTTTCGCGTTTGTTTGTTGGCATTGAAAACAGAAGGTTGTGCCAAACTACAACAAACACTAGCTATAGCGGCCTATTGATTGGTAAGTAGTCTAAGCTTTTTCCAAGCGGCTCCTTTTTCCTCTCCCTCGAATCAAGACGAGTCTGATTCCTCGTTCTTCGTTGTGGGAATAGACGCAGAATTATCATCATATGTAATTGCCATGATGCGTGACCGGTCTTATGGTTCCAGATCTCCCAGCCTCGATTATTACTTACGATCATAGAGTACGTCCGTGTTCGTGGAAAATGAGGTATATGTTGTCTCTCAATCAATCTGTACTGAGTTAGGCTGGATCCAACCTCCGTCTTCTAGGAACTCTGAGTCGCAAGGTTCGTAGTACTTAGTCACTGCCGAGAAATCTGCTGATCTGGAATAATCCAGTATGCAATGGACAAACAATACTCGCAAGCGAAATCAAGAAATGTCGTAAATTCAGATGCTGACTCCTTGGATCAGCCAATGCGGCTAAGATCCTCCAACTCTTCGCCGTATTGGCTGATCCAAGCACAACACCCACGCCTTAACGTGGAATTCGGACAGATTCGTTATTAAGCCGTGGTACGTACCTACATGCTCGATTGGGGGGATTGTTTGACCCAGGTACTGACCAAGTGATATCGACAGGCGACTCGATTTGAAAGTGCATGCTAATACGGCGCCGATCACGAAGGGTATTCAGACGAGTCAATACATGGGATTTAATGTAAGTCTATCTGTGAGATAGGGTCTCATTTGAATATCACCTCTTTTCAGAGTGAGATGAAGCACCGGATCAGAGTTTCTTTGTAAATGCAAATACTAACGGTTAGACAATTGTGACAGTATCGGTGTTACTCAAACCTATCAACTAACGTGAACACAGTTTCCTGCACTGATCATCCCATTTCTTGCCATGCACGGACATTGTCATATTCAGAGGACAAGTGGACTAGCCAGACTGCTCATGGGTGGCTGCTGCACTATGCATCCCACCCCCTCAACTCCTCAGTCTCTCGACTCCCGAACCCTCTCTGAGGCTGAATCTGGAACCTCCCGCCACACCACCGGATTGGACTACTTCGCGGTCAATATTGTCGAGTGTCTTTAGGATTGGTTGCGCTGCCAGATTAGGGTGAGTGTTATTCGTTGTCAGCGACCTCAGATGTACAATGAATAAATCTGCTGCGCAGCGCAGCAAGTTTTTCGTGATAATTAAGATCATGGGGAAGCATTTCGGAAGTCCGCAAGTATGTGGGCGCGCTCAGTGATTAGCCGTCCTAATCAAATCCCAACCGTGACTGCTAAATTCTCGACCATAGCCTCAAGTAATAAGTAGAACTCGCGCGTAGGAGTTCGCGTCAGCTGATGCCGATCAGACAAGCAGTTCGGGTCCGGTTAGGTCTCGGACCAGCCCAAGACCAGCCTGATCATGGTCACAAGGTATGCAAGTACTTAGCTTAAGTCGGACTAGTTGTCTTCAAGCTTCAAGGTCCAGTTGCCGTCTAGTTTACATAGGGATCGGCTGGCTCGTCCCTCACTTCATTGTCCAGCTTATCAGACGCTGGCACTGAGTCAAGTTGGAGGCAAGTGCCAATGCCATAATGAAAGCCCAACGAGGCTTCTTATACGTACTTGATGACTGGCCAAGCTTTGACCGTTATCGCAGACTTCTTCAATTCATTCGCGAAACCGAGGCGCTCTAAGGATTATCGAGTGCCTTTAAGGTCGATTGCGCTGCATAGCCTTGGGTGAGTACGGTGTCGTTGGTTGAAGGTCGTGTTATGCATACAGGTAGCGGCATGACTTGTATCACAGCACGCGCAAAGCACAAACCGATTTCACGGGGTCGTGAAGATCACGATCTAGAGGTGAAATGATGAAATGACTAGCTGGTGCATCTCGCCTATGCAGACAATGGGTTCAAGTTATACAATGTTTTACACACGATCCGCAATGGGAGCGCCTAGCTAGTAATAAGTCATCCTTCCCAAGGCGTCAACATTAGCATTAAGTAGTCAGAATACCAATACATCGATGTTTTTCAGGTCTTCATAGAGGTCTCTCTGCCACAATGCGTTGTAAGCAAAGGGAACAAGGATAAGTTGCGACTTACTTTCAGCACCAGAATCCTTTTTTCATCGATCAAAGCCTCCGCCCCATCAAACAGCTCCTCACTAACGATCTCACTATACGCCAGTGCGGACCCCAGCGGTTCCGTAAACAGGTGCGAGATCGTCGTATCAACTTCGCCTTATACAAGTCGACCGCGCCATTCTGACTTATCTTCCGCGCCGTAATTACAAGCGATGTGTGGGTTAAAAAATCTGATACATAGCCGGCTAGATTCGTTTAACAAGGCAGAAGGGTTTTTGTTCATGGACTGGACTGTGCGGAAACCATAGGGTGAAAGGTCGCCCTCGTCCTCTCGAATCTTAAACCATGTCGTATGCTGTGGCCCCCAAATAGACCAAAGCAATTTGGGACCATTTAAGGTGGGTTGGCCATAAGTCTCGGAAAACGAGCTTTCAAGTTCCAGAATGGCACTACACAGGGCAAGGAAGCGATAGAGGTGCGAGTTATTTGGCTTCATGTCCCGATTAACGTAGACATCGATGGTTATAAGCTGATCGTTCGTAGTCGGATGAAATGAGCATGAAGGTTGGTGATGAGACTTTCGAGGATAGGGAAACGCAGAGCCAGGAGTTGGATTTTCTCTCGTAGACACTTCTTGGTATGAAAAGTCATCCACGAGAGAAGGTAAGGAGAGTTTCGCGGTGCATTGTGGGGGCTTTGACTGGAATAGATTTCCATGGTCCCGTAGAAGTCAAAGACGAGGAACTTATCCTCTGCAATGAAGGAGCAGTCGGTGATACCGTTGTCAAAGAAAAGAATGAACTGTGGCATAATCAGTTTCTAGCCGAGTCAACTTGTAACATTAACAATAATGTACCTGGTAGCCCTCCTTGGATTTCCAGTCCCACATTTGTAAGTAATCCCTGAACAGACCCCGGTTTATCACAACCCTGGAATATAACATACCAGTGTGGTTCCCAAGAATTTCAACCTTTAGACATCTACGGGATTGGAATATTTTGCAGTCAATGGTATCCTTGTCGAGGGCCTTCAGGATGGGTTACGCTGCGTCGGGGTGAGCGTCATTCGTTGTAAGCGACCGCAGATGAATATCGTATAAATGACTCACTGCCCGTGCAGTTGAGCTCGGGGATGGATCGAGCAAAAGAATATATACACTCACACGTCTTGTGAGGACGTAACTACAACAAGTAGATCTTGCGCAGCACAGAACGTGAAGTACTCGAACGTCCCTCCACTGATAGGGTGACTCCAGCAATATAGATCACCAGAATCAGACGCGGATGGCAGTCGTGAAGTGGATGCGGTTCCCCCCACTAACAAGCTGAACTATATATACCACCCACAGAGTCGTGAAAGGATCCTAACATCGTTAAAGGGAGCGTGCACTTCCTCTTATATTCAACGCGTTACCATACAGCGTCATGCTGTCTAAGTTGTCGGAGACGTGTAGCTGGTGGTACGCCCGTTTCGGATGTCCCCACTCGAATCATTTGGAAGTAACTGAGGCCGATGATGTATTGCAACATCTCCGAATCGTCGACAAGTGCTTTCAGCGTTTTATATGTCTATGGTGGATGAACCACACATCGACTCGGAGATGAATCATTTTTACTCACCTTTCGCACCCGTACTAGGTCGTACCCCATCGAGAATTGCCAAGATATAACACAAAAGCTCTAGGGGAAGTTGTTGTACCAGTATTGTAGCCCTCATTATGTGGCGCATCAGAAATTCTAGGACATGTTACCGCAAGAGGTCATGTGCTGTGTTGAAACCAAGAGGAGTTCCCGGTCAGATCTGCAGCGTAAGAGGATAGTAATATGAAAGCTGCAGTAAAGACTTGACAAATCAAATACAAATAGGATGGCATACACTTGGAGTGTTTCACGTGACGCGTACGACCTTGGCACACCAACACCCAACCAACAACTGCCAAATGACATCCAGTGGCAGCCTGAGAGCAAGTTGGGAAGTCGTTCCCATGTACGACTAATGGCACTGTACCTCGGCAGAAAGTGCACTTCTCCTGGCCCAATATGCGGTCCACAATATTCTTGAAGTTGGCGCTTCCGCTAACGTTCATCATATGCTACACGATATTCTACCTCTATGAGCCGCACGGGAGCATCGGTCTCGTATTCTATCAACGAGAATGGATACAGCGCGAAATACTCCCGCTATCTCCACTTGGAGGATGCTTTGAGCCCGAGCGAGTCAGTCCACTGTACAATATCAGTGACGCCGTGTATGGCGGGAAACGCTTTGAGGTTCAGGCAGGGATACCAACGCGGATGGGTATGGACTGCTACGAGTTTGCAGGAACGGTAAGGTTTGCAGAAGGGGAGTGGACGGAAGAAGAACGGTATATTCCACCAGAGGAGCGAGCGCAGTTTCACACATATTGGCGCGTCGATCTCGCGGCCCTCGGTGAGAGACAAGAGTACATGCTAAAGTCATTCTTCGCTACGCAAGATCTTCCCCGCTCTCGTCTAATACTCTGGTCGAATGGCGACCTATCACTCAATCCGGTCGTGCAAAAATATCTCGAGCTGTTCCCCGACTCCTTCACACTGCAAATAGTGGATATACCTAAATTAGCCAAAGGCACGGCAATGGAGGATCACCATTTGCTCAACCTCGAGGACAAGAAGGCATGGGTGGACGGGGACCTCGTCCGATTACTTGTCACCTGGACACATGGTGGTGCTTGGATAGACATGGATATGCTCCTAATTCGAGACCTTTCCCCATTACTTGAGCACGAGTTCGTAACGCAATGGGACTGTTACGGTAATCAAATAATACAGTCTCTTGCCTGCTTACTCACAATATCTACCACAGACAAGATTTACCAACCATTTAATGGCGCGCTCATGCATTTCCGCAAGCACTCGCCTTACCTCTGTGAAGCCTTCCATCTCATGGCACACAGCACTCCGCCACGTTCTCCAAGCACCGACTGGGGCTCAGTTCTTTACCTTCGGCTGTGGCGGCGCCTCCTTAACGAATCCATACCCCCCTTCAAAATTCTACCCTTCTGCTTCTCCGACCCTCTGGTGTGTCGTCTCGACAACAGAGCGCCAGACCCATTTGAGCCTGATCGCAGAGACGGGAAATGGACAGGCAGACCTGGGGAGGGGCTTGAGGAGGGCGGAGCGCTGGATAGGGCGCTAGGGAAAATATTTGCCGTGCATTTGCATAATCGCTGGGATAAGCTGTTTCCCAACGGTGGTTGGGTGGAGCGGCTGCTGTTGCGGCGACATGAGGAGGAAATGAAGAAGAAGGTGAAAATAGACGGTGAACTCTGATATTGTGAGTGCCTTGTTCCTGGGCAAGAATTGGCAGACACTGAATTTAATGACATCCGTGAACTCCTCTAGCACTTGGACGAATACTTCAAATGATGCAACATGTACACTATCTTATGATGATGCGCGGACATGACCTTACCAATCAAATATCTTAGAGTCGTGTCTTTCTTGCATTGAAATCGTTGTTTAATTGCATGTCCCAGATCATTATATGGTAATATACTATCGACGTCCTGTGCTCCGTCAGAGTCCAACACTCGTTTCTCGTGTACCTCATGCACTCCGTGATGATGCTTCCCGCTCGGTCTCTAGCCTACAGATCACTAGAATGGGGTGCCAGAGCGGTACAATTCGTTCACCACATAGGCAGCAGTCTACAGTGGGGATGAAGGTAACCTCACCGTCAGGCCTTGGTCTGTTGGATCTAGGGGAGACCCCTGCGTTTCTGAATCTGCAATGAATCTAATTACTTCTAGTGAAATATGCGACACGAATAGCTAGGCCCTGGAAAGCCCATCGTCCTCAACAACCAGACATCCCCAACGAAATTTATGCGCCAGCTGTTGCACCGAAGTGGACCCCGCACTTCACCTGTGATGGGTGAAACAATCTTATACTTACTTAGGTGCAGGCGTTCCATGGATGCGGTGCAGCATAAGTGGTGAAAATACCGTTTTTAACGTATGAGCATTCTCCAACATTACCTTTGTTTGAGTTTCAAATATCAATGTCGACCCTATCCTGTGCGGAACAGCCGAGAATGTCCGCACGGATCAGCAATGAAGTAGCTGATATTATGCTTGAAATCCGTCATCTAGGTTATCCGCTATCAATCAACAACACTACTTCGTGCGGCATAAATAGTAGTATTGCAGCACACCAATTCCACGAGGTCATAAAGATTACGGCCGAGAAGTGAAACAATGAAATGACAAAAAAACACTAGCCGGTCCGTCTTGCCTGGTACGCAGAATGGTTTATGCCTCGGAAAGCCCAATCCAACCATTGGGTACCTACATGATTACACAAGCGATCCGCAATGTGGAGCACCTAGCCAGTAACTGACGATCCCTCCCAAGGCGTCAACATTAGCATTACTAGGTAGTCAGAATACCAATGCTTCAATGTTTTTCAAGTCTCCATTATCGTCATTCTACCACAATTCGTTTTCAGCACTTAGCAGAGGGAGCCAGGATGAGTTGCGACTTACTTTCAGCAGCAGAATCCTACTTTCGTCCATCTTGGTCTCCGTCACGTCAAACAGCTCCTCGCTAACGAACTCACGATACGCCAGTGCAGACCCCAGCGGTTCCGTAAACGGGCGCAAGATCATCCTAGCAACCTCGCCTCGTACAAGTCGACCGCACCATTTTGACGTATCTTCCGCACCATAGTTCCAAGCGATGTGTGGATTGAAATCTCTGATACGTAGCTGACGAGGTGTACGTGACACGAAGTAAGTGCTTCTATCGATGGACTCCACAGTGCGGAAACCATAGAGTGAAGGTTCCCAGTTCTCATTCTCTCGAAAACGGAACCACGTCGTATGCTGTGGCCCCCACATCGACCAAAGTAACTTGGGACCACCCGAGGTTGATTGGCCATAAGTCCTGGAAAATAAACCTTCGAGTTCCAGAATGGCACTACACCGGGTGAAGAAACGATAGAGGTGCGAGTCTCTTGGATTCGTGTTCCGAGCGATGCGAACAACGATGCCTATGAGTTGATCGTTCGTACTCGGATGAAATGAGCATGAAGGTTGCTGGTGGAACTTTCGAGAATAGGGAAATATGGAACCAGGAGTGGGATTTTCGCTCGTAAACGCAGACGTATATGAAAAGTCACCCATGAGAGAAGGAAAGGAGAGTTTCGCGGTGCATTGTGGGGGCTTTGACTTGTCAGCAATGGAATATATTTCCATGGTCTTGGAGTCAACAATGACGAGGAACTTATCCTCCGCAATGAAGGAGCAGTCGTCGATACCGTCGTCAAACAAAAGAATGAACTGTGGCGTCATTTAGTTTCTAGCCGAGTTGACTTGCGAAGGTGATTTACCTGGTATTCGTTCGGGGATTTCCAGTCCCACATTTGCACACAGTCTACGACATTGGGCACGTTTCCGATAACATTCCGACATAGCATATTGATGTAGTTCCTGATGATTTGGACCTTCACATGACCACTGGGACCAGATATTCGGCGGCCAATATCAGCATTGTCGAGTGCTTTCAAAAATGGTCGCGCTGCGTCGGGGTGAGCGTCGTTTGTTGTCAGCGACCTCAAATGGATATCGTATGCACGACTTTGACTGCCCTCACAGTCTAGCCTGAGAATGAACCGCGCGGAAATAATGCAGACACTCACACATCCGGTGAATATGTCACAACAATAAGTAGATCTTGCGCAGCACAGAAAGTGAAGTCCGCCAAGGCCATTATGTCGATAGGCTGACTCCAATAATATAGATCACCAGAATCAGACGGGGATGGTAGTCGTGCAAAGTGGATGCAGTCCTCCCCAACCGAACCATATATACCACCCACAAACTCATATATGGAACCTGACATGAATGAGGGGAGCGTACACCTCTGTTTGTATCCAATGCGTTGCCATGCAGCATCATGCTGTCTGAGTTGTTTGCGACGTGTAGCTGGTGGTACGTCCGTTTCGGATATTCCCACTGGAATCATTTGGAAGTAGCTAAGGTCGATGACGTATTGCAGCGTCTCCGAATCGTCGACCATCGCTTTCAGCGCTTTGCATGTCTATGGCGAGTGAGTACAGTAAGATGAATAATTTGTTCACTTACCTTTCGTACCCGCACTAGGTCGTACGCGTCAAGAAATGCCAGTGTATGACACAAAAGCTCTGGTGGGAGCTGCACCAGTGTCCTGGTGCTCATTATTTGGCGCATCATAAATTCTACGACGTATTGCAACGAGTTAGATGTCAAGTACTCGGAACAAGGAGCAGGTAAAACCAACCTTACTTACTACTAAGTAAGCGGGCACTAGTAAGTCAGTATACAAAGGAAATAAAAGCGCACGTGGGATTCCATTTTTGGTGTGTGAAGTTAGACTTTTGCTCTGAGTGAAGAAGACAGAATGACAAGTACGAGATCGATGTCTTCCAACGGCGCCGCCATTACCAGGAATGACTCGAGGTCCCCAGTTCATGCCAGACCATTTTCTCCGTTCAATGCCATCGCAAATGTGGACGGTCGCTCATCCTTAGACAGTGAACGCAGTTCCACGTCTTCACCCATAGTTGGCGTCAATGGCCATTCCCGTGTCCCCATGGACGAGGAGGGCCTGGAACCGATGGAGAAGCTGAAGAGAGAACTCGAACGCGAGAGAGAGGAGAAAGAAAACCTTGCTGCACAGTACCGCAACCTACTAGCTAAACTCACGACGATGCGCACAAGCCTAGGCAATAAACTACAACAGGATGCTGTATGTTTCTATTGAGTGTCTATGATTTTTGGCGCCCTAATGAAATATGCATAGGAAGAACTCGATAGGAGGGAACAACTCGTCCAGCATCTTACAGCTCAGAATGACGATCTGGTTTCCACAATTGAGACTTTGAAAGCCGAGCTCATCGCATCTCATGAAGAAGCAGAACGCAATGCGAAGGAGCTAGATACAATTAGAAGCCGGGTCCTGAATGAGAATGCGCAGGAAAGCTCTTTACGCGAACGCGAGCTTCGGGAGACTCTGAGTGAGCTTGAGCGGTGTCGCCTTGAGCGCGGCGAATGGGAGCGCGCCTCAATGCAGGAGAAGATGTTGGGAGATGAAGCAAGATTGAACCTGGAGATGCTGAGGCGTGATCTGGAGACAGAACGCGAAGCTCGAGATCGAGAGTCAGTCGAATTGGCTGCGGCACAGGAGACTGCGACTAATTTGCAGTCAGTGCTAGAGGATTTCCAAGCATGTGAGCAATATTATGTATTCAACTTCCGCATGCTGAAACATTGGCAGCCAAGGAACACGAACTTTCACAAGCTGTAAAGGACTACAGATCTCAACTCGATGATGTCACAATGTCATTAGCCGAATTCAAGCGACGGGCTCTGAATGCGGAGGTTTGCCTCGCGTTGTGGTCGATAAGATAATCGAGCTTAAATATCAGACAGGCCCAGCTCGATGAGCTGAAAATTAATGCCTCGCGGACACAAGAGCTAGAACAAGACGTCAAGGAGAAGAATTTATTAATCGGAAAGCTGCGACATGAAGGTCTATTTTCATCACCACGCGTGGTTGCCTAATATCAATATTCTTTTCAGCCGTAATCATCAACGAGCACCTGATGGAAGCCCTCCGTAGACTTCGGCGCAACTCTTCCGACACGAACGTAGATCGGAGACTGGTCAACAATGTCCTTCTATCATTTCTTTCCACTCCGCGTGCCGATGCGAAACGCTTTGAAATGCTCACGCTCCTTGCATCTGTTCTGTCATGGACGGACGCAGAGCGTGAAAAAGCAGGCCTCCAGCGCTCCTTGATAACGGCTTCATCTGCCAATTCATTTTGGGGACGTCCGTCAAACGTCGGGTCGCCAAGTCAAAAGCTGGCCGATTTAGAAAAGACAGACGAGACCGAGGTAATACAACGATTTTAATTGCTGTAACCGCAAGCTCACCGACTCTTTTCTATTCTAGTCTTTTTCCCGCCTCTGGGTGGAATACCTGCTCACAGAAGCAAATCAGGGCGAAACGCCTGCTAGACCGCCACGCTCGAACGCCTCGGTCCCAAACAGTCCTTTGCATTCACCAAACACCCTCCTCTCCTCACCAACGGGGCTAAAAGGAACGCGGCGTCTGGTATCGTTCACGAGCGCCTCAGGCATGGCAAGCTCGCCAAGCTTGGTACTGCCGCCGTCCCGAAAGGGGAAGGAAAAGGAGGTCGTACCGTGACGTCTGCTGGTCGGACGTGTCGATGGATTCGTCGTTATCTGATTTTATTTCATTTTTGCACGCTCAGACACGTAGTGTAGTTTTTCGTATTTCATGTTATTCATAAGCACGCGCTGGCGATTTCTAGGTCTTTGTTGGGAAGCACACTGTGCCTATCTTGGGATCTCTAAACGATGTGAGCACGCGGCTTGCGGAGCCTGGAGGTTTCACAGCTGGGCGCTGAACGTTGAACGTTGAACCACAACCGACATACATAGGAGACTTCACAGATTGATTTTGCCTCGACAACGAAGCCGGATATTGACATGGTTCGAGGAACGCAAATGATTAGAAAAATCACGCGTAGATGATTGTCATTTCCGCGAAGTTAACTTTAGCTTCCAAGGACCAGGACAATATGGCTTCAACTTGAGGGGAACAATACGGGATTTATCATTGAAAATACTGATTGCGAAAATTACTGTAACTTATAAGAACAAGGGCACTTAAGTGCAAGTCTATTGCGAACAAATCAACCAAGGGAAGCTCAGTTTAATGCGAGAAGCATTTTGCGGGGATCCTCAATGTAGTCACGGACTTTCACTGCAAACACCGTCAACACGTCAGATGGGACCAAATGACAAGAAGAGTACGAACCTAGGAAGGTAACTGCCTCCCGACCATCGAGTAGTCTGTGGTCGTAGGTGAGGGCAACAACCATGATGGGTCGGATCACGATCTGGCCATTCACAACCACAGGCTTGTCCTTGATCGCGTGCATGCCGAGCACAGCAGACTGTGGCAAGTTAATGATAGGCGTTCCGTACAACGAGCCGAAGACGCCGCCATTGGAACTAGGGGCATGAAATAAGGCTTGGTTCGGGGTGGAGATCAAAAAAGCTTACATGGTGAAGGTGCCTCCTGCCATATCCTCGAGAGTCAACTTACCGTCTCTGGCCTTGGTACCCAGAGCGGCAATCTCCTTCTCGATTTCAACAAAGCCCATGCCTTCGGCATTCCTCACTACAGGAGTAACCAAACCCTTGGGAGTCGCAACAGCAACGCTGAGGTCGACATAATCATGGTAAACAATCTCGTCACCCTGAATGGACGCGTTTGCAGCAGGAATCTCCTTCAGTGCCAGCGCGCATGCACGGGCAAACGCGCTCATGAAGCCAAGCTTGACGTCATGTTCCTTGAGCACCTCATCCTTGTACTTCTTCCGCATCTCCATGAGAGAGGACATGTCGATCTCATTGAAGGTCGTGAGTGAAGCAGCAGCGTTTTGAGACTCCTTCAGACGCTCGGCAATGCGCAGGCGCATACGGTTCATCTTGACCTAATGGGCAGAGGTATATCAGTATCCTTGAAGGAGGTGTAGCAATGCTATGCTTACTCTCGTCTCACCCCGGTTGCCTGCTGCCTTTGGCGCGGGCGGGGGTGCTTTTGACGTATCTTCCTTCGGTTTCGAGGCCTGCTTCACCTCCTTCTTGGACTCTTTAGGTCCTTCGAGAGGGATACCACCACTCTGCTTGTCAGCACCTGAAGGTGTGCGAGGCTCCGGCGTAGTCTTGCCCAAGTGTTGGTCCTTAGGTTCTTCAGGGTCGGTCTTCTGTTCTTGAGGGGCGGGGGATGCTAGAGCCATATGAAAAAATGGCATGTCTCATAAAAGACACGAGACCTACCACCACCTTCGCCAGGTTCGATTCTGAAGAGGTCCTGGCCGACTGTGACAGTGTCATCTTCATTTGCGAGCAGCTCCACGATCTTCCCTGCTGTGGGCGCGTTAACAGAAACATCAATCTGCGAGATGGAAAATTAATGTGTTTGTTCGCGCAAGAGATGTGCAAATAAGTAGATGCTCGCCTTATCCGTCTCAATGGTTGCGACTTCCTCATCAACTTCGACGCTATCCCCAACCTGTTTTGACCATGACCGAAGAGTGCCTTCGGAGATGGATTCTGCCATCTGTGGCACTTTTACGGTCTCAGCTGCATGTCAACAGAGTGGGTGTGAATTATCATGTTCCGTTGTTTCTGAGATACGTCATGACACTGACCTTGGAGGAGACGTGATGAATGGAATTGTGCACGTCTCAATTGCGAGTCGGCGACTTTCCTAGACACAAAAGAAAGTAACCATCCGTCAGCTATGCTGCCAGCAGGAAAAAACAGCCAGAGAACGCGTACCATCCTTTCGACAACGACACAGTAGTGTCACGGTACTGGGCATTTCTGCTTGCGAGAAAAGCACGACTGCGAGCTGCAGCGATGACTCGTTTTGATAGCATGTTTTATGGGTTGGAATACAGGAGGAAATGTCTAGGAAATAAGAAAGGCATGTTCCATGGATCCTGGCCCAGTCACGGTGGTGTACGGAACAAATTGATGTATAATTAATATCACCACAGTGACGTTTCGCATGGCTGGGGCGCCGATCCTCAGCGTTTCTACTCTCAACTCACACATCCGCGTCGTTTTTTCAAGAGTTATCTAAGGTCTCCTCTTGTTTTCGCACCGATCCATGAGAAACAAGAGTCGGCTCCCTCAAGATTCCAAGCTCTGTCTCTCTGAGACGTCGGACTCAATACTAGACCCAGTACATTCCTGGTGCCTGAAAAAAGTCTTACATCCCTGGTTGGCAACAGAAAAAAAGACTAAAAACGAATTTAACGAACAGAGATGTGGAATGTAGCGTACACCTACAGTGTCTACGGGATATTTCAATCCGAAAACAAACGCATAGGGTCAGTCGTTCACCTTGTACAATTGAAAAGAGAACCACCTTAACCTAGCGGAGGTCGCTGAGCGCTGAGAACCAAGTATGTCACGACTTCAAATATAAATATGCTGTGAATACTTAATTATGTCTCCTCAGGAGAAACCAGGCGATGAACGCCAGACGTGGGTCGCAGCCGGCCGACTCAGCCTCAGACTATTCGGGTGTCATGATGAAGAATATGACGAGGACTACGCGAACAACTACTCATGCCGATAACGGTGAAGGAGATGACATGACTTTCTGTACTCATGACGGCTCAAACAATGACACCCACAACAGATGCTTATGGCTAGCTTTCATACATCTCGTTAGTACGAAAAGACCTGCAGTGCGGAGACCTGCTTACCTGTGGGCAGGCATTATCAGCGCTCATTTCGACAGAGCTTGACAGCCCTCCACCACAAGTAATGGATACGTTGCCTCGAATACACACACTTTGTGCAACAGCCAGCACCGACCCATTTTTAGGCTCAATAGAGGACCGATTTGAACCCTGCTCGTGCTGCATGATGTTACGCTTGTGTCGATCACAATTCGGAATCCCGCTACTGAGGCTGAGCCAACCTCAAAGCGGAGCCCATGTGCAGCACGAAGGTAGGCTTGGCGCGCTAAACGTGAACTGGTGGGCGGTTCCTTAATGTACCCCAGCCCGGCGCAAAGTACTCGAGGGCCTCGCAAGTGCAGCAGAACCTGTTTATCGGCACTTCCTTAGAGTCAAAGACCAAATGTTCCCCCTATCTGTGTCTTATGCTATTGATCGCCAGCGTCTCCCGTTTTTTACACTCGATGTAATAAGCTTTGGTTTCCGATGTTGGTACAAAATGAAAACTGGTATACACTATGCCACTTGCGAAGGGCTGGAGTGGCTTGACTGAGAAACAACTTGAATAAGATGAACGGGCGCAAAGCACAGAGAATCTGGAGTGGTATTGTCCGCGTTTTGGATCATTCTTCCTCCCGAGTCTGATGAGTCTAGTTCGTCAGAATGAGGCGTATATTCGCCCTCGCTTCCACTATCTTCTTCCTCACCCTCACCACCCCCATCAACATCGCCACCAACCTCGACAGATGGTTCTCGAAATTCTTCATCAACCCCTGCACCTGCAGTCATCTTCATTCCCTTCTCCTGCTCGCGGACCATGGAGAAAGATCTGACCAAACGCTGCACGACCTTCCACCTGGTAGAGTATTTTTTGAAGTCTGGATGATCATCGTAGTAACAATGGTCCCATGCCTCAATTGATTTCATTTTGGGTGCGATGGCTGAGATGAAAGCGGCAATCCTGGTTGGATGGCGAATAATTGGACAACCAAAATATGCCTCCGATAGTGCATTGTGTGAAAATCCCTGGTAAGGAACGGTAGGGGGTATGTCACGTCCATCTATCGTCGACCAGTTTATGAAAACGGCAACCGAGACTAGACGTGAGCAATGTTGCAACAGTGAGACGAAGGCATGTGGGGTGACATCATGACTCAAATTGTGGTATGCATCGAAGGATAAGTCTTCCAGGAGGGGCCACGCCTTAGCCATCTGCAAAAGGACAGCATCATCCAATCGCACACCACAGTACGCTTGGAAGGAGAGCTTCCGAAGATTGCGGAAGGCGAAGAGTGGCTGAAAGGTTGCGGCTCCGATTGAAGCATGGTGGTCCGTGCTCCAATCAGTGATGTAGAGCCACACTTCTTCCAGTGAGCTGTGCGCACATGGATCGGATAAACGGGAAATAAAAGCCGGTGGGACCAGTGTGAAATCCACGTCGTGAATAGTGATGACATAGGATAGTACTTTCGGAGCAATTGAGAGCTTCTCGAGAAAAGTGTATAAGAGCGCCAGATCCCCTTCACATGTTATCTCCAGTTCTTGTATTGCACAAAACCCATGATGCTGCAGGAGCCTTTGTGTATTCGGAGATATAGGTGTTGAAGGTAACGTGAATTTCAAAACTCGGAGTGAAGGCAGATTGGACAGGTGTAGTATGGCCGCCTCAGACAATCTTCCAGTTGTCACCGAGTGTAGATGAGACCAGCATTGCAATGCGGTCGATGTGTCTTCTAGTTCTAGTGATCCAAATGAATGAAAACTGAAATGCGAGACAGAAGGACACAGCATTGAAATAGACGACAAGATGGACTGCTCGGATAAACCAAAGGTAAGGTTACCCGGAAAGATATTAAGTTTCGTCAATTTTGGGGTCACAAACAACCAGACATATGGAAATGTCTCACTGGTAGTCTCATACCAATCAAGAGACGTCAAGTTGGGGAGTAAGGGAGGGGAGAAAGGAGGACAGCTGAGGGTACGCCAGGTTTCGGTACCGACCTCATGAACTGCTCTGTTGAGTGAACGGACACGGTGGTTGTATTTGCAAAAAATAGACCAGTCATCCAAGGTCATGGTTCTTTGAAATTCCTGGCAAATAGAATGAATTAGAACACTATCCAGTATAGGCCAAAGCTTTACTGACCAATTTTTGTGCGTTCATTTTCCATAGGCTTTGCGGGAGACATCTGATGAGTGGTGCAAGTCCACGCAGGTATTGCCACAAAAGGTCCAGTGCAGGTTCAGTGAATGACTTGCACGTCAAGGCAAGCGCCAGGAGTGTCTTATTTCTCGCGGAGAGCTCCATCCAAGCCATGTCGGTATAGCTATTGGCACAGACCAGCTGGAATATTTTCCACCGAAGCTCAGGTATCCCAATCATACAGCGAGTACACGCAGGCAACGAAGTCGGAACGTCGCTGTTTTTCTGTCCGCTGTGGGCCTCTTGATGTGAGTGGGTTTCCTGGTGAGAACCAACGCTATCTGCAGAATACTCGGCCTCCATAATTGCGGCAGCGGCACTTAGCAGCGAGCGCAAGATGATCGATGATCGATGATCAGCCGCACAGCCACCTCTGTGCGGCACTATCAGGAGAAAAATCTAAACAACATCAGGATATCATATTTCAACGTTGAAACTCTGACTTGCCTCCAACGCAAATAAGAAACGCGCACGCCTTGATTCTATTGTGTCTGCTACAGAAGATTAAACGTGTGTGTGGATCATATAGATATGCGTATTGTACACAGGTGAGTTTAGGCATGTGATGGTGCACACTGCAAAGGTCATATTGCAATTAGCAGAGTCCTGCTCTTGGTATGCTATAAGCCTTGGTTTCCGATGCTCGTACAAAGTGCAAACTGGTATAAACTATGCCACTTACGAAGACCTGAAGTGGCATGATTGAGAAACAATTTGATGAACGGGCGCAAAGCACCGAGGAGAATTCAGAACGTTACTATTGTCCGCGCTTTGAATCATTCCTCCCCCGAGTTTGATGAGGCTTGGTCAGAGTGATATCCGCCCTCGCTTCCACTATCTTCTTCCTCACCCTCACCACCCCCATCAACATCGCCACCAACCTCGACTTCATCAGCCCCTGTACATGTATTCAACTTCGTTCCCCTTTCCTGCTGACGGACCATGGAGAAAGACTTGATCAAACGCTGCACGAGCTTCCACCTGGTAGAGTATTTTTCGAAGTCTGGATGCTCCCCGTAGAAATCAGGGTCCCATGCCGCAGTTGATTCCACATTAGGTGCGATGGCTGAAATGAAAGCGGCAATCCTTGTTGGATGACGAATCCTTGGACTACCAAAGAATGCCGTCGATAGTGCATTGTGTGGAAATCCCTGGTAAGGAATGGCAGGGGGTATGTCACGTCCATCTATTGTCGACCAGTTTATGAAAACGGCAACCGAGACTAGACGTGGGCAATGTTGCAACAGCGAGACGAAGGCATGTGGGGTGACATTATGACTCAAATTGTGGTATGCATTGAAGTATAAGTCTTCCAGGAGGGGCCAGGCCTTCGCCATCTGCAAAAGGATGGTGTCGTTCAACTGCACATTACAGCATGCGTTGAATTGGAGCTTGCGAAGGTTCCGGAAGGTGAAGAGCGGTCGAAAGGCTGCCGCTCCGAATGAAGTGTTGTGATCCGCAAGTAGATCAATAATGTTGAACTGGACCTGCTCCAGTGAGCTGCGCGCACATGTATCAGATAAACGGGAAATCAAAGCCGGCAGGGCTGGTGTGGAATCCACTCCACGAGTGATATCACAGGTTATTACTTTTGGGGCAATGGAGAGCTTCTCGAAAAAAGTGCCTAAGAGTGCTGGACTCCCTTCACATGTTATGTCCAGTTCTTGTAACGCACAGAACACAGGACGCTGCAGGAGCTTTTGGGTATTTGCAGATATAGGCATTAGAGGTAATTTGAATTGCAGAACTCGGAGCGAAGGCAGAGTGGAGAGGTGTAGTATGGCAGCCTCAGAAATCCTTCTAGTTCTAACTGATTTTAGATGAGACCAGCTTTGCAGCGCAGTCGATGTGTCTCCTAGGCTTGATTCTCCGAATGAATGAAAACTGCAGTGCGAGACAGAAGGGCACAGCATTGAGATACACGACAAGACAGATTGTTCGGATGGACCAAAGGTAATCGTTGACGATGTGATACGGAATGTTGTCAATTTTGGGGTCGCAAACAACGAGGCATATAGGAATGTCTCGCTGGTGGTCTCATTCCAAGTAAGAGACATCAAGTTGGGGAGTAAGGGAAGGGAGAAGGGAGGGCAGCTGAGGGTACGCCAAATCTCGATATCCAGCCGAATCGCCGCATAGGGTCTTGTATGTAGTGAGCGGACACGGTGGTTGTATTTGCAAAATATAGACCAGTCATCGAAGGTCATGGCTCTTTGAAATTCCTAGCAAATGAATGAATTGGAATACTCTCGGGCGTGAGCCAGAGCTGGACTGACCAGTTTTCGTTCGGCCTTTTTCCATAGACTTTGCGGGAGACATCTGATAAGTGGTGCAAGCCCATCATTCAGGTTTTCCCACAAAAGGTCCAGCGCAGGTTCAGTAAATGACTTGCATGTCAGAGCAAGCGCCAGGAAGGTCTTATGTCCCGGAGAAAAGTCGTGGACCAACCGGAATATTTTCCACCGAAGCTCAGGTATCATAATCATGCAGCGAGTAGTAGATGCAGGTAATGAAGGAGTGTCCCTGTCCCGCTGTCCGCTGCGGGCCTCTTTCTGTGAGTAGTTTTCGCGTTGAGGATCAACGCTGTCTACCATAGAGTACTCGGCCTCCATACTTGAGCACACGGCACAGGACGATGAGGAATGCATACATTCGGAGTCCGCTGATAAATCAAACGCACAGCCACCTCTTTGTGAAGGACACTCGGGACAATGTCCAGCAGTCACCAGAAAAACAAAGCAGGATGATACGGAAGGAACGACTGATACATTGGTTACGCCTACGGGAAACTAAATGTGTATGCAGATGAATATGTGTATGTAGATGAATATGTGTATTTGTACACGGATATGACTTGAATTTAGGTATGTGATGGTGCAAAGGTAACAAATCTATCTCGCTGGCCGCTATCTTCCACGGGCGTGAGCGTTAATGGCTCTGAGGTATATTCGCCCAACTGAATGCCGGCGCTATTCATCCGAGTACCGTTGTCGACAGGTGAAGGCGAGCGAGGGGTAATAGAATGCGGTGTGGAATGTGCAGTTACTGTAGTGAGATGGCGATAGTCATTCGCCGTCGTCCACAACCTGACCGCGCCATCGTGGCTTCCCGTAGCAAACATGAATGGGTTGTCCGAAGCGTGGTTCCATGCGATACACGTCAGGTCCCCGCCTAGGGCTTGAGCACGGACATGATGAAGAAGCACCGCCGAGTCGCGGTCCCAAATATGTATATCACCAGCTGTTCAATGCTTTTTCAATAATAGGACTTGAGGGGAATCGGAAATAGCGCACCCTTTCCGGCACAAAGCACAAGCTGGTCGTCCTTGCCCCCGAAATAGCTCGGTCCTGCGAAGTCAACTGGCATCTTGGGCATGTAAGTATGACGCAGAGTGAGTCGCGCCTGATCCTTGACCATTTCTAACTTCCACAGCTGGGGAGGTGCCTGGATGTATCCACGAGAGAAACTAAGTAAGATGGCCTAATCGGCAATACATCGACAGACCTTGTTCTCATAAGATACCAGAGCTACTTGTCCATTCTTAGCCAGCGTTATATCCCGAACATCATTGAGCACTGGGGTCTGGCTGTAACAACTCGTCAAGACATGCCTTGCAAGCATCATGTCAATCTCACTTTTCGATAACCTTCGTCTCGACATTGTAAACTAGAAGAGATTAGAGGTCAGAACTCGCGAATAACAATGGCGTACTCACCCAAAAGCTGTTTTTCTACCCGGGACTTGCTAGGATGCAGTCCACCGGGAGAATATAGGATCGGCCCGACGCCCAACAACCGCTGTAGATCGGGAGTGATAGCCACATCATGAATGAACACCCGATTGAAGTGATACGTGTCGAGGACCTGAGGGACCAGAGATTTCAGTGGCATTTCAAAATTGACCTTGATGCACACACATTGCCGTTAAGATCCTGTAAAGAGGCGTGAGTACGTCATAAAGAGGCGCGCGATAACTGCTCACCAATTTGACTACTTCGCTACCCTCAACGGATAGAAATGCTATAGAAGATGAGTTGTCGGTATCACATCCGTGGGTGTCAATCGGGGCCTCACCTTCCCCTCCAGGAAACCACGCAATTGACTGGACATGGTGGTGTCGTTCAATAGTCTTTCGGCACACTCCATCCTACAAATAACGCACAACTCAGTACGGTGCTACTTTTCTCTCCCCTTCAACACACCTCCGTCCAAATTTTAATAGCCCGATTCAGTCTTGTGAGGAGAAGCACACCAGCCGGGGACCTTGTGAAGACGTCAGCAAACCATAAACACGAAGCCACAATAGCGCACCAAGCAACTTGACCGACAAAGCCAGAAGCATGCGCAAGGACGCGATGGGCAACACAAGGTTCCTGCAGAAATGTTATTACCACGCTTCGATCTACCACTAGTACCACATACCCCGATGCGGAAGATGATGGACGTCCGATCCCAGCTGTGGAGAAAACATCAATATTCACATACTCCTCGTGCTGAGAGACCATACCTTGAAGTAGCTAAAAACTTCCCATTAGGTGAGAACTGTAAATGTCTGACGAGTGCTGAGTGCGCAGTCAAATCTTGCGTTGCTTCTAAGCTCTTGAGCTTCGGTATGAGGGAAGCGACTTTGGACCCTCTAAATGTCGCGGTGACACCTATCTCAGACTTCCCCTCTCGATATATCCGAACCCGTGAACACGGACGAGGTCGTTCGTTTCCGCGCGGGAGAAGAAAATGGGTTGCTAGGAGAAGACGTTGCAGATTGGAGCATCATGACTGACCGAATAGCACTTGTTAGACGGTCTCGAGGCGTAATGGGAGAGTTTGACATGCTGCTGAAGGTGGTGGTTGGTAACTCCAAGTTGGGATGTGAAGATCCCTCGGCACTAAATTGTGAGTGTGAGTCCATGGATTGTCGGATGGATGATAGCGGAGGAGGGGGTTCAAGAGGATATGTCATGTTGTGAACAGACTCGCCAGTTGTCAGGTTATCGCCTTGATCTATCGTGGTCGTCCCCATCGACGGAACACGCCTAATTTTGAGTCCTGCAACCTCAACACCCTTTTGCACATATCGCGAGCCCCAGCCAAAAGCTTTACTAACAATCGAGACAAGACGTAGTGCCATAAAGTGTCGCAGAGCATCTTTCAGGACGTCAGAAAGCCACTTCGACCCACGATGATGCACAAAAGTCCATCTCTCGGAGGCAAACCAGGCTGAAACTGCTGCTAGGCCAAATGAAGTGAATGCAGTAAAAACAGTCGTAATTGTAGATGTAACTTTGCCCTAGAGTGCACAGTGAGCAACAAACAAAAAAAGTTGAAAATAGCCCAGAGGATCTCACCTGGTTGGTAGAATACGTGAATAGTACAAGTCCGGCGGAAAAGCAAGCCACAGACATGACCAAAAATACTAGGGGTGATCGTTTAATCCATATCAGTACCCACCACGGTACACGATCACCAGGTGATCGACTGCCCACATTAGCTGGGACCCGCTTTAAGTCCAAGAAGCACTTACTACATGGCTTGTTTCCATGAAAGCCCCAGCAAACTATTAACAGCAGCAGCAATGCTGAATACAAGCGAGGAGAACCAGAACGCATTAACTCCGTCAGACAGGATATCCCCTGTTTGAGCATAGGAGAACTGCAGGGTGGTCGCAGTGACGGCAGAAAAGAACGTGGCCACGGTGGAGAGCGTTAAAAGATTGGCTGCACCATGCTTCTGTGCGAAACGAATGGTCGGGACACCTAGGACGGCGTCAGAGCAATGTCGCTTGGGTAGACCACGGGATAACACACCGACTTCGATGAACATCGATAACGTCCCAGTAATGATGTCAATGTGCTCTCCCATTTCGGCCGTAAGGTCATGCACATAGCGTTGCACAGCAGGGTATTTGAATTGTCCTGGTATAAGAGATTTAGAATCACGACCATTCGACACTTGGAAAGCCTTACCTCTGTAATCTTGTAAACAACATGCCCAGTACTGCCGAAAATTAACCAAGTGACAGGTTAAAAAAAAAAAAAAAAAAAGAGGTGCAAATTCATACCTTCAAATCGCCCTCAAATGACTTTATCGAAGTATTAACAGCCTCATCGGTGAACTCCGGAAATTCGTTCAGGCATTTCAAAAAGGTCATGAGAGCAGTAGCGAAGTTCTCAAACTGCTCTGGGAGGCTCTCAAGATCAAGACTGTCCTCTACGTTAGCTGGAACACGCCCTGGCATGCTCTTCCGTCGTCGAGCTTTGCGTTTTCTATCCATCAGATTGGGATTAACCAAAAATTCGCGCTGCTGACGAGAGACCTTGCGAGGAAAAAGATCTGCCGCATTATCCCGGAAAAGGAAGAGGATTTGAGCAAGACGCTCCCGTAGCCGAAATGCGGAGGAAAGTATTCCGACGGAACTACCGAGTTGTCGAGCAGCATTGGCGAAATTTCTGAGCTGTCAGGGTGAAAAACGCGTCAGCCTAGTGAATCGCGAAGCTTGTTGCACAGTAGTAACCTCTTTGTCGAGACTATTGATCCTCCTGAAGGAAAGTTTAATAGAATTTTGTAGCATTTATGTTGAACGAACTTCTGAAACTTATTAAATGCCTCTGCTCCTGCAACCTGTAGTTGCTCGTCAACAGTCGCTAATCCGGCGTTCAGCCAATTGTACAGTTGTTAAACGATCCTACTCACGAACATCTCTGTCATCCTCAAAGCTTGGATGCTGATCTAAATCTGGAGTGAGTAGTCGATGAGCTGCCTAGACTTGCAAAGGACAGAAAGTTGACCTCGGCCAAGAGATTCAGTCTGGCTGAGCTCATTTAGAGCATTCAGGAGGTTGAACAATGTCTGCCTCCGTTTGGCATCTAATCTTGGAGGATGATCGACGCGGGTTAGATTAATTGTTTCTCCGAGGAGACTGCCTGTGTAGTCTTTGAACTGGCTAGTCGCAGGTGCGGAACCGGTACCTGGGAAGAGGATACACAGGTTCAGCCACGTTTTCGTGTGCAAAATATAAACATTCATACCGCAATACATCTTGTCTGCTATATATACTGTGTTAGCTGTGCAAGTAGCCGTTAAAGATAGTTCCAGTTATGAAAGGTTCGCTAGGACGTGGTTGAAATTCTCGAGGGAGTTCTGGTGGTAGATTGCTAAGGGTATGAAGAACACGCGAGAAATAACGCTGGTCCATTGAAAGGCTCGGCTGCCACGAAAGGAGTTGGGCCCTTCGCTTCCTGCGTTCCGAATTACTCAATTCAGGCGCTCGGCGCTCGCCCAGAATTTGTCTGTAACTGTAAGGCACTACCACTGATACTATCATGATATAGACACTGCTTGAGATGATACACGGCAGATACTGACCTCACTAGTCCCTAGTTTACTTTTCACTGTTTGCTCGCTGTAGTCAACGGCGAGCTTAGGGACCATCTATAAAGTAAGGGAGAATGGTATGGGGGAAACCGTGAGAGACGCGTATTCCGCGTATTCCGGCAGTGTCGGTTGTTTCGGTTGCGTCGGTAAGGTCGCTGAAAAGAGGATCCCATGTGGTTCTGTCAAGCGGAGTTTGAATTTGCAAAAACCGTTGTCCCTTACTATACGAGCTCACTGTCCAAACGTGGGAATTTGTAAAAATTGAGCCACAATGGGATTGGCAAGTGCTCACTGGCCCTCCATTTTGCACAACAACAATGAATTTTATATGTACTGCAACTGTGAATACATAATAAATAGTAAAAATTGAAGGACAACAAGGGATTTTGGGATTTTTGTGGGGAAAAGAGAAAAGAGAACACCAAGCAAGTAGAAAAATGTGAAAAATGCAAAATGCAAAATGCAAAAATGTGAAAATGCAAAATTGCGAAAATATAAAGATGGGAAAAATTGGCAATGGGTAAACAGGGGAATGGGAAGATGGAGAATGGAAAAATAGGGTGAATAGGGAGGATGGGAGGATGGGAGGAAAATAGGAGGACAACAGAAGGATGGGAGAACAATGGGAGGATGGGAGGACAAGAGGAGGACAAGAGGACACAATAGGAGGATGAGAGGACAAGAGGATGGGAGGACAATGGGAGGACAATGGGAGGATGGAAGACAGGAGGACAGACAATGGGACATGGGACATGGGACACGGGACACGGGACATGGGACACGGGACACGGGACACGGGACACGGGACACGGGACAATGGGACATGGGACATGGGACATGGGACATGGGACAATGGGACAGTGGGACACGGGACAACAGGACATGGGACAACAGGACAACAGGACAACGGGACACGGGACAACAGGACAAACAACAGGACAACAGGACAACAGGACAGTGGGACAGTGGGACACAGAACCATGGGACATGGGACACAGGACATGGGAGATAGGAAATCAGATAATTGGGAGGAAGTGTATGAGTCAATAGCATGACACAAACAGTTTGACTGAAGGTTACCTGGGACACTGGCTTGCATCCCGCTGGCCGAGGCACGAGGCCACGGGATTGCAAGCCTGTGTCCCAGGTAACCTTCAGTCAAACTGTTTGTGCAACATCCCATAGCTAAAACAAAACTATATAATATTTTTTAAATGTAAGATGTAAGAATTTATTTATTTCACAAAATTAAATAATATGTAGACACAGTGAGGCAAGGCACCTTTGGTGCCTCCAGCAGAGCATGAAATGCTCTGCTTGCTTCCTGTGCCGAAGGCACAACGGGCTTGGACTCGTCATAAAAGAATGGGAGACCGGTTTTGTGGCTGTGTGTGGGAGACGCGTAGCTCGCTAAAGGCCACATGGGAACGCTTAGCTCGCTTAAACCTCGATTTAGAAATTTCGCGTGGTTCTGTCAATCGGAGTTTCAATTTCAAAAAACCGTTCTCCCTTACTGTCCAAAAATTGGTTAAGCCACAACAAGGGGAGGAACACCAAGCAAATAGAAAAATGTGAAAAATGCGAAAAATGCGAAAATATAAAGATAGGAAAAATGGGCAATGGGTAAACATGGGAATGGGAAGGTGGAGAATGGAGAAATGGGAGGAGGAGGACAGGAGTCTAAGAAGAAAGGGAGAACAGGAGAACAGGAGAACGGGAGATAGGAAAGCAGAAAATAGGACAGAGACACGGGAGAATTTTTTGGGAAGGGCAAGAGTCAACAGCAAGACACTGGCTTGCATCCCGCTGGCCGAGGTACGAGGCCACGGGATTGCAAGCCAGTGTCTTGCTGTTGACTCTTGCCCTTCCCAAAAAATTCTCCCGTGTCCTCTGTCCTCAGAACTAAAATAAAAGTATATAGTATTTTGTAAATGTAATATGTAGACATGTGCCGAAGGCACAACGGGTGTGGGCTAGTTGAGAAAACGTGCAACAAAACGTGTTGGTAACGTTTCTCAGTTTTGTACTAAACAAGTGTGCCGTGGCACCTGAACGTTGAACCACGTGTGTCAATTGCCTCCGCCAACTATTTTAGCCAAAGGCCCTGAAATCGCAGAAAACCGTTGGTCCTGTTCATGGCGACTCTCGTTCGTACGCAACTCGTGCAGCCCGCCGAACAGGACGAAAGCATTCGAACTTCCGTTCCGAAACCATTTCCGACTCCGGAAGAAAGAGAGCAGCTACTTCAGGAAGCACTTCTCGAAGAACTCGCTGAGGAGCAAGTGGAGTATGAAGCCCGTGCCAATGGGCGCGTATCGCAAAGCGTGCTGCAATCGGCGGCAGCGCTACATAATGCAAACCATATCGCACCAGACAGACTACTCGTGAGTGATGGGTACCTCACCGATGTGTCTGCGGATGCTTAGCCCAAAATTTCAGACGGTTATCATGCCATCAATCACTACAGTGCAGAATTCGTGTCTCATGACACTTAATAACTTGTTATCCGTCCCTACAAGATGGCAGCCAATTGTCCCTGACAGGCGCCATTCAATGCCAGCCTCTATGCACTGCACGCAGGCCCCGCAATCATACTCCGCCCTTGAGACACTTGTGTTAAATCTTAGAAATCATGACGGTGGGGAGGCACTACGGGAAGTCCAGGATGACCACGCAGCTCTGCTGGAAGAACTCCGGGATCGAGTCGATGCCCTAGCGCCTTCTATGCACCGACAGGATGCACATTTTGCACAAGTCATAGTATCGCTCCTTCTGGACTTGAACCAGTTGCCTGCAGTTTCTCCTTTAGATTCAGCCCCTCAGGCATCTTCATCCGCTCCTCCTGGCCTTATCACTGGACAGCCCGCTGAGCTTCTCAGTACCCTGAAAAAGCAGCTTGGCGATCTCCAGCTGGAACGGAAGGCAGGGGCAGGCAGTCTCTCCTCGCAATCCCCAATACAAACTGTACAAACCGCGCTTCTTTGGTCCAATATTGATCGCAAACTAGAAACTGTAGCAGCACTTTGTAAAGACCGCGCCGATTCTCATCGTTCCCCCTCCCTAGATCACCTCCCCCCTCAATATGACCACGTAGACCACGACTTCGAGACACCCCCAGAATATGATGCCGAGTATCACCCATCTCCAGAGAAGGCTGACATCCAGCCGCCGACGTCCATGCCATCTCCCAGCATCCCCAACGAGAAACTGCGCATGGATTTCGATGCCGTGACTCTGGCAATCGAGCGTCTGTATCTCGTTGCACCCCAGCTGCACAACCAACGAGTGGAATTGAAGAGCGCCAAGCTCGCCCAAATGGAACGTGCGCGGCTTGAAGGTCCTAAAGTCCAGCCTTCCATAACGAAGGGGAAGCAGAAAGCTTATGATGCGGATATGCGCGATCTCGACCACATGCTTGAGCTCATCGGGAAAGCGTCAGACCGCAAGATGACAGATCAGTCAGTTGTCATGGATAGCAGACGGATGTCCAGGCTTAGGCAAGCAAAGCAGCAGTACGAAGATCAGGTAATTCCAGCTTACTCTGACTGTAGACCGTTGCTTATCGATCCTTTCAGCGAGGTGCATTTGTCGACCATCTTGTCCAACGTTCGGGAGCTGGAAGATTACACGATCAAGATGCCATCCTACAACCCAAAGTCAGAGCACTGGATGAGCTCGTTACGCTACCAGAGTTTATCCGCGAATCAATGCAGGAGGACCCACACGCGTTACGCCAACAAACGATGTCCTCTTCTAGAGATGGGCCTGATGGGGAACCTGTTCCTGACGTTCCGACATCAAGCCACAAGAAGTCACGCAGTCGAAGTATATCCGCTCCACAATGGTTGCGCCCTGCAGCAGAACTTAGCCGGCGGCTGTCTAAGAGTTCCAGTAGACCGGCCTCTTCCCATGGGCAGGTCCAATCTGGAACAGAGCAACAGCAGCAAGGCAAGCGCTAGGACAATGTTGTCGACAAAACTTAACCAGAACTCTACAGGGAGCGCCGCACTCGATATTTCCTACGTCGCCGAATATCACGAGACCTTGAAACATGTCCTAGTCTTCGTGACAGTCTCGGGCGTTCCCGTTGACACTGAGCTGCAGGCTGAAGTGTTGCCAACTTCGTCCAGTGGGACGGAAGGCGACTGGCTGGTGATTAGGAGCTCTTGGGCTTCCTCGCCTCCACTAAGCCTGCCGGTCCGAGTCGCTCCAGGAAAGAAAGATGTCCACATTCGCCAAGGACACTACGAGCTCAAAATCGGGATTGCAAATCCACAGGCGGCGAGGTCCTCTTCACCCGATGAACCTACCCCATTGATGTCTGCTGAGCAACTCATGTCGTTGAAGCCGACATCCTGGTCCTGCATATCCTGCTCGCTTCCCCTTGTCTACAGCCTAAAGTTGACAAAATACCGCGACCTTCCATCAGAGCATTGGGAAGAACTCGTGGATGCCTGGATGTGCCATGCCGACCAAACGCTACATAATCACGTCGCTAAGCATGGCCGCGGGTTCTGGCCTGAGGAGAGCGAGGCTCTGGTTGGATGCAGTTACATTCTCTTCCAACAATCGGCAATTGTATCCAATAATGTCTCCTGCACCGAGCAGCCGCTGGTGAATACGCATTTTCTGTTAAACTCGTGCCATTATAGGACGATCAAGAAGACCGGCGCTGGGCTTCCACCAGCGGCCGCTAGTCGATCGTCGATGCTCTGCTCTGATGCCTTAGAAGCCCTAGCAGGTTTCTTCGTACCGTCAAGTAGTAGGGCATGTGTCGTGAGACTGTGGCAAGTTTCGCTTTCGGTTGATACAAAGCGTCCAATATTGAACGTGGGGCAACTCGCGAGTCACTCTTTCAAACAACTCTCTTCACTGAGGACCATGTGATGGGGGCTACGCTTGAGGGCACAATTTTTCTTCTCTTTTTCCGGTTTCTTTGTCGATGGTGAACTGATTTATTCTCTTCAGCGAGGTGAGGAGTCGTGGCTGGCACGATGCATATGTGGCGCAATAATTGGTCGGCGGCATGAACGACACAGTCCCGACGGTACGGCTTCAGCAATGTACCGTTTGTTCAAGTATGCAGTGCGACCAATCAGCCATATAGCAGAGTTCGTAGTCGTCCAGTATACCTATACCAGTGTGCTAACTGCCTTACAGACTTCCCCGATTCCCGATGTCTGCATTCATCATGCAAGACATGCTCGAGCACGTATCTGCCCATGCAACATACCGCTTCGTAATCTCTGATGAAGAAGAGGAGCGGCCGCGACTTCTGGTTCGTGTCATCTTTCATTACGTTGTTTACTTTGCTCAATCCGCGTTAGATATGGCTGTTCAAGCCGAGGATACGTGTCTCGTATATGCTCCCCGCGCCATACCTTCTTCCGAAACAGGGCTCCATCGACGCGTCAAAAGTTTTGTACAGGATTCTGGGCCCATCATCATCAACGATTGCTTTGAAAGAGTGCGTAATCTCTGATTAACACTACATCGTCCCTCTGACATCGTCTACATAGCCTACTGGCTCGATACCCAGGGTTCCCTCAAGCGGAGCACCTCTTCTACCCGATTGATGTTTGTCGGAAGCTCGCAGGACTCTTGACGGAGAGCACGCATTCGTATCCAGAGAACATAAAGACGATGACGGGCTTGGATGTTGGCTGGTTGAATCGTGGATCATGATAGGTGGATATCGCACTTTCTTGTTCTTACATCAACTCGAGGGGTGTTTATCGAATACGGATGCTCGTTTTATAATATGTACTCTAATAAGTCAAACAACATCCGCGTAGGTCCCTACCGCAAGCACCTACGTATGCAATGCTGTTTCGCTCCTTACCATGGTACCGACGCTTTAGAGGATTCGTCCGCTACTTTACCGATACGCTTCGAGGAGAAGTATTCAAGTCGCCAACAGGTAACAGACAAGGCTGATCACGGCAATCAGGACAAGGTCATACGCAGAAGCAATGCTTTGGATTCGCTGCGTGCAGTGCAGAACAAACTACAGTTCTCAAGCAACCCCAAGCAAACTCGAAGCACGTGGAGAAGTACGTCCTACAGATTAAGTATACGATATAAATATGCAGTGGTGGTACATAATGAGGCATGCGAAACTGAGATACGTGGGGTGTATTACACCTCTTGGCTGTCGAGACTTTGTTTCTTGCTCTTTGCAGGAAGGAGCTATAGGAGGCATTTAGATGGATTGAGCAGCTAGCAGAAGAATGACGTACTGCAGGGTTGATGTAAGGTACAACACCACCCTCCGAGATAATCACATCTCCGAGCAGTTTACTCAACCTGAGGACGAAGTAAGCCAAGACTGCGACAAATGAACCAATATAGGGCTCACTCTTCATCATTACGAATAGCGAGTTGAAGGTGACGAGGATTGATACGACGTTTCTTGTTGTCACGAGCTGCATTTCCGGCCAACTCCAAGATTTCAGCCGACAAGTACTCAAGTACGGCAGCAAGGTATACTACGGAACATGCGTCAAATCCAATGCGAGGCTAGTAGACTTGGCAACCTACCGGGAGCACCAGACCCAATGCGCTTGCTGACGTTGGCTCTCCTCAACATGCGATGGATACGGCTGACTGGAAACTGGAGGCCAGCTCTAGTGGAACGGGACGTAGACTTGGAATCTTCATTTTTGACCTTGCCGCTGGCCTTACCCTTGCCACTTGACTTTGCAGAAGGCATGATGAATGGAAATATGTAGTGGTGAAGGCAAGTTGTAAGTTGAGTGGGTTTGAGGTACTTACCACGACTGAGTAACGCTGTATTTATATGCTCGACGCGCGCCACAATCAACAAAGACGCGTCTGAGCCAAACTAAGTGTAAAGTCACGTGAGGGTATATATAGGAGGTGTCGCGGATTGCTCTCGCACCTCCTTAACGTTGCAACCCCCACTACCTGCATCGCTCTTCGCACTATTGAGTTATCAATCAATCTTAATTGTTCGATTAACACCGCGATGCCACCTAAACCCACTTCGACTGGTGGTAAGGCACCTGCCTCTGGCGCTGCAGCCAAGACCCCTGTCAAAACCACTGAGGGTACTAAAGCTGCGAAGAAGACCTCTAAGACTGCCACAGCTCCAGCTCCTGGTGAGGAAAAGAAGAAGCGGAAGAAAGTCCGCAAGGAAACTTACTCTTCCTACATCTACAAGGGTGAATGACATGTTTTATTAGAAAGTTCTTGGTCTGACGCGTTTTTCAAAGTGCTCAAGCAGGTACACGCAGACACCGGCATATCTAATAAAGCTATGGCCATCTTGAACTCGTTTGTCAACGATATCTTCGAGCGGATTGCTACGGAAGCTTCGAGTATGTACCCTTCACTTTGTCTGGATCGCAGTTAACTGTTGTTTTTAGAACTCGCTGCGTATTCCAAGAAATCAACAATTTCATCCCGTGAAATACAAACAGCGGTCCGTCTCATACTTCCCGGCGAGCTTGCTAAGCATGCCATTTCTGAGGGCACAAAATCTGTGACCAAGGTGAGATTTATGTCGGTCTTGTTTACAACCAGTTGCTAACAGGTGGGGCAGTTCTCGAGCTCTGGCGGCAAGTGAAGAACCCTCCTCTGTTATCAGCTGTATCGTTAGGCATTGTATTTTTTTTTATGATTATCTTTATTGGGATCTAGTATTTGAGCGATGGCTTCTCCAGTCCAAAATATCTCGAGTCGGAAAGTGATACTCTGAGAGCACCACTTGTATGCGAGACGTTGACACCTTGATTTAGATCTAGGTTCTTCCGATATCTGGTTTAAGTGCCCAGCATGCTGCTAACATGATTATCTAGACCATTTACGTCTGGCCCCATTTTGGATGATCTAAGTACATTTTCCTTGGCTTACTTGGTGCAGCACATACAAACGACGTCCAGAATCCCAGCTTCCTAAAGTGCCCAAGTCAAGGTTACAACTTCATTTTTCCTAATATCCATCCGATGATATGTCAACCCCCCCCCGGCAAGAACCACTCACTCCGAGAAACTCACCTGTGGACTCCAGACCTGAACTTCCTCTTTATTTTTGATGTTTGAGGACTTTCAAACACATCTATGGAATACCCTTCTATCTTAATATCTTTGACATTGCGAGGTCGAAAGGGCATTTCAGACATGTGAAGGGCGGCCGCCCTCGAGGTATCAATCCGGGTAGTGCTCATAGTGGGAACGCGTGACTGCGAGCGGAATGAGCCTCCCGGACTTGTGTTGAGCTGCTATCTGGCGTATAGCGCCAATCATCGTCATCAGATCGCCCTTCTGATCCATCCCATTAAACATCCCATCAAACATCTCCCTCCCGTTCTTCATCCACTTTTTACGCTCCTTATCATACAATCCTTCTTCACAGATCTTATCCATCGTAACTTTCGTGAGATCATCCAGCACATCTCACGTATGCGAGGGATTCGCATGCTTGCCATCAGGTAATCCAACAGGTCTTGGGCTTCTGACATTTTTAAAGATTTAAAGATTGGCGAAGAGTAGTGGGGCACACGGAGAACTTGGGCTGAAGACGAAGGCGATTGTCGTCAGGGAATCCAGATGAGGCAGGCTATCGAGGAATATTCTTATTCTCAGAAGAATTTATTATGAGACCCCTGAATCTTGGCAAACGTAAACGCTATCTTGATCAGTTGTGTTGTTGCAGTCTGATTTAATCATAATCGTTGGCTGTTGAACTCGTAATGCCCAACTCTCATGAAGTGGTTTCACAATCCAGTGGTTGCAGCGCTGACGGTACTTGCTCGATCCAAATACTACTTACGCCAGTACTGACGAATCGGATGGATCCGAAGCAGATAATGAGTCTGGGCCTGCAGAATGAAGTGACTATCTTAGTACGAGTCAATTACTGCGTGTCCTTCTCCTACAACATCAACTCCGACGTGTCATATCGATTGGGCCATGAGGCTCTGAGCCCTTCGTTGCGCTTGAAGCTTGAATCAGCTTCTGCAGCTTAGTACGTTCAAGAATGAAATGGACGGAGATGAAGCAATTTATTCGTGAAGTTGTCGAGGAAGCAATCAGGGTTACCACAAACGAGCTGCACGAGGTCATGGTGGTCCACTGCAAGTCCACTGATCTTCGAATGCAACGCGGTCGATGATCAAGCTCAAGGTTCACTCAACCATGCATATGAATGAATTCCTTGCGGATGGTTAACAACTTGATAATACCCGTTTCTCTCCGGAGCTTCAAAACACGATCATATAAATATATTTCAAACCCAGGCTCAGCTAGATGTTCTGGAGGTTGAAACGTCGACACTCCACTCTCTGGTAAAGACAGATAACTGCTCATCGCTGACGTTTAATTGCGCCCCATCGCGGTACCTAGCCTGAGAGGTACTGAGATTACAAAGGTGAATATTCTATCGTAAGTCCTGACAATTTGTGTAATTTGCAAACCTAAAACGACCGTGACGCGACTGAAACGCGACTTCCATCTTCGTTGACTTTTGTGGGGTCGATTGAGTCAGGATAGTACTGGCCGTTAGCTCGATCCGGGCGCTAGCGAGATCGCCAAGTACTGGGGCCATTCCTTCGTGGCCCGGCGGTGTGGCCTCTGAAATACTTATCTTGACCAAACAGTGTCCGGTTAATCGAGCCAGTACTAAGCACCAACCTTGCACGGACGTGTACGTAGCCGTCTCATGTTCTTCTGGATCTGGACTCGTTCATTCAAGTTGTAATTATTGGTATCACCTGCCATCACGTATACGTCACCGCGAGTTGTCGGCCAGCCAGCATCGCCGAAAAAATTGCCGGTTAGTTCCTTGCTAGCTCATAACAATGGAATTGTTAGCAAGTCGCTAGATGTCGATCAAATAATGCCGTGGCAACACCAACATTCACGTCAATGTCTCTTAGTCGCACAATGAGCTTGGCAGCAAGCAAACACTTGGAGTCGCGTCGGATTTTTGTCGACCGGGGTTGGAAGTAATTGCCCATGACTCTCAACTTGGAGGTCTCAATCGAAGGGTGGGTAGTTTGATGACGCTAAACTTTTACCCTATCTTCCTTCGTTATGTCCGGCCAGGAAAAACTACTTATACCCGGCTCAAGATTGCCTGCTAGTCTCTGCCAGTGCGGACGAAAATTTCGTGAACCATTAGACATTCATATGAGCCCCGAGCCCCACACGATGGCAAGCCACACGGTCCCCACCACTTGGCACCATCTCACCGTAGTTATTGTATTCTTATAGGAAATAATTCTAGGCACAACAATTGTTTCACAATATGGCAGTTGCGCGAAACGCACCATGTACCCCTGAAGCGGATTGAATCGTGCCGAAGGTCCGGAATAAGTTACGTTGTCGCCAGTTGTGACATCACAAGGCACGGCTAACAGCGTCGGACGACGACCCTCGGAACTTTGGACCAGGCTTTCATGTGTATACGAATGATACGGGTCCCCTCAGGAGTACCGGCCCGCGTGAACATGCACTCTAGACCAGGGTTGCCCCAGAAAGTCCGTCTAACGATATTAGTGATAAGCACATTGCCCGTATATGATTTATCTAATCGTTATACGGTTCCATGACTCTCGGCGCGTTAGCTTGGAAAGGGTTGACTAGAAGAACTTCTGATACGCATACGAATTCGAAGTCAGTATCATCGAGCGAATGCAAATATATGACTAACTTCACGATATGACCGGGGGTTTCACAAAAGCTAGTTTGAGACGAGATTTGCGGGGAAATCCCACTGCAAATACAACCTGCTCGTCACTTCCTGCCATGCTTCGTCTTCCTTATCCCGATCGTGAATGAAAAAATAGATTGAGTTGCTGCCTTGGTTAACCGCTTCCTCCACCGATGGGGCCGCAGATCACAGGGTGGACATCCTAGATTGACTCAGAAGCATCCATCTAGCTCCACAGGTGGTCTCGTCGCCCTATACACACGTGCAACCCCGAGTCGGATGATAATGCCAGCGATATCTGTGTCAATTAGGACCTGACACCACAGCTCACCCTTCTTCGTTTCCTCATAAACACCGAAGGGAAATCGTTCATAGAGGTTCGTCCCCTCATTTAAATTTTACTTTTGCTAGAAGTGCCACGTACTCGTGATTCGACTAGGCCGTAGCCGAATAGCAACCCTGGACCTACCACGACCCGCCTGTTCCAAATTGAACGATGCCAGTATGCAGTGCATCGTAACGCATGGCCCAGTCAACGTCATCCTGAATTTTGGTTTGGTTGAATTTAGTTTACACGACCTGTTTGCGCATTTTCAATGTTCATCATTTTGATCAAGTTTGCCCATTGCAATGGAGATTAAAAACGTACGAGAATGAATTACGGCGGTGGTCATATGGTCTGCCAGTACCATTGAGGGTTGCTAACCTAGCTGCAGCCACCTGGCTGGTTTGTACTAAGTACTGCTCTTCGGTGTCGGGTTGTAATACTGCAGCAGAACATTTCAAGCGGGAACAGTGAACACGCGCTCAATATAGTTACCAGGTGATGGTCATGACAGACTCCTGTCAGCGTATGAACAACATCCTGATCACTGTCTCTTTATCCGGAAGACACGGCCCGTCGGCAAAACTGGGAATGTGAGCTGCAACATATCGTGTCACCCACTGTTGTACTGGTTACTACGATTCGAGCCGGGCACTAATTAGAACTCACCTGACTTTGCCCCAACAGATTATGTTGCGCTTAAACTATAATATATGAAGTTGAATCAATGAAATTGGTGGAGAAAATGGCTGGGATCTGTGCTAAGGTGTGACAGAGTAGGACAAAGTTAGAAGTCACATGAACAACTCTCCGTCAGGTTTGCCGATTTCTTTTCTAGTCTTAAACCCGCCACCGGCGTCACCGAGTAAACATGATCGGCGTTCGGGCCTGAGGGAAGATAGGCTATCTTTGGGAGCTGGTAGGCGCTCGCCATACTAACATGGGCAAGCAGCCAGCCCAAAACACTGGGAAATTGGATGAACTAACCCTATGATATCTACTGTGGAACACGCTTTATCCCATGATCCATGTCCGAAAGGTGATATAGCTTTCTGCTCTCGTTGACACGGCAACATGCCCGTCGTGGTTGATGCAAACCTAGCATACAGACTTCATCTACAAGTGCTTCTCGGATACGTAGATTTTACAACCTCTCGACTTCTCCGTCTTGTCGTGAGAACGATGGCAGTCTTGTCCTAACGACCCATCCAGCCCTAAGAACGATGCATGAGTAGGGTTCTGATGCCAAGTTACGGAATGTACATACACCATCGACAAGCAAAAGTTCGCCACAGACGTATTGACTTGCGCTACTGGCGAGGAATACGACCGGACCAGCAAAGTCTTCAGGATTACCCCATCTCCCTGCGGGTATCCGCTCCGATATCTGTCTGAAACGTGTTGGGTCTGCTAGCAGCCTTTCGTTCCTACAGGCGTATCAGAAGGCCGTCAGACCGGTAAACAAAATGTAGACGCCAAAGTGCCGAATGACAAGAGTTCGAGAAGGGAGTAAAATTTGTGAAACGAAGGCCCGGTCGGCAGGAAGATGACAACCATGCTAGACAGTAACTAGCGTCACGGGTCCGCGCACAAGAGGGGTAAACGCCAAGAGATAACAAGAAAAGGTACACGTACATATCTGTGGCGATATACCCCGGACAAATGCCGTTTACTTGGACGTTATGCTGGCTCCATTCATTACTGAGAGCCTTCGTGAGTTGGCCGAGAGCACCCTTCGCGGCAGCATAAGCCGGGACGGTAAGGCCGCCTTGGAATGTCAGCAGGGAACAAAAATTAATGATCTTCCCCCTCCTAAGCGGAACCATATGTTGACCCGCCGCTTGCGATAGAAGCCACACAGACTTGAGGTTTACATCGAGAACCTGAGAATGGAGGGAAATATGTACAAGTTGAGAATTTGATACCAGGCAAGGTTTGAGTAGAAAAACCCACATCATCCCAATCCTTCTCCGAGAAATCGACACTCGGTGATCTCCGCTGAATTCCAGCACAGTTGACCAGGACATGAATATTACCGCCCATGAGTTCTAGTGCCTTGGGGAAAAGTTCCTTGACAGAATTCAAGTCTCCCAAGTCGCAATAAACGACTTGCACGTTCGCGCCTAGCGCACGAATGGTATTCACTGTGGTCATATTCGGCTCTGTATTCGGAGAGGAATGACGCTGAACAAGACATATTGAGGCACCCGCTTGAGCTAAAGCTAGTGCGCAAGCGGCACCTATGCCTGTAATTAGTTGCGCGGTACGTTGAACAGGTCGAATTTGCCGTAATTAGTTGAATATAACGATGGGCGAGGAACAAGTACATCACCTCTGGTAGCTCCAGTGATGAGGACATTCTGGCCTGCCAAAGAAAATAATTGTGGAGATGGAAGAGAGGGTGTTGGGTCCATTTTGAGAGATATTTCACATGAATGATTGGAGACTCGCCTGGATTTTTATATTCTTGGGATGTGCGTATATGTTCGGAGTAACAGCGAGATTTGATTTTACCCCGCATCGGCTCACGACCCGAGGTACCGGCAGCGAGACTTCGATAAATGATTTTATAAAAATGGAGATTATAAATTATTTGTCACGGAGATCCCCGATTTGGCTATATACTATTAGAAAAGGCAACCTGTCACATGTGACATTGTGTTATCAGGTGTTGTTATTGATTCGCATTTTGCAAATACGGATACGGTTAAACGGACCGGAGGGATCCTTCCTAATGTGGTTGAATGATAAGTTCGTATTATATCGAGATGCAGTTCTCCCTCACGAGATTGCTCCTTCTTGCAACTTTATATTGCATATATAAGGGTCCCGGTTGGTACAACGATGTACATCCCTTACCACTTCCCCTCCATCCACCACAAATATGTCCCCCGTCGCGCTTCAGGTGCAGCGTGCAGTCGTCCTTCATGGTGCTAAAGATCTTCGTCTCGAAGAACGTCCGTTCTGGCCTCCTCATTACAACCACGTACAAGTAGCAGTGCGCTCAACCGGACTATGCGGAAGTGACTGTGAGTCATTTTTGCGTCCTAAAAGTTTTTGCTCTGAACAAAGTATTCTAGTGCACTATTATCTGGAGGGTCGGAATGGTGATTTCGCACTCCAAGCACCTCTCGTCCTCGGCCATGAATCGGCGGGTGTTATCACTGCTGTCGGTCCGGGTGTGAAGAATCTTATTCCTGGACAACGCGTTGCAATCGAGGCCGGTATAATGTGCACAGAGTGCAGTTATTGCCAGGCTGGCCGCTACAATCTTTGTAAGGGTATGCGCTTCGCCAGCAGCGCGAAGACCTTCCCTCATCTCGACGGGACCCTACAAGACCGGATGAACCATCCGGCGCACGTTATTCATCCGTGGGCCATCAATTTTAATGTTACCCCATACACTTCTAACTCCACATCAGACTTCCTGATAACTGCAGCTTCGAACAAGCCGCCTTGGCTGAACCGCTGTCAGTTTTGATACACGCCGGTAGACGAGCCAATCTTGGTTCAGGTCAGCGTGTTCTCGTGTTTGGTGTGGGTTCCATTGGTGTCCTCGCTTGTGCACTATCCAACGCATATGGTGCCTCGCGGGTCGTTGCCGTTGACATCAATGAAGCGCGACTGAACTTCGTGAAGTCGCACGGTTTCGCTTCACAAACGTACTGCTTGCCTATGGGCGATAAGGCTAAAACAACCGAAGACCAGCTTCGACGTGCAAAAGACAACATCACGGCTGCCTTGCTCAAATTCAACGAGCCTGAAGGCTTTGACGTAGTCTTCGAATGCACGGGCGCTGAGCCCTGCATTCAGATGTCGATTTACGTAAGTTGATGATCGAAGTTTTCGACCAGCGCTTACTCGCGACTTTCCAGGCTGCTGTTGCTGGTGGCAAAGTTATGCTGGTCGGAATGGGATCACGAAATGTCATGCTTCCGCTCTCCGCGGCAGCCCTGCGTGAAGTAGACATTCACGGGTCCTTCCGTTACGCCAACACATACCCTGAGGCTATCAAGCTGCTCGCATCAGGTAAACTTCGCAATATCGAAAAACTTGTAACACACCGCGTCCCCTTGGAAGATACTGCTCGAGCTTTTGAATTATTAGCTCGCGGCAAAGACGAGGATGGAAATATGGTTATCAAGATTATGGTTGGACCTTCATCATAATTCTCGCACGTCTGTTGTCGTTTCATCTTTATACCTAGAGGACGGACTAAGAGGTGCACGCGTTGTAGTGTAGCTTTCATATTTCAGCACAGGCATCTCGTATTATTTTACGGGGCATTTGTATGTTATTTACGCGCCCCTTTGTTCAAACGCACAATAAACGCATTCGAACTCGATGATCTTTACTTCCAATGTCATCGTGTATATACCTGGACATATTTACATTACAGCAGGTGAAGCGACTCAACCGAAACGAAGTGCGACCTCATTTGGGCTTCGAATTTTGAAACGAACCAAATGAAAGGCAGACCCGCAGGCAGGCCATGCAGATCCTTTGGTGTACAATGCTCAATTGACTTAAGTTTCATGGAAGGCACGCCTCTCAATGTGCTCAGCGATTTACACCGCCGACGCGTTCTTCAGGCCTCAGTTTCAAGCCGGCGGCTTTGTATGTTCGGTTCCGTGGTTGGTGAGCAGCTTTGGTAATAAGCATTCCGTCGATCCGTAACATGTACTCATCATGCAAAGTTTGTATGAATCTAACTTTTCAAGTTTCTCCCGTCGACTTCTGCCACCATACCCAAGTGAGACTCATCAATGCCCAAATAACTGCATCTAACTTGATATGCTGTAGTCCTTACAGGCTTGTACAATCAAATCCTTCGGGAAACTGAGTCCGTGCCGGCATGAGAGCTTCGTTTTTTTTCCAAGGTAGCGTGCAAGTAGGAGATGTGCTCACTGGCATCTCCTTGCTGTGAGCTGGTAAGATGTTCATCGCAACAAATACAAGTGGCAGACTTTAACTTCTATGCGCTAAAAACAAAGTACTTGATTCTATTCCGATGAGAAAACCGATGCTAACTCCCAGTATCGAACGAGATCGCGACGAGGTAAGTAAGTTCACGCTCGTGACGTTCGGGTTCCCTCAGAGCATCACTCTGATCCTCTTCAGGTGCCACTGGCGGCCTGGGAACCTGGGGGCTTGGGTGAGATTATACAGAGTTCTACAGTGATGGTGTGTGCAGCAACTTGAAGGATTCGTGATCGTTTATGCGTGCGCGAGTCAATAGTGACGATGAACAGAGGAATACGCAGTAGAATGTGGTCGCTGCAGGACTCGGGGCCTGCGCTTGAGCACTGAGCACCCAGTGGGACAAGCCGCTGTCCCACGCGAAAACCTATCGTTGAGTCGAACATCACTTACATGCAAAGAAACTATAATGATAGCCAAGTTCAGCTCAAGAGTTGAACGATTACCTGTTATTGGCGGATCAAGCGCTTTCGTTGCTGTTCCTCAACAAGACATAACGAATTGAATCAAACTGCCTGAAAATTCGAATCGAAGCGAGTCACCTCGAGGCCACTTCACTTCGCCGACGATGCTACTGGGACCTGGGTCGAACATTTTGACCCTCACGGAATGCACTTACCTCTTTTGTCACACCGCGGAAAGGCTTCCATGCTACAGGTCCATGAGAAGCGCGCGTCTTCTTCTCCCGCGATGATTGAGAGGCCCTACAAGTGTACAAGGAAAGGAAGCCGAAGGTTTGTCCTTTGCGGGCTTGCAGCGGAGGCAAATTTAAGTCTGAGAAGTTCCATGCGCTAAGAGCGCAGGAACGCGGGGGTGAATCTTCAATAGCAATTCGTGCTAATTCAGGTGCGCATAAATTCCGTCCTGGGTAACTGCTATCGTTTTGGTGGTTGTAAATTCCCCTTAGCTTATACGTGCCCTCAGGAGGACCGGGGCCGAAGTCGATGAGAAAAAGAAGGACGAGCAACGTTGCACTATTGAACCAATGATGGTTCGTGATGTAGTACGACAGCTGTCAGAGCCATTACTCACATGAGCTTAATGATCCGTTTCATACATTCGTTGTTCCGATCCACGGATTTGATTTCACTGTTGCAGCGAAAATTTGATGTCCAGGTCCGCGCCACCGAGAGAAAAGGTATGAAGGCATGGAGACTATCCACGTACTTTCGATGCTATATCGGTCACTGAGAGAAGCAGCGGAGGGGACGGATATCGCGAGTGTGTCGCGGCGTGTGCGAAACGGGTCAGATGAGAGAATAAGGGATGTCAAATGAGTATGTAGGGAAGAAGTAGCAGTGTTGGGCTGGTGGCTGGTCAGCCAAGACTACTTGTCGAAATAGCCAATGATTTCAGCCTTGGGATTGCAATAACCTCGCACTTGAATCAAGCATGTGAGTAAATCTAACCTGCTATATGCCTCTATGCTCACATGCATATCACATTACCGGCAAGTTGAACCCAGGGCTTCAAGCTTGTTAGGGTGCATGCGTATGTACCAGGCTTATCTTTTACACATTCCGAAGTCGCCCATTGGCAGAATCAAGTAAAAATAAAGGTCAGAAGCTGCGTGTCCGGGGATCGTGCGCGTCTCACGGCTGACGCGAACTCCACAACAAGATACGGCCTATGCCAGCCTATGCCAATGAGAGGTTAGACCGGTCATCAAGTGTTGTGACCGCAATGAATCTATCTCGGAATTACTACACTACCTGAATTTGACCTGAATGAAGTTACGTTTTCCAGTCTGGACTCGGGTACGGCCATTTCCGCTGATGGCACTGCTGCCTTGATCCTGCACGCTGCCAGTGCTGCGTAGAACTTCAATATTCGATCGCGGAACATCGTTTTTCGACTTCCACGTTATCAGCCTCGGCGGGCTAACGATGTTCATACAGTCATTAGACTCAATACACCCGACAGGTGGATAGGACAGTCTGGACCATGGAGTCATGCAGGCCGGGCTTCGCCTAGAAGGTCCAATTCCCATAGGCGTCGCTCTCCGCTGCGTTCTTCCTTATAATGGCTACCGTCGTTGGTATTTGACCAACAATTGGCAAAGTATGCGTGGCATGTGCAGCTGGATATTGATGGAAGTCTAAGTCAAGGAGTGACGCATTTTAAATCGACAGCATTGAGAAGCATACTCGGGAAACTAAGATCTGACTGCGCAACAACTTGGTGACCGGCGTTTACTGTGAGTCTACAAAACACATGCAATCAGTGTGACTCTTCCCATCGTCCAGTTACGCGCAAATCTTCGTCTGTCTATCATGGATATTTTCACCTTTGGAATATCGATACTTATCTACGTCTATATCAAGACTCGCTGGAAGGATCTATAATTCCAGCTTATCAGCTATTGACGCTCACCGCGGAAACTAGGACGTCTACGGCCGCAAGCTGTCCCCATACGATGAACGAGGTTGGGCCAGGACCCTCCCAGGCCGGTGAGTACCACGTAGAGCTAGAACTGCTATTCGACGCCAGGTCAAGCAACGCGTTGTACTACATAGACAGGATAAGAGAGATGGAGATGAACGATACGAGAAAACGTGCCTGAACGTTAGTATAGCTCCGGATAAGAGCCCTCAAGGCAGTGTTACCAGAGTTGCGGCTCCAGGCCTCAGCTAAGCCGCGGATAAATACAGCTAAGAGCACGACCCTTGTTAGTTACGATGGAGTAATCTGAGGGCGAGAAACACACCCTTAAATCCAATACCGTCATTGTCTTCTGTAACGTCGGCGCCTTCGGTAATAATGCCATCACTGCCTTCCCATGCCGGCGCTTTTGTTGCTGCGGCAACAACATCCAGCATGCTACAAAATTAATAGTGTCGTCAATGGGATGAAGGCGAGGAAAACTCACAGTGAAGTCCAGCTATGGTCGCCAGTGACGAATGCAAGGACGCTCAAACCTTCGATATACTTGCCGCTGTTGTAAGTGAACAGCCAGCTCGAGGAAGAACGCGTGCAGTCCTGAGCATCGATCGTATCAAGGACGAGATCCTCGGAATTCATGTTAGTGGTCTTGATGAAATTGGCGGAGAGAATTGCAGCATCGGTGTAAGTGCTATTTTTAGTTGTGGACGCGAGGTAGGCCGAGAGACTAGACGGGGATCAATGACGATTTGCAGTTACTTTGGTGGAGCGCGGAGACATACGCTATATAGAGGCTTTCTCAAACCAGATGAGCGCATTAAGATGAAGTAAAATCAAATCATACCCAGTAGTGATAGAGTTGACACTAGTGTCACTGCTCGAGGGGCGCTGGGCACACAATTCAGTCTCGTCATCATCGAGTGAAAATGGTTTCTCAATTACCCAAAAAACACCCCCCACCGTAGTTTCTAGCTGTATGTCAGACGATACCTCAGCAAATCGATAATTTGCGGACGCACCTCCATCACAGGACCCCTCAATGGGAAAGTCCTTGTTGGGCTGTGTTCCAGAGCTCGCATCGGATGCGGTGATGACGCTTTATGTCACAGATATTATGTGAGGAGCGCTAGCACCGATGTACACAACAGCTCACTAGTTCGAGACGTGCTGCCAAGTTGCGATGGCATGATTCAAAAGATTGGGATCGTCGTATGCGCGGTAGCCATAATAAGCTGCTGTAGCCCACCACCTAATACCACGGGGCATCAGCGGGAAAACACACAAGTACATAGAGGCGTACATTGCATCATCATTATACTGGCAGGAGATGAATTATGTCACACATGATACACGAAAGATTTCGCAACTTACCCTGCCTCACGATGTGTCAGAGTCAAATTGTGTCTCAAGTCTGCAAGGATACACGCACCCGTACTGATCATAATCTGTATATAAACCAAAGGCAGCATTCAAGCTATCTGTCACTGCATGTCGATTTGTTGTTGATTTTGTGAAGTAATCCAGATTAGCCATTGCGGAAAGCACGTTCGCATCCTGCCAATATCCAAGACCTAAAGACAATTATTATGAGTTGCAGGTAAACGCACCACCAGGTACTATGCTTACCACTGAAAGAACCTGTATCAGTGTCAAGCACAGCAGTAAGAGTGTTGATACAATTCCGTGCAATTGAGACACGGTCTGAACGAGAAATAGAAGTGCTAGGATCCTGTGTACAACAGCTATCAGCGATGTCACAAGACAGCAACAATAGTTCGACTGACACGCCACGTAGATGGCACGCTCAGGTTTTGCGCAATGGTGAAAGGAAGTGCAAGTGCAAGTGTCACTAAGCTGCTAGTTAACATCGTGATCCAGAATAACTCTGATTCAACATTTCCTGTAAGCAATAAGGTAGATGACTTGCCCGGTCGTTGTATATGCAACCTTCCATACTACATATGGCCTGCGCAGTGCGCACAGTCGCATCACGAAACCATGCCAAACGTACCAATATTAATGACGCATGGCCGCAGATGGCTGCCACTGTAAAGCAGTGTAAAGCTTGGCTCAACTTCGCCATACCACTAGATCAGTATACATGCCTCATGATCAAACTCACACTGATTACCACGAACGGCGCTGAATTCAAGAAAACTGCCACCATCATGATGCGCCCAATTACCAGGATAAATGATGACTTGACCGAGGTCAACGTTGACCGGTTGTCACGGTGTTAGTCAGCAATTGTTTGCCCTTCTGCTGTAACACTGTTACTACTAAGTTAACACACTGTGACTCAACAAATTGGCATTCCTACGTAGCCGAATTTCTGCACAGGGAGAGACACGCCTTGCATCGCGGCTTCAGGATGACGCTTCCAGATCTCACCTACATCGCTGCTCCAATGGTAAAGCAAAGTGATGCTCCCTTCCGGCTGTTGACACAGCGATATGGGGCAACTCTCGCGTATACGCAGATGCTTGATCCTCACAAACTTCTTGAGGATCGAGATTACCTCGAGTTTCATCAGCGTGATCTAACTCTTGGTCGCGGTGCTCGGCGGGGGACGGCTGAACCCGTCGTGGTGCAGCTATGTGGAAATGACCCTGAGACCATTGTTCAAGCTGGAAAGAAGATGCAAGGCCTCTGTGACGGTATTGGTGGGCATAGTTCCTCGAGTGAAATGCATCAGCTACTGAATCAGGTACAAAGTGCTTAGATTTGAACCTAGGATGCCCGCAAGAGCATGCCCTTGAAGGTCATTATGGTGGTTATCTTCTAGCCAAGAAGGATTGGCCACTTGTTCAGTCCATAGGCAAGCAGGCTTGATCTATCTTAGTGGATATCACCTTAAATCGTTAGGCATGTGATTCAGTTTCTGCGATGTCCCATCTGTTGCAGCCACCGACCTCCGTAAAACTTCGTCTCTGTCCTTCATCGTCACCCCCATCTTCCACAGTTGAATTTGCCGCCCTTCTGGAACATGCAGGCGCTTCTTGGGTAACCCTTCATGCGCGTCATGTATCTGCCAAACGACGGCGCCAGGGAGCAGCAAATCTAGACGTGGTGCGCGCTGTGAAAACCGCACTCAAAGTACCAGTCGTAAGCAATGGCAACGTTCGTACGTGGGAGGATGTACAGAAAAACAAGGCTGAAACTCAAGCTGATGGCATTATGGTAGGAGAAACCTTACTCGGCAATCCTTGGTTTGTCCACTGTCCTCCATTCCCTAAGACTGCGTCGCTGATCACACATGAACAGCGTATTTACAAATGTTGTACCGGACCCCGTTCGAATATCCCTTGAATACCTAGAAATATGCAAAGAGTTACACGACGTAGCGACATATATGACTATCGAGGCCCATGTTAAACATTTTATCGAATTTCAGTGGTACGTCGCTCCTGCAGCTTTCGTCACACAATCGCATGTCTTACTCCTTTCATAAGCTCTCGGCGGCCATGGTATAATAAATTTCGCACAGCACTGTCTTCGTGTGAAGAGGTTCACGACATCGAGCACTTACTACGCACGAAAGTGACCAGATGGCGGGGCAAGGCTGCACCCAAAGATTATAACCCTTGTATCGACGATCTGGAATATACAACGGATTAAAATGTTACATTTTACGGCGGATTCTCCCCTTTCTGGCCTGAGCACCTTGTTGAGTGCAATGTGTTGATTGCGATAGGATGATGGACATAAAGTCAAATCATCTTGAAGCCTCCCGTGCGCCCCCATAGTTATTCAAGCACTCGTCGTACAACTAATGTGCTTCTTCGCCGTCGTTGCTGCTTTAACATCATATGTTGTGTAGCGCAACACCAGTTGTTTTCACTGCTCAGCATGAACACGCAATGTGTTAGAGACACAAGTTAGGGTTGGGTTCGCCTCGCGACTATTCCAGGAACTGCTGCTCTAAAGTGTAAATATGAGTAGCTTGATCCAGGATTCAAGCCCTTGACACACCCTTTGCGCCTATGTACAATATGATAGTAGAGAAGGGTTAGTTACTTTGACGCTGCCAGTGGCGCGAGATGCGCGAGAATATGTTGCATTTGCACACTCTACTGAGATATGAATGGGGGAAATTCGAGGGATGAGAATAAACGAAACATATAGGACGAACCTGAGGCCTGAGGCCTGACCTCCAGTAGCGAGAAACATGCAAGACTCGAGTTGACTAACGCTTGAAGCCGAGGAGAAAGTGGCAGCCGGTAACTTAATAGATTGCCGAGGCATGTTCACGACTCTGCCACTTACAAGTTACTTTGACTGTCTCCCTCTATAAGCTAGCTATAGGTGTTCCACGTATTGGAATAGCTCAAATTTACATATATGTCTCGAATAACAGCACTAGTATTCGTTCTCACCTTCTTCGCATTCATTGCTCCTTACACGCACGCAATCAAATTCTCCCTTCCACCAGGCCGCTTGCCCATCCCAAAATGCATCTGGAACGCTGCACACACTCATGCACTCGTCATTGTCACCGCCAACGTTGGCCCCGGGGCACACCAACGAGTAGACATTGAAATTTTGGATTCGACACCCCACCGCAATGTCTACCTTTCAAAACGCGACATTAAAGGCGAGACGAGACTTGCTGTCACAGCACATGGCGAGGGACAGGTTGGAGTGTGTTTCAAGAACTATCTGTCTCCCGGTACGTTTATTGTTGTCAGGTGTCTTACTCCAAATTGCTAACGACGTTATAGACATCAAGCTAGACACTGCGCGGAATATGTCGCGCACTGTTGATCTGGATATTGACATTGGGGCTGACGCTGTTGACTACAAGTGTGTATCCTGCTTGTTCGCTATGATGGCTTACTGACTCCCTCCTTGTCATCAAGCGCGATTGCAAACCAAGAATCACTCTCTGGGCTTGAGACAGAAATGCGCAAGCTAGAAGGCATTGTCAAAGAGATAGTTGACGAACTCGAATACCTCAAGCAGCGTGAGGAACGCTTTGCAGACACTAATCGTCAGTCTTCCTTCGGACTCCCGCATATCACTTCTTGTTGACCTCATGTTCCTTGCAGTTGTGACGAATCGACGCGTGCAAAATTTCGCCTGGTTCACCATTCTTTCCCTTACGGGCCTTGGCGTTTGGCAGATTCTGCACCTCCGGTCGTTTTTCAAGCGCAAGTACCTCATTGATTGATGATTATATGAAGCGTGCAATGTGGATGACTACTTATAACTGGGGAGATGTGCGGTAGGACGCTCTTGTCCTCTCCATCACTGTGATATACTCCATTTCGTTGTACAGGAGATGTTGTCACCCGTCTTTCTGCTCGATACCTACGCCATGTCACTGGGTCGTTGAGGTGAAAAAAAACCCCCGAGATGAGGGCTGCACCGCCATGAGTATGAAGCACCGATTTCACGATTGAAACCCTGTTTTGGCGTTGTGCACCACATGAGAAACTAGTCTCCCCAAGCCAGACCTTGACAGGAGGAAGACAGTCGTTCTTTCTCATGAGAAACACTGATTACCTTGGATGAATTGCTACAGCTCGGGATGTGAGCTTAGTCCTGCAGATAAAGATTAAGTGATACATCCTCAAGCGAAAAACTGAAGACACCGGGCGGTTGTATAGTTATAGTTTCACTTAGTCACTGCTGCAACCAATATTTGTCTTGAAGGATTGGACATTCATTAATGTTGAATGCATCGTAACTCACGGGGGGCATATATACCGGCTCGGCCTCGTTCCTACCGACGTGCTCCTCGTGACCAAGTTGAATCAGATATAGAGTCCTCTCATACTAGTCTCGAACTTGAATAGACCCTCAACTCGTGCCATCATGCACCACGCTTTATTCCTCCCTGAAATTACATGCAATATTTTTGAGTTGCTAAACCCTTTTCTTTCAGGACCCGAAGGCTCTCATGAGCCCAATCCACTTCGTCTGCGGGATCTCGCGGCGGTTGCGACAACGTGCCATGCGTTGGGTGACCCGGCGCTCGACGTGCTATGGGATACTCAAGTGTGCTTCGGACCATTGTTGATGTGTTTGCCGCCATCGGTCATCGAAGTTCGGGATAGTGATTATGAACCAGATGAGGATCGGAGTATTATATCTTATGATGAGCCATTCCTGCGTCGGAGCATTGTAAGAGATCATATATTCTCCTGCTCTGTATGCGTCTCCCTCACAAACAATCCCAGCACCTGGTTCAAGACCCTTTGCCCTCGGATTTATTACGAATGCTTCCTTATGCTCGACGGATCAAGAGGATATGTTCGCCCGGAGCTGATTGTCGATGGCCTCTTCCCGAACTTTTCTCAATTCCCTCTCATACTATCGATTGGCTTCTTTCGGCCCACCCTATGGAGAACTTTCTACCACGTCTCACTCACATGTCGTGTCCCGATTTCGTGTTCCTAATGGGCATGGGGAACATTAGGGACGTCTCGTTCACGCCATTATCTCGTAGTAACCTCACGAGTCTCGAAGTTAATCCCGAATTCGACAACGAAGTGGAAGGCTGGCCATTACTCTCGATTATGGCTAATGATCTTCCTCAGCTGAGGACGATAAAATTGGGAGGTAAGACATGATCGAAGAGACATGCATTAGTTAACACTATCTCGCAGTCAGCGGCTGGCATTGCAGCATGCGCATGCTCTACTCCGAAGCAATTGCTCCTCTGTGCTTGTTCTACAACTTAGAACACCTGGATCTTCACATCTACGGGAAGGTTCCCGAGGGTCCTGGCCTTGCTGGCCTTCAGATGTTCCCTCGTTTACAGAAACTGAAATTATCAAGCGATACCAAATTTGCTGTTAGTTTCTTGACAGCATTACAGTCAACGCTGCTCCACACCCTTGACTTGACCATGGAGAGCCCAACAGGTGGGGACCAGCCTGTGCACTTAGATCGACTCTTTTCGTCCTTGCGGTGTTTAACGATCTCAAGTGATTTCTGTTTCATGATGTCACTCATAGAAGCTGTTCACTCGAGTGCGCTGGATAGTATTTCCTTGAATACCCCCATCACGTTCGACGAACAGATTGTGCGCGCGCTTACTGCCTTGATCTCGTCAAAGAGAGGATGGGGATCATCCCTGAGGACCATCACCATCGACCGACCAGGATTCATACTACCGGTTGATGATGTGTTCTGCGGTCCCGATCACCCATACTTCTTTTCCATAGAAGATTTGCTCGTCTTCTCCCACTTGCAGCACGTTACACTGGACAACCTCGTGATATCATTGGACGCTTCGGTGTGCAAGAAGCTTGCTACCGGGTGGCCAGACCTGGTCGAATTCAACTTCAATCCTTTCTCCATAGAGGAACTTGCGACAACTACTATAGATCCCGGCACTCTGGTCACATTCGCAAGGCATTGTCCAAACTTATTGCGTCTTGAGCTTGGTATTCCATGGGATACGACAGAGTTGCCAGTGCTCGATGACGAAACGCTTACCATTTTGTCCTCGCGCCCCACGCGTTCCGCCTGCATGCGGATAGTAGTGGATGCGGATTCATCCTTGGCCAATCCAAAAGCAGTGGCAAAATTTCTCGCCACGGTGTTTCCTGGCAGAGAAATCAAGATCGTACTTGCTGCATCCTTTTGCCGGAAGTCCTTACACCTACTTCCCCCAAATGAGTGGTGCAACGTTGTAGAATGGTTGAGGAAGTCACAGCTGAGTAGCCTTGAATTCGGCCCTTGCTATCGTACACAACTTTGTGCTGTGTGTCGCTTTGGTTTGCAGATTTAACCTTTGTTTTGACGAGAACTGAAGAACATGAGAAAAAAATTGGGATGGCTGAGGCTGGCTGGCTCATGCACAATTGACACAGTAGAGATGACATGTGCTGCTTCTTGCTTGCCACCATAACGAATGACCTGCATAATGTACATAGACTAGCTCACTAAAAGTTGTACCAAATTTTCAGAGTGACAGCTTCGACGCGGCATTTTTAGCCAGTCACGGGCGCGTCACGGCCCCGTCTTTCCAAGTCAGACTTTGAAAGTTCGAAGGAACTTGGAAGACAGTCGTCCCTTCTTTTTCAAGATGAGCACTCCAGATCCTACGAAGGCTCCCCTTGCGCATAGTAAGATCTGTGGTCTGTCTATAAGATCTCTCCTCACAAATCGCTTTATCGGTCACTCCACCTGTTATTTACAACGCGGCAAGCCAGGAGCAGACTGTCATCAAGGCGATGAGTAAATGGTGTGATTGCAGTGAAATTTGCGTATCACGGACAAGTACAGGAGGGCACCGAGGCATCAAACGTTTGTCTCATAATCGTACATCTGATATTTCCCGAGAGTCGATGGCAATGGAATGCGTGGGCGGAACTAAAGTTATGTGGTTCTTCAACTGCTTCTTGCGCACTGTCCTAACTCCTCCACTGGGTCTGTGCCAATGATTCATTTCACGGGTGGCAGTTACTGATGCATATCACACACGATGCCTTCTAGTATGCCCCTTCTTTTCATTACCCTAATCCGAAGATTCCTGAACGAACGTCGACACACATGTTATCACAATCTCACTCGATGCTTGGCGATGCTTGCAACGTCCCCAGAAATCCGAGTCGTGACTCTAACCATGGCATGCGGGTGTTCGTTCATTTTCCTCGTTGCTCGAGCAAATGAAACCCAGGACTCAAATAGGATTGATACAGGAGTTTATCCGATTCCGTCATGATGCGAGCATCCGTAACGTGATAAACATGCGAATATCAGGTGGACTTTCACACTCCGTGGAGTTGGGCCGGGATGCTACATAGCACAGCACACGGTCCCTTCGCCAACAGGCCCTGGATCGCATATTGCCGAGTGTCAGGGCTCGTGCATGTCAGACAGTGAGTTCTTGTCAGTTTCGTGACTTCTCGCGTGACATACTGTCCGACGGCAGTGAGATGTGGTTGAGGCCCGAGGGCGGCGAGAGTCAGGCGGCCCCTCACAATATTCGAAAGTGTGGAATACCCTGCATTTCTTGAGCCTTGCAACCGGCTCGCTTTGGCTGTTTCGATCAATGTCGCACCCTACAACGTGCCCTGCTGTACGAATCTGAAGCCCATCAATGAATCCGTGGGTGGCTTAATATACTGTGGGTGGCTTCTGTCCCGTTGACCCCGACTCCAGGATATTCAAATACGTCAGCGTTGCGCATCACAGCGCGGTGTGGGTGCCACGTGTATGTTGTGGTTCCCTCTGAAGCTCTTGCAGGCACTGCACTGTTTCGTTACTCTCAAGTGTTAGTTTGTATCCAGCCCTCAGTCCGATGTCAAGCTTCGTACCTGATCCTCTCGATAATTTACTTCCACCCTTGGGGGAGCCAAACCACCCGGAACACCCCCAGGACCCTGGAGGGACAAACCTCATCATCAGTGAAATAATACAAGTCGTCGTCAATAGTATGTGCCATCTATCTTCATTCATCACGTACCAACGATTTCCCGAAGCTATTCTGGCGATGCTTTGTTTCGTCATTAATCAGCTGTTTCGTTTGGCGACACCCTCCGTACCAGATCCACTTGGTGATGCTCTCCCACTCTTGAGTGAGGAGCCGAGCCACCCAGAACACACCCAGGACCAGGGAGATACAAACATTACTAGTGGAATACAACACATCGCTATTACTGGTATGTGATATGCATCTCCATTGCGCGCATTGACAATTTCCCCCAAGCCATTCGCGCCACTGATCTCACTCTTGGTCTCCGACGGATACCAGCTGGCTTCCACGTGACAGTACAAGCTGATGGTGTTGAATGGCAGACAAGCAACAAATCTGTACATGTAGACCAGACCGTTGTCGAATGGAACGAGCACATACTTCTGTAAGTTGTCCTTCATCCCGTCTTTCCCGCAGGTATTAAGAAAGATTTTAGGCCATCCGAGCCATCTTCTAAAGTTCGGGTCAGGTTGTATGCCTCATTTGAATTGGGTTCCATGCTCGATCATGGAGAACTCCTCCGCACATTCGAGATCTCAGTTAGAGAATTACTTGATCGCAGTCGACAGTCCCATCGTCAGTACCTTATGGTGTAAATGGTCACTACGGGTGCTAACTAGATCACTCAGCCATCGTCTTTAAGCCAAAACCAGGGCAAGTCGTATCCTCATGTACTTCACTGCTCATGACAGTGGAGCAGCGACGTTCTGATGAAAATGACGCCGCAGCTCTTCCCCCCCTTACTACTGTGAGTCATCAGTGCGTTCTGATATTCTGATGCTGAGAGGTTGTAACGTGTAGCTCATGACCAGCGATATGCATACGTTATTACTCAAAACGGATGCCGGACATTGTCTTCTCGCACGATACCGCAGAACGCAGAACAGCAGGGATCTCGACCAATGCATAAAGCACTTTGAAGGCGCCTTTGATCTCTGCGCCTTTGATCATCCCTGCCACCCTGCGGCACTGTTCAATCTAGCCACCGCGAAGTTTATTAGTTGCCAAGCTAATGGAACATACCTCGATCTCGATATCCCTATCTCGCTCTTTCAAGATGCCCTTGATATGCGTCCCACTGGCCATCTAGACCGCGTCATCATCCAGCTTCATCTTGCCATTGCTCTGCTATCTCGTTTCGTGAATCGGGGATCTCAAGCGGATGCTGATGCCGCTGAAGAGTTGCTGAATGAAGTCCTCGATATCTCCCTTGCTGACAGCCACGTATACAGAGCGGCTCTGCTTGCAATTGAAACCTCTGCTTTGGCCAGAAGCACCGATGCGAATATACTTAGGGCGGAGGGGCCCGTTTCGTCCATGCTTCCGTGGTCCCCGAATGAACTTGCTCGTCGAGCAGAGCTGTGTTTTCGTAGAGACGATCCCCAAGCCGTAGATGAAGTTATATCTCTTCATTACGATGCGCTGGGATACTACAGCACGGCGCATGATGAGCGAGGGCAATTGCTGTGCAATCTGGGTGCAATGCTGATGACTCGCTTCCAGCGTCGAGGAAATATTCAAGACCTCGATGAAGGAATTGCGCTTCTCAGGCAAGTCCCAGTCGGTCACCAAAATTGGTCTGCGTCGTTGAATAACCTTGCAACCCAACTTACCATCCGCTTCGAGCACCGGGGCAATATCAAAGACATGGATGAGGCTATCCCGCTTCACTGGCAGGCGCTGGCTTTGTTCCCGGTCGGTTACCCAGATCGGTCTGCATCATTGAATAACCTTGCAAATCAACTCTCCAACCGCTTCAAGCACCAAGGCAATGCCCAGGACTTGGATGAGGCTATCCCGCTTCACAGAGAAGCGCTGACTTTGTTCCCAGTCGGTCACCCAGATCGGTCGGTGTCATTGAATAACCTTGCAACTACACTCTCCACCCGCTTCAACCACCGAGGCAATGACCAAGATTTGGATGAGGCTATCTCGCTTCACGAGGAAGCACTGGCCTTGCCCCCAGTCGGTCACCCAGATCGGTCCGCGTCATTGGATAACCTCGCAAATCAGCTCTCCAACCGCTTCAAGCACCGAGGCAATGACCAAGATTTGGATGAGGCTATCCCACTTCACAGGGAAGCGCTGGCCTTGCGCCTGGTCGGTCACCCAGATCGGTTCGCATCATTGCATAATCTTGGGAATCAACTCTCCACCCGCTTCCAGCAGCGAGGCAATGACCAAGACTTGGATGAGGCCATCTCGCTTCACAGGGAAGCGCTAGCTTTGTTCCCTGTCGGTTACCCAGATCGGTGCGGGTCATTGAATAAACTTGGGTGCCATCTCTCTACACGCTTCAAGCACAGAGGCAATGGTCAAGATATAGAAGAGGCTATTTCGCTTCACAGGGAAGCACTGGCCTTGCACCCGGTTGGTCACCCAGACCGGTCTGAGTCATTGAGTGACCTTGCAAATCAACTCTCCACCCGCTTCAGGCACAGAGGCAATGGCTAAGATATGGATGAGGCTATCCCACTTCACAGGGAAGCGCTGGCCTTGCGCCCAAATGGTCATCCAGATCGGTCGGTGTCATTGAATAACCTTGCAAATCAACTCTCCACCTGCTTCGAGCTCCGAGGCAATGACCGAGACTTAGATGAGGCTATCTCGCTTCACAGAGAAGCGCTGGCTTTGCTCCCGGTCGGTCACTCAGATTGGTTCATGTCATTGAATAACCTTGCTGCTGTGCTCTCCGTCCGCTTCAGGCACCGAGGCGATGACCGAGATTTGAATGAGGCTATCCCGCTTTACCGGGAAGCGCTGGCTTTGACGCCGGTCGGTTACCCAGATCAGTCTACGACTTTGAATAACCTCGCAAACCAACTCTCCAACCGCTTCAAGCGCCGAAGCAATGACCAAGACTTGGATGAGGCTATCCCGCTTTACAGGGAAGCGCTGGCCTTGCGCCCAGTCGGTTACCTAAATCGGTCCGCGTCATTGCATAATCTTGGAAATCAACTCTCCGCCCGCTTCCAGTGCCGAGGTAACGACCAAGACTCGGATGAGGCCATCTCCCTTCATAGGGAAGCACTAGCTTTGTGCCCTGTCGGTCACCCAGATCGGTGCGCATCATTGAATAACCTTTGGTGTCATCTCACTATCCGCTTCGAGCACCGAGGCAATGCCCAGGACCTCGACGAGTCACTAGATATTCACTACCGTGCATTGGCTCTCTTGATGCAAGATGACCCTCGTCAAATATCCGTCCATAGCTCACTAGCTAACATCTATCTGCTGTTCCATCGACCAGGACTTGATGGCAGTATCAATGCCGCCATGCATCATCTCAAAGTAGCAGCCAATACTGTTTCTGGAGGTTTGCTATCCCGACTGCGAGCAAGTATAAAATGGGTTCGCCATGCTGATCAACATACACATGGCACTGTACTGGAGGCTTATGCAACTTCGATGCAACTTCTGGACACTTACATGTCTGCGACAGCTTCAGTGTCATCTCGCCATGATATCATGAAGGTCTTCCCGCGCGCACTTGCAGTTGACGCTGCATCATGTACGCTTCGTCATGGCGATGTGCGCCACGCTGTAGAGTTGCTAGAACGAGGCAGGACTCTCATCTGGACCCAGATGGCACGATTCCGCACGCCTCTCGACAGCCTCCAGAAACACGGCGATCACGCAAAGGCTCTGACGGAGAAATTCCGAGACCTCAGCTCCCTCCTTGATAAGCCTCCTGCAGGACATCAAGAAGGAACCCCAAGAGTCAATGCAGAAGCAGAAGCTACCCGGTACAGACATCTAGTGGAAGACTGGAATACAGCTGCGGAAGAGATCCGGAAGATCGAGGGCTTCGGCCGCTTCCTACTTCCCCCCTTGTTCTCCGAACTCCAAGATGCCGCTCGTGATGGCCCTATCATTGTTCTCGTTGCTAGCAAGTCGTCTTGCGATGCAATCATCGTCCCACACTGGGAACCTCCGGTCAGTGTAGGACTTGCTATCAATGTAGAAAAACTCGTGCGATTGGTGAGCGCACTCCAACAAGCGGTGAAAAATGAGGAGGAGAAACAAGCAAAGCTGATAGAAGTTTTGAGGGAGTTGTGGGCCGAGGTAGTGCACCCTGTGGTTGTCAATCTAGGCAAAGTTGCGAAGCCAGGGTCGCGAATATGGTGGTGCCCAACCTCACTCTTCAACTTCCTGCCTTTGCACGCGGCTGGCGAATACAGGCCCAGTGGAAAGTCCCTTTCGCAGCTATACATTTCTTCCTACACCCCATCACTTACCGCGCTGGTCAAGGCTCGCAGACGTCATGATAGGTCCCTACCCGTGTCCTTTGCTGCCATCGGTCAGAACCACCCCCCAGAACATTCATTTCTACCATGTGTCGAGCCTGAATTGGACTTGGTGCATGGTCTCCTACCCCCTTCCCCGACCGTTTCCTTTACCAAAGTCACGAGTGTTGAATCAACGAAATCGACCGCCTTGCGCACATTGCGAGATAACCATTGGATCCATTTTGCCTGTCACGGGACACAAAACTTTGTGGAACCCTTCAAGTCAGCATTTCTCATGCGCGACGAACCACTTCAACTTCTAGATATCAGCCACACGGATTTGTCTCGGCATGAATTTGCATTTCTTTCTGCTTGCGAGACCGCAGTTGGTGACTTCAAAACTCCTGACGAAGCCATTCACTTGGCGGCTGGCCTACAATTTTCTGGGGTGAAGAGTGTCATCGGTACATTTTGGAATGTCAATGACAGCACCGTGCAACGCTTGGTCGAGGAATTTTACAAGGATTTTGCGGGGATGGGAAGATGAATTCAAAAAGAACTGCCCGAGCGCTGCACAAAGCAGTCCAGTTATTGGGTGGTGATAAAGCCGTACCCTTGGACCAGCGCATCGTATTCATGCATGTCGGCCTATGATCAATTTCGTGCGTCCTCCTGGTACCTTGTTGATCTCGAGACAATCTGACGACTTCGCGTGTAGCATCCAGCTGATCCTTCAGACAACTGTATATACTGTACCTCACCAATATGTACACACCCACGTAGTCTTCTGTTGTATTTCCCAGCTGGTCTGTCTCAAAGTGATTGCGTGAGAATGAGTTTCACAAGTTGTGTCATTGCTTTCGGTATAGATCTCGTATCACACATTATAGATGATTACGATGGACACGCCTACCCGTCAATCGGTACTGTAGTACCGCGTCAAAATAGTTATGCCCTACTTGAACTTGATCACTATCTCAAATACTCGTGAGTTGATATCTAACCTCCGTTGAGATCGCAAACTGATGCTGAATATCGCAGAAGACGACACTCCACGAAGAAGTCGAAAAAAACTGGAAGAACCAATCCAAGAGTAGCCTGAATCGAGTTTCACGATCCACAAAGGATACGGTGAGCCACGAAGTGAACTCAAGGACAACATGAATACCATCACAAAGAATCAGTCGCACTTCGTATGCAAGGTGTTGTTAGTCCCCAGCCATAAGCCACGGGCAACGGACGCGTCTTGCGCTCGCTGGAAGAGGTACTTAGCCTCAGTAGGCCCACGCGGACGTGGCATCATCACCCGGTAAATATCACTGAGCGCCTTCCTGAGAGGCATATGCGCGATAGCGACGACTTGATACAAAGTCTGCCCGATCCCCGCGACATTTTCAAAGCCTCCCTCCTCTGCTAGAACAATATCTTAGAGATATGAAAATGAAGCTGCGTTTCGGGTGCATCGCACAGTTGATTGCAGCCGGACTCCGCTAGAGCTTATCGAGGGGAGTTGAAATACTCAGACCTAAGCCCGCTCAGAAATGTGGATGCATGAAGCAACTTGTATGAGATGAGCATTCGTGGCCATCGAGCTGGTTGAGGAAGCGAAAGAGTCATTTCGAAGTCCGACTCCGCCCCGTGTTTTATATTAGTGGGACTCAGAGTAGTTTTTGGGACGCTCGCTAAAGTTCGCTAAAGTTCGCTAGAGTTCTACTAACCCCAATAGAGCTGCAAGGATCAGCCACCAACACACACACGAGACATGCGGCACACCTCGGCATCATGGCGGACTTCGAAAAACATGCCTGCTACTCGACCACCACCTCGTCGTCGTTCTGCGCGCCTCAAGGCCTTGCAGAGACTCTCTCGAAAGGACCCGAACATCATGGACCACACCCAATGAGCTGTTACCCGCGTAAAAGCCAAGAACGGCAGCTCGCAAGGTGGTAATACTGCCAGTACTGCCAGTACTAGTGCTGGCAAGGAACTTCGTATCCAATGGAATGCTGATCCAAAGTGCACCGACAAGGTTGTCGAGTACCTCTGTACTCACCCTGCTGACTCCTGCCTCTTGTTCTTCAATGATGGGAAGGCCCATCCTGATGGTGATCGCCTCTCGGGTAAAGACAAGCTTTTGGTTTGCAGTGTAATCGCAAAGTATGTCTTTGAGTGCGATCCAGAATATGCGCCCATATATACAAACGTGCCGGAGAGATTTCGTGACTCAACAAATAATCACATCATGAGGTAAGAGATCTCCTATCCATCTGTATATATGCTGATCATATTCCCTTCGAAGTCTCAAGAAAAAGTATTGTGAATGGTACAATAAACTACATGCGACGGGTGCTGGTGTCATGCCACTCGATGATAATGCCGCTATAAACTTGCGAGGTGCGTATTTTAAATAAAATACTTATTTAACAATTTAGCTGATAAAATTCAAAGTGCAAATCTTGGACGATTTTCCCTGGTACAATGACATTACTTCCATCGGAGGGACAAACCCAGCATTATCACTCAACATTACCTCGTCACAACCTGGATCAGATCACGCATCAAAATTCTTTTCACTTGTACATCCAGCGGGGAGCACTCATTCAAGTTCAAGGAATGCTCAGTCCTCTTCTAGTGCTCAGCACGGCGGCCATGTTGCCGGTGCTCAGCCCGCTCCCCCCAGCGCTCAGTCTTCTTCCAGTGCTCAGTACGGCGGCCATGTCACTAGTGCTCAGCCCGCTCCCCCCAGTCCTCAGGCTTCTTCTGGTGCTCAGCCCACTCCCTCCATCACTCAATCTTCCGGCGCTCAGTACGGTGGCCATGCCGCTGGTGCTCAGCCCAATCCCCCCAGCGCTCAGTCTTCTTCTGGCGCTCAGCCCGCTCCCCCCGGTGGTCAGTATGGCGGCCATGTCGCTGGCACTCAGCCCGCTCCCCCTGGTCCTCAGGCTTCTTCTGGCGCTCAGTACGGCGGCTATGTTGCTGGCGCTCAGCCCGCTCCCCCCAGCGCTCAGTACGGCGGCCATGTCGCTGGCGCTCAGCCCCTTCAGTTTGGCGCTCTTCCCCCTCAGTTTTACTATGACCCTCAACCCCCCCAGTTTGGTGCTCAGCCCCCTCAATTTAACAATCAGCCCCCCCAGTTTGACTATGGCGCTCCATCCCCCCAGAGTACACATCCCCCTTACGGCGTGCCCCCCCACTCTCAATTTGCACCTCCCCCCAATGTCATTGATCCGTCTCTTGATGACGACGACAGCGGCAATCTTGATGACGGGGGGATGGACTTCAGCGGCTATGAATTGGACAGTCACGCGACACGGGATTACAGTGAGCAGAATGTGAATGCTGTGAGCCTGGACAGCCCGCCCAGGCCCAAAATTACTAGAACTAAACGGCAGCTCCCTCCATCATCTCCATCGCCTCCTATCACTCCCCCACCGCAATTTTTTAGTTATCCCGACAAAGCAGTGACTTCGTTATATGACAGTCGCTCTGCCTTCGGACCGACCAATCCAATGAGACGCACAAGCACCAGGTCACTCAAGTCCCCTCCTCCTATTGGACGCCATACTACTTCTGCGGGCTCTTCGTGGCGGTCCACACCCATGTCATCGTCATCAGCGCCAGTGTCAACAACGCCCACATCACAAGCATCATCATCCAGGAAAGGTAAGCAAGTGAAGAAGCAGCGGTCAGAACTTCAAGAGCGAGTTGAGGGGATCCATGATGAAATTGAGAGTATGCAGTCGGACAGGTCGTCCCGCTATGAGCTCAAGAACGACTGCTACATGGCCAAGCTGAACCTTGCTCATACAGTGGCTCAAAAAACTGTCCGCATGTTTTTACATTTTTCACTATCTATGATATTGTGTGAGAATATACAAACACATCAAGGACATGCTGGTACCATATTGTAGTACTACTTTAGGGCTTCCAATTGAGCCCTATGGTGTGGGAATCAGCTGAGATATGGTGGAGATATGAGGCTTACAAAATGATGACTCATGTGGACAGTTTTTTGACTCAAGTATTTTACAGTGATAATCAGGTATTCCAGTACATTGTGTGACCTCCCTTGGCTTTAATTACTGCCTCTATCCTTCCAGGCATAATCTTAAAACTATATCTAACTATATAAACCAGAATGTCTCATGTGTCATGGTCATAATCACCATGAAAGCCATCTCCTCTGCTCAAAGGGACAATATCCTCTCTTTGTCCTATGCTGGCCTCTCTGCTCATCAAATTTCCTCTAGAACTGAAGTATGCAAGTCTACTGCAGCCAAGTGTATCAAAGAAAGCCACATGAACAAGGAAAACTCTCGTGGAGGACATCCACCTCTGCTAATAAGAGGGCTATCATCCAACATATCACTACAGGACAGGCTAATAATGCCCTCCAAGCCACCCATTAAATCAATTCCACCATCACCACCACTGTCTCTTCACAAACTGTGAGAAATGTTCTCAAGGCAGCTCATCTCAAGGCAGTAACAAATAAGAAATGCCTCTTATCTCTATCAAACATAGGCAGAGAAGACTACCTTTGGCTTGGCCCATCAAAACTGGACTGTAGAGGACTGGAAGCATGTTACATGGTCAGATGAGACCAAAATAAATAGGATTGGGTCAGATGGGAAGGTATATGTATGGAAAAAGAAGAGGGATTTTCTAACAGACAGAGAGGTTGGTGAGACTGTCAAATTTGAAAGAGGTTCTCTAATGGTACAGGGCTGTATGAGATATAATGGTGTGGGTATGCTTGCTGAAGTTGAGAGGAGGATGGATGCTGAGCAGTATGTGGACATTCTAAATGACCACTTGCTGCCTAGCATAGCTGAATCAGGGATTGATGAAGAAGACATCATTTTCCAACAAGATAATGATCCCAAGCACACATCTAGGAGAGCCAGACAATGGTTTAAAGAACATAATATCAATGTTCTTGACTAACCAGCACAGTCCCCTGATGTCAATGTCATTGAACATCTCTGGGGAACACTCAAGAAGATGCTTCAAGCCTATGAACCCCCCCCCCCTAAAGGAGTATAGGAGCTATGGGAGAGAGTAGCAGTGGAATGGGCAAGGATTACAGCAGAATATTGCCAGAAATTGATTGAGAGTATGCCTAGAAGGATAGAGGCAGTAATTAAAGCCAAGGGAGGTCACACAATGTACTGGAATACCTGATTATCACTGTAAAATACTTGAGTCAAAAAACTATCCACATGAGTCATCATTTTGTAAGCCTCATATCCCCACCATATCTTGACCGATTCCAATGCCATAGGGCTCAATTGGAAGCCCTGAAGTAGTACTACAATATGGTACCAGCATGTCCTTGATGTGTTTGTATATTCTTACACAATATCATAGATAGTGAAAAATGGGAAAACATGTGGACAGTTTTTTGAGCCACTGTAAAGATAAGGAGCATCAGTTCCTCCACGAACAGCGCATGCAGGAGCGCATGGAAGCTGTCGCCGTCCATCAGTGTGCTCAGGAGGCGATGGCTATGAAGATCCATCTATGTGAAGCAGAGGTCAGTGCACACAACACAATGAAGGAAGCGCACAACGAGGAGGCAGCAATGCTACATCTTAAGATCGAGTACTGTCGACTTACCAATGCTGGCGGTGCGGATGGGTCTTAATGGTGTGCGTGTTGCTTGCTGCTGGTTGCTAGTTGCTGCTGTATCTCATTGTTATGATTGTTCTTGTCGCGATGCTGACTATCATGCTACCTACTATGCTACTACATATGTTTCATACTGTGTTACCTGTACATCTTTGTTGTCTTCTGCTGATATTCTCATAGACTCCATTGCTAATGAACTATGTTTGCCTTGTGAATGAAATTGTGTGAAAGGGTCTATGTAAGTCCTAAGTTGCCTATCCTTGTCTACACCTTGCATTTGAGTTGGGGCTGTCAAATAAGAGATCCATCAACCTTGCACGACAAGCCTGACCTGGAGTGCCATCATACACTCCATTGTTGTCTGATCCATTACCCTCAACATCTTGTTGCATAAAACCCTTGGCCTCTTTACAAGCCCATTTTGTTGAACTTTTTGTCCCATGGTATTCTTCAAACCGAATAATCATGTTATGGAGTATGAGGCAGCATTGAATCCAACAGATAGCCAGTTGAAGGTCATCTGCAGAATTAATATTCTGTCGAAGCTCTCGAAGGGATTGAAACCTGCCCTTTCAGAGCAGCAAATGTGTGTTCAACTCGTACATGGACCTAAATAAATTTAAAATTAGAAAACACTGCATTAAAAATTGGAGTGGGGAGGGGGAGGGGGGGGGGAGGGGGAAGGGGGAAGGGGAAGAACAAACCGTAGAAAGGTGATAATTAAATGACCTCTGATTCTTTGTCAGACTTCCATTGCGGGGCTTCTTGAAGGGGGGGATACACCATGTCTCCACTGGATAAGTCACTATCTGCCCAGACCCAGTGGTCATCTGGAAGAAGGGTGTTGTGTTCTCGATAGAGACGGGTGGATCTGAAAGCATATGCATCATGGACACTTCCAGGGTGACCAAGAGAATAATTGACTATAAGAAGATTGTGAGGCATAATAGCTGCCTAGAATTAAATTAAATTTTTGAATCATAGACAAAGAAAGACAAAGCTTACTTGACAGCCAAGGGAATATCTTGATTTCCTATCATAAAAAACCTCACCATGAAAACCAGGTTTTTTATACAGATTAATTGTTGTCCCATCAACAGCTAGAATCCCATTCTGCCACTCAGGGCAAACTGTCTTCCCAACAAAATCCCGAGCAAGCTGGAAATCCTGTGAATCAGGTGGAGGAAAGCCCATGAATGCATCATGCTGATCAAGCAGGGCAACCATTACACGATTAGTGCAATTAACAACTGATCCAACACTAACACCCGCCCATTGAGCCACATCCTCCAGAGATATGGCGTTACCGTAGTGGCCAGCATGGTTAAGAAAAATAGCAAGTTGTATAGCAATGGGAAGCTGAGAGTTGTGTGAGTTGTTGTGAAAAATGGGATGGTCAGAGATTAGATCCAGGATGTCATCAAAGATTTCTGGGTCGACGTGTAATTTTTGCCGAAATAAGTGAGGACAGTGTTCCTCAAAATGAACAAGAAGGTGCAGCTGTGGGGCTTGTAGGGGAGGTTCATCAGGCCTGTAGAGTACACGTGCTCTTTCTACCTCGTCCCGGAGAGCCTCAATGGAGTCTCGAATCTGGTCATAATGGGCAGTAAGATGATCAGCTTCATCTCCAGATGAGTTAGAGTCCTGAAAAGTCACTATTTGAGTCATCGGAGAAGAATGGGGAAAGAGGCAAAGGAGGGGTAATCACAATGTTCATGAAAGAGTCGCTGAGATCTGATTCCAAATCTGAGGAGCTTGAGATGGAGTCCATAGATTCATCATCTTGTACCAAGGCATGCTGATATGCAGCCCTAGCTAGTGAGAGTGCAGCCTGGTCAATTTCATGCAACATATCTGTCTGCCTGGATGGACGAGGCATGGTGAAGGTCGAGGGGGATCAATTCTCCTATCTCCCGCTGCACATGTAACTGATTATGATGTAAATTAGGGCGGAGATTGAATTTCCAGGGTTGTTCTGGACCTTTTGTTTCATCCCTCAGATGACCGTGGTAGGCGTCCTTGAAGACTCAGATCTCACCCTGGCACCTCACGTGCAACGCTGACTACAAATTCAGGAAGCTGTTGATGGATATGGACACGAGGTGTGCGCACCTCCGGCACCTTACCACCCTTTGCCCTAATCATCACCCCACAGCCTTATCAGGCTGCCGGTGCAATCTTTTCACGGATCTCAGCCGGGCTTAACTGCTCAGTACCCTTCCCCCAGTACCCTCACTTTGACTCTACTTCACCCAACACCACCTCATCACAACCCAGATCAGATCACGCATCAAAATTATTTTCACTCGTACATCCAGCGGGGAGCACTTGTTCAAGTTCAAGGAATGTTCAGTCCTCTTCTAGCGCTCAGTACAGCGGCCATGTCGCTGGTGCTCAGCCCACTCCCCCAGCGCTCAGTCCTCTTCTAGTGCTCAGTACAGCGGCCATGTCGCTGGTGCTCAGCCCACTCCCCCCAGCACTCAGTCTTCTTCCAGTGCTCAGTGCGGCAGCCATATCGCTGGTGCTCAGCCCACTCCCCCAGTGCTCAGTCTTCTTCCGGCGCTCAGTATGTCAGTCCTCTTCTGGCGCTAAGTACAGCGGCTATGTTGCTGGCGCTCAGCTTGCTCAGCAGTATGACACCCAGTGCCTCCAGCTTGGGTGTTCCCCTGGCGCTCAACCCCCAGCCCCCTCAATTTGACATTCTTCTTACTCATCCTTGCATGCTCCACCCCCTCCCCACTTTCACTTTGCGCTTCCCCACTCCTTTCATTTGAGGACTCCTTATCACTTTGCTAGACTTCTTTTTTTTCAGCATTTCTTTTGATTTAGTGGGTTCAGGTATGGAGTACATTGATTTGCTAGCTATGTTGTCCCTATTCCTCTTTGCTACACACCCATTCGCTATCAAACACACCCTCGGAACTTTGTAACGCATGCAAGCCTCGCAAATTCACAAGTGTCGTTTCTAAGTCCGCCATCATGCCGATGTATGCCGAGTGTGTTGGTGGCTGATCCTTGCAGCTCTATTGGGGTTAGTAGAACTCTAGTGAACTTTAGTGAACTTTAGCGAGTGTCCCAAAAACTACTCTGAGTCCCACTATTGGACATGTACTAGATGTACCCGGGTGTTTGTACATTTTTGCAAGTTTCATCCATTGCTCACCATCTACAACACAAAATAAACCTCGGATACTCATTGGCAGATAGCTGAGCATCTTAATAAGATGCTCCGAATTTATATATATATAAAAGTTAAATAGTTGTGTTGGTATAGCGTGTCCGAGCACCTTCAGTCTATCTCACCTAGTGTTCGTCACCGTGTCACACCTTGCCGAAGGTGCAGATTGGAGGTCCGCCACGCACACAAGTGCTATGATGCCGTGGAAACTTTGTTGCGGCATTGCGGGGCTTCAAAATGATGTAACGTCTTGTGGCAGATCGTCACGCCAGATAGCATTTCCTTTACTGTGCATTGGTAGACTGGCAAATCAACTTCGGCCATTGTTATTTTAGCTAGATATCAGTCAGAAGAAGTGTTCCTGGCACTTCCGAGATTGAAATTAGTGCGAGCTTGCCTTTCCGATGCTGATCAGTGTGCCAAGATGTCTCCACACTGTATATATTGTATCGATATCATAGCACTCGCTCAACACAATTTTTTGAGAAAGAAAAGTACATAGAGCTATTCATTGACATTGCAGGATTATTTGATTTTAAGAGACTGAGGCGATTCATGATGATTTGGATGTGCTAGCTCAAAAGTACGAACACTAGGTGAGTCCGAACTCGTGGGTACATCTGGTACCTGGATCATCGTACGCTCTGTAAGTTCACACTAAGGATTTACCTCCAATGGCACGAGACTCGACAGGACAGTCTTGACTCTTGACAAGCTTGAAGCTTCAGCTTCCCATTGCACAAGAGGCGCGTGCTCAAAAATATGTATTAAGAATATGGTTTTGTCCGACGGTGCAACGCGGACCGGTCATGTTCAGCTGATCACCCATCCTTCATGATCATTCAATCGTGAACCAAGGGGTACTCCCTCTGTTACCTTTTTGTTTCCACTAAAGAGGGTAAGTATGTCCCTTAAGACTTCAGCTTCTAGCATCATCACAAAGATCGAGGTGCGTCCCACAATGTATAGCAGGCTTCCATGTTCACTTTCACATATAGGCTTTCCGCGTACCTCCGCGCTGGCTCTTCGTGCGTATCGAGACAGCCGATGGGCTCGTTGGCTGGGGAGAATCCACTCTCGAAGGACACACCGAAGCAATCGAGGGTGCTTTCGCTGACCTCGCACAGCGTTTCCTTGGTTGGGATGCGGATGGTATCGAAGATATCTGGCAGACTGCATACCGCGCTCGGTTTTATCGTGGTGGACCTGTCTTAATGGTGGGCGTGTCCCCCCTTTTTCATGCCTACCATTCGTCTTAAATGTATGTCCCGACCAGTCAGCTTTGTCTGGCCTTGATATTGCACTCTGGGATATCAAGGGCAAGAAGCTTGGAGTTCCAGTATGGCAGCTTCTAGGTGGTAAAGTCAGGGATCGTGTTCGTGTATATGGGTGGATTGGTGGTGACCATCCGAGTGCTGTCCGTGAGGCAGCACGTGAGCGCAAAGAGCAAGGATTTACTGCTGTAAAGATGAATGCCACTGGTGAGCTTTATAACCTTACAATATAACGAGTCTGAGCCGTACGCAGAGGCTCTCGCATGGCTCGACTCTCCTGAGCTCTTAAAAGGGACTGTGGAACGTGTGCGTGAGGTTCGCGCGCTAGGGATGGATGTGGGAGTGGATTTTCATGGACGGGTGCACAAGGGTATGGCTCGCCAGCTCGCCAAACTTCTTGAGGGCGAGGGAGTCTTGTTCATCGAGGGTGAGAAGGATCCTTGCAGTCCATTTGCACAAGTGCTAAATTTATTTCAGAACCCCTTCTACCTACTCAACCTTCGGAGTTCGCGGATCTTGGGCGTCTCGTCTCCACTCCCATTGCAGCTGGGGAGCGGCTGTACTCGAGACATGAATTTCGCCCGTACTTCGAAGGACATGCTTTAGATGTCGCGCAACCAGACGTGAGTACTCACCTCGCAACTGACTTCCACGATCTGTTTTTGCGTGTCCTCTTGTGGCCTCTCTCCTCACGTTTTAACCGACTGAAAAACTGGATAAGGTTTCCCATTGTGGTGGAATATCGGAGTTGGCACGCATCGCCTCTATGGCAGAAACATACGATGTCGCACTTGCCCCGCACTGTCCAATAGGACCGATTGCCTTGGCAGCATGCATTGCCGTTGGCGTGTCGAAGCTCAATTGTAGGTATTTTGCGGTGCTATCTACCCTTCTAGAAGTCACTAATTATTTTCGGCCGTCTAGACTTTATTCAAGAAATGAGTTGGCAGGTGGGTTCCTCACTCCAATGTCCCTCGAGATGCGTCACTTAGATGACGGGCTGGATGTAGATCCATTATAACAGCGATGATGCAGACCTCTTCACGTATCTCGCAGATCCGAGTGTGTTTGCTGTGAAAGACGGGTATATCGCGACTCCCAGCGGTGAGTCTCGTCCTGTTTGGTTCACTCCATTTTGCTTGTACTCCCGCGCATTGTACACTTTGCTGCCTCCTTATCAGAGAAGACCGTGCTGGTGATCTTCTTTCCATAATACACCGACTTTTGAACTAATGAATGCTGCATTTTGGCTACCCTTGTTGCTCTCTGCTAAATGCCTAAAACTGCATAGGTCCTGGATTGGGTATCATTATCAACGAGGAGCTCGTGCGCACCCGTGCTAAGGAGCATAGTCAAGCCGGGGTTGAGGCGTGGCGTAACCCTGTGTGGAGGGGGGAGGACGGAAGCATTCGGGAGTGGTAAAATTCTACTCTGCTACCTAGCTGCGATAACAACCTGCTACAAACCCATCGCAACGTACCACTTGCCAACTAATACCAAATATTGACAGCATCTAGCCCGGCGTTACAAACATATGTACACCTTGTTCCTGTCTCTGTTATCTTGCCTTGTGTCTTACCCCCAAGAGGCCTCTCCCCTATCCTCGAAATTAATATCGACCCACCTTTGGCTGGTCCAGAGCGGTGCCCACTCAGTAGGTTGTGCACGTGTGTACATCAAGTCACAGCCTTAGTCACCGGACAAAGACTTGATACGCCCAAGTCAATAGGTCTAGGTAATAATCCTCGAGCCTATGCACAGCGCTAGAAAAATACATTCTCGGATGTTACATATATGTTCACACGAATTCACCCTATCGCTCAAGAACTTCCCGCAGCGCGTCCACGACCTTCTCCACTTCCTCAACGGTGTTATAGTGGACAAATGAGATGCGAACGACCCCGTCATTCACATCCAGCTTTGGGCGTAAATTATCGATAAGATGATACGAGTAAAAGTTGCCGCATTGAATGGAGATCTGTGCAACATCCATAATCGAATTCAGTGACTGAGTGAGATCACTGAAAGACTTACCCCTCCCTTTTTTTCAAATGCTCCTACAATATCCTTGCTCTTGATAGCGTTCTGTCCGACGACGACAAAGCTGACAGTGGGAACCCTTGAGAGATTGATCTCGCTTGTCCCGACGATGCGAACACCCCTGTCAACTTGTTTTGCGTCCGTCAAGAAGAGTAGCAAGGGCGCCAAAAGTTCCCGCTCGTGATTTGCGATCGCGTTGAAGGATGCAGCAAGATCATCTTCTGGTGTCAACGACTTTAGATATGGCACGATTGCCGCGGCACCATACACCAACTCGTGGCCTGGACCGCCTGGTTGAAACTTATAGGGCTTGTCGTCCACCTTCAGGAAATCATGTGCAATAGATGTGAGAGATCTTTCGAGAGCTGCTAGCCGCACGTAAGCAGCGGCATTATGAGCCCCGAACACCTACAAATCAGAGTACCAGTGTCAGATGTGAAATCGAATGAAGTCGCGGATATTGAAACCTTGTACACAGAAAACACGCAGTAATCAACATCCCACTCTTGTACGTCCAATTTTCTATGTGATGCGTATGCAACGCAATCCAAAGCTACTTCAAGCCTTTTTGCTCCCTGCTCGTTTGCACGCTGGCGAAGAGCTTTCACAGTTTCTTTCACAGGAATCAAGGATCCTAAAATATTGGAGCACGCGTTGATCGCGGCCAGCCTGGTTCGTGAAGAGACCAGCGGCAAAAGTTCTTCGACCTTGTATGTCAGTGAGTAAGGATTTTCCGCAGATACTGGCGTAGGTTGCCAGTATTTAACCACGGCATTGCGCCGCGCAGCCAGACGTTTCCAAGGGCCGTTGTTGGCTAAGATGAGCAATAAGTTAACAAAAAAGACACAGGAAGATAATGGCAGAAACCTTCATGTTCATAGGAAATGATGAATTCATCTCCAGGTTGGATATCATTTTCGAGTGCTCTAGCGATGTTCTCAAAGATCATCGTCGAGCTCGATCCAAACCCAACCTCATCGAGGGATGCAGCATTGAACAACTCTGCAACGGCGATAGAGCCCTCAACCACGCGCTGGGAGTTTGCAACCGAATAGTCAGTTCCTGACTGTATGTTGGGGTTGGACAGATAATCCACAATCCGATCGATCACTGACTGAGCAGTTTGCGATCCTCTTGCATTATCAGCATAGATGTGCCCTGATCTCAGGGACGGGAAGCAAGCACGAACTTGGTTGATGTCGAGGGTAGCCATCTGTCACTGTCAAGGAATAGTGTAGGAAGATGACTGGTGCAAGCCCTTTATAAGTAAGTTCAAACTTCAGTGGTCATCCCATTATGTATTCAGTACATAATTATCGATATCTAATACGTGAGGCGTCGCAGGCTCGACCTAATCGTACGATGTCATATGAATATTGCACAAAAATTTGGCTTCGAGCTCGCCTGCATATATTGGACATTGAATTAAACACGATATGCCCCATGGCTCGGGAAGCCTATTTTCAAATGAGAAGGCCAAAGGAGACGGATGGAAGCCAAACGGTGCAGACGACACTATAAGTAAAGCCTAAGGTGAAGGCAAATAAAATCACAGAAGGCTCGTACACGATACATAACACGAACAAATACAAACCTTATTGCACATCTCCTCCTCTCGAGTCTCGACTCTCTCGTACCTAGTACTAGTTATGAGTCAATTTTTACGGGCCCGATACTATTGGTTGCTACCAGTTCGTCCATGCTGAAATCTCGTGCATCCTCAAGTGTGGGCTCGTCGAGATTCAACAGTGGTCCCAGGACTTCCTAGCCTCGTCGCATACTCGCATGGGAACGACCGAATATTCACTGTTCTCGAAACAGGACCAGCCGAATTCCGATGGTGTGGGGCCTCGTGATCTCGTCCCGAGGGATAAAGGCCCTCGATCGCCGAATCTTAGCTACGAAGCTTCCGTCCTAGCCCCAACCCTCTCCCCCCCACCCGTAAACTACCCTTACAGTGGGTCACCGGGTACTGATTGCCAGCTGGCCGACCCTAAAGGGCACCGGTTGCAGTAGTGGCACAGACCATCCACTCCCGCGAAGTACAAGCGGTAGGGGTAGGGGTAGCCCCCTGACGAGAACTTTCGTAGGTTCGGAACCGCTGTACTGCCCCCCCCCTCGCTTTACTAGTCACCCTCTGGCCCTGCTGACAGACCTTTATCCTAGGAGACAGGTGCCTGCGGCGGGAGCTAAGGCGATGGTCAGACTCGATGGCGCTCAGCTGAACGCTTCTGACGTGGGCTTCGCTTTCCCCGTCAGTTTGCTATGGATCGGAATATTAATATCGCTAAAGACAGTTCGGGTCCGATTAGGCAGCATTGTGTCTTTCTAAATTTTATATGAGAACCTCTCTCAGTACAGAACCCATACTATCACCTCGTATAACTAATGCGTTTCTCCTTCCTCACCGTCGTGGCCACTTTGACGATTATGTCTGTCAGTGCAACACCATCTCCTTCCAACAGGGATGTCAGCTCGGACCCGGGCGATGTGTGTTATATTGGCAACCCTTGCCCGGATCCCGCTCGCTCGTGCTGCAACGTTTGTGTGAATATGAGTAGTTTTGCTTTGCATCTTAGAAGGTTTACTCGCCCAAATTGGGCGGCGCTATAGATAAACGGGTTTTGCATTTGATTCTTAAGATACAGAGAGGGGCTGGCATGTCACAAGTGAGTCATATCTGCCTTCGTAGAGGTGCTGTTGCTCATGGCATAATTGCTGAGTAGATCAGTGTGGTTGCTCTTAGCCAACTACACTGCCAATGGGGACCCCTTTGAGAGACTCAATATGATCATTTGACTTGAAAACATCTAACATATGTAAGGACGAAACGTTTGATCCCGCGGAACCTAATTCGCGTGACTCTCCTGTCTGTGCTCCACCCTGAGCTCTACATGCTGTCCGATTTGCTTGAGCGCTCGCTATCGCTGTGCGCTTGGCAGTCTCCTATTTGCGTGGGCGGTTCACTTATCTCCATGTCTCTACTCCTCCTTTTACAATTGCACACAGCCCGGTGCCAGGTGGTCGTAAGCTTTGAATATCAACAACCTCATATGGAGACCTCTGGGAAAGGATGCGGTGATTCCTAAAGCTTAAAGCCTAATGCATACAAGTGCTCCTTGCACCTTCGGACGTTTTCCACCGTCAATCACAATAAGAGATGTCTGTACACTACGAAACGTTTGCCGTTGTCTTTTCCTCTTTCTCTCTTCCGAATAGCGATCGAATGTCTCGGGAAGATTTTCAACGCCATCTTCTGGATCATAAGACACAGGTACAAAGCCATCCATCTTCCAAAACGTTTTTTTCGGCTCCGAAGCATAACGAGTAGCATTTTGAATACCGACGACGCCGTGAAATGAGCATGCAGAGGCCATGGTTAAAAGCAGAGGAATACAGTTAGTAGAGGAACGTGCGATCGCATGTGGAGCTCGGTGGTGTGCAATTGTGAAAGGAGGAGTAGAGAGACGGAGATAAGGGGACCGCCCACGCAAATAGGAGACTGCTGAGCGCTCAAGCAAATCGGACGGAGCTCAGGTGGAGCCAGGAGAGTCACGCGAATTGGTTCCGCGGGATCAAACGTTTCATCCTTACATATGTTAGATGGATAGGTACTTAACATCAATTTAAAAGCGAGCCACGAGGCTATGGCATTTGAGCTCGAGGCTGGGTACGTTGAGGTTGAAGACGCCCATCAAACCAGCTCCACACCAATAGCGCCAGTGATAATAGCCACGTTCATGATGCGTCCGTCTCTACTGTCCATCATTGCTTATCGGCCTTGCCTAGTAGTGTGCCACTGCTGTGATCCGACGATCAATGACTTCGACTCGTGATGTGAAGTCCTTCTGGCCAACGCCGTGCGGCTCGGAAGACACGTCAAGATTGTTCGTGCATTATCATATGAGCGTAGAATGATCGTATGCAATCAAGTTCTGGAAGGACCCCCACAGGCATCTAATACGGTTTAATCGGCGAGGTCCTCTCTGCATACCCACCGGTTCCTGCGATAAAAATTATAGTGCAATGCGTAAATATTGCATCATTAAGTGTTTTGAATCGTCTAAGTGCTATTCAGCCCATAGCAAACGCCATTAGTTTCTGCTGCCTCCGCCCATGACCAAAGCACTCACAGCAGATGAATACATCATAGCTCGCCATTTATTCTCACCTTCTTCTGTATCTTCTCTTCATACTTCCTCAACAACAGCCGATCCACCCATCCGCCCTTGGGAAAGGCCCTATCCCAACGATTATGCAAATGCACGGCAAATATCTTCCCTAGTGCTTTATCCAGTGCTCCACCATTCTCAAGCCCCTCCCCAGGTCTGCCCGTCCACTTCCCGTCTCGACGATCAGGCTCAAATGGGATCTGGCACGCTGTTGTCGAGACGACATGCTAGAGGGATCGGACAAGCAGAACGGTAGAATTTTGAAGGGTGGTATGGATTCGCTGAGGAGGCGCCGCCAAAGTCGAAGGTATAAAATTGCACCCCAATCGGTGCTAGGAGAGCGTGGGGGAGCTGCTGTGTGCCATGAGATGGAAGGCTTCACAGAGGTAGGGCGAGTGCTTGCGGAAGTGCATGAGTGCGCCATTAAACGCTTGGTAAATTTTGTCTGTAGAATCTTGTGAGTAAGCGGGCGAGAGGGAGTTGATTACTGAATTACCGTAGCAGTCCCATTGCGTCACGAACTCGTGCTCAAGTAGTGGGGAGAGGTCTCGGGTGAGGAGCATGTCCATGTCTATCCAAGCACCACCATATGTCCAGATGACAAGTAAGCGGACGAGGTCACCGTCCACCCATGCCTTCTTATCCTCGAGATTGAGCAACCGATGACTCTCCATCGGCGTGCCCTTGGCTAACTCAGGTATATCCACTACCCTGGAGTGTGAACGAGTCAGGGAAACAGCTCGAGATATTTTTGTACGATCGGATTGAGTGATAGGTCGCCATTCGACCAGAGTATTAGACGAGAGCGGGGGAGGTCTTGCGTAGCGAAGAATGACTTTAACATGTATTCTTGTCTCTCGTCGAGGGGCGCGAGATCGACGCGCCAATACGTGTGGAACTGCGCTCGCTCCTCTGGTGGGATATACCGTCCCTCCTGATTCCACTCCCCTTCTGCAAACCTTACCGTTCCTGCAAACTCGTAGCAGTCCATACCCATCCGCATCGTTACTCCTGCCTGAACCTCAAAGCGCTTCTTGCCATACACGGCCTCGCTGACATTATACAACGGGCTGATGCGTTCAGGCTCAAAGCATCCGCCAAGTGGGGACAGCGGGAGTATTTCGCGCTGTATCCATTCTCGTTGGTATAATACGAGGTCAATGTGGCCGCGCGGGTCATAGAGGTAGTATATCGTGTAACATATGATGAACACCAGAGGAAGCACAAATTTCAAGATTGTGAATATTCTCTGTGGTCGCACACATGAGCAGCGAAAAACTGGTGATTTCCGCCGAGGAGAAGTGGAGGTACGGCGTGGTCGGTCGTGCACGGGAACCATTTGGTATCCTCCTCTGGCAGTAACTGTCATGAGACGGGTGGGCGATTTTGTTGCAGCATGATACCGGTGTGAACTACACTGCATGCGTTATATATGTTGTGAAACTTGAGCTGGAGCGCTCAGCGCTTGGGAACTTTCTGAAACCAAGTGTTCCTTCAAACCTTAATTGGCAGTTTGATTGGCGGCTGATTTATTTCTCACGAGCTTGTCGTAAGCGCTTGCAAACTGAACAAATTCACATTATTTTTGATTTCAGATCTTTTGATTTCAAGTCATCAATATTTGCTAGTCATCAGCCTCCTCAAAATGTCCGCATTTTTCTTTTCGCGAAGATTGGCTCTCGAGACAACACGCTGTTCACGCCGCACATTCTCTACGACCCCGCGATGGCATGCAGACCCATGGCCTCTTCCGCATACCCCACAACACCTCTCCAACACTCAGACTCCTTCTGATATTCCCCCACCCACTCCTATCCCACGTCCGGGTGAGTTAAAGGAGACCTTGCGTGCAAGACTCGTCTATCAGAGCAGGAAACGCGGGACGTTGGAGAGTGACCTCCTACTGAGCACATTTGCAAGAGATAACCTGGGGTCGATGGACGAGGTAGAGCTGAAGGAGTATGACAAGGTACTTTCTCTTCTTCGATTGGTGGCATCTTGACTTAGATTTCGTTGTAGCTACTCGACGAGCCCGATTGGGACATATATTATTGGGCAACTGAAAGCCGTGCACCACCTGAGAGGTGGGCGAAGTCACCCGTGCTGGAGAAGCTCAAGATACATGCAAAGAATGAGGGAAAGGTCGTGCGCAAGATGCCTCCGCTGTAGACGTAGCAATGAATCTATAGCTGCGTTATCATCATGTCCTCGTTTTGCATGGAGTCTGAACAGAACGCGCAAACCGTGCTGTCTGCGCCATTGACAGAGTACGGGTATACGATCTATAGGATGGTAATCTCGTTTAGTACTGAACAGTCTGAACCTAGCCATGCTTGCGCCACAGCCAAAGCGCAGCTCTGCATCCGCACCAGTTCTGCCGGTGAATCTATAAATGCGTTGCCTTCATTTCGGTGAGTCTGAACTGAACGCCGCGGCAAATCCTGCCGTCTGCGACAGTATGGGCACAAAATTTATCCCGAACTTCCACGCGCCGATGGAGCTCTTGCATGAGCTAGTTTAGCATAATCTCTCGCCGACGGACATTAAACTTGATCCAAACAGCTTTCCCGTGGTCACACTACGTCAGTGCCAAGCACTATGTCGATGTCAAGCAACCAGACCATGGCGGATATCATTGCTCGTCATGCGAACCCTCAGCATATTTTAAAGTTTGTCTGAACAAATGGCACATGATTCCTTGGCCCCAAGGTAGCAGTCTATAGTGTAGGTGCCGATCATAGACAATCTCTGCTCTGTCACTCATTCCTTAGTTTGTTCAAAATTACACTTGGGCATGCATAGACGTTGCCAGACGAGTACGTATTGCAAATGTTCTGGACCAACACCCGGAACTTGAAGGGTCTTAGTGTGGATATGCTGGCAGCCGCAGTCAACCTCAACAAGAGCAAGACTGCACGTATCTTACGGGGCTTATCTCCCAAGGATTGCTTTAAAGAAGGTAATATACATTATGTTGTTGGCCAATGATTATTTTTAAGGCCTTTTGTGTTATATAGTCAATTGAGCGAGACGTCCGTCTTCGCAAACAACCCAACTCTCTCTCATGCTCAATTCAACAAGCGACTTTGCGTGCATGGTGCGAGTTCATCAAGACGTCCCGGAATATGGTGCACTTCTCTATGAGACTTTGATCGACCAAGAATATGGAGGATCATATGAGGTCGACAAAGCACCCCGACTACTTGGTCTCAGAAAGGATGGTGTTAATGATGACTTCTAGGAAATGGACGTCAGTTTTCGCATTCCATTATCATTCTGAACATTAACATATCTCATAGGATGATGAACACGACGTGCGTGCGGAGTCATCCACCGATGACTGACAACTCACAAAATCTTGTGCAGAGTTTTCACAGAGGCATGTTGGGCCTTAGAGACATTACGGGCGCTGCTACTGTGCTGCATCGTAAGCCATCACCATTTCAATCGTTAGCATAACTGTGACGCATATCGTAAGAATATCCTTGGAGCGATGACCATGCCCTTGGCGAAGATGTTCCCTCATCTCAGAATCGCCAATCAGGATCTTCCGGAAATTATGCCGCAGGCACAAAATGTGAGTTTAGACACCTGGTCCACATAACCATTCCAGTGTGCGAGCTATTGATATTTGATCAGGCATGGGAGAAGAACGTTCCTGAGGCACTGCTCGATGACCGGGTGGAGTTCGTGGCATCCAACTTCTTCGAGGACATACCTGTTGCTGGAAAGGATGTTTACTATGTAAGAGCTCAAGTTCATTCCCACTCATTGCGGGCAGCTTGATAATCTGATATAGTTGAGGAACATCATTCACGACTGGCCGGACGTCGAATCAACGGTGATCCTCCGTAATATTCGTCAAGCAATGGGACCAAACAGCAGAGTGTTAATTCGTGAGTCAGCTGCTGTTCAAAGTGGTATTCGATTCCAATTCAATGCCTTGGGCTAGATGATTGCGTGCTCTTCCGCACACTCCAAGAGCCTGGCACAGGAGTTAACGAGTTTACCAAGGTACGTCTTAGAGTGCATCATAATGGTGCATTCCTGCATTCATGATTATACTAAAGCGCCCGAACCTATGTTATCGAACTCGGGGCAGGCAGTCACATATCGTACCAACGAGACATGCTGATGTGGTTTTTTTAATGCCAATGAGCGAACTTTGGACGAGTTCAAGGACATTGGGTAAGTTCCTTCTATATTTTGATACATTGACTTGTTATGATTCACAGGGCCGCTGCCGGTTTAGTACTCACTCGGGTTTATGATCTTGTGGCGACGATGGTCATGGAATTCCGAATCGCTCAGGACTAATGCCAAGAACAATTATGTGGTATATATTCTGTCATTGTACACTTTCCTATGGAAGCCTAGACACTCGTGCTCCTTTATCAGCGTCACACATCCGTAGCAGGCAATAGGACTTCGTACACCGCAAAAAGCGTTCCTGCAAGTCAACTTCATGTCTTCTAGTGCGAGATTTTCTGGTTTTTGCGAGCGATATTCACGATCGGTATGATGTGCTGTGGTGGCGATGTAGACCGTTCTCGATCTTTGTTCTAGGCCCAGCACGCGACGGTATGATGTTCAGGCGTTTCCCTTCCTGGAGCCAAAAGCAGGGTTCCTGTCTCTTGCCAGTGAAGAACTCCGGTTTTACATTCTAGGCTTCCATTCTTGCCGAGATATTCTTCAGTGTACATCTGTGGGTCGTAATTTTGTTATTGGCGAGATTTTTGCGCTTGTCTTAAAATTTTCCTGATACAACATGATTCTTACATTCTTTTTACAATTCATTTACTGGCGCTCAAGGTAAGTGACACGGCACTTATGTAGTAATAGACGATTTACGACCGTTCGAACGTTCCTGACGGAAGCAGGCAAACATGATTGTCAAAGATGGGAGTGGGCGGGTATAGTAATAGATACGCTTAAGGCACAAAACAGATAAGACGAATTAATGCTCCTATCTGTCATCATATATTTACCTCTGTTGAATTGTGAAGCTACTGACTATGTAAGCAAACCTACCGTCTTAACTTACCATCTTTACGTGTTGCTATCTGATTTTTTTTTTTCACCCACACACCTCCGTCCTATCAACTGTGTGATTTGGTCTAATCTATTCGTCACCGAGTTTGTGTACGAAAGTTTTATCATAACGCGCTCCAAAGGTCTATTCTTTTTTTTCTTCCGATCCAGAATCTTTCATCTCCTCTACGAATCGTTTCTGGTTCGTTTAGATCCACGTATCCTATCTAGACACGGCGTAAATAAGTCAGTATCTGTCTTTCCTCTCCTTATTTCGAACGCTAAAATACTATTACAATGGTCTTAAACATTGTAGATAGCATCAGACTTAGGCACACAAGCCCTAGCCTCGAGCCGAAACAACGATCATAAGTAAGTACTTACTGGAACAGTCATCAAGGTGCAAGGTGTGGCCGGCAACGGCGGCCCGTAGTATGATCTGCACAGCGCCGTAAGCTCACCGCAAGCATCAAATTTCTTTCTGACAAGCAAGAAAGCTGGGTCTTTTGCTGATGGACTATTTGGCAATTCTCGTAACAGATAGTGACCTACTGACATACACCCAGCTGAACATTGCTCCTCCTGTTGGGTGTCTCGTCTCCCCCACTTCTTCACATCACATTCAGCAGTTCTTCACAGGTGGTGCTGTTTGCGGACAAGCAGGATACCCACTAACGATCTGGCCGCCGTACTGATGATCGCTAGCATGTTAACCGAGAACGATGAGCTGCACAATATCCAGAAAGCACTTACGCCGTTATACACACAGGTAACTGGTGAGCCGTCCTTATCCTTGCCATTGTAACTGCCGGCCTATCAGTTACTTTGTTCGATGAAGATCAATGTGCAGATGCAACGCACGTGCATATTGTGTGCCAATTGGGCTTGTCTTGGACGGTCTTGATTAGCCTCGCGAGAGCACCGCTGCCAAACAGCTTGACATTGGCTGGGCACGTTGCACATGTATGCGCATTGGCACCAGCGAGGAAGCTGAGCAGCGCGAAGGTGATGAAGCGGGAAGTGAACATGATGGTACTTGTTGCAGGGAATGAGGCAAAGCCATAATAGCAAGGCAGGTGTTTTATAGGCTGAAACTTACAGTGTGGACGTCAACGTATGGTTGGTGAAAATATTTGATGCGGCACAAGATACTAGACCTCAAACACTTGCATATCATCTGACTCCAAATGTCGCTCGAATAACTTCTGATTTCCGACTCCCACGCTAGGGAGGTAGGAGGGTCTTTGTCGGATACGGACGGTCATCTCTCTGATATTCTCTGCAATCGTCTATGCGGTTGTTCCGTGACCATTTACGCGACGGTGATAGTGTAAGGTCCTTCGATCCGCCGGTCGTCACGCAAGTCATGGCTGCGCGACGAGAGTTCAGGCAGAACCTATCCCTTCCAGGCGTCTAGCGATAGGTGGCTCCGCCCAATGATTTATGCAATGTTGGAGTTCATTTGAAAGTAAGTGACGTAGTTCTACTGTACTACAGCTACTTTCGTGTCGATGAACAGGTGTCACTTTGTTCCGCTCAGTGTTTCTATTCATTTGTGGAGCCGGAAAAACAGAATGGTTCCTTCTCATTTTTTGTCATCGGTGCTTTGCACTTTACCGCTCAGCTCCACTCTTTCCATTACACTATAAATATCATGTCAAACCAACGCGCAAGTATGCCTTAGGGAAGGACCGCCGTTAAGATTTTCCGTGTCCAATTCTAAAGAACAACCACAAGTACAACACACGGACTACTACAGGACTACTACTAGGGTACTTGAAGGGCCGAGCTTCCCCTTCAATAATATTAATCATCGCAATTTCAACAGCTGGGGAACATATGTTCCAGGTGAAAAGTATGTCACGTGACCCGAAAATGAAGGCCTTTGATTTCACCAGGACCTTCAGTAGAGAAGCGACTATCTTCATCCGTCCAAAGCCTTAGGGCGATGTCTCCTCTGTGGTAGATATTGGGTCTGGCATTGGAGCAATGACCATTCCCCTGGCGAAAATGTTCCCTCGTCTTGGGATAACTAATCAGGATCTCCCGGAAATTATGGTGCAGGCTCACAACGTGAGTTCGGACATCCGGTCAACATAATCATTCTAGCAAGTATTTGATCAGGCATGGGAAAAGAAAGCTCCTGAGGCACTGCTCGATGGGCGCGTGGCATTCGTGGCCTTCAACTTCTTCGAGGATTCACCTGGATGTTTACTATGTAAGAGCCTAAGTCCGTTCCTGATTATCGCGGGCAGCCGAGTATTAATTCGTGAGTCAGCTGCCGTTCAAAGTGGCATTTGATATCAAATTCAATGCCTTTGGCTAGATGATTGTGTGCTCTTCCGCACATTCCAAGAGCCTGGCGTAGGAGCCAGCGAGTTTACCAAGGTACGTTTTAGAGTATATCATGATGGTGTTTTTCTGCATTCATGATTATAAGGCGCCCGAACCTGTGTTATCGAACCCCTGGGGCAGGCACTGGTCACACTGCATACTAACTTGAAGATATGCTCATGTGGCTTCTTTTAAATTCCAAGGAGCGAACGTTGGACAAGTTGAAGGTCATTGGACAATTTTCTTCCTATTCCTTGATACATTGGTGAAGATTGACTTGTTATAATTCACAGGGCCGCTGCTAGGTCTAGCACTCACCCAGGTGTATGATCTTGTAGGGACGATGTTAATGGAGTTCCGCATTGCTTAGGACTGATGCCTAGGACAAACATGTGGTATATATTCTGTCGTTACACACTTACCTTCCCAATTGATCGCGCCATGATTCAATGAAGACGATGACAACCACAGTCACAAAGCAAGTTGAAACCCAAAGTGGTCAAACAGAGCATAGCAGCTTTTGCGCATCAAACCAATATCGAGTCATAGCAGGAGCCTCTACGCCAACTCTCACCCCGAAAGCATTTGAAAAGACAGACAATTCACAAATTACCAGGCCGCTGTCGAGCTCGAGTGGATGGGCAATGAAAATCAAGGACACCACCCGTGCACTGTTCAGCATGTGCGTCGATAGAGAAGGTCCTCAAGGCAGACTGTCCAATATTGATAATTCAAGCCCTCATGCCACTGTAGCGTGCCACATGAGAACGACTACGTGACATTGTGCTTAGGCTACTATAAGCCTGCTTGGGACATATCATATTCGGGCGACTGAAGCGGGCAAAGTCTTCCGCGAGGCTGGAAAGTTCAAGATGCATGCAAAGAATGAAGGAAAGGTTGATGCTCGAGATGTCTTCCGCTGAAGAAGGTATAATTTGGTCACCTCGCCTGGTGCCCATGAAGTCTGCGAACTGATAATTACACAAATCGGGTTGTCTGCGCCAGGGTAGGCTGTAACCTCGTCCAGTGGTAAGTCTAGCAATTATCGTCAAGGAATAATGTCAATAATATAAATCATGATCTACAAGTCCTCACCGCCCTCCCTCTCCGCAAGCTTCTTCTCATACCTATTGAGAAGTAACCTTTCCACCCAACCCCCTTCCGGGAACGTCTTCTCCCATTGGTTATGCAAATGCACAGCAAACTACGTTCTCAAGTGCATCATCTAGCTTTCCGCCCTCCTGCAGCCCGCCCTGTCTATTACTCCACCACCGCGCCTCCTTACCATGGTCCTCAACAAACGGATCAGGTAGCCTGTTATCCAATCTGCAGGATCGGGCATCCGAGAAACAAAATGGAAGGACTTTGAAAGGCGGGATATGAGCACCCAGAAGACGGCGCCAGAGCTTGAGGTAAAGTAGTGCGCCCCAGTCTGTAGAACCAGCACGAGGAGGTGCCGAAGTCGCCATGATGTGGAATGCTTCACAAAGATATGGAGAAGTGCTTATGGAAGTGCATCAGGGCGCCATTTAATGGCTGATAAACCTTGTCTGCGATGATTGAGTAGTGCTCATGGGCTTGCGTCACAAGTGCTTACCGTAGCAATCCCACTGAGTGACGAACTCATGCTCGAGTAGAGGAGAAAGGTCTCGCGTCAATAGTGAATCCATGTCAATCCAGACGCCCCCATAATTCCATATGACCAACAATCTGACGAGATCACCGTCCGTCCACGCTTTCTTGTCATTTGACTTCAGCAACGGACTCCCGTCCAACGCAGTCCCACTCGCAAGATTCGGGATATCCACCACACGCATCTCGAACGAATTCGGATGCATGTCGGCGTACAATGCGAGTATAGGATTCGTCGACAGGTCCCCGTTCGACCACATTACGAGTCTCGAGGCCGCATGATCCTGTGTCGCAAAAAAGGATTTGAGCATCCATTCCTGCCGCTCTGAGAAAGGCGCAAGGTCGACGCGCCAGTACGTATGGTACTGTGTCCTCTCATCCGGAGCTAAGTAAGGCCTGTTGACCCCCGTGCCATTAATCGATCGCGGAATTGTCGCAGCAAACTCATAACAATCCATCCCAAGTCTCATCCCCATCCCAGCATGTACCTCCACTTCCTTCGGTCCTTCCAAATGCCTAGAGACATCATATTCTGCACTGATCCTTCCTGCCTCAAAACACCCAGCCAGCGGTTCTACGGGTTCGATCTCGCGGTTTATCCACTCGCGCGGGTAGAAGGTGATTTCGATGTGCGGCTCGTAGGTGAATAATATATATATTATGGCGATTATGGAAAGTACGAGAGCGAGTTTCAAGAGCTTGAAGAGTGTCCACGGACGGGCGAGTATAGGGGTACCAAGTGTGCGTGAACGAGAACGGGAACGAGAACGGGAACGAGAACGGGGGCGCGGAGACCCTGATTCGGGCATTGTATGCATAGGCAGGCGTTCGTAGCCTGTTCGTGACATGGTGTATAGTGTGTATTTGCAGGTGAACCTGCTGGGGTATATCTACTTGCTGCAACATTAAAACATCGCCCACAGATTGTGTGAAGTGAATTACCAGTGAAATTTACCACCGTATCTTGATCATGCGATACGCTAGTCGTGCACAATATCAATATCGCAGTCCCGAGAGTACGTCGACTGTTATTAGAAGGAACGACTGTTTTAAAGTCTATAAAGTCTACTGAGATTCCTAGGAAGACTATTCGGTGTAAAAAATCAAAAACATGTACAACGTCACTATTATGATTGTTTGTTTGCACTTACGCTATGACAGAGGGGTCAACAGGCTGGGCTGCCCAATATGTATGCATGTAACTAATACAGTTTATACAATGATGATACGTGTGCGATAGCAACATTAATGCAATAAAGATAGAGTGATGAATAACCATGTTCAGATACTTATTTAATCCACAACAACGAAAAGGAGACAGTATTCCAATACAGAAGGGGAACCGAACGAAGTCTAGTGGGTTGCTCGTTGTATACTTTAGAAAACCCGAATTGGAACACAAGCCCTTAAAGCGTCCTGCCGAAAGAGAACAGTGACGTCCAAATAGTACTGAAACCTTTCCGTCAGATGTGAATCGTCTGTTGTCGGAGGAGACTCACCTTAACGCTCAAGCCAGGCCAATCGACTCCTGGTATTATATCCTTTGATAGCCGAAATTTACCCTTATAAAGGCCATCAGGTAGATGCGCCCGACAATTAGGACCGCCGGGGTCATTGGGATGCCGGGGCCGTTTTGGAAACCCAATGGATACTTGTGTTTTTATAGTATGAGTTTCCGAGAAGGAAACTTGTGGTAGCTCAGGGAGTGGTTTGTACTTGACGGCAGCTGCAAAAGGCTTTTCGGAGGTCCTTGGTACACGAACCACTGCAGGTGTAACTGTCTTCGCTACACGCTTTAGAAGCTTGGTCCGTGACGTCAGAAAAGGGCCTGGCGGACTGTCCGAATCATCACTGAGCAGCGTAGTGTCAGGGGGAGTAGGGTCTAGCTGGGGCTTTATGGTAACTTTACGAACTAGGGAAACAGCAATGGTGGCATCGGCGGCGATCTCTCGGGCGAGTGCGGAGGATCGAGGTTTCGTGGTGAATACAACAAAATATGGAACAGAGGTACGCCGAGAAAATGTTTGCGGGGACGGCAGAGTGACCTACGATTTTTTTTATGAGATGAGTGTATATGTGCTACACCTTGTACCCACCGCGCAATGGAACGGAATAGACCGCTCTGGCTTAAGAGGCATTTCAAGCCATAATTCGGGTTGAATAATGGCACAGTCCATAGACTGAAAGTCTGTATCCGGATGAAAAAGAATGGGGACTTCCAGCCTGTAACATGGGTGGTAAGCATCGCTAGGGTGTGGCCATTGATAACGCACATCCCGCTGTTCCCCGACATATCTGAGGCCTCCCATACTGCAGTCATGCGATAGGACACTTCAGCCTTTTCTGCAAATGACAGACCTCCTGGTCCGTTATCGCTCGAAGAACAGAAGGTGGGAGGCATTTCTTCCCCCGGTCGACTGCCCCGGGGAATTTCGAAGGTGAATTCGCATGATCTAGACGCAGGGCTATTCAAATTCGAGGCATTGGGAAGTTGTTTTACCCCAAACGCTTCGCAAACAACAGAAAAGGGGTCGAGAACAGGTGAAATAGGAATAATGGCAGAGGATGATAAGAATATGTGTCGGTGATTCGAAATTTTAGGTCCCTGGGCAAATTCGTCTTCCAAATCCTCCTTTACGGAGGTATATTCAAACACGCCTTCGATCTAGAATATGTTATTGAGTTTATGTGAATGACTCATCTTATTAGACTTACTGATATGGTCAGTCGACCGTTTTGTGAGCAGTTGGAGTCTAGGATAACTTTGCCTTCGACCCTGTTATGATCTCCGAAGACTGGACAAGAGATCGTGCCATCAAGCCCAACCTGTTTCACCATTTTAATAGAGGGACTATAAATTTGCATATCCAGAAGTAACGAGCTGTGCATACCAGCGGTCAGTGGCTGATCGCCTGGTTCACATTGCTGGATTACACTCACCGAAAGCTGGATACGTGTGACTGCGAAGATTGAGGACGACTGTCGAGCCCCGCGGCCTTCACGAAGCTCGATGGGGGTGGCGATGCACCAGAGTCGAGGCGAAGGCGAGGCTTGAGGGGCAACGTCATCCTGCGGCCAATACACAGTAAAGCAGGATGAATGGGAGAGTCGCCGTGAATCACTATAAGGCAGGACGAGCCTCGTTCCTCATATAAGGTTGACCCTCGAACCCTGCCGTACAACGTTTAACTCTGATTGACAGACTCGGAGACGCAGTGTTTAGGAATGGGGAGTTCCAGGGAGACCCACTTGCATAGAAACAAGTTGTTCCCTAGATATGATTTAACGTTTCCCTGTAGCCATGTGAAGAAAAACCAATATTTTCACAAGATCTGCTGATTCGGCTAAAGAGAACGAAGATCATTTTCAGATACTCCCGCGATAGTCTAGTGCAGCACGACAAACCACGAAAGTCGTAACCGACAACGTTAGTTGCTGTGAACTGTCATATGGTATCTAGCCCCTGCCTCTGTGACTTCTACCAACATTGCAGCGATCGTTCTTAGTGATTGGTGGTAGGAACGTTCCTGAAGACTAATATTAATAATTCCTAAAACGAGCGCCCGATGAGCTGGCTGCAGGCACATGCAGCCGCGGCCCCTTTGTCTCCCGTACCCAGGCTCAATAAATTTCTCACAAGCGGGACCTGCGGGGCTTGGAAGGGCCAACCTGCTTTACCGAATAGTCTCTTTCATGTCAGGTTCGAAGATTGTGGTTACTGGTATATATTTCATTTGCATCTAAGAAGCCTCATACTGAAGAACTGTCAGGAGCATCCGGCGTTCTCGGGACCGCAGTTCATAAGGCGTTTGAGAAAGCATTACGATATGAGGTTGTGGGCTTGAAGAATAAGAGCCCCGCTAGCCATCTAGTGCAACTAGATCTCACAGATAAGGAAGCGACGAAGCAGATCTTGGAAGAAATCAAGCCGACTTGTGCGTGCGATTTCAGGGTGGTTTCACCCAGGTCTTTACTGTGATTCATAAGGGGTGATCCATTGCGCTGCTGAGAGACGACCTGACGTTGCCGAGAAGGTATGGATGTTTACAGCGACACGTTGCATTGATCCGTCAATTATGACTTCAGGACCAAGTTGGAACCCAACTCGTTCGTCAATCAGAACATGATTACTAGCCGTGACACATCTGATGGCGCTTATCCAGCTGAACGTTGGAGTGCCGGGGTATCTTGGTGAACTCGCGAAGGCAATCGACTTCACGCTCGTGTATATCTCTACTGGTGAGTAACGTACCACGCCATCAGGAACCCACTACCACTCAGTTATGGATAGATTATGTCTTTGACGGAAGATCGCCTCCCCCTGGCGGGTACACACCAGAGTCACCTACTAACCCACTTCAGATTTATGGACAGACCAAACGGGATGGTGAGAATGCCGTATTGCAAGCTCGGCAGCAGGGTGCCAGGACAGTTGTTTTGAGAGTTCCAGTCTTGCAAGTGACCCTGCGTTGCGTCATGTCCTTCGTTCTGTCTCTGACCTCGCCCGCGCCTAGGTACGGTCCTGCACCTAACAACGCAGACTCGGCTGTCAATATCCTCATTGATGTCGTCCGGGACCAATCAAAGGAGTCTAACATGGATGATTACGCGATCAGATATCCTACGAACGTATTGGACATCGCATCCTTCCTGGTCCGCTTAACGGGTGGGTACATATCTCTGTTGAGAAACCTATTAGCTGAAATATGAGGTTTGGTAGATCTCAGCGTCGATACTCTACCACCCATTCTCCACTACTCGGCACACGAGTCCTTCACAAAGTATCAGATGTGCCAAATCTTTGCCAGCATCCTCGGTTTCAATGACATGAATTATATTAAACCTGTCTCCACTCCTCCAACTGGCGCTGGTGCCACATCACGCCCTTACAACTGCCACCTGTCTACTACTGAAACAGAGAAATTACTTCCCTTAGAATGTTCAGGATTCAAAACGTGGTGGGAGGAATATTTACACGGCGGCAAGTAGAACCCCATATTTGTAGTACTAGTACTGTACAACCATGCACTCCGCGTTCCTCAAATTCGACCGATGATTCATGAACTAGTCACGTTCCGATGAATGTTGCTAACAATCAATCCTCTTTACCCTTCGCGGATCCTTTTTGCTGCTCCTTCCCTATCTCCTTCGTTCTTCCACGTTCTTCCTTCTGAAGGCGTCAATGAGATTCACATTCTTCCACACTATTCTTTTGGCGATGCACTCACCGGCTCCGGCTCAGCAAAGTAAGCTGAAATACTAGATTTGAGCGGCAGATTCATACAGTCGCTGTGAATAATACGCACTCTTTCGTTGCTCCGCATCCAACATTGGCTCTGAGACGCTACCATCGATGCAAGAAACTCCCATGGGCCTATGCGAGTCTGTAAACTCAAGAGGTGGTGATTGTGTGCCTCCGGACGACATTCTGTTTGAATTTATGGCAAATGTATGGTGTGGGCAGATGAGAGTAGGTGGCAACCCCTAAACAATGACATCATCCTCTCGCCATATTTGGCATTTGAATATGACATAGTTTCCTTCACCCTAGAACCTTATCTTTCGCTCGCAGTTTCTGATCCCCCGTCCTTCATATCTACTTCCTCACCATCGCGCGAATCACCTGCCTTGTATGCATACCCAGACACATCGATTTCCTCAAACGTGTCAGCAGCTCCAACCACTGGGAAAACGCGATTCAGTGCCCAATAGACAACTGCAGAAACCCCAAAGCCCGTAAAGAACGACAACTCGTATATCCGGGTAGCTGCGAGGGGGACTATCCGCCCGGCTATAAATCAACAGCTCAGTACCGGTAGTAGTACATCGCGATCGTGAAGCCGACTCACTGGCTCCAGCGAAACCGACAACGTTGATAAGGATTCCGGCAATATACGCGGCGTATGCCCTTGATTGGCATCAGGGTTTTGAACGCTTCAAGCCATTGAGACTCTCACCGGAAGTTGACCCCATATGTATACCAGTACCAACTGCCCTTCTCAGTATTATAAAGATCCTTTACGTTATAGTGACCCTTGCGGACGATATAGTATTCCGTCACCTAGAGCAACCCGTTCAGAAGGGTGAAAAGAATTATCGCAGAATCGCCTACCATCACTCCCGCAATAGAACTCAGGAACACGGAATATGCAGAGAGGTAAGAGGTAAATTCGTTACTGTTCTTCAAAATGTTCCATGGACACATGGCCAGACCGACGGTGGCAGCAATATACCCGCCACGCCGAATGTTCTGCAGTCAGATCTTGAGTATGTGAATATTGTTCATACATTGGAGATGCATACAATGAAACGAGGGCACAGGGCGGTCAAATCACATCCTGCCGATACTGAGTTCGCAGAGATGTTTGTTCTTGGTAACCAGTGTCAGCTCAAGGAACGCTCTGCACATGTTAGTCGACACGCACCCCATCTAGGAGAAGAAGCATCAGAACCGCAACTAACACCGAATAAAACACGCGACGTCACCTGTGCAATCATGAACGACGCCGAGATAAACCATACCTGCCAAAGGGATAACACGTCAGACATACGCCTAACTCCTCGGGCATCACAAACACTCACCCCGAATCTTGTGGCTTTCGACGGATTGTCATTCAAGAAATTTCCCAGAAGATCAATGGGCGACCAGACGGCTGTCCCGTAAATTGCTTGTGATGACGAGCTCACAAGGATGCCGATCAAACACACAAAAGACGCGGTGAGAGGAATCGCAAACAGTTGCGGGTATAGCGCGGCAGATGGGGTGCGTGCTCGCGAGGCAAAGTCCGGTGCATTTGTGACAAGAGTTACCTTGTTACTGATGCATGACATGGAACTAACTACCATGGCCCAGCCCAACTTCGATCCGTGCAGCGTGGAAGGTTGGTGAATGATCGGGCCAATTCCGTGAGCTTTCACGATGCACCATACGAGGAACGTTATTGAGGCTATGGGCATCAGGACAGGCATCACAAGGAAGAATTGGCGGCTAAGAAAGTTCGCTTTATGACCACCTTCGCAAAAAGAGGTGAGTGTACTTACACTTTGTGCACAGGGAACCAAATGACCGGGAGTGAAATGAGCCAGAAGAGGAAGAAGCACAGGTAGTCTCGGGTATCTGTTCCAGAGGATGCGGGCATTGAATTTGCTATTAACCAGCCTCAGCTGGATATAACTATTGAAACACGCAACGTACGCAGGTTATTAATGCTAGGCCACATTGCTCTAAGCATCACGAGCACACAGGAACCGCCGATACTCGCCTGGACACCATACCATATGCTGTGCTAATTAGCTCATGCGTCACTGTGAAGGTAGGAACGCGCACCATGCCATAGCAGCGCGATTAAAAACACACCACAGGCTGCCAAACATTCCAAAGCTCGTGCGGTTCACAATTGGGAACGTCACATGGAAAATGGCACCAGGACGCGCATTCAAGACAATAAACGGCGTGGCAATGCCATAACCCAGCCATACGCATATCCAGGCTTGCCACCATGACATTCCTAGTTGGATCATGGAGCTTGAAGATCTCATTTAATACAGACCAAGCCCATGACATTATAGCGAGCGAGCGTACGATACGATCATCCACATGTTGATATTAAACATGTCTGCTATCCAGAAGGCGACGTAGTTGTATCCACGCCATGTTCGTTTCTCTGGCTCGACAGGCAGCAAATCTTCGTTCTGCGCGACGAGTTATGTTAACAAATGAAAGATTGAATGTGTGGCAAATACTCACGGTGATGAGCTGCTCGGCGAGCGTGAGATTGGGCTCACGGGTGACTTCGAGGCTTTGGATGATCCTATTCAGCAAGCCCATGGTAAGTTCAGCTGGTGAGAGGGTACCATCATCATCTATGACTCGCAGTTCTTTAACTACCTCCCTTCCGTGCTTATCTCTCCAGTTTGTCAAGGAATTCCCGCCATCACTTTTACATGGAGTGCAAGTGGTAGATGAAAAATAGATGTGGAACTTGTGATCAGTGCCTATCGCTGAGCCTAGTCTTTGAGAGTCGCGAGCGTGATCGAAGGTCAAGTGGCACGTGCCTACTTTTGGCCCAAAATAGAAGCTGAACAAGAACACATCTTGACTTCATCTCTTGCGGTCTCGGAGTGCAAGTGAAACGAGACATAAAACTGATTCTTCGGTAATCTCTTGAACATAAATTAATGCGAAATGCGAACACAGATGGCCTTGAGAGATCCAACATGACGGGAGCATAAACCAAAACGAGGGAAACAGACCGCTTCGAAGCATAGCAAGCGAGATATACTAAACTGAAGGCGACGGAGATGTGAAGGTAATTAAATGCTGGGTAGATCTGCTTGCGTTCTGGCGTGGAGAATTCGGTATTGGAAGCTGTCCTTTATCAACTAGTCGCGTTCCGATCATTGTTGCTAACAATTAACCCCTAGGCCTGTCTCCGCTGTTCCTTCACGTTCCTCCTGCTGAAGGAACCGATCAAAATTCATATACTTCTCTGCTGCTCATTCGGTTGTATGTACGCTCACCAGTTCCGGCTCAGCGAAGTCCATCTGAGATACTCAAGTTCGAGCCTCGATACAAAGACAATCAGTGTGAACGATACGGACTCTTGTTGTTCCACATCCAAGATTGGCTCTGGGACACTACCATACATGCAAGAAACTCCCATAGGCCTATGCGAGTCTGTATATTCAAGAGGTGGTGATTGTTGTGCCTCCGGACGACAATCTGTTAAGTACTAGCCCCTGTGCTAAGAAACCATATGACATTTGGTGAAATCCACATTTGCTCCAAGCTTCCTCTTTATATTTCGCTCGCGATTTCAGATCCTCCGTCCTTCATATCTATGTGTCCCCCCTCAACGTCCCGCAAACCACTCGACTTATGTTCATACTCAGACACGTCGATTTCCTCGAACGTGTCAGCGGCGCCAACTACTGGGAAAACACGATTCAGCGCCCAATAGACAATTGCAGAAACCCCGAAGCCCGTAAAGAAAGATAGCTCGTATATTCGGGTAGCTGCCAGGGGAACTATCCGCCCAGCTGGAACACAACAGCTCAACATCGGTACATCGTGATCGTGGAGTTAACTCACTCGCTCCAGCGAAACCGACAGCGTTGATAAGGATTCCAGAAATATACGCGGCATATGCCCTTGGATTGCTCTTGTCAGGGTCTTGAACGCTCCAAGCCTACTGAGACTCTCACCGGAAGTTGACCCCATATGTATACCAGTACCAACTGCCCTTCTCGGTATTATAAAGATCCTTTACGTTATAGTGACCCTTGCGGACGATATAGTATTCCGTCACCTACAGCAACCCGTTCAGAATGCTCAAAAGAATTATCGCAGAATCGCCTACCATTACCCCAGCAATGGAGCTCAGGAACACGGAATATGCAGAAAGGTAAGAGGTAAACTCATTACTACTCTTCAGAACGTTCCACGGACACATGGCCAGACCGACGGTGGCAGCAATATACCCGCCACGTCGAATGTTCTGTAGTCAGATTTTAAGTATGTGAGTACTGTTCATACATTGGAGATGCATACAATGAAACGAGGGCACAGGGCGGTCAAATCGCATCCTGCCGATACTGAGTTCGCAGAGACGTTTGTCCTTGGTAACCAATGTCAGCTTAAGGAGCGCTCTGGACGTGTTAGTCGATACACACCCCATCTGGGAGAAGAAGCATCAGAATCACAACCAACATCGAATAAAACACGCGACGTCACCTGCGAGATCATGAATGACGCGGAGATAAACCATACCTGCCAAAGGGAAGACGTGATACCGCGTCAGACATGTGTCCCAGTCCTAGGGCATCCCATTCACTCACCCCGAATCTTGTGGCTTTCGACGGATTGTCATTCAAGAAATTTCCCAACAGATTAATGGGCGACCAGATGGCTTTCCCGTAAATTGCCTGTGACGACGAACTCACAAGAATACCAATCAAGCACACAAACGACGCGGTGAGAGGACTCGCAAATAGTTGCGGGTATAGCGCGGCAGATGGGGTGCGTGCTCGCGAGGCAAAGTCCGGTGCATTTGTGACAAGTGTCACCTTGTTACTGATGCATGACATGGTACTGACCACCATGGCCCAGCCTAGTTTCGATCCGTGCAGCGTGGAAGGTTGGTGAATGATCGGGCCAATTCCGTGAGCTTTCACGATGCACCATACCAGGAATGTGATTGAGGCTATGGGCATCAGGACAGGCGTCACAAGGAAGAAGTGGCGGCTGAGGAAGGTCGCTTTATGACCACCTTCGCCAGAAGATGCGAGTGTACTTACACCTTGTGCACAGGGAACCAAATGACCGGGAGTGAAATGAGCCAAAAGAGGAAGAAGCACAGGTAGTCTCGAGTGTCCGTTCCTGAGGATGCAGGCATTGAATTGGCTATTACCCAACCTCAACTGGATACATACACACAGGACACGAGAAATGCAACGCACGCAGGTCATTGATGCTAGGCCACATGGCTCTGAGCATCACGAGCACACAGGAACCGCCGATGCTCGCCTGGACACCATACCATATGCTGTGATGCTTAGCTCAGGCGTCACTGTGAAGGCAGGAACGCGCACCATGCCATAGCAGCGCGATTAAAGACACACCACAGGCTGCCAAACATCCCAAAGCTGGCGCGGTTCACGATTGGGAACGTCACATGGAAAACGGCACCGGGACGCGCATTCAGGACAAGGAACGGCGTGGCGATGCCCTGACCCAGCCATACGCATATCCAGGCTTGCCACCATGACATTCCTAGTTGGATCATGGAGCTTGAAGATCTCATTTAATACATACCAAGCCCATGATATTATAGCGAGCGTACGATACGATCATCCACATGTTGATATTAAACATGTCTGCTATCCAGAAGGCGACGTAGTTGTATCCACGCCATGTTCGTTTCTCTGGCTCGACAGGCAGCATATCTTCGTTCTATGGAACGTGTTATGTTCACAAATGGGAGATTGAATCCGTAGTGGATACTCACGGTGATGAGCTGCTCGGCGAGCGTGAGATTGGGCTCATGAGTGACTTCGAGGCTTTGCATGATCCTATTGACTAAGTCCATGGCAACTTCAACTGCTGGGAGGGCGCTACCATTGTCCACGACTTGCAGTTCTTTAATTGTCCCTCTTCCATGCTTATCGCTCAAGTTTGTCAAAGAATTCCCGCCGATGAAAAATAGATGTGGGGCTCATGATGTGCCTATCGCTGAGCCAAGACTATAGTCAAGGTGTCGCTGTCAAGTGTAAGCACGTATGGAACGCCCGGACAACCGTACCCAGGTTTCGTCACGTGCATCGCATCAAAGACACCGGACACCTTGTTTCTGTGTGCTGGGATTATAGTTGCGGTGCGGCCTTCTGGTAGTTCTATAACTAGTGTCCCCTGGCCAGCCCAAGCAAAGGAAGATAATCGTTGCTTCACATTAAGACCGGTAGCGTTGTTAGCAGAACTGGTTTGCGCCAGAACTCAGGTGCAGGGGGTGGCAGAACCTGGTTGCGGCTAAGAGCTCCTGACTTGTGCAGATAACAAGTACTTATGTCTAAACACACACGCAACGAGTTTAGTAGCCAGTTTCCGCAAAACACATGGCCTGGAGGATTACCAAGTTAGCAAAGCAGGCAGTGTGAATGAAATAATTCTTTAATGACGAAAGACTCGGAGGCGAACATGATCGACATTTTGATGGTTGGGTTCCGGTGGTACACTCAGAGTGTACGGCCTTGTATACCTCGTCAGCCTGACATTGTTCTCGTTCAGTGCGTCTTCGACTCCTCGTGTGACCGCGATTGATATATAGATTAACGCGTGACGTGAGATGACGCGTTATTTACGAGTGTTTGTGTGATGTTCGACTAGAGGCCTGAGCTCGGCATGCAGAGTTGTTGCTCATTAGATCAGTAGCTCTACGACTGGCGACCAAGGAACTTGGTCCAAAAAAAGCTTATCTAGAACTCCTCTTGACGACTCGGAGTGGGAGACATAGAAAATGCTTTGGCGATCTCTTGAAGTGAAGATAGATTGATGTGAAATGCGTAATACACAGATGCTTGAGGAGTCCAACAATGGAGATACGCTGGGAGCACAAAGCAACGAGCAAACCAAAGCGAGTGAACCAGACCGAAGCATAGCAAGCGAGATATAACCCATAGGTAAAGATGTCGGTGATGATAGAATGCATAAATAGAAGGAAAATGCTATACACAAGAAGGAAAGGCAGGCAGCCGCTGGGATTGAAGGCCACTGATGAGTTATGCGAAGATGAGGTTGAGGTAAGATTTGATAGTAAATTGTGCATGTGCATGTGTCACTATTGTGGTAGCTCAAAAGGCTCACGACGGGTATTATTCCGAGTGGGAAGGGGTGGTCTCGCTCGTGGGGGATGACTGAGCTGCCCTAAAACGTCTCGATGAAGGCGAGGGAGATGAAAAGGTAAATGCTGAGTAGATCTGTTTGCGTTCTGGCGTGGAGAATTCGGTATTAGAAGCTATCCTCGGAGCAAGTGGAGTAGCTTCCGCTTGCTCGGATGGTAAGGACGCGTGCGATAATGCGGGAGAGGAATAGTCGCGGATTTCAGGTTCAGCAGACTGTTCCTGAAGCCAGTGTCAATCGACGTTAAAAAAATACAGAGAAGGGATATACCAACCTTTTCAAATACAGACTCTTGATCCGAGGCTTCTGTAGCAGTATCATACGCTTCGGAGACGTCTGCCAATGGCGAGACGGTAAGCTCATAGCACCTCGAGTCTATCTTGGCCTGGGATATAGTAAGACGAGTGGGGATTCGCTGAATTGGAGTCGCAGTCGAAATTTCCTGTTCCTCATCAACCCTCGGCAAAGGCGAAGCTTTGCGCGCAGAGCGTGACTCTCTAGCGATTTTTTTGCGCCCATCACTTCTCTTTCCATTGCCACTGGTAGATTTTCGCAATTTCTTCGGCTCAGACTTGACGTCTTTCTGTTTCTTAGAAGATGTCGGAGGAGCTACAACTTTCGTCACTAGAACTGCTGTCTTGCGCTTTTTGGATGCATTAGTTAAGGTTTGGGCCGCGCGTTCGCCTGTAAGCGGATGAAGGTTCTCCTTTTCGATAGCGGCAAGGGTGGATAATAATGTGGCTGAAACATCTGCAGCTGTGGGCATCACCAGACTTTTATCGCTACCATGACTGATCTTCTGAATCTCGGTTGGAATGTCCTGGAAGACGGTAAAAGAGCGAACGGACATTGAGATTTGAATGAGCAATGAGGCAAAGAGAAGGCGGTGAATTGGGCAATGGAAAAAAGAGCGCTAGTGAGGCAGGTTGGGCAGTGTAGGCTGGGGGGTCGCTTGATGCGCGTGGTCGTTGAATGTGACGAGCAACGTTAACCGCAGATGCGTGTTCGCTAAACTCTTTAAAATGGACGCGTGTTTATTAGAACTCCGCTGTTCCGACGTGCCACAACGCGTCGTGCTCACGTGCTTTGAGTCTTCGTGGTTTAGACTCCACGCGATGTCCGTGTGGTGTACTACAACTGGCTACATTTCAACCCTCGATGTCGTATCTGCCATGAATCGCAACGTTTCCAACGTTTGGACACCGTTTCGTTAAAACGCAGCAGTTTGTCGTGCTGTAGCCGCAGCTAAACTGCCTTCTGTGCCAATCGTTCCCATTCACATGAATTATGTAAGTCGAATCTGGTAATGATCGTCTCCCGGTGTTCAACGAATCGGTTCAGAATGGTTGTGTCATAACCCATCATTCGGGTATTGGTCAGCTGTTATCCATTTTGCAATTCCTAGCCCTTGTCTATGATATGGTATCGTACTTTCTACATCCGCGGCGGCCCCCCCGCCCTGTTGCGCCGAGGACACGGCTGTGGAACATGGATGGCACGGTGCGGTTCTCATAGAACCGCCTTTGACAAAGTTGTGTATGTCACTGATCTTTCGAAGGGCTTCTTTCCAAAGTGGGAGGTGAAATCGATCAAATATTGACCAAAGAACCGTACAGCACTTACAGATATTCAATGCTGACAAGATAGAAATTATGGGGGACAGAGGGGACCGCCGCGTCGGATTCCTAAGCAGGTAACTCCTCTTGTGAAAGCGGTGCTGTAATCGATCACTTTCGCTCTCGATGCGGTAATGGGTGTTCGCATCGCCTGCGCTGTTTCCATTTAGGGGTACCCGAGACATACGCAAAATGAAATGAGCTGCCAATAGTATGCCGCTCGGATTATGACAGAACCGTAGAAAAGCCAAGCGCGTCACTATCGCAAGGGGGATCTAAACGTTGCGCCCCCTTCGTCTATCACGGACACCATACCAGGCGCGGCCTCATGCTGAACACGCCGCAAACAGACGTCAGCCATTTAAACTGCCGCTCATACACCATTACTCTTTGCCTCTCCCGTTTACCTCTCCCCGTAACGTCCCTAGCACCCGGCCCTTCCCTTCAAGTCCATTAGGACGTTCCCCCTCCCCACCGCTATCCCTCTGTCGTAGAAGTTACTTCGGCCAGGATGCCATCCAAGCAGTCTGCGTCTGCGAACACTCCTCCTCCCCCCGCTCTCGGCACTCTCATCGACAACAATACCCTAGAGCTCGTAGAAGTGTTGGGCGTCGGCGGGTATGGGGTTGTCTATCGCGCCGTTGACACCCGTGATCCCCTTCTCACTTCCTACGCCGTCAAGTGCCTCATAAGCTCCCACATTCACCACAGCACGCGGCAGCGTCAGCTTCACATACGTGAGATAGCTCTGCATCGCCTCGCTTCAGCGCATCCGAATGTGGTCACTCTTCATAGGGTGGTCGAGGAGGGCAACTACACCTACATCATCATGGATTACGCGAGTGACGGCGACCTTTTCTCCCAGATATTGCATAATTGCCGCTACCTGGGTCATGACCACCTTATCAAGCACATATTTCTACAGCTCCTTGACGCTGTCGAGTACTGCCATTCACTTGGCATATACCACCGCGACCTTAAGCCAGAGAATGTCCTGTGCTTTGACGGCGGCATGCGAGTCGCCATCACCGATTTTGGCCTTGCTACAACTGATAGGTTTAGCGAGGAATTCAGAACGGGTAGCGTATATCACATGAGTCCAGGTAAATTTTTCTTGTTTCAACCGCGACGTATACCGACCTTTATTTTAGAATGTCAAGGAGGGGAATTCGCTCCGACAGGCTCGTATTCACCCCTATTCAATGACATTTGGTCGTTGGCAATAATCCTCCTCAACCTCGCCACCGGTCGAAATCCGTGGAAGTCGGCGTCATCATCAGACCCCACGTTTCAAGCGTATTTGCAGGACCCGGCTAATTTTTTGCCAACCGTCTTACCTATTTCGCCCGAGGTGAACGAGATTCTGTGCCGCATGTTGGAAGTGGATTGGAGGCACCGCCTCACTCTTGCAGAGGTTCGCGTGGCGATTCAGGACGTGGAACACTTCTACGCAGAGGGTGTTATATTTGAGGGCAGCATGGCCCGTTGTGCCTGGGAGGTCGATGTCGACCTTGAGAGCGACAGCGACTCCTCTAACCATGAGGAACTTGTCGAGGCTCAAGATGAGCTCAAGTCCTTTTGGAGCAAAGATTCGGATGCGGAGATGGACTTTACGAGGCATTCTGTACACAATCCGGCTTGGGAGCAGTACTCGTCGTGCAACGCAACCTGGGCCATCGAATCGTCTATTCGGTCGCCATCGCCGTCTTTGATCGAGCCACTCAAAATATACGAGTCCCCTCGTACTCCACCTTCGACATACTCGCCCCAATCTCCTGTTTCCAGCTCATTACCCTCCGTTCCCGCCACTCCTGAGGGTGTCACGGTGATGCGCAGCAGGCCCACGCCGATTCCCTCCAAAGGTCTTAAGATCAACACAGTGTGCGGGCGTCGTATATTCTTCACTGGTAGCAGTGAAACACGTTCTACCTTTTCCTCTATGCACACTGCTGTCGAAAGCTCAACACCGTTCTCTTCCTGTTTTTACCTTCCAACTCCCCCCTCCGTTTCGAAACTGTCTTTGCCTTGGACAAATTCTGGAATGCCTTCTTCAGTTGACCTCGGTGCTTATTCTACTCCTGAAAGCCAACGGATGGACTCCACATGGGATTACACAGAAACAGACTATTCCCCATCATCATACCCCTCCACGTCGTCCTCGAGCGTTGTGGGTCTCGACCTCGATCTTTCTCCCACGTGTCACGTTGCCGAGGACACTACACTGGCCACCTGGCGGCGTGACCAAGTTACGCCTGGTATGAATCACTTTGTGCCCGCCGTAGTCATGAATGCCTTTCGTTCCGTTGACGCCCCCCTTCCGACTCCTCCTCCTTCAGCCCCAATCCCGATCCCACGTTCTACTGCCAGTGAGGAGAAGAGATGGTCCTCAAGCCTGTGGAGGTTCTCATTCCCCCGCTCGTCGTCGCCGCCACACCAAATGGAAGAACGGCCGCGTTCGCGCAGGGGGTCTTTCACAGATTCGTTTCCCTTCTCCACGTTCTTTTCTTCGAGTCCCACTTGGGGACGTCGGTCGCCGTCACCTAACATGCCGGAGCCGCCACCACCTGTTGTAACCGCTACACACGAGCAATGCCGGCAGCAGGCCCCACGGCCTCGTCAAAAACGCCACTGGTTTTCACCAGGAAAACTGTTCGCTACAGCTGGTGGCTTATAGCCTTGTTCTCATTCACTCATTCATCATTCTTCCGACCTACTCACGATTTCTTATGCCATGACATTAGCATTTTCGGCGCCATCTTACAACACCTTTCGATTTCTCTTTTTCTTTGATTTACTGTTGTGCAACCATCCAGGCATTATGTATGAGTACCTGGCGTACAAGAAAATCTTATGTATCGATATGCGGCTGTAAATTTCATGCAATTCACGCACGCATGCAGTGTCCTTCATCCATTTGCCCTTGGCTCTTTGAACCTGTTAATGGCAATATTATTAGTATGATCTCTTCAGCGACGTATTCTAGAAGGATGGAATAAGGTTACCTTTCATTCGAAAATGGTAAAATAACAATGCAGCGGGTTTCAGTTTGTCTTACTCACCAAGCACAGAATTTAATTTCGGACGTCAGCTCAAGGGGGTCTTCCTGAACTTACCACTAACCTTCGCCTCGGGTTTCGATCATAGCTGGGCGCTGCAGGAACGTCGAGTAAGAGAACGTACTGAGCCAATCAATTTATTCCGCGGGAAATAATGCCACAAAGCAGGGACGCCAAAACACGGGAATGAAGCTAACGGCACCCCAAATCAGTACGTCCTAAGATCCACGAGCTTCCGCCCACGATCGCGTTCTACAGCACTCTTGTTACGCAGTCCAGATCCCTTATCGAGCTTCTTGGCCTTCCCTCCAAAGCCATCACCCATAGACAACGGCGCGTTCCCAGCCTGCAGCACCCTGAATAGAGCCTTGATGACGTTGAGTGGATTACGGCTGCCCCATACTTTTGCACTGGCATCCTTGATGCCTGCTGCTTTGAGCACCTGGTGCACGTTTGGATTACAGCGCAATCCGAAACCAACAGGACGCGGTCGTAGGATAATATGCGTGGAGCCGAGTTTAGTTTCCATGTCCGTCCACACCGTACGCTTCTCGAAGCGCTCAACGTAGTCCATATTGCGGACGGCAGCAGCGAATGCCTTGTCGGATGCTCTCGGCAGTTCTTCGTCCTTGCCCTCTCCATACCCCACTAGCCCATCTCCATTCCCCACAACAACAAGCGCATATTGTCGGTGTATTTTTCCCTTCCCCGTCTGTTGCGTGATGCGCCGCGAAATGAGCTGAAATTTGTAAAGCTTATCGAGAGCTGCCCGGCTAAGAGGGAGGTGTGCAAGCGGAGAGACTTCGCCTTCTTCATCAGCGTCTTCTTCTTCTTCGGCACCATTCTCTGACTTCTCTGCACCGCCTGTTTCTAGCACCTGATTAACACGTTGTTCATAGACGCTGCGGATTATGACGCGGTTCGCGTGCGGTGTGCGTTTGGTAGCAGGGAATTCCATGGCTAAAAGGTCGTCATGAAGAGGATCTGGTTTCATGACGTCTGGAAAGGCATGATTGATCCCTTCCTCCTCAATAGCCTCTACCTCTTGTGTATGTGATTCTGGCAATGCATTGAGCGGCGAAGAATTTGAAGGTGAACCGGCCGACGAGGGATCGGTGGATACCTGTCTCAAGGATGAAGGCAACGGTCTACACAGAAATATGCGGCACGAATGAGTTGGAGGCCGTCGAAATGCGGAGGAGACGCTGGCTCTTGCAAGTCTGTGCATTTGCTTTGAACGCGTTGAGGCAGAAATTTCATTTCGAAGGCGTTCAAAGCATTTGTCGTTGTTTGGTTTGTGCCAATTTAGGTCGAACATGCGCGTTTGATATTCATTGATGTGATTGACCACGACGGTGATGGAGGAACACAACTCTCTAGCTGCAGATTTAAGTGGGACGGACCTTTCAAACTTGTTCCCGCTGATCGACAGAGAGAAGTAAGCATTTATTGACTTATCGCAGCGTACTTTTTCGCGACGATGTCTGATTTTGACGAAATACTATTATCAAGCGTACATGGGCTCAACTTGGCAATACCAGAGCAGGCTAAAGCAGTCATCAAACCGTGGAGTGAGCGTGAGGATACCACTGTATATGCAGACTCCGGTGTAGATGATCAAGTGAGCTGTGTATCTGATAAAAGATCCACTTTGACCAATAACTTGCTGCAGATGATCATACATGTGCCCTTCGCACAGAACGTGCGCGTTAAGTCTATTATACTCAAATTAGGTGATTGGTACTCTTATGAATTTGATGTCAGCATTAGATTGCCATCATACGTACAGGCAGAGGTGAATTTACACCCCGCCACCTCCGGGTGTATGCGAATTACCCCAACATCATCGATTTCAGCGACGCTGAAAACACAAACCCGCATTTAAACATCAGTCTCTTGGAGGGCGAGACTGCAGTGGTTGAATACCCTTTGAAGGTTGCAGCATTTTCCAGTGTTCATTCCTTGAGCTTGTACTTCGTAAGTCATGTCCACCCTCATCAGACCCTCATGGTCAAAAATCGATGAACTGAATATGTTTTAGGGCGATTCAGTTGGTGGAGAGCTTTCTCGCATCTACTACCTGGGATTCAAGGGAGATGTGCGGACTCTACGGAAAGAGGGAACAAATAAGTTAGAGGTACCTGCTGCTGATGCGGCTGATGCACCCCTTGTAGATCGCCTTGCACAGAAGACAGGAGGGCAACAGACTACTGCCCGGTGATGTAATTTCCCTGCCTTGGATTTGTATGATCCACGTTTCATGACTGACCGTGACTGACCCCGAGTTTGTGGCCACCAGTCAACCGATATCCTTGACGCATGCGGGGCCATGAAGTTGCACTGTACAGCCTTGCATTGGCTTGCGAAATCCTTGGTTACCACATTCAAAGTGTGAACACACCAGGCTGTGATGGGCTGTGATAGGCTGTGATGATTCAGATATGATGAAAGAACCTGCCTTCCTGAGTTTGAATTCACTTTTCCCTCAATCTTATACCATGCCTCGTCAAACCGTCAAGCGGCAGCGAGCCGCAGATGAAGACAGGTTCTTTGCTGACATCATTGTCGAGGTTGCAAGCCAACCACAGGATGATGATGATTGGTCCGAGGACTCCGACCGTGATTCGGAAGTTCGAGATGGTTTCAGTGAACCACTTACCTCGACCGTAGTGGCGGGACACAGCCCCCTCGCCACAAATATCAGCGGGGAAAAGTCGCCGTTAAACCTGTACCCGTTGATTGACAGAGAGAAGTAAGCATTCATTTACATTCCCTCATCGCAGTTTAAAAGACATCTGATTTTGGGTAAATATCAAGTGTACATGGGCTCAACCTGGTAATACCACAGCTGGCGAAAGCGATTATTAAGCCATGGAGTGAACATGAGGATACCACTATATATGCAGAATCCGACGCAGATGATCATGTGAGCCGCATCCTCTCAGGAGAGATTCAGTTCGATCAATGACGTTCTGGAGATGTTCATATATGTATCCTTCGCACAGAACGTGCGCGTCAAGTCTATTCTACTCAAGTTAGGTGATTAAACGCTTCTTTAAACTTGATGTATGGATTGCTACATGGCCATCATACGTACAGGCAGAGGTAATGCTACACCGCGCCAACTCAGGGTGTACGCGAATTACCCAAACATCATCGGCATCAGCGACGCTGAAAATACAAAGCCCAATTTCTGCATCAGTCTCATAGATCCGGGCGAGACTCATGAAGTGGTTGAGTATCCTGTGAAAGCTAGAGCATTTACCAATGTTCACTCATTGAGCCTACACTTCGTAAGTCACTTATGTTATTTTCCCCATGACGAAGATAAGTAAACTGAATAACTTAAAAGCGCGAGTCAGTTGGAATTTCTCGCATTTACTATCTCGGATTCAAAGGAGATGTGCAGATTTCACGGAAAGAGGGAGCAAATAAGCCAGATTCAGAGGTACCTTTTGCAAATGCAGCTGATGCATCCATCACGGATCGTCTTGCGTAGGAATAGCAGGGGCACAAACCAGATGTACTTTTACCTACCACTGGCCATATTTCCACGACCTTACATATATCAGGGGTTAATTTTCCGTTTTCATCAAAATAGATTACCTCAGCAACGCTTTGTTGAAGATGTCGGAAACCACAAGGTTTGAGGCAGCTTAGGCGTGTTCATTACAAAGTGGCATGGACATCGTGAGTACCCTCAAGTGCGATCCGTAGCCTTGCTTGACTTCTGTCTTGTACTCCCTCAGGAAGATAGAAATGTGGTCTCGAGCTGGCTCCCGCTTTTCGGAACGGCACACGAATTTCCTTGGACAACCACCAGGTCTGCAGAGATAGAATCCCGACGCGCGCAGATGGCCGACATCCTCATTTTTGACGTTCTGCTCATACGTGGCGGTATTCGTCAACCAGACATGTTGTATCCGCCCACAGACCTACATTCACTCCACAGGCTGTTGGATGTCATCAATGGCTCGAGTTATGACAGCTTGAAGAAGGACTGCTTGGTTTACATCCTCTTGAAGTGGTTTCAAGACGGACGAGAGGCTACTTTCGCGGAGGAGAGGTGTATTCCACCACAGTTTGTGTCCCTTGCAGATGCATATTGGCATCTGGACACTGGCATCCATGTCGAGGTATGTCATGCTCTTTAGTATCATAGTTTCTTTGACCTTTAATCACGGGCGATCCAGAAAGCAGTGTCAATACTATCAGATGCTCGACTTAATAGGGACTATGCATCCAAAATTATGCAAGCGCTCTCATTATCCGAGAACCCGTCCCCACTCATCGTGAAATATGTCCGCACCGCCAAGCCCCCGCTCGTGGAACCTGACGACATTGATATGTATGCGCTCGCACTTGCTAACTCGAGTCTTTGGGATGCATGGCAATTCCAACGCACTTTTCCTGATTCCTCTGACACACGTTCACGGCTACTCCATAAGCTCTTAGAGTGGTGTCTTTCGCGTGCGTAAACCGACCGACATTCCTTGTGACCCTTGTTGATGTTAAGTGTTTTGTAACAGCCAAACCACGCCCTGGACCGTTGGCACAACTCGTGGCATTCCCTCTATCCTCTATGGAACAGTCTCTACTCCATGCATATGCTCTCAAACCCCCGCATGACCTTCCATCAGCTTCTATTGCCATAGCACAAGACCTTGTCTGTGTCCGACTCGTCCAAAGTGGAGACTTTGCTGCAGCCATCAAACTAGACCGTCAGTTCTCTGTGGCAGGGTCTGCGGGTACAGAGGTTGTCAAAGCTGCACGAGAGAGGAAGAAGATGATGGATGATATCTTGGCGAATATGACATATGTAGAAAGGACGTCGCTGGAGAACGAGCTTGGCCAGCCGAGTACGCTGGTTCCTGCCCCGATGCCCCAGTTAGCGAAACCTGCGCCTCCGAAGCCCAGAGCACCTCTAGGCGATCTCAGCATGTCATGGGAGGAGATTCCATCTACGAGTTCTCTGAATGGGGCTTCCCCTCGTAGAACGGACAGTCTGACTCCCCGACTTCCCGAAAAGCATGCCAGTCTTTCTGGTTCTGGCCGTCTTGAGCCAAAATCATCACTTGTTGGCTCTGTTCCAGGCAGTCTCTTCTCCTCCTCATCGTCCCAAAAGCCTCCCGCTGCATCGCCCTTCGCTCAGCTTCCACCCCGCAAACCCGTTTCTGCGCCGCCTGTCCCCCTCGTGGGCCCATCCGGAATCACGTTCGCGCACAGCACCGCCTTATCGAAGGCTATGCATGCATCGAGCGCTCCAACTACGTCACTCTTTGAGAAGACTGGTAGTGCCAAACAGGCACCAAATGCGTTCTACAAACCACCTCCAGCACCGAATGGAACGAGTCGTGCACTTCATACGGAAGAAGTGGCCACACGGCCTCATACTCGCGAGGAAGATGATATCAGCATGGAATCTGATGACGACAATGCCTTCATCACCCATGAAGACGGCGACGTCACTACCATGCCGGGCGATGTGGATGATGCGCCTGAGCTTGCCTTCTCCGTGTTCGGCAACAAGAGCGCAGCCTCACCTGAGCACCGCACCCGTGCGCCCGCGTCTAAGCAGGCAGAAACCAAGAAACGTGCGCCTCCAGGCGCATTTTATGATGAAGACGAGGACGAAAGCGATGTTGGTTCCCCTCGCAGAAACGCCTTTCCGCAACAACGCGGCGCCCGTCGGTCTCAGCCCCGTGCGCATTCACCCAGCTCTCGAAGCAAAACCGTCAGTTCCCGTAAAGATAATATCAAGGGCCCTGCTCCCACACAGAGCATACCTGGCTCCTTACTTGACGAGGAGGAAGAGCAGGATGAAGATGATGTTGCTCCCTTGCCGCCCTCTCTCACTCGTAAAACCCGAACAGGCGCCTCAACTAAAGCTAAACCTGCAAAGGACGAAAAGACGCCTGCACGCCGGTCGTCCAGGTTGTCGACGACTTCGTCAGTAGCTTCCATGTCACCAGAACCGTTATCGCCTCCTGTGAGGACGACCAAAACTAGGAAAAGCATGCGAACTTCGACGGCGAGTGCTGGTGCGGCCTCTGCGACACGGAGTAGCTCAAGAAGAAAAGCCGTTAAAAGTTGAGATTGTAGTCGTGTTGAGTGCAGTCGACTTCCATAGTTTTCAGTATTTCCATACCCTTGCTATCTGTGGTCATACTCGTTGTGTGTTGTGGCTAACTAATGTTGGTGCTGACGAAGGTATCATTTCCCTGCGCGTTCATGTTTACCATTTGGTTTTATTCTAGCACGAGAAATTTAGTCTTCCCTGGACCAACAGAAGGAAGATATCAGGCACCCGACTTTTCGACATGGATGGTGAAGCAATGAGATGTCAAGCTCCTAAGCCTACGCTTATGTTTTTGTGACAATGGGCAATAACCTGCCGAAAATCACGAACACCGAGGGAAAACTCAGGGGGATGTTTAATTTGTTCATAACGAGGTCATTAAGATGCGAGAGCAATCTATCGGCACATGTCAAACCGTCTACAAGACACACCGCCAGCTGAGATATATCATGCAGCTCTTCTAGCAGTTCTTGGCACCAAAGCCCATAAGATGGTCATGAACGCCATCATCGAAATGAGTCTTTGGTCCACAAATAATCGGTCTTGGCACAAGCAAACTATTTAATAGGAACACTCACAATGGCTGTAAACTCTTGATTCCCGTCTTAGATGCAATGATCCCTGTCAAAAACGGGAAAAGCGCGGAACCTGCCTGTCCGAAGCCTGCTATCCAGCCGATCGATCCTACATTCAGGTTTCAGTTGACCATACTCATGCTACTAAACACGGAATTACCTGTGACGAGCCACCCAGGGAGGATACGTACTGTGTGATTCATAGCGATGGGGTACATCGGTCCCAAAATCACACCGATTAATGCGATCGCCACGCCTCCACCAATGAGTGAAGGTACCAGCCATACTATTAGCTCCAGCCCAATTGCAAGGATGGCGTAAATGAACAAGACACGACGTTCGCCGACCTGTGATTTGTTGGCATCCATTAACGTCGCATCCTATATGGACGGGATAGTGGCTTGCCTTTTTGTTCACCCACAAAAGACCGACACGGCCAAGCATAAGACCTATTAAAATATATAGTTGAACCCCCTAGCATAACTGAAAAAGCTTACCTCCAAAAAATCCTGATGAGATATATCCCGAACTCGGACCTCCTCCGCGCACATCGATGATGTACGTCACCATCCAGCCTAGAGCACCATTCTGAGTGAACATCTTTCGCACTCAAGTTACGTACTCACCACCTACAGTGACCTCCACTCCTACATACACCAATATAAAGAAGGCAAGGAGGTGCACTTCTCTGAGCCCCAATATCTGCTTGAACTGGCTACTTTCACTCGTTCCCTTTTCACCTGCTGGCTGTCCAATCTGAGCGAGGCACTCTGTGGGTTGTTTAGCCATTTCCTCGATAATATGAGTGCTTATCATACCATCCTGTGTTTTCAGCCCAAAGACTACTATCAACGACACAGTGGTTATGAATGCGATACCGAGGCTGCACAGGTAGTGAAATGACCAATGCGGGAGCTGAGCAAATTGCGTTGCTACCAAAGGAGACGACAAAGCGCCAGCTCCTGAACGAAAATCAATCACGGGTTTACGTTGCACCGCACAGAAGGGGGCGTAACTTACCGTATACCTTTCAATAGTGAGATAAATCGAGAATTCACGTTCAGGACAACACTTACCGCGTGGAGGATCCCCATTTTCGTCTCGGGGTTATCCTTGAGACTGGCCACATAACCATTCGATTGCGCGTCCTAGTTCCAAGGTCCATTTGGGTCGTAGAATCCATTCCACTTGTATTACTTACCTGTAAAGCCATTCCAAAGCCATTGATGGCGTAACCTAGCACGAATGCAGGAAATGGCAGGGCAGCTGATTCTATTGCATATGCTATGACTTGACATGCTGATCCTGAGCAATAATAAGGCAACTACGACCTCAGTGTAGTACGTGGTCTTACCTAGCACAATCACCTAGACCACGAAGCCTACCTCAGATCTCAAAAAACAATCATCGAATCGGATGACTTACCTTCCCAAAGCCGAATTTACCGTCTAGATATAGATTTGCGAACGCTCCAGATAGGAAGCCCTATCCCGTAACTCAGAAATTAGTGATTCTTGTACAGCAGTGAAATCGTACAACGCATGCGAACACGAATATCAGAGATACGACAGCGAAATCCAGCTGTTAGGATGATAGGACAGTCAGCTTCAGAGATAACTGCAGGTGTTTGAAACTACCTACGCCATACACTGTCTGTATCCGTGGGAGTAGTGGACCAGTTGTTCCATCATTCCATCCAGCTAGGTACATCGACCCACAGACTGTCGCAAACTGCACTCGTGCGCGCAGCCGCTGACCTTTCGTTTGGGCTTTCAGGTCAGAGATAGACGCTGCCCCTGAACCACTTGGAGACGACTCCACTTGCATTTCTATTCCTTCATTGTGTTTGTCACTTTCTTTAACGTCATGATGAGGGTTAACCGTCGGATGGCGCGAAGCCATATGACCTTCAGGAATCGCCGTCGTCTGCATAATGAGTTCTGAATTACAGCCTGGGGGAGGTTCTCGAATCCAAGGCTCTGAGTCGAAAACGAGACTTGCAGGTCGAGTACGTTCGAGTGAGCAACAGTGCAGGTACTTCGAAGGGATAAAGTCTCGATCTTCCAATGGGTGATATTAAGAAATTCATTGCCTGAGAAGAGCTGCGAGTAGCTAAAGGATCCAAGCCGTGGGGCCCGCAAGTGCTGTTGATCATGCGGGCGGTCCTGAGACTGCCGATAGGCTAATACGTAAACAAGTGCAAACGTAGATAAAATTTACTAACCATTCTTACTTGCAGGCCTAGATCTGAGGATGTGTGGTGATACCTTGTGGATCATACATACACCGCGCTATCGCATCCCAAATCCCAGTATGTAAGCCCATTATGAAATCTATATACATACGACCTGATTGCAAATTCAAACCTTTAATCGAACCCCGCAGGAACCACGGGACACCACCCATAACGCAATTACGAGGCCAAGTGGTATGCCAACCAATATAAAAAGGGGTATGAGGTGATTATGACTTGTACCGTTATTATGACACATACACAGGCTGCAGGATTTTTATTCCAGAATTCTGCGCGATAGCACCTGCCATAAACTTGAACCAGAGCTGCCTGTCCCACTCCTGCAATCTAACCGATGTCACCTATTTCCCCGGCCCGGGAGTTGGGAATCATATCATTACTATGTGTAGACTGTTTGAGGCATACCAATAAGTAACCAGCGAAGAAGGACGCGTCCTGCATGGTTCATGGCAATCGGATGCATTGGCCCTAAGTTCCAAGAACACGCCAATGACAGAGACGGCGACTGCATCGTCTACCAAAGATAGAACGAACTATATGACTACCATTGGCCTGGATGCCGTTAAGTTGCATCTTTGCTCAAAGGTTGCATGCGTCAGTCTCATTGACTACCACCTCTTCACCTTAGAACACACTTCCTGGGTCAAAGACTGGCAATGTTTCGGTTGCGGTATGCAGATTTTCCCTCAAGGCCCATCACCAAAATTCAATCTTTCCATCGATTATCTTTGCTTGCAGGATCCGCTTTTCCCTCATCATCTGGAACTGTAAATGCGCTCTAATGCTGATACCTCTGCTTACCTTGGTTCGGCTTGCGCTTATGGTATGTCTCTCCTCACCCAATATACCCGGTCACTCTATGCGAGCGGGAGGAGGTATTGCTCTCGTGCTTGATGAGGCCACACCACAGGTCGTTCAGGCCACTGGCCATTAGTCTTCGGAATGACAGAAACTCTTTATTTTCGGAGAACATCTATGTAACTCTATCGGCTCTTGCGAGACGTGCGTCATGATGAAGGGACTCAAAAGATATGTTGATTGATGGTGAGATAGGACCGAATCAACGCATCCTTTGAGTCTCTTCTGTTGGATTCCGGTCACTTATCGACAAGTCCGGGACACCGCAGGACAATTCCAACCGGCCCCGACGGACAAGCAACCCGACCTGTAGGATAGTTTGACTCTGGAGATGCTAGGACGCATCCGGACGAGGTTAGCACTATAAACCTTATTTAAATCATTCACTGCGGAGGAGTGCTTTACTGCGCGGAGCACTGTACATTGCACAGAGTATCATGTACTAGATAGAAGGTTGAAATATTATCTCTCTTATTCGCGTAACAAGTTCCACTTGTTCCCATTGCTCCGGTCCACTCCGCCCGGCTTCATTACACTCTGACCGGATTCGTTCCACACGGACCGGCTCCGATACACGTCCGCTACACTCCCCGAGGCCGGCAAGTACTGTAACCTATCCATACCTGCGGCTAACGCTGGCTACAATATACCATAACCTTTAGATCTTCATCATAACACACATCTCTCTGTTTTTTTAACTTTAGCCTTTAGCGAATTGTATTATCAAGATGTTTTCCTTTGCCATGGCGGACTTGAGCCTCAAGGCTAGGACCAGCACGACGTGCAGCATCTCGATATCTACGACTACATACTTCTACTTTTATATACAGACTAGTACCGCTCTATAGAACTTTATCATCTCACAATATATCGCCATCATACAATGCGTGTACACAGCCTGTCAACCTGATTGAAAATTCAAACCTTCAATCGGAACGACGCGAACCACGGGACGCCAACACCCATATTGCAGTCATAAGACCAAGTATGCCAACCAATCTAAAGGGGTGTGAGGTGATCATGACATCTTGGTACTGTTATTATAACACGTACACAGGCTGCAGGGTTTTTATTCCAGAATTTTGCGCGATAGCACCTACCATAAACGGGACCAGCGCAGAGCCTGCTTGCCCCACTCCTGCGATCCAACCGATGGCACCTATTTCCCGGGGATTGTGAATGACCAACCTTGTGTAAGCCGATCGGGACATACCAGTAAGTAACCAAGGAGGAAGGACGCGTCCTGCATGGTTCATTGCAATCGGATACATTGGCCCCAACAGCACGCCAATGATGGAGACGGCGACTGCATCACCGACCAAAGATGGAACGAACCATACGACGAGCTCGAGACTAATATCAGAAATGAATATCAGCGATAAAGCAAACATGCTTTCGAATCACTAACATGATAGTCAGAACGGCGTAGATGGACATGGCCAACCGTTCTCCGATCTATCCCCAAATCAGCTAAAATGTCCATCCACGCTGAATTGAGCGATTTACTTTTTCATTAACCCATAGCAAGGCCAGTCGACCAACCATGAGACCTACGGAATAAAAGGATAAGTCGAAGTCTATCGAATGGCCCTGTTGCATACCGCCGAAAAAACCGGTGGAGATATAACCAGATGAGGGCCCTCCACCTCTGGCATCGATAATGTAGGTAACGATCCAGCCTTTTTCAGAGCGTCAGATATAAAATTAAGATCGTGTACATAAACGGTCACGAACCTCCAATAGAAACCTCGACTCCAACGTAGAATAAAGTGAATGCTGCCAGAAGATGGACATCTTTGTTCATGAATATCTGCCTGAGATGACTATGCTCGCTTGTGCTGTTATCCGCAGTAACGATGCCTATCTCCGCAAGACATTCTGGTGAATGAAATTACTCTTAGAGACCAATCAAAAACCATGTCATGCAGATTGTCCTTACCTCGCTGGCGCTTGAACCGGAAGACTATAATTAAGGCGATTGTATTGGAGATCGCAATTCCAAGAGACGTAAAATAATGGAAATTCCACCGAGGTAGTTGCGCAAATTGAGTGGCAACCAGAGGAGATGAAAGTGCCCCGGCGGCTATGAGTTGTGAACATCGACTTTACGAAAATGTGCTGGTAAAATTACCATATGCTACATATTTCGGAGTGAGGGGTGAATAATCTGCATAAAAATGCCTGATTCGTACCTGCCATGAAAAGACCCATCTTCAGCTCAGCGTTTTCTTTAATGGATGCAACATAGGCAACCGAATTTGCGTTCTGTGTCACGATGTCTAGTAAATGTTCATGGTGATAAGCAAATATACTCGCCTGTAGAGCTAGTCCGATTCCGTTGATAAAGTACGCAAATATAAACGCGGGAAAGGGGGGCCCCGAGGACTCGATACAGTATGCCACGACTTGACATACGGAACCTGGAGTGCAAGAATTTAAGAATTGACACAGCCCTCGACATTTGTACGAAGCACCTAGTACCATCACCTTAAAAAAAGTCAGGGTTGTTATATTAATTTCCCAGTCTGAAGGGCGTACTTTTCCAAATCCTAGCCTCTCGGCCAGTATCACATTAGACACGGCACCCGTGATAAAACCCTATTTAACCCAGATAGTGAGAACCACTACCGGCCCGGATGTCTCGGACACAAACTTACCACACAAGCAAAAACGAATATCAGAGATACAACAGCATATCCAACCTAAAAAAAACACGTCAACAAGCAGTCGCGACACAATATACAAGAAAAAGCACCCCATAAACTTCCTGAATCCTCGGCAACATAGGGCCATTCGATCCATCATTCCAACCCTCTAGAAAGACGAACCAACACAGCGCCGCAAGTTGGATCTTCTCCCGCGTCTTTTGTGTTCTAGGCTTCGCGTGTGGCTGAGCGCATGAAAGTTTTTCCGAATGATCATTCTGCGTGTCCACGGGTGACACGGGCGAAAGCTCAATCGCATCTACAGAGCCTTTCGCGAGATCAAGCTTGCAGCGCGACCTAGGGGATGCTGTTCGATATGTCGATGCAGCCCCTGAGGCGGGATACGCCTCGTCTAGGGCAAAAACGGGGTCAGCCGTGGCTGGTGGAAGAGACATTAGGCGAAGAGAGAATGCGAGGGAAAGGATAAGACTCACAGTGCGAACATCCATCGGTGCCAGCTTCTTATGAGACCAAGTCCACTGGAGTGTCGGACGAATGGTCCGCCCCTTTTACATACTCAAAAATAAAGAGCATGTAATTCTGACGTGCATATTGGTGCTGCTCGTATCCGAAGTTACATGTCAGACCACTTCATTGACCTGATGTGACCTGAAGTGGCCCTCATATATTGCCCTCGTGAATGTTTCATTGACCTAAACTTGACCTGAAACGTTAATGAACGGGGGAGACTAAAAACCTCAACCTAGGCGGCCTAGGTAAATTTCTGGAATGCGAATCGTTCACTGGCAGCCGCTCCTTGTGGAATAGTGCAAGGAACACACCATTTCTGGTCACAGCGGTAGCCAGTGTCAGTGAACCCTTTCCATCATGAGTCAGGGGGCTTACTTCAGTGTTCAGAGTCCGGACAAGCTGCACGGCGCAAGACTGACAGAGAACCTGACTTGAAGCTTGAGGTTTTACGTTATGCCAAGCAAAAAGATCTTTATCTCAGTCTGGACATTTCTACGACACCATATAATAAAATACCAAACAGGATTGTAATATCTCAGTCTGGACCTCCGCTTCACCTGAATTCGGTCAGGTGCGTGTAGGATATGCAGGCTCAGTAATTATTGGCTCCGTTAACCTTGTCCTTGAGTTGTCCAATGAATTGTTGATAGCTCGGTAAAACATCGGCACGATCTTGTATGAGGCAGCTGAGGGCCCAGAGCCGCAAGGGCGGCTCGCCATCCTCCTTGACAAGATACAGATGGGGATAGTAGACGCCTCTACGCATCTCACGTATTTTCTGGATGATAGCGTTGACCCGCTGTGAGAAATCGTTATCAAGAACAGGAAGTGTCGTCTGATGGTAAGGTATTTATCAGCGACATGGAGAATGGACCTCGCAAAAAAATAAGATGCGCACCTTGCCGCCGCGTAGCACCTCGTAATTTGGAAGATTGAATACATCCATTACGAGTTGTGGTACAGCATCACGGCCGACCCACAAGAATATCGTCTGACCATCCTCAATCAGGTACAAACCATGTCTCTCCAGCCGTTCCGAAGTGAGGGGCAAAGGAATTGGTAACATCACACCTTGCTCGCCCACCGTACCCGCCTGGGGATATTGTTATTGAAATACCTGCGACAATCCAAACTAAACTTACTTCAGGTGACATGTTGTGCAGCGAATAGAAGGTGGGATGAATGTACGGGATGAGGGTTTGCGAAGGTAGCGAGGTCAGCAGTGCCTGGGCATAGGCCCTGAGATCAGGAGGAATTTGCGCGCTTTGACGAATGCCAACCTACATGGGGAAGTGAGTCAGGTCACTCATGCACAAACAATGTAAAAACTCACATTCTTCAATAGTCCGAGAACCAACACAGGCAGCATCTTCAGGTTCTCCGAGATCGCTAGTTGCGCATTCGCACCTGCACCTGCGGATGTCATGCTGCTCTTGTAACTGGACAGGATCTCCACGAGGCGCTGGTGCACTGCGTCACGGGCATCCTCCAGCTTATGTGTCAACGAGCGCTCAACGGCTTTGTTCGCCAGCAGGGTCGCGATCGCCACCTGGTCAGCAGACGCGAAAACTTCGGTAAGGCTGCTAGTGGTCGGTAACGCAAGAGTAATAACACGGATACGTCGCTCTCCATGACACGTTGTGTGTAAAACTGCAGTCTGCATCACGACAAATGGTTGCGTAAGGGTGTCCTCGATCTGGATCTCAATGGCGTAAGACTGATCGGTGGGCACGGCGGGCATGGCCAGGAGGTCAGTGGAGCGAACGAAGAAGTTTCCGTGGAACGAAGCCATGCGCAAACCTTAATTGCACATATGAGCTTCGATAGCGGAGAAGCAAGGGTCTCTTACCTTTCGAAGCACGGACACGCATAACGGCCTCCAACATGATCGGCATTGCCAAGACTTCACCGAACTCGTGCGCAAATTTAATGGCATCCTCAGACCGAGCAGCATTGAATGCAGGATAGAAGTAGGTTTGACCAGAAGTGTAATGTGGGAGACAAGCTATTACAATGCATCAGGTAGATTGTTGAGAAGAATGATATGAAGCCACGAACCGAGACTGGCAACATCCTGGTATGCAGCACTGAATAGGAACATGTCCACTGACACCTGGGCACGCGAGCACTCGATGGCGAACGTCTTGTAGAAAGGTGAGGCAGCTTGCAGTAGGCCAGATTCCTGCAGATGCATCATCAGCAAAACTATAAGTAGCAACATGAGCAGTGGCTTACTTTTGACGTGCCAAGAATTTTGAGATCTTCGCGGTTCTTGAGTACACCGGCACCAATATTTGGCAAAGAGGACGAGAGTACCATGATCTTGCCACCGATAGGAGCCTACAAACCTTTTTAGAAACCGTAATGTATTTTCATTCAGTGACTGACCATCAGCTTAAAGCCAGCTTGCAGTGCGGGGCCCATTGCACTTCCAACAGTGTGATTATCCTGGAACATATCATTGATCCTGCCAAGCAGCGACTCCAGCGACTGGCGCGCTTCCGTCAAGTTTATGAGGAGGTCAGTAGGTTTCGGCAAAAAGACATCATCGACGTCTGAAACAACGAGCATCGTCGACTCCGTTGTCCCAGGCTACAAAGGGAACGCATTAGCACAATAACTTAGAAGATCAGACAGAGTACCAACAGGCATAGAGAAAAAATAAAGAGAAGTGTCGTAGGCGATAATGGCGACTTTGGTGCGCTCATCCTCGTTGGGTATGCGATCAAGGTTTTCAAGGATAGTGCGTGTCGCCGTCGCCACCATACCTGTAAGAAATTATCACAAATCTGCAACGTCACCTAACTATGATGGCTTACCCGACTGCACGGCGGTATGGCTCACATCGATGAGAATCACGTACACAGCAGGCTGTGGTGGGCGGACCATGTACTCGGTGGGTGCAACAAATTCGACGACAGAGTGGTTAAGCTCGTCTCTAGCCCATCGGTCTCCAGGCTGATTCCGTATTTGGTCCCAATCAAAGAGTTGGGGAACCTCGTTCGACATGCTGCACATGCAACACCGCCAGCTGTGATCGTAATAGGTCAGCACACAACATAAATCTTCAACGCATATCAAACTCACCGATTGCCGTTGTCGATGAATTGCACATAAGGATTTATGTATGTCCTGCACCGTCTGCATCGCGCAATCACTGTGTCATTCACAACAGGCACCGGCGGCTCGCCCTCCTTCACCGTTCGGTAGGGAGTGATCACCAGACCCAATGGAATCTTGGATTTGTTTAGTAGCGAAGATGTGGTCGGAATGGCATTCATGGTACACCGCTGGTACGACGGATCTGAATTTGCGTACGGCGATGGAGTGATGCACGCGTTCGGAGGCAACCTGATCTCTGGAGGAGGGCGAACCAACTCACGAGGGTCCGGTGGCGACGTAAGTAAATTGGTAGTCGTGAGATGTAGCGGCTTCGCCCCCACCCCCATCTGCCCAAACTGATCTGTGAGATGGTGGATTGGCGCATTAGGTGGATGATACGCTGGCTCCTGACCGAACCCAGGAGCATTGATGTATTGGGGCTCCTGTTGAGGCGCGTAGTATGATGGCTGCTGGGCTTGCTGCTGACCTGCAAAACCCCCCTCTCCCGCGAGTCCTGGAGTGAAGAGCTGGCCAGTGGCTGCGGGCTGTTGTGGTTGTTGCTGTTGCTGCTGCTGCATACCAGGTGCGCCATACTGGTCTCCAAGGGCATCGCCTGCGCCGTAGTACACTTGTGTCTGACCGGCTGCGTATTGGCGACGCTTAGTGTGATGTGTCATTGACGGGGGAGGCGACCCCGACGGTGCATTGTCTATCGGTTGAGCTGATACAGAAGTCGGTACTTCCCATTGGCTGCGTCCAGTTGAAGGTTCTATAAGGGAGGAGATTGGTTTATGTCGATGTTCATGCAGGTCACGTACGAATGAAGAGATATCTCTGGCTAGCGGGATCCCTGCAAGTTTTTCGTCAATAAAAGTGCAGAAAGTCGAAGTCGACGAGTCTTATACCATTCCGCTGTCCACCCAGGAGGAAGCTGCTGAGAAGGAGAGGCCATAGACGTGAAAATCGGACAACTTAGGAATGTATGGTCACAGCAACTATCAGAAGGGATTTTGTTATAACACGACACGTAGCCAACACGTACAAACAACTTTCGCAGCAAGTCTTTTTGCAAAGTCAAAATATATGCTGTAATAATTTAACGAATAGGTGGTTGACACGATGTGGTTAGGTAGTACTATCGTGGAGATCTTTTCTTGTCTAGTCTGTTTAATAGCACTCCTGTACATTGCTCAAGTGCATTTGTTTCCTCTACCTTGGCGTCCGCGCAGCCGGCCCACCTAATCTTAAGGTTATCGTCCACGAGATAGACGTACCCGACGTGTTTATTCACCATACCAAGCTGCTCGCGCAAGAACTCCATGTTCTGGCTCGATACCAAGTATGTCGGGTGTAGCTCTGGGGGAACCGACTTGGCTATCGATGAAAGAAACAACGACACAAGGAAGGACTTCAGAAGGTTCTCTTGCAAGTTGATCTGCACATATTGGTACAGTGGATTTGAAAGATACCTCGTATTCGTCGGTGTGGTGAAACCATTTACGTGTATCTGAGTATGCTCAGCATCGAGAACGATAAGGAAGGAGACGCGAGCGTACCTCTGACATCCTTGTGGATAACATAGATATCACGGAGATACGTCCTTCACAAATGCTGGTTGTATGTTTTTTGGACTTCGTGTCCAGGCTTGAGCCGACGATATTTGGGAAATAAAGCGCTTTCTGGGTAAATTGTCAATCACCTTGCCATCATGAAGACTACAGAACATACGTCCTCACGAATCATCACTTTAGGTGCTATCCACGTCTTACCACCGTGCCTCCTTGTTGCATTGAGGTCAGTAAAATAGCCTTTCGTAGCTTCTTTCATCCTGCAAGCCGTCAAAACAACTCCGAAAGCAATACATCGATAACCAGCTCACAGGTGCTCTCTTTGTGCCAAGCGCGTCTCCTGATTCATCATCTCCTCTCTAGTATCTGCCCAAGTTTTCAGGACAGACGAAGGACTCTCCTTCACGCCGAGCGGACGCTGCAAGAACGGTAATGTCAACTCATCGGGAGAAGCCTTCGCTGACTTCTTCGCGGACTCTTCAGTTCCAGAGGTCAAATATCTTGCACATCCTGGACTCTGAATGAATCTGCGCAGGGTAACTGTTTCTTGCCAGCGTGCACGGACAAGTGCGCGGACAAGCATTTATGTAAGGTCAAAAAGCAAAAATTCCTAATCGGGCGCGTGGAGGTCATATGTCACGTGAAGGTATATAAGCGGGCGAGTCGCGCCCCGAGTCCGTTTGTTGATTGTCATCTCTTTATCACAAACCACTACCACCACCAGTTCAATACCAACCAACGCTATCAATGGTCCGTCGTTCTTTTGTATCAGTTCCAGTTAAATCTCATTTAGGACATTTTCTAGTCTGGCAAGGGTCAGTGGATTTGGGAACTTTTGGATCACTCAGGCGTATTGACATACCGGTGCAGGTAAAGCAGGCAAGTCTTCCTCTGGCGGCAAGGCTGGCGGTGAAGGCAAGTCACAATCACGCTCCGCAAAGGCCGGTCTTCAGTTCCCCGTCGGTCGTGTCCACCGTCTTTTGAAGAAAGGCAACTATGCCCAGCGTGTTGGCGCAGGCGCTCCAGGTAAGTCAGCTGTCTCGCAAACAAACCCATTTGAACTAACGCTTTCCAGTCTACCTTGCCGCAGTTCTCGAGTACCTTGCCGCCGAAATTCTCGAGCTTGCAGGCAATGCCGCCCGTGATAACAAGGTTGGTGGACTTTCTGTCTTTTGAGGACCAGCGAACTGATCATCCCCACAGAAACAACGTATTGTGCCCCGGCATCTGCAGTTGGCCATCCGAAACGACGAAGAGTGAGTCAGCTTCCCATCTCCAATGTTCAGCGACTGATATCACTCTAGATTGAACAGACTTCTAGGTGACGTAGTCATCTCACAGGGAGGAGTAGTCCCCTTCATCAACCCCGAACTGCTGCCTAGTAAATCAAAGTATGCCACGTGTTGTATGGTGTATGCAGATCTGACGTCCTTTACAGCAAAGGCAAGAAGGAGGGTGCGAGCCAGGAGGTGTAAATTTCTACGCATCTTATATCTTGCACTGCTTATTCTCCTTTTACCTACTTTTTATTACATTCATTTTGTATCATACATGTTCGGCCGTGTTTCTATTAGTCTGTATTCGAGTCCTTCTAGTACCGAACTAAAGCATATGAGCCTGGCGTGTTTGTTTGTACTTGTTGAATTTACAAGCACTATCTCGATTCTCCACTCCTGGACCAGGACGGCTCATATTTCTAGACAAGTCTGAGCTGTGTCAACAATGACACGGTTTTGCCCTCCCAATCGGCGGGAGTTCACTCTCGTTCTGTTCTCCGTCACAATTTTTGTGGTCTTCTATAACTTCGAAGCGACTTTCGACCTCTTCGCGCCTGGCACGTCCTTATTAAATCCCTCCGCAGATAGCAGCGGCCTCGAGATGGACATATTCGGGGACTGGAAGTCTGATGAGGCGCACATATCCAGTGTTCATAAACAGCAGGAGGAGATGGAAGATAACGCAGATGGAGATATTTGGATAAAGGACCTTGTATCTGAGGCCCAGAAGCAAGTCATCTTCGGAAACATCAATGTTAATGATGGCTTTATGCACTGGGGCAGTGACGTGCCTCAAACTCAAGTGATGAAACACGTCGCTGGTGGGTACACTGCAACTACTTATGGGGGTACCACTCATGTTGCCTACCCAACCCCTATAGGATTTTCGATACTGGACAATGTAGTAATATGCAACGGCACAATTTTCATCGTGACGGATTCTCCTTCAAGCTTCCCTTCGTTGGGTTCCATTGCATCATCTGTTGGGAACCCGCACGAAGCTCCGCGTCCAGAAGAATGGGAAGTCCTGTCAATCGAGCAAGCGAGAGACAAACTTGGTTCGTATGGTGGACTGTGAGTTTTGACATGTACCATTTTTCATTTCTGACTGCTCATAATGTTGTCCAGGATTCAAGGTGCCAGTTGGCTATCGTATGACGTGACTCCTAGTTCGTCAACACCTGTATCTTCATGAGCCCGTCCTTACATCCCATATCTAGACAACTACACGCTGTTCTCGCTCTGGCGGACCCACAGCTCCCTGAACGCATCGACATCTCCAGAACTTTTCCGTCCGCCACGACGACTGTTCTTCCCGAATATCCCTACTTTGCAAGGTGAACGGCCCGAAGTCAACGTGCGGCCCATCCTTAGACGCTATCGTTCGGACAGTGGTTTCCATCCATATCTTCCCAAGGCAGCTTTTCCAATGCTCGGGTTGATGTATAAAGAAGACTGGGAAGATTATGCGCTGATGGAAGTCCCATTCCTTTTCGAGAGGCTGGTTGTTGCCGATTTTGGTGCGGCTGAACGTGCAACAAATGATCTGCCTCCATTCGCTCTCTCTCTTATTGGCTTAGATGCGTCAAAGGAATGGTGGGAGCCAATTAGGGAGAATCTTGCCAAGTTCTTGCACGTAGACCCCCATGCACAAAACCCCAACGGCGGAGGGGAAAAGACGATAGTCACTTACATATCTCGTCAGGACGCCAGAAGTGGCCCAAAGCTCAGGAGAGCTGACCACGATGCGTTGGTTAGTGCTCTTGAACAGTTGCGTAGGAGTGACAACTTCGAGGTCTACGTAGTTTCCTCAGAAGAGGGGCACTGGACAGAGAGAATGTCAGCCATCGCCCAATCTACTGTAAGTGTGCATCGCTTGTAAAGGTGCTGCACTGCGACTAACATGTGATTCTTTGTATGAAGGTCGTTCTGGGTGTTTATGGAGATAGCCTCGCGGACAGCGTGTTTATGAGGCCATCAGGGCACTCGACTCTCATGGAATTTTTCCCCTTGGACGTCTTCACTCGCGACGCAGAAACATCGGTTCGCTCCTTAGGCATTCACTACATCGCCTGGTGGAATGATCGGTACGCCCTGCCTTCTGATAAATTCTCTTCTCAGATCCCTCATTATTTATCTATAGGCAGTTCCAAAGTGGCAGTCTTCCAGCTGTGGCTCCAGGGGGTGATTATGATGAAGTTCTGATCGACGCTGCTGCAGTCGTGCAGGCCATCCAGGAAGTCATTCGCACGTAGAAACTATCGGCGAAGGGTTCATCAGCAATCTCATGAACCTTACCCCTGTCCAATGATTTTCCGTCATTTTAGATTCTTGAACCGAATCGCCACTGGCCGCGCTCGGAATTCCCGCTAGGTAGCGGGAATGACACATGGACTTCTAGACATTATAGGATTACTTTTGGTAACTTCCTGTTTCTTGTATATTTGTTCGTCTACTTGCTCTACAGGACAAGGGTACTCCTCCTTGTTGTCTTTTCACGACAACCTAATGACTGTACATATTTGCACCGTAACTTACTTATTCCCAAGGAACGTAAAGTGGTCGAACTCTTCAGACTCGATCCACAACTCGTCCCAGCCAAAACTTTGGTTCATTGAACCGAGCATATAATTAATGGTGTGAACTATGTTGCGGCCACGGAAGCTAACCCACTATGCTTGATTGTTGTATTCTGCTCCTGCACGAACGTTAACCCTCTGTCAGTGGTATATGTACTGTCACAAACCAACAGGAGCACAACGAGTATCGCCCAGTTAACTTTTTTGCAGAGCGTTCGACCCCGAACTTATACTCAACACGAGGTACAGAATAGCAGATAATGAATTAGAGTGTACACTCAATATCGTGCCCGATGCATGTGTATGTGTCATCTCCACAAACAATATGTAAGGCTAGTTGTGAGTTCGAAGGGGAATTGGAGCTAAACGAAGCAAATAGGAGCGAGCGCGAAGGTAATCGAAACGAGTCGGTAAACGTGTGGGACTAAGTCTTGCTGTGAGGTCTTTCGATCGTGCTTGGAGCGGGGATGTGAATATAGGATTCGTTTCCCTTCGCTATCGGTATGAATGTACATGCGCGGTATATATACGTTTTCGAATGGTCAACTAGGCCGGAATCGGCATGAAGAGCATATGGTGAGGTGAAAATACTCGGTCCAAGAAAGGGATTGTGAAGTGTGAGCACAAGGTAAGATCGTAAAAGGAAATGAAAATGGAAGTTTGTAACTCGGATGCGAAGAGTAACGGAGTCACGTCGTCTTCGCTTTGAAGCGTGATCGGTTTGTAGAGGATATGCAATCCTTACAAATACATGGAATAAGATCGTCATTAACAAGGTCTAGAAGCGTTGAGTCAACCCACTGCAACGGACAGAACAGGGTAGAGAACTCACTCATCTCGGCAATTCCGCCAGTGCTGTCCATATGCCATGCGGCTCAAATCGAGCTCAATACACCCTCTGGGTATTACCAATGCAGTATAAGGTGTATAGAATGGCTCCCGGGAAGCGGGTGGCACCCAGAATAGGAGTCGACGATGGGGCCCTACCATCCATCCATCAGATCGCGGAAGAAAGGAGGTCGAGCGCCATTCATCATGGGAGGTGTCTTCCATTAGTTCAGTAGTGTCGTACAGCGCATGAGTCGAGTCAGATGAGAAGCAAATGAAGTGATAGTTCCGAGTGTCAGTTGACATGGTAGCGCTGTCCTCCATTGGATGCATGGTGCGACTTTCACCAGGGGGGAATGCTGCAGAATCTTTGTTGGCTGAATCCTCAAACGGCACATGCAATGGTTGCCCAATTGCTGCATCCCACAGCCGGACAGTCATATCATCCGAAGTAGATGCGATGCGAGTGCCATCCGGCGAGAATGAGACTGAGTTGACCCAACGGGTGTGCCCTCGCAAGGGTTCACCAACTGGCTGGCCTGATGCTGCATCCCACAGCCGGACAGTCCCATCCCCCGAACCAGTCGCGATGCGACTGCCATCCGGCGAGAACGAGACTGATTCAACATCATCAGTGTGCCCCCGCAAGGGCTCACCGACTGGCTGGCCCGTGGCTGTATCCCACAGCCGGATAGTCTTATCATGTGAACCAGACACGATGCGAGCGCCATCCGGCGAGAATGAGACTGATTTAACTGAACTAGTGTGCCCCCGCAAGGGCTCACCGACTGGTTGGCCCGTTGCTGCATCCGATAGCCGTACAGTGTGGTCGTCCAAACCAGACACGATGAGAGTGCCATCCGGGGAGAACGAGACTGAGTTAAACCAATGGGTGTGCCTCCACAAGGGCTCACCGACTGGCTGGCCCGTCGCTGCATCCCACAGCCGCATAGTGTTATCCCTCGAACCAGTCACAATGCGAGTGCCATCCGGCGAGAACGAGGCTGAAACGACCGAACAAGTGTGCCCCCGCAAGGGTTCACCAACTGGCTGGCCCGTCGCTACATCCCATAACCGGACGTCCATATCTTTCGAACTAGTAATGATGCGAGTGCCATCCGGCGAGAACGAGACTGAGTTGACCGTATCAGTGTGCCCCCGCAAGGGCTCGCCAACTGGCTGACCCGTCGCTGCATCCCACAGCCGCACAGTCGTATCCCAACTACCAGTCACGATGCGAGTGCCATCCGGGGAGAACGAGACTGAGGTAATCCAAGAGGTGTGCCCACGAAAGGTATCGCTGACTGGCTGCCTTGTCACTGCATCCCACAGCCGGACAGTATTATCATCCGAAGCAGACACGACGCGAGTGCCATCCGGAGAGAACGAAACTGAGTTGACCGAAAGGGTGTGCCCCCGCAAGGGCTCACCGACTGGCTGGCCCGTTGCTGTATCCCACAGCCGGACAGTCCCATCCCTCGAACCAGTCGCGATGCGACTGCCATCCGGCGAGAACGAGGCTGAGTTGACCGAATTTGTGTGCCCCCGCAAGGGCTCACCGACTAGCTGGCCTGATACTACATCCCACAGCCGCACAGTCCGATCTTCGGAACCAGACATGATGCGAGTGCCATCCGGCGAGAACAAGACTGAATAGATAAAATTTGTGTGCCCCCGTAAGGGCTTACCGACTGGCTGGCCTGTTGTTGCATCCCACAGCCGGACAGTCATATCATCCGAAGCAGATGCGATGCGAGTGCCATCCGGCGAGAATGAGACTGAATTGACCGAACGGGTGTGTCCCTGCAAGGGCTCACCGACTGGCTCGCCCGTCGCTGTATCCCACAGCCGGACAGTCTCATCCCTCGAACCAGTCGCGATGCGATTGCCATCCGGCGAGAACGAGACTGATTTGACCACATTTGTGTGCCCCCGCAAGGGCTCACCGACTGGCTGACCCGATACTGCATCCCACAGCCAGATAGTCCCATCCCTCGAACCAGTCACAATACGAGTGCCATCCGGCGAGAACGAGACTGAATTGACCCAATCAGGGTGCCCACGGAAGGGATCACCAACTGGCTGCCCCGTCGCTGCATCCCACAACCGCATAGTGTTATCCCTCGAACCAGTCACGATGCGAGTCCCATCCGGCGAGAAACAGACCGACTGCACCGCACTCGTATGGCCAGTGAGCACATTCTGAGCAGCTGTCCAGTGTAAATCATGTCCAGATGCCAGACGAAGAGTATTCGGAAAATTTGCAGCGAATTTTTTAGATATCGCAGAGTTGACGGGTGAGAACGGCAGGGATGATACATATAGATGTGGCGTGCTGTGCGATATGCTGCCGCCAAAGATTTGAATGAATCTCTGCACGTCCATTGCAGTCGACGAAGAATCTTCGTATCCGGAACGCCCCTGTTGTTGCGCGTGAGTGGGTCTCTGACAGCGTTCGGCAACCATGTGCTCACCTTCAGCCACTGAGCAATGAGCGGAAGGACGACAACTGCGCCGCTCAACGCGTTGGTAAGGGCTAGTGATTCGAGCCAAAAGAGCAATCGCTCGTGGTCGAAGAATGATTTCACTTCGTTTGCGAGCTTCGTACCAAAGTCTGTTGTTCGTACATGCAGAGCCCAAAATCGACAGGAATATGACAAATGCGGGGGGATGCATCTCTGAACTCGTTCTGGCAGTCCTGTGTCTTCGCAATTAGGGAGATACGAGGACTTCAAATTGCAGATATTGAAGGAAAGTCCATGTTCCATCACTCGAAGTGACGCAAAAGCAAGGTCGCATTGCACTTTCGAGATGTCGACGAAGAAATCTCCACTGCATTCTGGGTCTGTCAGAAATTCGCGGAAGGATGCATGAAGAGGACGGATTGGGGAATCTGGGGTGGTGGTGCCGCTGAGGAGGGATCCCATGCTTTTGACCACAATCTCCACCTCGTAATGGTCACTTTTGTCTGGAAAATGGTCCCGCATGGCATTCAGGGAAGCTACAGGGAGGGGTTCAGCTGTGCCAAGTATTTGTCCCATCACAGAACAAAATCTTGTGAGCGCTTTCATACGCAGGGGCTGTCGGTTCCTGGCACTTGTAGGTGCATCCGCGTCCATGATTTCTGTCAACATGAGGCGATACATGTCATACAACAAGTCGTCCGGTTCGCTGGGCTCGCGGTTCACGAGAACATTTAAGCGTTCGATTGGATATAGCCCAGCAGACGTTTGGTCGATGTATCTGCAGGCGAGACGCGCCCACTCGAAAAGTCCGTCAGCTTTCTTAGCCAGGCGTGCAATTTCATTGCTCCCGATATCCAGCAACCCTTCCAGCTCCTTCGATATGTACGCGCGGATGTCACGCTCCGCGAATTCCGCTGGAAAGTCATCAATGGACATACGGCGAATATGCTGAGCACCACCAAGCTCTTTATCGATATCGCGAAGCGCGCGAGAGGTCACGATAATCCGGAAGTTGGCTGGGAGTTCGGTGATTTTGGGAACAGCGAGTTTGCCAGCAAGCACGCGCAGAAGGTGGCGCCGTGTCTCGACTCCGCCGCTCTCGTCCAATGCCTCGATTACAACTACGACGGGCCCTACAATTGACGCTGAAAGCTTGCCTAGTGGTTCCATCAGAAGTTTCTGCCACTGCTGGACAATATCCACTGTGTTTTTCAGGGCACTGTCATTCTGGACTGCTTCTGCTAATGCTCGTCTCATCTCCGGATGACGGTCAGCTAGGTCGCGCGCGATGGTGGAAAAAACCTTTTCATGGCGACGATCGGCTTCTCGGTGACGGTCGAAACAATAACATGAACCAAGCCCTCCCACGTCGCGGAACCAGTTGGCAATGGTGTGGGCAATGGCCGATTTGCCTTTGCCTGCAGGACCAGATAGCCATAGCACGCGTGGAACATCGTCTCCAGTGCTGTTGACCCAGTCCGTGATCTGGGAGAGAATTTCGGTCCGTGTTCCTGGTAGGCATTGTTTCCTTGTATCTAGTCCCGCCCCCGCTGCATAAGTCATACCACTGAGGTCCAGTATTTCTCCTGAAAAGGTATGAACAGATGTCGAGTCACAAGCACGTCCTGATACTTACCTGTACGGTGGACGTGGATGGCTACGTCGCGAGTAACTTGGTCTCGGAAGTTTTGCATGAGCCCATCCAACACGTCGCTGAATTGTTGAATTACATTATCTGTTTCTGAGAGAACGTCCTTCCCGAGTCTCTTCCCTATGATAAGGATAGAAGATTGAGTATTGCAAAGCGCAACAGCTCGTTGAATACTCACAAAAGCTCTTGGTCTCTGCATAATCTTTGACAAAGCGGGCACATTCAAGGGTCTGCTGAGAGATCTGTCCAACGATTCTATGCATCGACGAAATCTGGCCAAGCGTCTCGTCCTGTGTCATGAAGCCGTAAACTTGATCCAATTTTTCGACAAGACGATGTACTGCTGCGTCGCGATCCACTTGGGCAAGAATAATCTGCACGGATAACTGCTAAGTAAAAGTGGGAATGACAGCAAAACCAACATACTTTTGATGCATAAGACAACACGCCCAGTGCCATCTTTGCATATGGATGCACCTATAGAATGGGATTAGTTTGGTTCCGATCGAGAGGAAGCCCCATACATCGGCGATTTCCCTAACAACAGTGTCGAATATCCTGAGGGGTTGGAGATATGTGCTCTCGATGTTGTCTGCAGCATCGATATCCTCTTGTGCATTTTGGGCTGCGGACGCTACAGATCTCACAGGTTCCAAAGGTGGATTCATGCGCTTGGCAGCCTCTTTGGCATCTCGAAGTGCTGATTGAGGCTCAACACCTTGTCCCACGCCAGAAGGGGCATCCTCCTACACGAGAGTTCAGAGAGTGAGCAGAAAATGAAGGGCGAGTTTGGGCACCCACCTCGATGTTCAGAGTCGATGAAGCACCTTCATGAACATCGACGTTCGGGAGAACAAGGTCGCGGTTGTGGGAACCCTTCGAGTGCTTTTGTACAATCTCAGCCTTATTCCAGGACACTCGGTACGCATCCTCGTCGACTCACAGAAATCTTTTTAGTCACACCATTCTTAACCTTCCCCAGAAACCGACGGATTTTGCTACGAGGTCGGACCTGGACAAAAGATGCATCGGATTCAGTGACTCGTTCAAGTGCAATGGACTAGCGATTCTCATGAACAACGTACCGAGCTTTCACCAGCGATTGCTTCTCTCGATTGATTGTCTTCGTTCATTGCCGTTGAGGATCAGTCTGAGCAAAGTAGGGTGTGTGATTCAGTGTGAAATAAGTAGTTGGCGAAAGGGTAGGCCCTACACTTCAAGCGCTGAGCATTCGGTGGGTAACGGAATCCCGGGAAACGCCATAACAACTATAATCTGTCTAGATTCTAGAAGAGACTATGGAAACGCTGTAGGCCGATCGCGGACATGGCCATGGGCGATTAGCAATGCGTGCACGCAAGTCTGGCAGGGAAGTCGAGGACTACTACAGTCGAGCTCACGAAATCTTGCGCATCCTTCATCGCAAGTAATGATAGGCTCTGAAGCTATCGGACTTCTAAACGTCTCGATTCTCGACATCGTCTCCTAGCAGACCAATCGAAGGAAGACAGTCGTTCCTTCGTATTAAGATAAGTCCATTAATATTGTCCTTAACAACAACTACCGTTGCCAATACACATCCCAACGAAATGCGTCAGTCTGTTGCACCGGGTCGCATTTCACATTCAGCGTCCCTAGCCTCACAGTCCAATAATGCAGGAGAAGAAAAAAGAGTTTGAGGCTGTCGCTGCGCTTGAACGTGCTAGCGCTCTGTTCCTGAAACGCATAGAGGGTCTTGCGGACGATTGCGAGGTTATGGCTGATGCTGGCCAAGGTTTCGTACTCTCATCCTGATCTTCGTCCATTATTAATCTGCTTAAATAGTGTATGGTCAGGTGCTCGAGCAGTGGCCCCTCATGTTCCAAACCTTGAGCCTGTTTTGTGAGTAAATCATAAAAATCATGATTACTACTGACCATTCTGTAGTGAATAGCCGTGAACGGCACACGGCCGATTCCAGTGACGACATCACTTTACTCACAGAAGACCGACTTGTTCGTGTTCCACTCGACGAACTCTAGACCGGTACATCGAAACAGTTACCCTAACCGTATATCATCGCGTCACGGTTTTGTCACCTTCGACATACACACATACTCGGTGCCTGATACCCGATTTTGTGTTGCATCTCTGTCCCCCCTGCCCCTACTATGCCTGTACTTTTTCCAGAAGCGTCGGAACTCGCTCACTTACACCCGCGGCAATCCCGATACGGTCGATAAGGACCTTCCATGCCAGCGGACCCCGCACTTCGCCTGCCATTTTATATTTAGGTCATGATGTACGCAGATGCGGTGCAGCATATTGCTTAGTGGTATACCGTCTTTGAAGTATGACTGTTGGCGACTGATCACGAATGCCCAACACCACGGATTTCGAGCTTAATATCAACCCTAGGCAGACCATAGACGAATGAAGACAGCCATTCCTTCTGTCGCACTTGACTGTCTTGACGTATATCATTTGTGGGTCCATGAATTATCTGCGCGGCTTTGGCTCTGCTGCGATGTCGACTCTAGTACAGACATAAATCCGCCGTTCTCGCTGGGTCCCAAGGTTTACTGCTACGAGACCTTTTGGAACCTGTACGACGTTAAAAAAACAGATAGACAATTCTTAGAATGGATCCAAGCTGCAAGGCAGGAGAATGGTAGTTTGGTCTCTGCCCTTGAGTATGATCTCACCTACCCGCTTAAGAAGTCCACAACACTTGGAACCGTCGACCAAGATGGGAAAAAAAATCATCGCGTCTCACCAGGCCTGGCCATCAGTGCATTTCACTGGGGATGAAACATCAGCGCTCAGCACTAGCTTCCACCTCATACGGACCATCAGGGCTGCGATACTTCGTTCACTCACACCTCAATATTTCAATGAGCGTTTATTTGAGTCAAGAATTACTCAAGCGGCAGTCAAAGTGTCCAAGAGCAAGTCATATCGATCAACTCGCATCAACTAAGCAGTGTGCCATGAGCGCGACAGCACCAATACGAAAGCAGAAGCACAACTCACTCTGCAATACTACGTGCCAGCCTCTCGGTATCTTGGGAGTGCTTACTATGGCTAGTGGCAGGTACCCTTTCCCATCTCCTATCACAAGGCGCAAAAGATGAGTTCAAGGATCGGATTCCGGACGCAAAAGCATACTACTCCACTCACACACTGAAAGGAGCAGCAATCCTCGGGGCCACTGCACTTAGCGTCTGTCAACCCACATGGCGGGCTGAAATCAGGTGGCGTTGCACTGACAGACAGAGATGCTGTCAAAGCAGCAACGACGGCGAGGAAGGGGAAACGCATTATTTGCACGTGGTCACAGAAAGGATCTGTTTGAGAGGTTGCACAAGGCGCGGGGCAGAGACGGCTTGCTTTTATGTCCTGAACTTAACCTTGCTAACCATATGGGGAAATAAAAGGTAATAGTCATCTCTGTGACTAGCAGGAGAAATGGAGGCTAACAGTGTATGGATAGATTTGATTGAGTCATTAGGTATTTTACGAAACCGTTACACAAGTACTGAAGCATCAGGAAACCCACTGCCGAGCGAAGTGACTTGCAGCAGCTTGTAGCACAGCGCTTCTTTTGAATCGACTGTAGCAGCTTGTAGCAGCCAGTAGTAGCTGAAAGGACTAAAGCCTCCATACTGGCTCCGGGACTTGTTCAGTCAAAATTATAGTTTTAACTTCAAATGGTTTAGTTTGATTTGCTACGACGTGCTACCCGAGCTCCTGTAGCATTCGACTACTACTGTAGCGGGGTTTTGCTACTGCGCTTCGGCTTGCTACGTAGAACTATATGGTTCGAAATGTCCCACTGATGAAGTGCGAGCTCACCGCCAGCGAGTGGATTGAAATGTCTTTCGGGAGATGAGTCTCACTGGACAGTTCTGATCTCATTAGGCAGCATGTGCACAAAGCTTGTCGATTTTGTAACAGTAATTAAATAATAAAATGAGCAGATTTTAATTGTCGGTATCTTAAGTATAAACCCATTACCAAAGCAGTGAAGCGAGTGCTGGATTGAAATGTCCTAGACAGATAGTTCGAGTCTCATTATGCTCATGATGGTCACAACCATGCTGAGCGCGTCCGAAGTAGTAACAGTTTCGACCTGCATTACTGGCGATTGGCGAAGTTACTTACCTTTAGCGGTTGTTTGTTCGTGTTGAAAACGGAAGGTGCTTCATGGAATCTTCTGAGTCGTAGCTTTGACTCTGCTACGTGTAGTAGTACAGAACTAAATCTGTCGTTCTCGTTGGGTCCGCACTCCCAAGGTTGACTTGTGCGAGACATTTTGGAAATTGTACTACGAAACGGATAGATGTGCAATTCTCGCAATGGGTCTAAGTTCTGTCCAGACTCGGCAGGCTACTTAATCTGCATGCAGGAGGATGTTAGTCTCGTTTCGTTCCTTGAGCATAATCTAACACACCCGCTCAGCGGGTCAACAACTCCACCGTACTTTTAACCCCCAACTCCCTCCGCAAGCTGATACTCGCCCTTGCTATACCCCGTGCTTATCAACTTGATCACGTTTCTGAAGTGAATCTAAATAGTTCGAAATAACGTAGTTAAGCACTGCGAAAGGTATGCGAATAGCCATCAGCAAACCGGTGAGTTCTTGCTAGCGATTATGTAAATTGCGGTGGTTTTACATGATCATATATTGCTTTATATTCTAATGTGACGAAACGCGAAACTATATATGACAATATCTACGGCTCACCGGTCCTCTGATGGCGTACCGCTCCACAACAAGGGGTGAGAAGGGTACGAGCAGATATAGTGGAACAGAACGGGAACAGAAAACACAGAAGAACAGGAGATGATTCAATCAGTAGTCAAACAGCCAGGATGTGGGAAGTGACGTAGAGAGAGAGGGAGCTCGTGATCGAGGCTATAGCAAGCGCAACCGTTACAAAGAGGAATCGCGATCTAATTGCTGCGAGTTAACTTCTTAAGAGAAGCAAACACGCTAACGGTGCGAATGCGCATGAAATATGTGAACCAGAAAATAGCAATAATCTACAGATGCGTACATGAGCACGAGATCCAAGCAACATCCGACAGTGACTCACGTTGAATGCGACGAATCCGAAGACGATACCTAGGTTACGCCAATGATTGCTGTATTGAATGTTGAACTTCGAGTCCATGTACTGGTCAGCAGTCTTGTAGGGACAGTACTGGCAGCCCCCTGCGGCCTCAGCGTCCGTGAGGTAGCCGCCGGCGAATTCCATGAAGGGACCCATGTATTGGCCGCACGTCAAACCCTTCGGCGGGTTGACGGAGACGAGTTCTGTGAAAGAGCAGCTAATAGCTTCCCCGCCAATAGCTACGAGGACTGAAATGAATACGAGTATCCAGCAAGAGATCACTCACTCACCTTGACCAAGTAGACCCTCGATTATGTATGTGTAAGGAGAGACTCTGTACATCCATTTCCACCAATTAAGCTCCATGAACGGCTGGATGACGCCATCACTGGTGGATTATTAACATGAAGTAGCGTGGCTCAAAGGGTGCACCTCACAAGACCATGATAATCATAATGAGAGCTGTGTAATATAGGGATGCAATTGGAGCGGTCGGCGCCATGGACGCGATGCCGTGTCCAAGCGTGGTATAGTACAACGGGAACGCGATACAGAGCATGAGGAACGTGTAGCCTGCCCGGTCCGTGGGGAATCCAACAGTCCAGTACCAGCAGAAAAAGAACGTTGCCGAACTTGACATGTTCCAAGGAAGTTCAGTAACAAGCTGCGACATGACGAGAGCAGTCCAGTTATACATTCTACTAGGACGTTCACGGATTTCGTACACTGTGCGAATGTCGATGTAGACGGCCATGAGCTGATGGACGAGGGCAATGCAGAGCATAATGGAGAAGAAGATTGACTAAAGAGGTGTGAAAAGGTGATTAAACGAAGATTCTAAGGGATAGGCTTACGAACAGCTTGTTCTGGGTGCCCTGCAAAGAATTATCTGCCTGGAAGAATGTGAAGCCCGCAAGGAGACCACCAGCGATGTTGAGCACAAACTTGGCGCGGATATACGTAGGATTGCGCCAGTATGCTTGGAAATTCCGTTGGGTGAGGGCAACGAACTGGTGAGACCATGAAGTGGGGAATATGGGGTAGCGAGCGCTAAGCGGTTGTGGGCGAGTACGACCATTTTCATGCATCTTTTCGATCTGAACTTGAAGCTGCGCCGCTTCTGATGAATGCTTCCAGACATCGTACCAATCCGTGGTGGAGACAGCAGTTGATCCAGCACCTATTACGTCGAGCATGTATTCCGCCCTTGCATACCATAGTAAGCATAAGACCTGGTATGACTGCACCTTACTTACGGGTTGGCGTCGGATCCGCAGCGTGGGGCCCCATTACGCTCAAAGTAGTTCAGCATGGTCGAGGAGTTCTCGCCAATGTCGCCAAAGTAGACGGTCTGTCCACCCTTGCAAAGGAGCAGCAATCTGTCAAAGACCTGGAAGAGCTCCGCTGAAGGTTGATGGATTCTTGTACAGCTCATAATCAGTTGAAAACCCACACAAAGAAACGGAACCCACGTGCAGAGAATGGCCTGACCATGGTCAGCAAGCTCACGAAGGAACTGCACGATAGCCCAGGCAGATTGCGAGTCGAGGCCAGACGTGGGCTCATCCAAGAAGAGTAGAAGTGTGGGCTGTGAGGCGCTGAGCACAACTTCAGCCTGAAGGATTTATGTTCGAACCTTGGCAGCGAGCTCCACTGCGATGCTGGTGCGTTTACAGTGCTCAATCCCAAGAGAGCCAACGATAGCATCTGCGTAATCCTCTAGATTACACATTCTAAGACACTTGTCAACACTGCACTGGAAAATTACGTGGGAATTCATCATGGGCAGAAATCGTACGCACTATGCTTCTTTTTCAGCGAGAGGAACCGACTGGGGCTGGCGAAGATTAGCAGAAAAAAGGAGCGCTTCACGAACAGTTGCCTCGGGAAGGTGAGTGTCGCGTTGTTGGCAGTAACCACTAAACATTACAGTCAGCTAAGCTCAGAACAATGAAGACGATACTTGCATCTGAGCTTGGAAGTCCATGGGGAGTAGTTGTCCGTTAACGAACCGGTCACCAGTCACCACACCAGCACCGACGCGTTGTGCAAGAATATTCAAAAGTGTGGTCTAAAAGCATTCAAGTAAAGGGCATGCGTGACTGATATCATAGGAAGTTATACCTTCCCAGCGCCAGATTCACCCATCAACACGGTAAGCTTCCCAGGGGCAGCAAAACCCGTAACATCATCAAGAAGGCGTTTCATCCCACCTTCAATGGGGACTTCATACTGCAGGTTCTGCCACGTGAAGAGGTCCGTGACCATGGTGTGCTTCTCGAGATCGCCGAACGTCGAACCATGAGCTGACTTGGAGCGGCATCCATAACGAAAACCTGCATCTACCTCCTCCTCGTCAAGTACCTCGACATTCCCATCGATAGCACTAGAGCCTTGCTTAAAGAGAACGGTGGCGCTGTTGAAAGCAGACGAGGTGTTGCATTCTGTGGCAATTAGGAGAACAGCCAAGAACCCGAGGTGGAAGGCACAAATGACACCAAGGTTCTAGGGTGATGTCATCAGTTATTCACAAAGTAATACTAGCGCGACCGGCGTACCCTCCAAAGATGACCATACCAAAAATCGTACGTAAATCCAACATAGATGTTGCCATCAACGAGAAGCTGCCCGGGCTGCGATCCGACTGTTATACAAACCTGATTTTCAAGTGAAACATTATAATAGCCAGGGCCCTGAGGGACAAGAGTGGAGCAAACTCCGTCGAGCGTATGGAACTCGTTCACAATAAGTGCACCGAATCCCCACCACAAAGGCTAAGATGGCGATATTGATATTAATCGAAAGAAGTTCCTGCGAGGGATGACGCACGTTCAACCACATAATCCACCGCAAGCATGTCGGAGCAGTTGGCCAAGGAATTGTGGACCCAGCATAGAGCGATATCAAGAGAATGAAGATACCACTGACAGCCAATGCGCTGGAAAGAGTTTTAAAGCTTGCAGCAATAGCTCTGAATAATGACTTCATGGTTTGCGACATTAAGAAGATGACAAGGTAAAATATACTGTTGTGCAGCAGGGTGACCATTAAAGCTATAGGAGCAAACAGCTTAAAGAACTTACAAAAACTGCGCAGCAGAACGCTGCAATCCAGTCAGGAAGTAAAGTATCACAGCGAAAAGCAGTTGAATGATCAAAGTGATCGGAATATCGACGACAGTATGCGCCAGGCTTTCGATACACGGGTAATGCAACGCGGCTTTCTGGTGGCGAAGCACGATTGGACGCTGAAAGAAAAGTGTAGGGACTTCTGCAACAGATGTAAAAAGACTGAAGAACAGGGAGCTGAAAGAAACGTGAGGCACAACTTGGGTCGAGATAGGGGAAGATACTTACAAGAACAGAACAACTCCACGGGAGAAATAGGCTGAAGTGTCATTTGGCATGTTGAGAAAGACGCTGCCAAAATATATCCCTTGGAAGACCTGGGAACTACCATCTAGTGTCATCGAAGGCTGGACAAAAAAAGAATGCCACTCACGCCAATAGTACAAAGAGCTCGAACTTGTCACCAATAATAACTTGCAGACGGCGCTTCATGACTGATTTGATTTGCTGGGGGATAGAAGTCATGTACGCAGTGGACGTGTTGGTATGTTCAGCAGCCACACTGGACAGATATGCCTGCTTGCTGTCGTCATTGCCAACGCAGTGCTCGCGGTACTGTTCGATCGTTTTCTGATTCTGACGACCAAGGTCAGAAGTCCTGAAACGGCTAGCAAGTTCCTCCGACGTCTGCGGGACGAAGCTCTCATATCCGGGTCGTATTTTCCTCCCGTTCGGGTCCGTCACTGATAACGATCATTATGAGACAATGTAAGAACACCGGAATGCCGTACCTGCGACCAGAAAATCGGGGGTTGTCTGCCTGTTCTGGGGCTCGAAGCCTATATCAATGAAATAATCTTTGGCTGACTTTGTCGAACCAAAGTAGGCCATCTTCCCTCGATCGACAACGCAGACCTTGTCAAACAAATCATACAATTGCTCGCCCGCCTGGTAAAGGGAGACGATCGTCGTCGTGCGTTTGACATCTGTGATGACACGCAATGCGCGAACAAACTCAAGGGCAGTCGAGGAGTCTAGTCCGCGAGTGGAACTAGATAAAAATCAAGTCAGAAGAATACCACGTTAGATGACAAAACCTTACTTATCCCATGCACCAAGCGAGCCTGCAGAGCATAAAGCTTCTGCGATAGAAACTCGCTTTCTCTCGCCACCGGAAACACCTTGAATCTGAGCATTACCGACCAACGTATTTCTCGAATCCCAGAGGCCCAATACTTTCATCAGCATCGTGGTGGTATCCTTAACATGGTCCTCGCGCGTCTGACCGAGAAGACGTGTTGCAGGAGTACGATTTCTGACAGCGAAAGAGAGGGTCTGGTTGACGGTCAGGGTCGGGAAGTGGATGTCATCCTCCGGACAGTAAGTGATATCGCCACGGAAGGAGTCGTGGACCTCCTTCGGGGTGAATGAATCATAGAAAACTTGCCCCTCAACAGCATGATACTCCCCACGTTGGTTAGCAAGCGTCTTCAGCAAGGTCGAGCACCCGGAGCCGGGACGGCCGAGGACCACTATATAGAGGGTCAAGACTGGAGTTCGAGGAAGGACGTGCACTTACGAAGCATTTCGCCAGGAGCGACCACCCCCTCGAATCCGGACAAGATGTCTTTGATTGAGGAATGGCGAATTTCCCTTATCTTGCGCAGAAACGTGGAGGGATGGAAAGTGTCACCCACGGTGGGCTGGAGAGAAGTACAAGAACCTGCACCAACGACACGCAAGTCCTTGAACACGACACCGAGTCTGCGGTCCTTTATTCCTTCATTTTGACGGCTGAGGGAGAGATAATGATAAAATGTCAAATTAGACGGTCCATGCAAATCACTACGGAACACTTGCCGTTTCATGAGGTCTCTGAGTACCTGCTCAAAATCAAAGGCTGGTTCATTTTCTATGGTGAATACGTCTGACGATTTCTTCTTAAGGAGCGAAGGAGCGGATTTGTCCGAATCTAGGTCTGAAGGTAGGTTGTAGGCTAAAGTAGCAAGCTGGGTGGCTGAGGGGTTGGTCAGTCTATCAGTAACCGGGGCATATTGCCTTGCTGGATGGAGAGACATAACAAGAACGAGTCTACAATGAAACGCAGGTTCCAACAACTTGGAGGAGTGAAAAGGCTACCAACAGGAATATGCGGGCGAAGTTGCTCGGTTTGGTGTACGGAGAGCCTGCCAGTCAGTCTTTTATAGTGGATACTGTTTACTCACGGCCAACCCACTTAGTTCTGAGAAGTATACATTACCAACGCTGGAGGAACGTACCTGTAGGCATTCTGCCACCCAACATGGTAGTAATTCGGAAAAGGAGTCACCTTGCGCTATAATAAGTTCAGGTTTAGATAGTAAGGTCTAGAAGACTTAGTACCGAACTTACCGACTTCTTCCAGCGGGAATTACAGTACACATTCAGAATGCTTCCATCATCAAAGTCTCGTAACGTCAAAGCATACCGATTGCAAGTCTGAGTGACCTAAATTATTGTTCGCAGTGCGTGGAGCGACAGAAATCAACCTCGAAGCTTGCTCGCTGGTCTAGTGGCATGGCAATATTGACCTCGATTCGCAATTACAGGACGATGGCCCGGGTGCCAGCTCCGCTGGCCTGGGGAAGAGCGGGAATGCGAGAACACCGTGTCAACTTGTTGTGGAGTCCGGTGTCCGACTCTGTACATTAATATTGAGTGTGACAAAACACCCTAGCAGGTGTATCGATACATGCTCGCCATAGCAATAAGTCATGAATGCATACTTCCGAGTCCACAGTGCTCCCCAGTGGCTTCTTGTATCCATACTCTGCTGGCACTGACTAAAACCAATATTGTGAATCGAATCTATGATAGATCTGATACTTACTTCTGTCATTGTTTCTTGACCGCCAGGCTTCAGAGTCCGTGTTCCCGGCCTCTAATCTACGGTCCATTTAAGGGAATAACGGAAATAGTTGTTTTCTTAGGCACATATCAACCCACGGGGGTACTCTCAGAGTAGTGACTAGTATTCCTAGTGAGGCCAACGGCGAGTAGACCGAGCGACTGAGATGACCGAGCGAGGAGGCGAAGTAGTACTAGTGTGGGATACCATACACGAGACATGAAATATGCGGTAGCCTGTGGATGTAGGATACGTGCCGGAGAGGTGCATGAGATAGGTATGAGGTGTACAGTAGAGATGACGCAGGGGATGCCACCGAAGTGCGGGAGATATACAGCATGATGCAGGAAAATATAGGGTGTGCAAATCGGATGCACAGAAAAGACTTGGGATGAGCGTCAAAGGCACCGGAAGAAGAGCCGTGTAGCAGAGACGACGCATGAGGTACGGCGGAAGTGCGGGAGATACGAAAAATATCGAATGTACAAATTGGACGTGCAGAAAAGACGTGGGATGGGCGTCAAGGGTGCAGGAAGAACAATGCGAGACATATTCGGGAAAGACTTGTGACGCGCGAGAGCGACTTGGGATGTGCGAGAAAGACACGGGACATGATGCAGGAACTTGCAATTGTCAGACACAGCAAAAAAATTGCCCAAAACACGGAAGACTCACTTGGCACAAGATACTCAAGTAGTACTAGAGCTCAAGCATATGTATGCTACACAATTTTCTTCACAACATGATGAACTCTATCACGCTTGATAGTCAGTTTTCAGTTATTAGTAGAACGCACCTTCATTGTAGAATGATCTAAGTCAAGCACCTCATGTACGTGCATAGTGCTGCATTTTGAAGTGAGACAGTCACAACCGTGCACTAGTGAGTCATAAAGTCGAACCATCGATGCATGGACACAGCCACACTTCAGGACACTTTCAAGATTCAAGTAAAAGTGAAATATTTAAGTACCTACAAATAACCTACAAATATGCCTTTTATTTTCTTTGTGACAGCGCATGACCCATCAATATCATGAGAGTGAGATAAAAAAAAATTGGAGCACACAATTCAAGTTTTGGCGATCTCAGGCCAGATGGAGTGTCACAGTTGCATGGGTGAATGGACATGTACGAAACAATCAATACTGTGCACTGAGCAGGTGTAGGCTAGCAGCGGCCGCTGAAATCCGAGAAGCAGGTGCTTCGAAATTCTATATGTTTCCGAGAACCAGGAAGGTCAAAAGAACGAGTGTATATTTACATAGACGCCAATGGTACATCCTAAATGTATACACGCATTAGTGGGACCAATGATCCTCTTCAAGTATGCATCCATGGTTTGTAACAGTACCGGTACTTATGACAGTGTAACCTCAGTATGAGAGTGCATGAGGGGTAAGTCGCTGGGTACATAGTTGTTGTGAGGCGAACATGTACTAGAAGCTTGATTAAACTCTTGCAGGCCACCTCAGGCCACAAAGTTTGACGTTGTTCGGAATCGTAACACGGCACCATTTTGCATCGACTCACCTCCTGAGGCTTGAAGCAAAGCGCTTATCATAGGGCAACGTTGCAACTTTGATCCGGCCCATGTGAAACCAGAGGCAAGGACGGATGTGTGCACAAAGAGCATAGAGCAACTACCCAATGCGGTGAAATTGCTATGATTTTCACGCTGTCATCGCGCTGTCACAGTAAGCACCATAAATTTTGACAGCTTGGCTTCTCGATCGCATACCTTTTGATCGGAGGAATACAAGCTCGTCTTGCTGCATAGATAGATGATAGATTCCCCAGCCGGATGGGGGCTCTAGGATAAAATTATCTTATTTCGAGACATCTCATCACCTAACCCTGTAAACTTCACGAGTACTATCGATGCAACCGTTCGCGTTGGCCATCAGGACAAAAGGACAGTCAATAGCATAATAGCCAGGATATGAAATGTGGGATGTACTAGGGAGGGGAAGGGTTGGTGTCCGCATGTCTGAGTCTATCCATGCGTATGAGTTCATGTTTTTTTTGGACATTGTCGGTGGGTAGGACGGATCTTGGAAAAGGAACTGCAGGAAGGGAGACAGCAAGGGTACAAGTGCGAGGACACAAAGAACAAGACGAGCGTAGCAATTAATATGCAAGAGGAGCGAACGCGGTGCCGAGCGTCCGAGGCGGAATCCAATATGAGCATCTCTGAGCGCAGATATACTCTGCTTCAAGCGAGCCGGGAAATTCATGATCTATAAGGGAGTCCGTTGACAATGTAGGATCAGGGATAGAAGTCACAACACTATCGAGTATTCTGCAGGGAGAAGGGAACAAATATCAGCACCACACCATCAAAAGCAACCCAAAACCCATTAGACGCCTGCATTACGCCTGCATTACGCCTACCTCCCCACCCAAAATCACCACGCTGCCCGCCACCAACAACACATCTTCCAGCACCCCCGCAAGCGTCAGCACAGCACCTACCAGAAATACAGCATATTCAGAAGGAACACGAGTGGCAGAGCACTGATGTGCAGTACCACAATTTGTGTCATCTCCTCACCTATAACGATGAGTGCCCCGCGCTCTCGGTGAAAGGTGTGACGTAGAGGTCGATGAACGTGTAGATGGGTGGGTAGAGGTATAGGGAGACGAGGGGGTCTGTCTTGAGCTGCGTGGGAGCGTTTGGATGAGACAGGGCTTGAAACTGCGAAAGCATGGTGAGTGTTTGCCAGGAGGGAGGCAAGGCATTAATGCCCAGACTCAGAGAACAAAACAACACTCACCCGACTCCTCCGGCCTGAATAAAAAACCCAATCAAACTGAATCACCCTGGCTTGCGATCAACACCGCAGGACATCATGAGAGCGATGGACAGCAGAAAAAGAGGCTCGGAGGTGTACGCTCGGGATAAAAACGCATGGACGGAGGACAGATCCGATTACTATCATTAGGCAGCATTATGGGTATTACAATGTCGGCTCTGTACGTAATAGGATTGCTCCATGCTGAGTGCGTCCCTCGGAAGTTTTGACCTGCTGGCAGTTCGAAGTAGAGTTGATCACGGGGAAATTGACGGTCCTCCACTGGATTATCAATTTTTCATACGAAGTAAACTTTTTACTTTTTCGCGGTTGTTTGTTCGTATTGAAAACGGAAGGCTTTTAGATAATGACACCGAGATCTAGACGGAGATGCTGGCGGTTGCGCTCAGTGCGCTGAGCTTCGTGGGTACATCGAAGTTGCGTTGTACGCTGTACTGAAGTACGTAGTATCATCTACAGTATGATACACTTCCGACCGGTGATAGCCACCAGTGTCTGTGACTGTTAGTTCCCAGGGCGGTGCTCTTCTTCTTGCAATTAACCACGAGCCATTTCTCTTAGTCTTCGCACTCCTCTAGGTCATGCCCCTCCTGTAACGTCCAATTCGGAGCATGATGGAAATAGTCATCAGGTGCATTTTTAGCGAAGATTCTTGGAGGCAGCGTTGTGCTCGGCGAACGTTGAGGATCGTCTAATTCTCCTGGCTCCTCGACTATATTATCGGTATATTCCACCCTCTCCCTTTCTTCTGTTCGGGATGGACCAGGTAATATGGAGGTGCCCGTGTCGGTGGCCACCACTGCGATTTGTAACTCATACTCGGACGGGGTGGTGACCACGGTTGGGAGAGCATCAGAATGCAATATCGCATCGACCGCCGTCCCAACCATCCATTCTGACCCAGAGTTTGGTGATGTCGTAAAGTGCATACCTAAAGGGGCAGCATCAGGCTCGCAGTATCCCCCCATGGTAGACTTGTCTCGGAAAACATTCTGGATGTCTTCTCGAATTCGTTGCAAAGAGCCTGTGCCTGACAGAAAACCTGGGCTGGGACGTAAATCCGATGATGGCTGCGTGGAGTTGGCGTCATGTGGTTGCTGAGGGGAATCCATGGAAGTGGTGGGGCGGTATTGTCGCGTCGGGGGGATAGAGGAGTTGGGGTGGTTTTCACGATGGTCTGAGCCCGGTATTTCTGGTTGAAAACCAGGTAAAATTGATGCATCCGCTCCAGCGATGGGGAAAGGGTTGATCCCTTCAGCGTGGGATTGGGGGTCGTCTCTTTGGCCTTTCTTCATCCCCATAAGCTCCACGAGCTGCTTCCAAGCGTCAGCCAGAGAAGTAAATAGTTCCAAGAAGATTAGTTTCGTCTGCCGCCACCAGCGATCTCCTCTGCTACTGGTTCGAATGACGCCGAACGAGATCACTACAAGTGCGAGCAGTATCACGGAGCCAACAACGGCCCGGGAAGTTCTATCTCCAGGACCCCACCAATTGATGGAGAATGCCGCGAAGAAGAAGATCATACTAACATATTTGAATAAGTTCGCCCGTCTATTATATTAGGGCACGGACTCACCCCCACATGAGCAACGTTTTTGGGAGGCTGTAAATTATGGCCAGTCTTTCAAGTCTGCGCTCTTTCTCACCAAGTCCCGATAGAAAAACTTCCTGAATAAACTGCCATGAGAATCATTATGATCACACATTATAGTTACTGACCCCTTGGAGGACCGTACCTTGGCCCAAGGTTCGAGTATGTGAAACAAGCAACAAGCCAATAATCATGCTTCCCAAGCTTGCCACGAGAGACATGTAGCTCGCCACCTGAGTAGGGGATCTACCGCTCATATCAACAGTGTTGATAGCGAGAAATCCAACATTGGCATTGAGTAAGACAGTGGCCTGGTTCGACATCATTTTCACACGCGTGCACGACAATGAACAAATAGATTTACCAGTAGGGTGGAATCCTGAAGCTGCCCATTCAGCTTTGCGTTGAATGCATTCCACCGCTCTGAGGAAGGCGTGTTGTCAATAAAAGTCGTGTGGAGTTCTCGAACTAGTGCCAGGGGGTCCAAGAACAGGAAGGGTGCAAGAACGACTATCAACAGTGACGGAGTATATGGATGGACTGTCTGTTCAAAGGTCAGTCTCACACTGCTCTCCCCATGAGAGTTGACAAAGTGATTTCGACCTGGAAAATGACCAAATTACAGCTAGAAAGACAAGATGATAAATCACTCACTGAATGCATACATAATTCGACCTTAAAAAAGAATAGTTAAGATCAGGAAGTGAATGAGCTCAATTTTAAAGTGTCACCAATGACAATTGCGGCGTGACATCGCTGCATCTTCTGGTCTATAGAAGAATAGACTTCGAGAAATGGTATTAGCACATGAATTCAACGATGGTGTATCGACTTAGCGTACCCTTGATCTTATCTACAATAGACAGATAGTCTCTGATTTCGATGAGATCGAACGACGCAGTAGACTGGCGCGAGCTTAGGTGGTCTGATGAAACAATTAAATCATGCTGACTCGTTGTAAGAGTGTACTGACCACATTTCGCATACAGCAACATATCCTTGACTTCATCGACAAGATCCTGCGTAACTGGGCACAAGCAAGGGAAGTACTCGCAATGTTTCCTACGGTTCAAGTCAGTTTACTTGAACGACAACCTGAAACTCAGTTAGGCATAGAACTGCTAAATGTGCTGGTGCGAACCTTGACTAGAACACACCAATATTGTGCTTGGATGGCGAGCCCTTGGTTTGGAAAACCAAGATGGATCGTTAAATTTAGAATTGCCGAGAACCATTAACTGCCCACGTATGTGTGAAAGATTCTCCACGCCACTACAATCTGAGAGAATATCTTCGGTATTGTATTCATCTAACCAGAAGAGGCATCTGTCACGGTGGTTAGCGAAATAATAACAGCCAACGATTGTATCGCCATTGGAGAAGACCTTCGGCTCGAGCACAAGGTCCACTTGCGACATGTCAAGCTCAAGGTCCCCGTGTTTGTGGAGTTCATACAGCAAGTACTGCATGTAGTATTCGATCTTCTCGCGTACGTCTTTTTCGCAAATATTCATTTGTGTGAATGTTCTCTGTGTGTTGTAGCTCTGATTCAGATCACCAGTGTCCAATAATTCATGAAGTTGACGTACTTTTTCTTGGTGGACAAAGTAGCAACAACCTTGCGGATGCACGAGCTTAGTCCATCCTGGGGGTACAGCCGCGCTTGAAAATTTTCAGGTGACGCATTCAAACGATGAACACATAGCTTACTCGTGTACAGGAAATTTCACGGTCATGGCAGGAATGGCAGTTCGGGAAGGTACAGAGCTCCTTTAGCAAGTTCAGATGTACGGTCAAGGCAAGAAAGGGGATATTCATTGTTGACCTTGGTATGTACTCTTCACGCCGCCTGACCTCTTCTGCAACCAGGAGACCTATTGGCGGGCCGCCGTCGTAGACCATGGGGAGCGCTACTTCCGATCCTAGTCGCTCGGGGCTGCCAGGCGGAGCAGTATCATAACGACGATGGTCGCTACCCGGATCAGATATTGATACCGCCTGGATAGGCGAAGCCAATGGAACAAAAATTGTGTGCGGGGATCCGTGGTGTATGGAGACGCTATGGACGCTAACTGGATGAGAACCAACGCGTCCCTTGTGTGTTCGATATGGAACTTGTCGACTTTCTGACGTAGCAATCGATCGTGTTAGGGAGCGATCGGTGCCCACCGAAACACGACCAACAGCATCTGTGTCCGTAGATCTACGCATGATGGCACTACGGGCTAAATGTGGGCGAGAATGAACAGTTTTTGTGTATGATAGATATTTCATCGAGTTCACTCTCGTCGGAAAGCCCACTGGTCTGATTATCTCCGCGCCGCGTGTTGTATTGATAGAATGAGTATTATCCATGTATCCTTGGGATCGTGATCGCGGTCTGGGTAATTCATGGAAGTCGGAATGGCGCGATGTTCCTGGGCTGCTGGACTCCTGCAATTGGTCGTTTAGAATCGTCCTGTCGCCCACCGAGCTCTCTCCCATCTGCAGAGACAGGTGCAAACTTGACATAGAGCCCTGATGAAGCCCGCTTGATTCGGTTGCATTGGGGTATCCTGTCGTCGTCGGATTAGCTTCCAACGGAGGTGACCCTGTGCCCTTGCACAAAGGTCGTGAATCTCGTGAATGGGTTCCTGTGTAAGGATCATCTGAATGGGATGAAGGCTCTCCCATTGGACCACTGGCAGGAGGCAAAAGACTGAAACAAATGGGTACATCATCGCCTGCGATGTCCACTTCAAGGGCTCGCAGTAGAAATCCGCTGGAGAGACGAGGCTGGCTGATCAATCTCGAATTTCCAGCCTGAGGCTGTGCATGACATCTAGTAGATCGGCGGAGTGAAGATAACAATAAGAAGAATAAACTGGCAGAACGGCGAGTAAGTCGCAAAAACCATTTTTTCAGTGCGCTGAGAATGTGAACGAGGGATGGTGGTGTCATGATGATGGAGAAATACAGTGATGTGTCGCACACCGCACTGCATGTTCGAGCGCTTGAGGCTCAAGCGCTCATGACTTTGAACTGCGGTGTTAGAATGATACGATACTTACCAGTAAAGAAGGAACGACTATCTTCGTTCGTCAAGTCTAGGGGAGGCCTAGTCTGCATGCACTGGCGCTAGTGACATGCATCAGAAGGAGGGGCAGACTGTCTTACTTCTCAGATTGGGTTTGCCTACGGAAGACTACTAGTTAGTGGAGACCCCGCTATACCCGGCTTTTCCAAACTTGCATTCAATCTAATTCCTAATACTTAATCTACTTCCTTCGAATTGAAATATGCAACACGAATAGCTACTACATAAGCACTGCAAAAGAAGTCTAATACGCGTCAGGATAACGTACTCCACTCCACAGGAGGTGAGCAGGGAGCAAGGCACGAGCATTAAGAGGGACGAAGCAGGACGGGAATATAAAATATGAAAGGACAGTATGTCAGTAGTAAAACGGCTAGCATATGCAATGTGGAGACGTGGGGAGGGGAAGCAATGTATTAGTCTGTCTATCTATGCGTATGAGTTTGCCCGTGAACGTCGTCGTCGGTGTTGTACGAGGTACGACGGGAATGGGAAGTCATAAAACAAGGTGAGCGCAATAATTTGCGAGCGAACGCGGTGCTGAGCATCTGGGGAGCAATCCAAGATCAACACCTCCTGTGCGAATGGACTCTGCTTCAAACAAGTCAGGAAAATCAAGAGCTGGGGGATGTATAAAAGGGAGACGGGTCACAATGTAGGAGCAGGGTAAGTGACAAACGGCACTCCTGGAAGAATTCTATATGCTGCAGCGCCAAACGCTCAGCGCTCACTTCCCACCCGACACCTTAAACATCAGTAATCCACACAACGCTATCGAGTAAGTATCCTGCACGAACTATATCAACACCACATCAAATACCAAAAGCAACCTGAAACGCACCACATACGTGCATCACACCCACCTCCCCACCCCAAATTACCTTTCTACCAACAGCACGTCTTTCAGCACCCCTGCAAGCGTCAACACCAACCCGCTCCCCGCGCCCACCAAAAACACAGCGGCAATATTCAGCAGGAATACGAACAATGCGTTCGTAAACAGCAGGGCATGATGTGAGGCACCTCTTCACCCAAAACGACGAGTGCCATGAGCGACAGCACCGATACGAATGCAACAGCACGACTTACTGCAATGCTACGTGCTAGCTCTACGGTAATCCGGGAGTCCTTAATATGATGGTACGCAAGAATTGTTGTGCTATCACAAGGCGCGTAAAGGTGAGCTAAGGGGTCAGATTCTGGATGCAAAGGATACTACTCCTACTCACACATCGACCAGTGAGGCACTCGTAGTCTTTATTGCACTGGTCGCGAATTAGACTGTTGAACACAGCTGGTATCGCACTGACAGACAAAGATGCTGTCAAAGCGACAACGATGGCGAGGAAGGAGAATCGCATTGTTCGCACGAGGTAAGGTACAATCTGTTTGAGGAGCTGTGGATAACTGCGATGGGGAGTTCAGTGCAAAGGTGGCCTGCTTTCATGTATGTCCTGAAACCCCCACTAACCATCTTGGGAATGAACAACGGTATGGAGTAATGGTCGCCGGAGTAAAACAACCAGGATATAGTAGGGACAGGGAGGAAGGGAATGTCTGTATGTATTAGTCTATCCATGTGTTTGAGTTCAATGTGTGTTTTGGAACGTCGGTGGTGTTGTACGAGGTAGACGGGTGGGAGGAGAATTGGAGGGAGACAACGAGGTGTGAGGATGTACAAGTGAGGACAGAAAACAAGGTAAGCACAATGATATGCAAGAGGACGAACGAACGCGGTAGCGAGCATCCGGGGACCGGGGGGCAATCCAAGATGAGCATCTGGACTTTGCTTCAAGCAAGTCGGGAAAACTAAGAGCTGGGGAATGTATGCATAAGCGAGTCGGGTAGCAGGGTAATTGATAAACAAGGCGCTCTAGATCGTGCAAGAACTCTATATGAAGCGCCAAGCGCTTACTTCCCGCCTGATACCTTAAACAGCACCAATCCGCACAACGCTATCGAGTATCCTGTACGAAAATAGAGATATCAGCACCGCATCAAATGTCAAACCCAACCCAAAACGCACCAGACGCCTGTATTACACCCACATCTCCACCCCAAATCACCACGCTTCCCGTGACCAACAACACATCCTTCAACACCGCCGCAAGAGTCAGCACCAGTCCGCTCCCCGCACCCATCAAAGATACTGTTGCAATGATGAGCAAGAACGCAAACAGCTCGTTCGTGAATAGCAGGGAGGGCGTGGTGTGAGGTACGGCGGTCTGTACCATCTCGTCACCTATAACGACCCATGCGGCAACTGCTGAGACGGTTGCATAGGACATCGATGTGCTGGCCAAGGCAAACGTCGCGCCGTAGCTTTACTATACGAGCCCACAACACTCGTCCATACTATGCGAAGTAGCTCTGCGTCCTCAGTGAAATATATCACACGGAGGTTGATCAGCGCTCATACAGGCGCGTAGAGGTGGAGAAAGACGAGGGGGTCCATCTTGGGCCCGTGCAGGAGGGCTTGGATGAGCACGAGACGGGTGGCTCCGAACTGCGAAGAAAGGTTAGTCAAATATGTTGCCAGCGAGGCAATTAATGCCCGGACTCAGGAACTCACCCCGACTCCTCCAGCCTGAATGAAAAACTCAACTGAAACTGAACTAAACCGCCTCTTACCCTTGCTTGTGATTACAACACCGGATGAAATTATGAGAACGATGAGGAGCAGCTTGCGTGAAGGTTCGCTTATCTGGGTGGCCCATGTAATGAGGATAGCTACTGAGGAGATTGCCTGCGTAGACAAGGTAGAGGTTAGTGTGCGTTGGGTAAAGGAGAAAGGGCTCAGAGACATGAATGAAGTGGCGAAGGAGAGCGCGCGACGCATAAGTTATAACGGCACGCGTGGACTGAGGTAAGAGAGCCAAGCAAGATAGGGCGAGCAGCAATGTCACGTTTGCAGTAGAAGAACAACCGTACTATGGTTCGGTTCTGTCTGACACATACGTGCTTTCACGCGACCAAATGGACTAGCTAAATATTGCTACCCTCTGCATCGCAATTGCAACCATTCAAATCCGCACAAACGATGCTGTTGCGACTTCAGACGTGGGCACGAAGGACGTCGTAAATCGGACAACTTTCAAGTACTTATCATTCGGACGCTGAAAAGCCACATTTGCCTGGTCTCTGACACATGTTATGAAAGTGTCAACAATGCAATTTTTACCCTCATCTATGTACGGTCGACATTCATTCTTTAACCGCCCTTCGCGGATGCCATACGAGTACGTCACTAGCCAATGGACGCACGTCATACTCTCTGGCTTACCTGATGCTAACTTCAATTAACTTAGGCACAACTGACAGAGTGACGCATGTGTTTGACGTAGTTGGTCGGGTGGATGAATTGTAGTGCAAAGGTCATCAATGATTGGAAGTTGAGGGTACGATTCTTGACAGTGCTAGGGTTCTTGTCATTGGGACTTGCTCTTGCTAAACGAGATTATTCAGCTGCCGTCTATCTCTGTCATGCGCACTATGTGATGGATGCCATATATATTTACATGCTCCTCTGGTCCCTTCGGACTACCTACACCAATGTTTTGTCCAGGTATCTGACCTTTCTTGTGGACTTCAATCTCGATTCCTACGTGCAGGGCCAATAACTATCCTAAGTACTGGAGAATACCCACGATACTACACCGCTCTCGATATGGCATTGTGATCCATAACCGAGGGGATTCTGAACAACTATATAGCGGGAATCAATGTATAGGTATGATAGGATTCCTGTTTGGTCAGAATATTCCCTGAATTCGTTGGGACAAGGTGTTCCACCTAACATGCGCTGGCGGAGGTTACTATTTTCGTCACCCTGCGATGCCCCAGATCGATTGATGCTTTGCATGTTCCTACATTGGCGAGGCCCGACGAGTCTTCACTATTCTCACCTGCCGCGCGGCCGATGACAAACAACGTGCGGGGTGTTCGATGCTCGCGAAAGACGATAAGTCCCGATTGCGAGGAGATCAATTATCTCATGCGTCGCACAGAGGCTGAGCTCAACTGTGCCGCTCAATGATTGTTCAGGAGCACGAAAGATAAACAACTCCGTTCCTCATGCTTTCTCTCGCGGCATTGGAGAACAATGATACCCATAAGTAGCCAGTGGCACGAACAAGCCTGAGGAGACGGTAGAAGATCGTGATCCCATCATGCGGCAGATGCGGCACAAACGCCCACAAGTCAAAATACCTGACACTTATTACGTAGCCCGCCAGGGCAATGTGGCACCAGCTCGTCTCAATCTCGAATGATTAGTCGCAGAATTTTGCGCTATTCATACAATTAACGCTGCGTTTTCCAGACCACGCGGAGTAAGTAGCCTCTAGCTGCTAACCTAGCGATGTCAAGATGTCTAGTGAGTCGCGGAGTGGAACCTGAGATTACATCTTTGTGATACATCTTTGCCGGAGTTTGAAATGACGCTGTAAATTCTGAATCTGGAATAAACGACGTATCAGATTGTGATGTTTGTGTGGGCATGTTACATATCATGGCAAGTAGTATCACGATTGTCATGCCAGGTCGTCCAAGAGTCCCATGAATGTCTGGTCCATGATACATTATTGATACAGCAGTGCAGACTACTTGAACATAACGAACACGTTACAACCTGTGAATTAATCCCACGGAGACGGTGGCTTATTGGTATCTGAATTAGTACGAGATGCAGAGCCGATCCCTATCATCATTATTAGACATTGCGTGGTGACATCGACAGCGAGCACGACAAACCTCCATTCCCCCCACAGTTGACAACTGTTCCTGTCATTTCGGAATCAACAGACACCACACTTTGGTTGTAAATATTATAATTGTAGATGACTGTGCAGCTGGGGCTAGGAGACGGCGGTCTGCTTTCTGAGGTTGAGGGTCTGACTGAGATATCAAGAAGGCTGTTAAGTGATATCATGAGTAACGATTTTGAAACACACTGGTTTGGTCATCATCTTCGTCTGCTTCTCCGGATTTCGCGATTTGATTCAGAATCGCAAAGGCCTGTTGTTCTTCTTGTTCGTTATGGACATCCACGTTTATGCCTCGGAGGTTTTCGTTCGGAGGAAGATCTTTGACTGATACATTTCATGTGAGATATGGGCAAAGGGAAAGAAAATCACACCAACCCAAAATATTGTCTTTAAGCAAGGGGATGCTTAGTGCCTTGTCATTAAATCCGGCGATGATGCGTACCTTCTACCACATCACGCGGACCCTCCTCGCAAACAGAGGCATGACATTGTGTGGACTCCTCGGAGTTGACTGATGCTGGCCAGTCGGTTGGAGTCAGCGAGGGGAACTTTGTTTTTTCTACCGACATACCAAGGATAACATTCTTGTCCGGCAGTAATCGCCTGTGCAGCTCATCCGAAGTTGTCTGCGTTACTATTCAACTACAATTCTAAGATATCCGTTATGCGACTAGTTGACTTACTCTGATGGTCGAATAATTGTCGTATGAAACTTTATAGAAGCGGCGGGCATCCGACTCGCGGACGAAAAGGTTAACAAGGAACTTGCGAAAGGATTTCTTCTGCGCCAAAAGTTGATCTCGAATCCTTTTCACTCTGCGGAGATAGATGAGGATGAGCTTCTGGCTGGATGAAGATAAAAACCTACTCGTCATATCGATCCCTACTAGAGCTGTAAGCTCGATTGTAGGTAGCTTTATCATTTGCTGAGAGGCGATCGTCTTCCAACAAGTCAGCCAGCTCTCTCAGGGCTGCCAGCGATAATTGTAGATAGTGTTCGCCCTTTTCATGATTTGTCCGGCCCTTTAGCTCGATAACGGTCATGGGCGAGTTCGCAAATTGGCTCGCGGGACCTAGATTGGTGGCGATTCGAATTGTCGTTTTCGACTTCGGGGGATCCATTGCTTAGTACTAAGAATGACTGGAGTTGGTGTGATGTGTCGCGCCGATGGTGCAGGCCTTGGTTGAGAGGAAAAAGTGAGCAAAACCTGTTTCCTTGCAGGTCGCAGGATGCTTATGGGAGAATGACAATCGATGCAATGGCTGGTGGACAAAAATCACCGCTTGGCGCTTGACCCTTGTCAACCATCTAATCCTCGAAGGAACTAAGATAAAACAATCCAAAATAATTTCCAGTCATTCGGCCAAAAGCTTCCTATCAGGGTACTTTGCTGATACTGGATATGAATGGTCAAGTGCTGAGCCTGAGCGCTGCTGATTGTATAGATAAAACCAAACTAGTAAGTACTGGCAGGGGAACTTCGGTGCAACACGCACTTATTCTGCTATTATGTAATTTGCAAGGTGGTTTAAGTCCGCGAAATGCCGAGCTCCAAATATTTACTTTACATAAATTTATGTGGGTCCATATTTGTTGTCAGGCCAGGCTTGCTTGCCAGTGTGTGGACTGCTTTTAGTTCACACCAGCAGGTGGTTTTCAGAGGATGGCCTCGACTTCTGCTGCTCATGCCCATCTTTCTGAATATGAGATCTGGTGGAGGGACCACTACACTTTCCTCGAAGAAAAAGGCTACAAGCTACGCAGTCGCTACAGTCCGGACTGGGTGCCCTCTTGGACGAACACCAACAAAGTTGACATAAATTGCGAGGATGGAATAAGGTCGCCAGTAGGTGCTACGGGTCTTCGCTGATATTAACGTTGATCAATTATCATGTATACCCCAGCACTATCTTCTGCTGGATGCACGGCGCGCTCGAGATGGTGCTCGCGTGTCACTTAAATGTATAGACATATCGCGACATCCTTATGAGATAGAGATCGGTCGCTATTTCTGTAGCTCACCTCTCGGCGAGGAGCCAGCCAACCATTGCGTGCCAATCTACGATGTTCTAGAGGTACCCAACAACGATCATCTTATGATACTGGTCATGCCGTTACTTCGACGTACTACGGATCCCTATTTTGACACAGTCGGGGAAGTGGTAGACTGCATCCACCAGCTTTTCGAGGTAATGTCTTAATCTTAATTCACCGACTTACGCTCATCATGACTTATTTTTCATTCTTTCACTTGAAGGGGCTGCGATTCATGCACATGCATCACGTCGCTCACCGGTACGTATCCAAGTTGCTCGAGAGACTTGTCTCATGACGTGGATGTAGGGACTGTATGCAGCTGAATATACTGATGGACGGCAGCATGTTTATAGATGCATGGCACCCAAGTGAACAATATATGTCGGAGGACCTCAAACGTGCGGCCAGGCATCGTACGCGCACGCAGTCGCCGCCACGATACTACTACATAGACTTTGGTATCTCCCGTAAATATGATGCGTCCAACACCAACCCAGTGGAAATGCCCATATATGGTGGAGATAAAGGAGTACCAGAGTTCGCGGAAGACTACAGCAAACCTTGGAACCCATTCCCGACGGATGTCTGGTATCTTGGGCATGCTATCCAAGAAACCTTTCTCGATGTAAAGTGCAACGGTGGAATCTTATTTTTCATACGCTGATTTTGGACAAACAGCGCTACTCAGGTGTGGAATTCCTGAGCGATCTGGTGTCGGACATGCTGCGCTCCGATCCAGCACAACGTCCGAACATGGAGGATGTTTTTTCTCGATTCCAGGTTCTACGTCAAGGCCTCAGCAACTGGAAATTACGTTCCCGGGTGGCTCATGATGACGAAAGATCTCTTTTTGATTTGTTAGGCCACTGGGCCCGTCGCATTCAGTACATAGTACGCAGGGTTCCCCCGACGCACACCTCGCTGTCATAGAGCGAACTTTTTTCAATTACCAGTCTCTTACTAGCAATGCACGAGTTTTCTGCTTTTGAGCACTGCCCGCATTATGGAGTGCCAGGCGTCATGCTGACTTCACGCTGCATATTTAATTGCAGAGCGTCAGGTGCAACAGACCATCTACGCTGATTTACAACAACGCACCAGTTTCCTGCCCTCAAGTACTGTCCGCATTATAGGGTTTCTTCCCCTGCATACTGTCGAAACCTACATAAGTCATAGGCTTGGCAGCAGCCTTTGTTTCGTTTCCTGCTCCGGAACAATCGCGTTGGGCATTCATTATTATGATTCGAGCACAGACAGCATTGAGACACAAGACATTCGGCTCAAGCCCGCACGTGCAGTAACAGATGCGCACATTCCATGTCTAGTATGGGCGGAGGATGCTCTTTCATTCGTCCATTTCGTTCCCACTGTCCTCTTTGCCCTTCAACTGCTGGGGGCCGAGGTCTCGTGAATCATGTTGTACATATTTACAATGATGGAATGATGCAACACAAACAGCACGAACAAGGTGCCGCCTTTTGCACCATGATCAGTGCTCATACAGGCGCGTAGAGTTGGAGAGAGACAAGGGGGGTTCGTCTTGAGCCCGTGCATGAGGGTTTGGATGAGCACGAGACGGGTGGCTCCGAATTGCGAAGAAAGGTTAGTCAAATATTTTGCCAGCGAGGCAATTAATGCCCGGACTCAGGAACTTACCCCGACTCCTTCAGCCTGAATGAAAAACCCAACTGAACTAAACCGTCTCTCACCCTTGCTTGTGATTACAACACCGGATGAAACTATGAGAACGATGAGGAGCAGCTTGCGTGAGTGTTTGCTTATCCGGGTGGCCCATGCAATGAGGAGGACGGCTACTGAGGAGATGGCCTGCATAGACAAGGTAGAGGTTAGTGTGCGTTTGGTAAAGGAGAAAGGGCCTGGTGAAAGGTGAGGGTCTCAGAGGCATGGAGGAAGCGGTGAAGGAGAGCGTGCGACGCATAACGGCACGCGTGGACAGAGGTAAGACAGCTGAGCAAGATAGGGCGAGCAGCAATGTCGCGTTTGCAGTAGAAGAAACAGAGTTCGAGGCTGTCGCTGCGCTTGAAATGTGCTAGCGTTCTCTTCCTGAACTGCATAGAGGGTCTATCGCGAGGTTATGGCTGATGGTCTGACCAAGGTTTCGTACTCTCTTCCTGATCTTTGTCTATCATTGATCTGCTCGAACAGTGCATGGTCGAGTGCTCGGGCAGTGACCTGTCATGTTTTGTGAGTAAATCACTTTGGATTTTGATTTACTACTGACCGTTCTGTACTAAATAGCCGTGAACAGCACAAGGCCGACTCCAGTGTTTACTCACAGGACTCCACCGGTTTGTTCGTGTTCCACTCGACGAGCTCCATACTGATGTATCAAAACAATTCTAGTCACATATTACCACGTCACGGTTTTGTTATCTTCAACATACAAACATACTTGGTACCTTCGCGTCGGCCCCTCTGTCCCACCTGCCCTCACTCGGAATTTTCAACTGGCCCATTTACATCTGCGACAACCCCCGATATGATCCATAAGGACCCTTCTATACCAGTAGACCCCGTACTGTGGTGAGTAATGAGTCGTGGGCCTTCGGGACGATCTAATAAACAAGTATAATCTCACTCTCTTGAAAGAAGCTCGTCTAACGAGGAGGATGGAGCGAAAGAACATGTCTTTGCTGACTGGAACATCTCTCGCACCGTTGAGGAGGTGGGTAATACGTTGAAGGATGCGGGTGCTAATTGCCTGTCGAAAGTGTCAGTTAAAAAGATGGAAAGCATAAAGACTCACCGTAAATGTCAAGTAACTAAAAAGACTGGATACTTGAACTGCAAAGTGTTGTAGATATAATTGTCGTATGTTGCAGTTCACTTATGCGCCGCTACATGTGTGCAAAATTTTCGAGAACAAGTCCATTGTCAAGAGCGATTTTGCATAGCATTAAATTTGAGCAAGATAAATTTTCGGACATGACCCAAATTGGCGGTGAGGTTAAGATACCAGTAAAATCAGTCAAAAAGACGTGCTACAGTCTCCAGAACACGTGTAGATGGTGACACCACTACTGAGAACGATCCAGACAGGGATAATTGCAGCTGCGCTGAGCTTTGACCGGACTTCGAGGCTGTTGCTGATGTTGAGCTGTTGCTGGAGGAAGGTCTCTGATAGTACAGGTGGCAGTTGCCGCAACAGTGGTGCCAAATACGGATCGCCTTTCTCTCGGTGCTCTGAGGGCTGTGGACTCCGGAGCGCAGCCTCCACGAGCGCCCAAGCCTTCGACGACTTCAAACCATACGACGGCGCCCATTGCGCAGAGTTCATCATTCGGCTCCATCACGAAAGTCCCGCAAAATCTTTGGTTCCTGTACTTTGTGCGATACAGCATCTACGTACTCATCACAGCATCCTCTAGATCTAGTTCTCAACTAGAGTCAAATCTCGCACCAAACATGAATCCAGTATCTCATCCTCTGAACCAGCTAGCAAATGTCCAGTCACCATCAGGCTCCGATTCCGACGCTTCTGCAGAGTCGAGGAGCGCTCTCGCGGACGTCGATCACCAGATTATTGAAGCTCTCAAAAGCAAAGATAGGACATACGTCCTGGAGCTCGGAGAGCAGATGGAGAGTTTAATCAATGACCGAAGGTATGTCTTTTCATATTATTGCGTTGCGATGTGGGACAAGGTGCTGTGTGGGCTCATGCGGCAGCAGCTATCTCTTGGGCTCTTTTTCATCTGGAATGATGATTCCATGTATTGACAGCTTTTAGCTTCAGACCTCAGCTTGATCTGATGCCTGCAACATAATATCAGCGCCTTTTGGTGCACAGATGCTCTGCCTACCATAAACTAGCGCTAGAGACCGACCCCATATCGAGGGCGATTAGCGTCGTTACTACACTGGGTAGTAGAATGTTCGTATATTTCTTTTGACCGTGCTTGACAAACTTTGCAACTTTATGCTGGTCATATATAGTCCCACCCGTCGCATAGCGTCTCTCGTTCCTGCCCGGCTTTCCACCCAGTCAACTATCACGATTGTGCGTCGATCAATTACCGATCGTGGCCAGTCAAAGCCATACCTACAGGCTGGCTCGAAAGATCCCGAGCTTTCCGATGTAAAGCCTCCCGAATACAATTCTTCTGGCAGTAGTGACTCAGCACTCAGGTTCGTGTTTTTCTGGTGCTGTGTTGTGATTGTGCTCATCTCATGACTCAGGGATGACCTGACGATCAATCGAGTCACTCGTTCGAGGAACATACACAAAAGTGATGGAGATTTCGCGGCTACCTACACAGAAGAAGAAAGCGAGAGCTTCAATCCACACGGCGGCCCCAGTGCGTCCGTTGGGTTCACATCGCTGAATCCGTCTTTCTCGAGTTCAGTGCTACAGGCCTGCGCGGAACCCGCACTGAACCTTCACTGGCAGCTGCTTTCGTACCATGTAGCTCGACCTAACTTATCCCTCCATTTCGACGTCGCTTTCCCAACCAGCGATATTGAGTACAGGAAGAACTTGTCTTGCGGCGTCCAACGGACGCTCCTCTCTGATGCTGATCTCGACAAGCCAGCTGCAGACAAGGAGTCGACGGAGATGGTCATCAACTTCCAGCGTAATCCGTTCAAATGGAATATCGACGTGAAGCGTGATGAAGGCATTCGCGTTCGCGATATTTTTGAGGCGATATATACAGTTTTCGATGAACCGCTCACACCCCAGGAAAAGAACTTGATTCCCCTCCGTCTCCGTGCAGGGTGTGAGGAGGCGTTTAGGCTTCGCTGCAGCCTTGCGCCGGTGTTTCCAACCATCCAAGGCTGGAAGCGTGTAGACACTCTTCTGCACAAGACCCTCTTCCGCGGCCTAACTCAACCCAAGCCTGGAGGAGACTGGACATTGAATCTCAGCGGGACAATGCCCAGAGTCAGACAAGATAGTAATGCGGTGGAGAGGTGGCGTCTAATGTCAGATCCCATGACACGTCACTGGCGGAGGGATTTAATGCGCGAAGCTCTCATCGTATGTCGATATTCTCTCGCTGATATTTGCGTAGCTGACAACGCCTGCGTCTTCCAAGCCTGCCCTTGAAACTACCGCATCAAATTTGCCCCCTGTACCCGATCCTCCTAATGTACGTTTCCTATCTCCGGCTTGGTGCTGCCTGCGCATTCATTGCATCTCTGAATGATTACAGGAGTACCTACCACCGTATCCCAATCAAACTTTAAACGTGCCACTGAGATATCACGATATTGATTTGTTCCATCTACCTGTAATACTTTGTGACCCGCTCATCTTCATTCACTAATTCTCATTATTAGGTTTCTGCCGCCTTTGTGCCTAGCACAAATGTGGACAGTGATATAATGGTACGGGTCAAGTACCTTACGTCTTCTGCCTGATCGTTGATTAAATAATATATCCACCAGTTTCCCCCGTCGAGTAGCTGCAGGATTTGTAATTTCGCGTGGTTGACTCCAATCCTTCAACATGGACCCTTGTGCGCTCTGCTGAACAATATCCCACCTTTGATCGCGGAACCTCGAGATCACGACTATACCTGGGCTTTCTTTTGTAGATTTGTCCCCCTCGGCGCTTTTTTTGACTCGCCTAGTCGAGGCCCCCTACCGATGATTCAACTGGGCAGCGGTCGTGCTCGCTTGATTGAAACGCTCGAAGCAGACCTCGAGAACCCCAAGAATGTGATATCGTGGCTACACGGACCTTCCGGCACAGGAAAATCTGTCATTGCATACAATCTTGCTGGTCGTTGGAGACAGAAGGATAGATTGGCAGGCAGTTTCTTCTTTTCTCGCAGGCACTCAAACTGCAGAAGCGCGCATTCTCTCGTTCTCGCGCTCGCATATCAACTCGGGCTGTCTCAACCGCAGGCGAAGGAGAAAATAATTGCAGCCCTCAACAGCGATCCTGGTATAATTTCCCCTTCTCGAGATTTGCGTGAGCAATTCGCCCGGCTTCTCGTTGAACCTCTGGAGGCGATTGATTGGCACACTCCTGCGAGAATATTTATCATTGATGCTATAGATCAGTGTCAAGACCACGTACCAGAACTCATCTCACTTCTTACTCGACCTCTTTCCCATCTGGTTGACGGGGGCCTTCACATCTTCTTGACAAGCCGTGACGAAGTAGAAGGTGTTTCTATCAAGCGTTATTTTGCACCAATCACATCGGACGTTGCTCTGGATCGCATCGAGGTTGCTCCTGACATGACATTATTTTTTCGTCAATCTTTCAACAAGATACATAAACGTCATCGTCTTCAATGCCTCAAACCGTGGCCATCGGACGATGTCCTCGACCGTCTTGTCCATAGGACTGGACCCCACTTCATTACAGGATCGGTTATCGTCAAATTCGTGGAAAGTCCTGATCGCGATCCCATAGATATGATGGATCTCATTTATCATCTTCCTTTCAAACCTTCGTCCCATCTGCAGTCATCGGTAGATGACTTATACAAATCTATCATCTCCTCATCCGACGACCTCAAACAAGCATACCTTCATCTCACAGTTGTTGTGAATCTTGCCGACATGCTGTCGTGCCCGCAACTAGAAAATCTTCTCAACCGAGGGCCAAACCAGAAGTTCGAGATGCGTTACGTGTTGTCGCAATTGTCACCTCTGGTTCACATTCCCGACGGTCACGACAGCGCCATGCAAGTTTGTCAGGATTCCCTTGGTGATTTCCTGTCCGATCGTCTGCGCTGCAGAGAGCAGTTCATTTCCCAAGCTGGTATTCATCGCCTGCTAGCGTACTCTTCTTTGAGTATCATGATAAACGAGTTACCGGACGACCATACTCTCTGTTCCCGTTTATCCCGGTTAGCGACGGAAAGTAGTTCCACGTCGCTTAGTGGATTTGATCACGCGGAAGTTTTGTCATTTGCGGTATATTCACCACCAGAGCCTCTGCCGTTTTTGTCTACGCTCTGGCACATCATGCAACATCAGTATACGGGACTTACAGTTGATGCTCGTACAAAATCAGCATTGGGATATTTCTGCTGTACCTGGCAAATCTTACAGCACCTCGACTTGTCCACCGTCGACACTCTGCCTGTTTTCCACTTCCTAGCAAACCTTCGATCCCTACCTGTACTCCTGGCCTTCCCAATATTTCTGTCATTTGAATCTCCCGGACATGGCCAAAATGGGAACACACCGCCTCTGGAGCAAGAACCGCGTATAAAAACGTTGGATACAGCAGCCAAAATCGTGAACGATGTACATACCTTCAAGAATCAGCGCAGAGCAGGCTCAAGCGCACTTGATTATGCTTGCGCTCATTGGGCATATCATCTTTCTTTGGCAGAATGGGATGACGACCTCCGCTCCATTTTGACGGCCTTCATGAGACAGAAGCTCAGGCAGTGGCTCGTGCAAGCATGGTGCCTCCAGGATTTCGAGACCTGCCTTCGGACGTTGTGCGAGGTCAAGGAGCTTTGCTTGACAGCAAATCCGCCTATTCGTTTTGATTCTGGTGCGCAACGTACCGCGGCAAACATGAAGGCGGATCAGATTGAAACGTCTGAGGCGGTGAAGCGGAGTATAGATAATGCGATAGAGGTTAGTAGGCGAGAAGGCTCCGAGAGTGTTAGGACAGCAGCAGAAGCGGAAAAGCAGAGGGCTGAAGCAGCCGTCGTGGGAAAAAAAAGTGGAAAGGAAGGCCGCGAAGAACGATGCTCAAGAGACTACAGCCGCGAAGAAGGGTGCTGAGACGCTTTCTGGCATTGGCGGTGGTTCAAGGTACTCGAGTCTATGCACGGCATCTTACATGAAGCTTATTCCTATTCATTTCATTTTTTGTGCAAGCAGTTCCGCAGCTGACCGTGTCAACTTAGATGTTGGTCTGCCTGCTCAAGTACCTGGTGGTATTCCAGGAAGATACAATGCGTCCAGCGGCACTCCAATCATTGACACGCCATCGTCCAAAAGCTTTCTCCTTTCTCCGCGCCATCACAGCGCCACATGTGTTTCACCTCCGCGTATCACAGACTCAACTAGCCCCATTCAGTCACGGAAGCAACCACCGTCATTCCTGCAGTCACGACCACCACGACAACTCTCGCCAAATTTGTCAAATCCAGAACATCACAGGCGCGTTGGCCAACAACGGTATCTATTCTATACTCCACTGCCATTGATAGGTGATCCAACTTACTGTCAGGAAACCCGACGAAGTTATTTCGAAAGTTCGCAAATCGGATGCAGATAAAGTGGACTCCGAAGAGGAGTTTGATCTACATAAGGAATATATAGACATCCCAAACTATGTCAGGTATAAATTTCTCCCGCCTTGGTGAAACTCAGACCTCCCAGAAACTGATCGCTGATCAGGTTCACAAGTCGTGGACCACAAGATGACCATCTGAAACGAATCCCGACACAACAACCACCAAAACAACTATCATCCATACCACTACCATCCACACCAGCGAAACATCCACGCAAGAGGTACGTTTACTTTGACAAATTATACCGTACGTTGAAAGGGCGTACAGCAGTCGACCACCTCGTTACGTCGATCCTGCACGCTACTCTGCTGCACAGTACACCCCCGTGCAGTACTCTCCTGCACAGCATCCTCCTGCACAGCATCCTCCTGCACAGTACCCTCCTGCACAGTACCCTCCTACACAGTCGGGTCGAAAGTAAAGTGTGGTTTGGGTTTCAGGTGTTCATCCTCATTGCTTTCAATTTCGTGGCGCAAGTAGTAGATACACATTCATTCTAGTCCCATGTAGTTTTATCTAATTCCCGCTACCTTAGTAGTGGGTTCTTAGAGCGCCAGATTTTCCGGGTTTCACGCCAAAAATTAAGGTTCTGCACGCTGTGCTGTGGCCGTGATTGCAATCGGTCTTGATTTTCCTTGCAAATGCTGTTCTTCGCTCTGTAATTTCAAACACCCCCATTCCATGGTAATGCGGGCATGTTTTTGCAAATGCTGTTGGGCATGCCATTTAAAAAAATTAATTCCAATTTCTGTCTTTGAGAGTAGTACTCTGTGTAAGACAATACATTCTAGTCTATGGGACCCTGTGTCTTGCTGCACCTCTAGATTTATGAATGCCCCAGTGTGAGGTTTGCCTCTAATGGTCTGCCATTCCTGCTGCATGTTTTAGACATGGAATCTATCAAAGGAGAGGTGACTTTTAAGGTACGTGCATTTAAGATGACACTAAATAGATGGAGATGAACTGAATGTGTACTCAGTTGCACAATGCAACTAGTATAGGAATGGGTAGAGGAGGCAAAAGAATAGGGACCCTCAAAGTTGGGGTGCACACTTCGCCCACACCCACCCATGCCCATGACCCCCCTGCACAACAACACCATCCCGTTTTGTACATATCTGTATTATATTCCCGCTACCTATAGCTGGGTATTTGTGGACGTGAAAATGAGAAAAGAACCGAGGATTCTGATTGTGGATATATGTAGTGTTTGTTTCCCACGTCTCATATCTGATGCCATAGATTTTCGTTTAGTTTATTCTGTGTTCACTCTGCCATTATGTCATTCATGCTTGAGGGTGAAAACGTATCTGTTGTTCGAGATGATGCGTCAGACGTCTCACAACTTTCTGTGTCCTTTTTGAGTTCATATGCACTCACTCGTTCTCGTGACACATAATGCAGTAACATATACCCGTCTCAGACGGGCAGCCGGGCGTGACAATGTACCAATAGAGACGGGCCACCCGGTGCCGGCCCATGGCAATAATTGTACCGTGTTAGACGAGTGGGCCGAGGGGGTGGAGTGTCCAAGGCAAACGGATGGGCCGGGTGTATATAGTATAGATGGTAGTATAGCAATGTACTATATAGGAAATTATGAATAGTAGTAGTGAATCCAGTGTGTGATAGATGAGTGGGCCGGAGGAATGGAGTGCAATATAGACGAGTGGGCTGGGGAACTGGGGTGTGATGGAGACGAGTGGGCCAGTAAATGAGGTGCAATGGAGACGAGTGGGCCGGTACATAAGGTGCAATGAAGACGAGGGGGCCGGAGAATAGGGTGCAATTGAGACGAGTGGGCCGGTATAGCAGGTGCAATGGAGACGGGTGGGCCGGTATAGCAGGTGCAATGGAGATGGGTGGGCCGGTAAATATGGTGCAATTAAGACGAGTGGGCCGGTATAGCAGGTGCAATGGAGACGGTGGGCCGGTATAGCAGGTGCAATGGAGACGGGTGGGCCGGTATAGCAGGGTGCAATGGAGACGGGTGGGCCGGTATAGCAGGTGCAATGGAGACGGGTGGGCCGGTATAGCAGGTGCAATGAGGACGAGTCGGCCGGTGTTATTGGGTGCAATGAAGACGAGTCGGCCGGTGATATGGGGTGCAATGAAGACGAGCTGGCCGGTGATATGGGGTGCAATGAAGACGAGTGGGCCGGTGATATGGGGTGCAATGAAGACGGGTGGGCTGGCATTATAGGGCGCAATGGAGATGGGTGGGCCGGTGATATAGGGTGCAATGAAGACGAGTGGGCCGGTGATATGGGGTGCAATGAAGACGGGTGGGCCGGCATGATAGGGTGCAATGGAGACGGGTGGGCCGGCATGATAGGGTGCAATGGAGACGGGTGGGCCGGTATTATGGGGTGCAACAACGACCGGTATTTATGTAACCGGTTGCTTGTGGTAACATAGCACTCAATCCGGCGATTCCACCGGTGGTCTGATCATGTAAAATGGTTAAGATTTGACAAAGTTATGAGCCCTACAAGGGAAAGCCATAAATTTAGAGGATATTATGATATATTGTATCTAGACCATTGCAACCGGTATTTTTTGACCAGTATTTACATGACCGGTTGCTTGTGGTAACATAGCACTCAATCCGGTGATTCCACCGGTGGTCTGACCATGTAACATAGTTAAGATTTGACAAAGTTAGGAGCCTTACAAGAGAAAGTCACAAAGTCAGAGGATATATGATATCTAGACCATTGTGACCGGGATTTTTCAACCGGTAGTTATGTGACCAGTTGCTTGTGGTGACATAGCACTCAGTCCGGTGATTCCACCGGTGGCCTGACCATGTAAAATGGTTAAGATTTGACAAAGTTATGAGTCTTACAACAAGAGAAAGTGACAATTTCAGAGGATATATCATGTCTAGACCATTGTGTCCGGTATTTATGTGACCGGTTGTTTATAGTAAAACATAGCACTCAATCTGGTGATTCCACTGGTGGTCTGACCATGTAAAATGGTTAAGATTTGACAAAGTTATGAGCCCTACAAGAGAAAGCCATAAATTTAGAGGATATTATGATGTATTGTATCTAGACCATTGCAACCGGTATTTTTTGACCGGTATTTACGTGACCGGTTGCTTGTGGTAATGTAGCACTCAATCCGGTGATTCCACCGGTGGTCTGACCATGTAAAATGGTTAAGATTTGACAAAGTTATGAGCCTTACAACAAGAGAAAGTGACAATTTCAGAGGATATATCATGTCTAGACCATTGTGACCGGTATTTATGTGACCGGTTGTTTCTAGTAACAGTACTCAATCCGGTGATTTCACCGGTGGTCTGATCATGTAAAATGGTCAAGATTTGACAAAGTTATGAGTGCTACAAGAAAAAGTCACAAATTCACTGGCAGAGGATATATGATATCTAGACCATTGTGACCAGGATTTTTCAACCGGAAGTTATGTGACCAGTTGCTTGTGGTAGCATAGCACTCAATCCGGTGATTCCACCGGTGGTCTGATCATGTAAAATGGTCAAGATTTGACAAAGTCATGAGCCCTACAAGAGAAAGTCATGAATTTAGAGGATATATGATATCTAGACCATTGTGACCGGTATGTTTTGACCGGTAGTTATGTGACCGGTTGCTTGTGGTAACATAGCACTCAATCCGGTGATTTTACCGGTGGTCTGATCATGTAAAATGGTCAAGATTTGACAAAGTTATGAGCCTTACAAGAGAAAGCCACACATTCAGAGGATGTTATATCTAGACCATTGTGACCGGTATTTTTGTGAACAGTTGCTTGCAGTAATATAGTACTCAATCTGGTGATTCCACCGGTAGTCTGATCATGTAAAATGGTTAAGATTTGATAAAGTTCTGAGCCTTATAAGACCAAGTCATAAATTCAAAGGATACAGTGTTGTATCAGCTTATATCTGGACCATTGTAATCAGTATTTTTGCAACCGGTTGCTTGTGGTAATGTAGCACTCACACACACCAAAGATTTTATTAAAAATGCAGTAGTATGTATAGTAGACTACATAATGAACCTAAAATACACATTGCCCTGAAGGTAAAGTCTTTGTAGAAGAGTGTGGTGAGGAAATATTAGGATTGATAAGTAAAAGTCCAACCACTACATATACACCAAACTGGTGAGTTTCGATGTTTTGGGCTTTTGGACTTTCCCACACTCTATTTCAGAGATATTTCACTGCCCTAGCTCTCAACTGTTAGTGGATCCTTTTATAAATCTGAGACCATGATATTGACCATGCTTAGAATATATTGCAAGCATCTGATTACTAGATTGTGTCCATTGGAGAATGTAGGCCCCTTATCAGTACACATACCCCCTTTCCCTTAGATAACAATATTATACCATATTTCTAACTGATCCTTGGGATGAGAAGTAGGTATATATGTAGTAAGGATAATATATGAGTAGTCTGGATCATTTATGCAATGGTAAAGTAGGGGAAAACACCAAAAATGTGACAACTGCAATCTTAGAAGTTTTAGCCTGTATAGAAGGATTCTGTAGGTATCCTGATGTACCAACCTGGTGTACATACTCTAAATCTGTCTAGGAATGGTCCCCATATCATTCTGCAGCTGTGTTCCTGTAGGAAAACCTTTCCCAGAGGATGGACCACCAGGAGAGGGTGAGTACACAGCATCACAAGGTTTTGTCTGTGGATGTTAAGGTCATGCTCAAAGGAAGGAGAACTCAAAGGGCTTGACTTCAGCTTGTGTGCTGCACCCCTTACCCAAGTATGTGCCCTTAATTTATGAGAGGCAGGAGGGAAGTCCAACAAAGTCCAGAGGTTTCCGGAGGTCAGACACTAGGGGAGTTCGGCGGAACTCCAGAGGTTCAAGGAAACCCAGAGTAAGACTGCTGTGGACAAGTCTGGAGTAGAAATGGAACAGAGGTAAACTACCCTAAGGTAGAGCTGGAGACACACTGGTCTAGATATAACATATCCTCTGAATGTGTGGCTTTCTCTTGTAAGGCTCATAACTTTGTCAAATCTTGACCATTTTACATGATCAGACCACCGGTAAAATCACCGGATTGAGTGCTATGTTACCACAAGCAACCGGTCACATAACTACCGGTCAAAACATACCGGTCACAATGGTCTAGATATCATATATCCTCTAAATTCATGACTTTCTCTTGTAGGGCTCATGACTTTGTCAAATCTTGACCATTTTACATGATCAGACCACCGGTGGAATCACCGGATTGAGTGCTATGCTACCACAAGCAACTGGTCACATAACTACCGGTTGAAAAATCCCGGTCACAATACTGTAGATATCATATATCCTCTAAATTCATGACTTTCTCTTGTAGGGCTCATGACTTTGTCAAATCTTGACCATTTTACATGATCAGACCACCGGTAAAATCGCCGGATTGAGTGCTATGTTACCACAAGCAACCGGTCACATAACTTCCGGTTGAAAAATCCCGGTCACAATGGTCTAGGATATCATATATCCTCTGACTTTGTGACTTTTTCTTGTAGCACTCATAACTTTGTCAAATCTTGACCATTTTACATGATCAGACCACCGGTGGAATCACCGGATTGAGTGCTATGTTACCATAAGCAACCGGTCACATAACTTCCGGTTGAAAAATCCCGGTCACAATGGTCTAGATATCATATATCCTCTACCAGTGAATTTGTGACTTTTTCTTGTAGCACTCATAACTTTGTCAAATCTTGACCATTTTACATGATCAGACCACCGGTGGAATCACCGGATTGAGTGCTATGCTACCACAAGCAACTGGTCACATAACTTCCGGTTGAAAAATCCTGGTCACAATGGTCTAGATATCATATATCCTCTGCCAGTGAATTTGTGACTTTTTCTTGTAGCACTCATAACTTTGTCAAATCTTGACCATTTTACATGATCAGACCACCGGTGAAATCACCGGATTGAGTACTGTTACTAGAAACAACCGGTCACATAAATACCGGTCACAATGGTCTAGACATGATATATCCTCTGAAATTGTCACTTTCTCTTGTTGTAAGGCTCATAACTTTGTCAAATCTTAACCATTTTACATGGTCAGACCACCGGTGGAATCACCGGATTGAGTGCTACATTACCACAAGCAACCGGTCACGTAAATACCGGTCAAAAAATACCGGTTGCAATGGTCTAGATACAATACATCATAATATCCTCTAAATTTATGGCTTTCTCTTGTAGGGCTCATAACTTTGTCAAATCTTAACCATTTTACATGGTCAGACCACCAGTGGAATCACCAGATTGAGTGCTATGTTTTACTATAAACAACCGGTCACATAAATACCGGACACAATGGTCTAGACATGATATATCCTCTGAAATTGTCACTTTCTCTTGTTGTAAGACTCATAACTTTGTCAAATCTTAACCATTTTACATGGTCAGGCCACCGGTGGAATCACCGGACTGAGTGCTATGTCACCACAAGCAACTGGTCACATAACTACCAGGTTGAAAAATCCCGGTCACAATGGTCTAGATATCATATATCCTCTGACTTTGTGACTTTCTCTTGTAAGGCTCCTAACTTTGTCAAATCTTAACTATGTTACATGGTCAGACCACCGGTGGAATCACCGGATTGAGTGCTATGTTACCACAAGCAACCGGTCATGTAAATACTGGTCAAAAAATACCGGTTGCAATGGTCTAGATACAATATATCATAATATCCTCTAAATTTATGGCTTTCCCTTGTAGGGCTCATAACTTTGTCAAATCTTAACCATTTTACATGATCAGACCACCGGTGGAATCGCCAGATTGAGTGCTATGTTACCACAAGCAACCGGTTACATAAATACCGGTCGTTGTTGCACCCCATAATACCGGCCCACCCGTCTCCATTGCACCCTATCATGCCGGCCCACCCGTCTTCATTGCACCCCATATCACCGGCCCACTCGTCTTCATTGCACCCTATATCACCGGCCCACCCATCTCCATTGCGCCCTATAATGCCAGCCCACCCGTCTTCATTGCACCCCATATCACCGGCCGACTCGTCTTCATTGCACCCAATAACACCGGCCGACTCGTCCTCATTGCACCTCCTTTACCGGCCCACCCATCTCCATTGCACCTGCTATACCGGCCCACCCGTCTCCATTGCACCTGCTATACCGGCCCACTTGTCTTAATTGCACCATATTTACCGGCCCACCCATCTCCATTGCACCTGCTATACCGGCCCACCCGTCTCCATTGCACCTGCTATACCGGCCCACTCGTCTCAATTGCACCCTATTCTCCGGCCCCCTCGTCTTCATTGCACCTTATGTACCGGCCCACTCGTCTCCATTGCACCTCATTTACTGGCCCACTCGTCTCCATCACACCCCAGTTCCCCAGCCCACTCGTCTATATTGCACTCCATTCCTCCGGCCCACTCATCTATCACACACTGGATTCACTACTACTATTCATAATTTCCTATATAGTACATTGCTATACTACCATCTATACTATATACACCCGGCCCATCCGTTTGCCTTGGACACTCCACCCCCTCGGCCCACTCGTCTAACACGGTACAATTATTGCCATGGGCCGGCACCGGGTGGCCCGTCTCTATTGGTACATTGTCACGCCCGGCTGCCCGTCTGAGACGGGTGAATTCACTGAAGGGGCTCCTCGTGAGGGCATGTTTCGTGCGCTTGTGATTTTGCTTGAAGGAGACGTTCGGTTCTCTACCGATTTTCTGTTTGTCCTTCGCGACACTTTGCCAGCCACGGTCGTTTTAGGTTGTGACTGGTATGCTTTTTGTCGTGATATTCTGCACACTCATCCAGAAGTGTGGCTTCCGTCATGTGAGTGGACGTTGACGGAAAATCTTGGTTCGTTTTTTTTTTTGGTTTATTGGTTGGCTTGTGTTGATTTTTTTTTTTGGGTTGTGGGACATGAAGGTGTCATTGATGATGGATCTGTTGTTAATAAAGCTGCCCAAGCAGGTTGTTTGTCGGCAGATATTGTTATTGCTCAGGATATGGTTCGACAACAAATAGTCCATGAGCTGATGATTATCTTGTTGGATAAGGAAGATTCCGAGATGACTGTCAATGAAATCGCGATGGATCATGCGTTGGATATAAGTGTTGGTCATGTGTTGGTAAGAGATCAGTTTGTTCGTCATTTATTCACAGGTTCTTGTGTTATGAAGGGATCCTTGGGAACTGGAGGACATGCATGTGCAGTTATTGCCCAAGGTTTTACACAAGTTTCGTCATTGATGGAATATATGCTTGGAATTGTGGCTTCTTCGCATGTTAAAAAATTGACAAAGCCGTTGTTGAGGAATATTCTCGAAATTCTCAAAGTCCCTGGTGTTTCAGTTCATGCTCGTCGAGATGCAATGGTCCCTGCGTTGACACAACACTGTCGAGGTTTAGATGGTTCTAACTTCTTACATGATTTGTTTTTAGGATTTGAGGGCTTGTCTCGTGAGCAGCTAGTTATCTTTGCGTCTTCTCATGGTATTGAAGTTGATTGTGGTCTTTTTCGTGATGGTATACAAGAGATCTTGATGCGTCATTTGAGTGATGGTAGTTGTGTGTCTGGTCGCGGGTCCAATGTAGGATGTCTCCATATATGCAATGAAACTTTATTGTTGCCACAGGATGTACGAACAGACAGGCGAGATTTACAGTGTAGTTTGCTCAGGGCAGTTGGTCCTCAGATGTCTATAAAATCATTGCAACATTTGTTGCGTATTCATTCGATAGAGTATGATGGGGATGATGGTCTTGCCTCCTTGCGACGGAAATTGAAAAGTTATGTGTCTCGACTTGAAAAGGGGAAGCAATGTGAAGACAATGATGTTGGTCGAGATTTGTCTTATCAACGGCGTGAAGTGCTCAAAGACAAAGTTCGTCGAGCTTGGCCTCGCAAGATCGGTGAAGATATTAAAGAACGTGTCAGGCAGATGTTTTCGAGAGCAGATATCTTCTGAGTCTTTGGCTAGATTCACATGCATTTGTTGTGCTGCTGAATGTTTTGTTTCTGAGAAAGTGTCTGTTAATTCAGCAGAGTTAGATTTGGATGTGTTGCGACGTCCTGATTGCAGAATAGATGACAAGGGTGGTTGTTGTGATCCGTGGTGGTTGGATTCCCAGTGTTGTTCTCCTCCTATGCCTCATCAAGAACCTTTGTTTCAGGATATTCTTTTGGATGAGCGAGGGTTCGATAAACATATTGATGGAAATATTGATCTCAATTTTTGTCAGTCGTGTTTTGCCTCTGTCAAGAAGAAGCGTTTACCTACTACTGCTATTGCTAATCATCATTTACTTGGTCCAGTACCAGATGAACTCAAGGATTTAATGGTTATTGAGGAGGCTATGATAGCGCGTTGTCGTGCCAAGTGTTGGGTGATTCATTTGAAGGAAGAAAATTCGAATCTTCATCTTCCTCATTCTCAGCGCGGCATGAAAGGTCACATTATCATCTATCCTCAGAATCCATCAGTAATTACGCAAGTACTTCCACCGTCTTTAGATGAAGTCGTGACTCCGGTATGCGTTTTGTTCGTTGGGTCTTCGCCTCCTATGCAGGAATGGTTACGTACTAAAGCAAGTCCACTTATCATTCGTTGTGAACGTGTCAGACACGCTCTTGAATGGTTATCGCAACACAACAAGCTGTATAAAGATGTGATCATAAATCATGGTGCATTAGACGAGCTAGAGTCTGAACAGTTGTTGCCTGTCCATGTACAACATATCCCTGTTAACAGAGGTGAAGAAATGCTTACTTCAAGATATGACACAAACGATTTGGATCTGCGATAATCAGTTGAAAGTACAATGCCTTTTCAAAATGTTGTGGTTTCTGATGTTGATGCTCATGCGCCAACTAATGAATTATGTGTGGCGGCTCTTTGTCATGTGAAACAGCACGGAGGAGGTTATATTGAAATTCCTCATGGACCTCTACCAGTGAATGAGTTTGCTAATCCAGATCTGTTTCCAATGATTTATCCTACATTGTTTCCTTATGGCCTTGGAGGATTTGAAAGTTCCGTTCGTACATCTAAGATCACAATGAAAAGTCATGTGAAACATCTTTTCTCTTTGGCTGATAGGTGGTTTCAAGAGCACTACTCGTTTCTGTTTTCTGTATTTAATGTGTTACAGCAAAGAGAGTTATTATTGCATACAAATCTAAGAGTAAAGCGTGCAGACTTTGACTCAGCTGCTCGCAACTTTGCTTCAGTTTCTCCAGAAATGGTTCACATGGTTTCAGAACGTGTGGCTCATGGTGACACTCAGACTGCTCGGAACGACGAGGAACATAAGGTGCTATGTCTGATGAGTGAAGTCAAGGTGATTTCAACTCATGTACGGGGATCGTCGGCTGCTAAAATGCAAATGAGGAATGAGATTCGAGCAATGATGATGGAGCATGGACTTCCCAGTTTTTATATCACGATCAATCCAGTGGATGTGTATAATCCAATAGTGAAGTTCCTTAGTGGCGCTGACATTGACATTGACAATCTATTGTTGGACGAAGTTCCTCAGTTTATGGAACAATCCATTCTTATTGCGAAAAATCCAGCCATTGCGGCTAAATTTTTCAATCTATATATGAAAGCATTTATCTCTTGTATTCTTGGATACGATGAGAGTGGAGAAGACATTAAAGGAGGAATTCTTGGCTTAGTAAAGGGATATTATGGATGTGTAGAGGCTCAAGGACGAGGTACTCTACATTGCCATATGATGGTGTGGTTGGACAGAGGATTGAATCCTGATGAAATCAAGCAGAGAATTGTTGAACAAGGTGACGACGATTTTGCGCAGCATCTGCTCGTTTTCTTGGACGACAGTATTTCAAATTGTATTCCTCTCGATCCAGATCCCGAACTTTCCATTCCTTCAAGTAGTCATCATCCTTGTTCTGTTCATGGCGTTTCTCGTGAAATATTTCCAGAGGATCAAATCAAAAAGGCTAGGCAAAAAGACCTTCATCATCTCGCATTCTCTTGTCAGAAACATAGGCATACCTCAACCTGTTTCAAATATTGGAAGGGTCCACCAGAACCTAAAGAGTGTCAGTTTGATCTTGATGAGAAACAGTTTTCACCCACTAGTTATTTTGATAAGGAGGAAGGTGTGATTTGTTTAAGATGTCTTGATGGAATGGTTAATAATTTCAATGAGACGATTTTGGAGCTCGTATGTTGTAATATGGACATTAAATTCATCGGTTCAGGCGTGTCTGCAAAGGCAATCCTTTATTATATTACGGACTATATCACAAAGTCACAACTGAAAGCTCATGTCGCATATGCTGCATTGCGGTTAGCTGTTGATAAATTGGGTCAGTATTGTCCAAGAGATGATGAATTGACAGTTCATGCCAAGTGTTTGCTACAGAAATGCGCTCATGCAATGATCTCTCATCAAGAGCTATCCGCTCAGCAGGTCTGTTCATATTTACTTGATTTTGGAGATCATTATACCAGTCATACTTTCAACAATCTGTATTGGACCTCTTTTGAAAGAGGTGTTAATGAACAACAACCGAGTTCCGAATGTCAGCCAGACCGATTTCACAGTGTTCAAGAGAATTGCTGGCAAGCAAATGAAGAGGTGGATGAGATTGTGAATGATATTGACAATCATGAGCATGAAGATGATCCGAATCTAAATGAAAATGCAGAAGATGAAGGTCAAACTGATGATGAGATTGGAGTTCATGTAGATCATAACGGAAATTTGGTGGAAAAGCCCTCTCAGTATATAGACTATATATTCCGTGGTCGAGAACTTGAAAGACTGCCACTATGGGATTCTGTTGCACAAACAGAAAAGGTAAAAAACAACGCAAAAAACACAATGAAGGATGAATCCAAAGCAGATCTTCCAATTGAATGGAACAATATGCTAACTGATCAAGCTAAAGAACGTCCAAAAATATCTTTTGTATCAGCGCACCCTCAATTTGAATCTCATGTTCTTCATGTACGACTTGTGCAAAATTGTTCTATTCCTGTGCCTATTGGACCATGCATACCATGTCGAGATCAACCGAAAGTTTACCCTAGGTACTGTCGATTGATGTTAATATTATTCAAGCCCTGGCGTTCTGTCTTAGACCTACGTTCTCATGGTCAAAGTTGGGAAGAAGCATTCGAACAGTTTCGTGAAGTTGCAGATGGTCAGTTACTGCAAGTAATGCATAATACACAACTTTTGCATGAATGTCGTGATAGTCGTGATGACCATTTTGCGAACCGATTGACACGAATGAGAAAGTCTTCAATGCGAGAATCAAATGAAACTCGTCCAAGTCAGACCGATGAATTCGGAAATGAAGAAGCTATCCTGGATCATTTAGAATCTATTGATGCTTGCCGGTCCAATCAAAAAATGTTAGCATCTGATGCCGTTCTTGACTGCTTACATCATGTCGAAATGTCTGGTCTATGGCAAGTGATGGATACAATGCCTATTCAATTTCAGTCAGAATCATCAAAAGAAATTCACATCTCACCAACGGAACTAGATCTAGAAGGTATGTGGTCAACGGCTTATGAACAGCGACGAGATAACTGGAAAAAGAAAAGATCTCAGTGTAATCCAAATAGCTCATCATATCTCAATGAACCTACGACTGCATCTACTAGTCGGGTTCTAAATGACGGATCAGAATTCTGAGATGCACATGTAAATGCGGCAGAATCTGAAATCGTCCGTGAGATGAACATACAGCAAGGATTTCCTATCATGCAGAATGAAGGCAAGAACGATGTTAGCATTGATAACATGATTGAAGAGTTCACCCTCAATACAGAACAAGCACGTGCATTTCGAATTGTTGCAGAGCATAGTCTTCTTGTCAAGCCTGAGCCATTACGGATGTTCATTGGAGGGGCAGGAGGAACAGGTAAATCGCGCGTCATTAATGCTCTGAAAGAATTTTTCCATCAACGCAATCAAAGTAGATGATTTCGTCTGGCATCGTATACTGGAGTAGCAGCAAAGAATATTTCGGGAATGACGCTACATTCAGCACTAAGTATTGGACAATGTACGAGTCGTTCTGCACGCACTAAAACAAATCGAGATCTTGTAGCAATGTGGGAAGGTGTAGATTACCTGTTTATTGATGAAATATCAATGATCGGATGCAATTTTCTGCTCCAGATCAGTGAAGCACTAACAGAAGCAAAAGGAAAAACACTACCTTTCGGAAAGATGAATCTCATCACGGCTGGTGATTTTGATCAACTGCCGCCTGTCGGTCAGCCCCGATTATTTGGTCATGTGAATACGCACCGTATAGCAACTACCCAAGGACAGAACGCTATTCTTGGAAAATTGTTATGGCTATCGATAGATACTGTGGTGATTCTAAATGAAATTATGCGCCAGCAAGGAGAAGAGAACAAGCATTTTGTAGAGTTGTTGTCGCGTTTGCGTCACAGAAATTGCACGAATGAAGATTATGTATTGTTGAACTCTTGCCAAATCAGTAATGTGCATCCGAATTGGAATGATGGCTGGAGAGATGTACCAGTGATTGTTAGCAACAATGATGTGAAAGATGCTTTTAATGTCCAAGCGACTGTTGATTTTGCATGACGATCTGGACATGAATTACATTGGTATCATTGTTCTGACTTTCAATCTGGAAAACAGATTACGGATCCTTCATTGCGCACATATCTCAATAATTTGCATTCAGGACTGACCAATCAGCGCCTTGGCAAAATTCCATTGGTGATCGGTATGCCAGTTATTGTAGGCCATAACTTTGACGTTGAAGGAGGAATTGTTAATGGATGTCAAGGAATACTGAATTCCTATCCGTTATTCAGTTGATGATGATGGGAATCGACATGCACGGTCATGCATAATCCATTCTTTGGATACTACGTGCAATAATCTTCCTTATCTACAAAATGGAGAGTTCGTAGCGATCGAAAACAGTGTAGACCTCCGATTCAGTCATCCGCACTCCCACAAGCAGTGTAAAATTACACGCACCCAAGTACCTGTTCTCCTGGCGTTTGCGATGACCATGCACAAAGCACAAGGTCGAACACTATCGCGAGCGATCATCGACATTCAAAGTTGCAGAGGGACTGAAGCGCCATACGTAATGGCATCCCGTGTTACTTCCCTAGAAGGATTGCTCGTCCTTCGTCCATTCAACATAAACAAGATTCGTAGCCGTCCTTCGGAGGACTCACGTAAAGAGGAACAACGGTTGGAATGCCTACAACTTCAAACTGTGATTGTTCATGGAAGCAACGAGGAGAAAGTATCAGCACGACAGAAATTACACACACAGTTCAACAATGCATCTTCTGCACCTATCGCTTCGACCATCGAAGCACACGTGGACATTCGAGAAAACATGGAACAGCGACTGGATACATTGCAGAACCACATCGATGATGTTTTTTCCTCATCACATGCCAATAATCCACATCCTCGATCTCGCAAATCAAAATGAAAGCTTCCAGACCCAGGAACGGATTATCCACATGACGCCAATCATCTAAATGCCAAACAGTCCAATCCAGTGAAACGTCCAAAAAGAAGAAAACTCAACCTACCCCTACCATCATGATAGTCGTGTGGACGATCGACTGGCATTTGAAACCGTTTTTCCAATGACGGTAATGGCTTCAAAAGGCAATGAAATGAAATAACTGACATCATATATACCATAGCGCGAGCCTCGATATATTTCTCTTTCATCATTTATCCTTCTTGACAACAACAATGCAAACCAATAAGTTGCCAGCAAGTAACAAAGGTAAGTTTGGGAAACAGAATTAGATTTACATTCGATAATTTACAGTGGCTCAAAAAACTGTCCACATGTTTTCACAATTTTCACCATCTATGACATTATGTGAGAATATACAAACACATCAAGGACAAGCTGGTACCATATTGTAGTACTACTTCAAGGCTTCCAATTGAGCCCTATGGCGTGGGAATCTGTCAAGTTATGGTGGAGATATAAGGCTTACAAAATGATGACTCATGCGGACAGTTTTTTGACTCAAGTATTTTACAGTGATAATCAGGTATTCTAGTACATTGTGGGACCTCCCTTGGCTTTAATTACTGCCTCCATCCTTCTAGGCATACTCTTAAAACTATATCTAACTATATAACCAGAATATCTCATGTGTCATGGTCATAATCACCATGAAAGCCATCTCCTCCGCTCAAAGGGATAATATCCTCTCTTTGTCCTACACTGGCCTCTCTGCTCATCAAATTTCCTCTAGAACTGAAGTATGCAAGTCTACTGCGGCCAAGTGTATCAAAGAAAGCCACCTGGACAAGGAAAACTCTTGTGGAGGATGTCCACCTCTGCTAATAAGAGGGCTATCATCCAACATATCACTACAGGAAAGGATAATAATGCCCTCCAAGCCACCCATTATATCAATTCCACCATCACTACCACTGTCTCTTCACAAACTGTAAGGAATGTTCTCAAGGCAGCTCATCTCAAGGCAGTAACAAAGAAGAAATGCCTGTTATCTCTATCAAACATAGGCAGAGAAGACTACCTTTGGCTTGGCCCATCAAAACTGGACTGTAGAGGACTGGAAGCATGTTATATGGTCAGATAAGACCAAAATAAATAGGATTGGGTCAGATGGGAATGTATATGTATGGAAAAAGAAGAGGGATTTTCTAACAGACAGAGAGGTTAGTGAGACTGTCAAATTTGAAGGAGGTTCTCTAATGGTACAGGCCTGTATGAGATGGAATGGTGTGGGTATGCTTGCTGAAGTTGAGGGGAGGATGGATGCTGAGCAGTATGTGGACATTCTAAATGACCACTTGCTGCCTAGCATAGCCGAATCAGAGATTGATGAAGAAGACATCATTTTCCAACAGGATAATGATCCCAAGCACACATCTAGGAGAGCCAGACAATGGTTTAAAGAACATAATATCAATGTTCTTGACTGACCAGCACAGTCCCCTGATGTCAATGTCATTGAACATCTCTGGGGAACACTCAAGAAGATGCTTCAAGCCTATGAAACCCCCCCTAAAGGAGTATAGGAGCTATGGGAGAGAGTAGCAGTGGAATGGGCAAGGATTACAGCAGGATATTGCCAGAAATTGATTGAGAGTATGCATAGAAGGATAGAGGCAGTAATTAAAGCCAAGGGAGGTCACACAATGTACTAGAATACCTGATTATCACTGTAAAATACTTGAGTCAAAAAACTGTCCGCATGAGTCATCATTTTGTAAGCCTCATACCTCCATCATATCTCGACCGATTCCCACGCCATAGGGCTCAATCGGAAGCCCTGAAGTAGTACTACAATATGGTACCAGCTTGTCCTTGATGTGTTTGTATATTCTCACACAATATCATAGATGGTGAAAATTGTGAAAACATGTGGACAGTTTTTTGAGCCACTGTACACACCACAGTTTTATTCAATCTTGATCTTCTGAACATGATCATTCCGCTCCTATTTCTGCCCGAGCTTCATAGCTTGGGTCAGACATGCAAAATGTTATGTAGGGAAGAACTTCCATTAATCTTACGCCGTTTCAACACCATTCTCTACCCTTTCATTACGCAGTTTAATTGGGAATTTTACCGAACCCTTCAACACATGAAAGCCATCATCGTGGGCTCTTGTGCTCTAGACATGATGCTCGGAACGAGGAATACACCACCAAGAGATCTCAATATCGTGGTCCCGCACGGATCTTTAACTCTGATGGAAACGTTCATTCAAAATGTCCTATCGTATCACTCAATCGCAGCTGTATGTCATCCTTCGTTGTCCCTTGTCGTACACGATTTTCGCAAATATGGACGTCACAGAAAGATCATCACTGTTTCCAAACCTAAACATCTTATGCACCCACTGCACGTCGTTTTGAACAGCCCCTCGACATCAGACATGACGTTTATCACTGCTGGCGGTGGAGTATCATTTTTTTCAGACTTGACCAGGGAATATCACACATTAAAGACGATGAGTGGAGAAGGTGTTCTGACGGGACAGAAGCTAGGAAGTATTGGAAAGGAAAGATTTGATGTCCATGTTGACACGTCCTTCCTCAACGGTCCTTGTCATCATTTGTGTCCTGCACTCTGGCGCCACTTGTCCAACCGCAAAGAATATGTTACCGTCGATTGGGACCAGCGCTTTTCAGTGAAATCCATACTCTACGACAACGACATTGAGTGGTGTCTCAATGATTACTGTTTCAATCGAAAATGTCTTTATAATGTCGATGTCATGATCAACAACTGCGATATTCCGCCGAGGATCATGCCCTATAGTCTGGAGAGCGTCAGACAACAGTCAAAGTTCATCAAGAACCATGAACCGGTAAGCATATGAGTTCTAATAGCACAATGTTATTAACTATTCAAACACAGATGTATGAAAGAATGTTCAAAGGCCTGTTATATGCCACAGCATGCACAGAACCTTTGATCGTCGATGTACCTCTTCAAGATGGAGTAGATCAGCTCGGTACCCTCGACGAGCTGGAAGTAAACTATTGGGTACGTCAGCGTGACGTCATGGTTTGCTCTGCATCGAGGAAACAACACCGAAGAACATTCGATACTTTTCCAAACTCTTCGACTCAGCCGGACGACATTTATACAGTATTCCTCGAACAGAACAATGACTATGTGGCACCTAATGCTCTGCTGGAAGACATAGCGCCCAACATTGAGCCAGAGAGGGGGCTCGAAGGTAACATATTGGTAATCAAACAACGCTGAAATAATCCACTTGACATCCTCGACATGCAAGACAAAGACGTATTCTTGACCAACTTTCTTATACGAAGGCAAGTACCAATCTATGGAACAGAATTCCACTTACAATACTTCCACAGCTTCATGGAAATATGATTCTTGCAGTATTCTCATCTCATTTAGCACGCGTCATCCATAATTTCTTTTTGTACTCTGATCTTCTGAATCACTCACGACTCCTGACCACACAGCTCCTAGAACCAAACCTGAATAAAGATTGAATGACATCATTTTTATTTTTATTTTTTTGAGACGCCCCTAAAAAACCGCCACTGTATCAATATTCCTCCCTCCCCCTTTTTTCTTTTTCTTTGGAACACGACCATCACCATGACAGAGAAAAAACGAATCTCCATATATGATTCACGAGTTTCCAACCAAATCTATGAACAGCTCTATGACTACATTCATCGCCAGCCCAATCGAGTCTGTCTTGCGGACACTCTATACGAGCATGATTTCCGTCGTGAAACAGATAACCGAGGCAACATATACTTCATAAACAACCATACTAATGAAGACTACGAAATACTCCTTCCAGCTGAAATAGGTTCATTTGCATGTGGAACCAAATTGCAAGCTACCGGCAGCCGCTGGTTGGGGAGGCAATCTGAGGTAAGTCACTCGCAGACTCAAATTTAGCTGTCCAACAAAGTTGAACAATCGCAGCCAAACTACATTGACGACAACACGCCAGTCAAATGTCTGTTAGCCTGCACCATGGGACAACAAGCTCCAAAACTCGTCAACAACTGTTGGTACAACACAATTGCAGAAATCAACAACATCATCGAGACCGAAAAAGAACGAGACGATAAAAATGAAGAAGTAAGAAAATCTGTTAACATACGTACCAAGAAAATTACTAAAAAACGAACAAACAGAATTTCATCGTTAAAGACTGCCTCAGTTGCACGACCTCTGACAACACCGATCCAGACGTCATCATGGTCCACACTCAACGACTCTATGACATCCCACGGGAACAGCGCGATCCGAAGAAAAGCTCAGCAAAAGCATCGAGGATGCGGAAAATCGTCCTTGACCCAATTGGCTCAACTTCCACATCGCAAAACACTGACATGAGACAGGAAGACACCAAGATGTCAGAAGATATAACGAACACAAGTGCGATGAGGATGTCATATAACCCTTTCAATCATGCTAACCTCGCTCACAGCCATCACCACTGAGACAACGCATCCACCGACTCTTCTTCCAGATTACAGAGGTCCAATCTTTTGTCATTGTCGAGCATCTCTGCGTCAACTCGACATTCGTGACAATGCAAATGAACTCATCACACCTGATAGATGGTACAGCAAACTACGTCAGGGCACTCTTGTTCTATTCGCAGCTTCAATGCACGGCTATGTTCAAAAAGAACCTGGACAAAAAGGAAGAAAGGTACGAACTCTCACATATTCAAATGCCTCTCTAAGAAATCTCAACAGACCTGGCAACTTGTCGCGAAGTCCATCAAAGTTATAGACCGCTCCAACGAGAGCATTGAGCCTCGTTACCAAGCCATCTTGCCCACTGGTGAAAAACACGGAGCAGGGCCATCAGCTGCGCTTGCTGACTTCAAAATTGAGAAAAAGACCCGTTCCAAATGACTGATGTCTCAAAATATCGTTGTACTACCAGTTCTTTGTCTGGTACTTGTCTTCTGACTGCGCTTGCTAAATTGTACTACCAGTGCTTCGTCTTCTGTGAAATCATTGTTTGTAATAATGTACCAAAAAATATATAAAGGTAGTGGGCACACATTGATGATGGATGAAAATGAGAAGGAAGCCACGAACATACATATTCCAGAGAGGGTGAACAGCCAGCGGTGCGGTAATGTCAATGCCCCACTCACGCTCTTCATGTGGCAGGTATATGACGGAAGTGGACAAATACCTGCTTGTAGGAGATCTGGACGGAAATGACACTGAGAGAAGACAATGTTAGTGTGAATGATGTGGATGACTTGAAGGGACAATCTCACCTTGCAACCTCAGATAGCAGCAGTTGCTGGTCAGGATGTAATCTAGATAAATAGAAAGTGAGCAAAAAAAAAAACGGTCAAAATATGTGGATGTGGTGGAAGGGGAAGTGGTGCTCCACTACTCAGCCTTGAGGCGGGGACAGGCCATACTGGGCTTCATAGGGAGTGAGCAAAAAAAAAATGGTCAAAATATGTGGATGTGATGGAAGGGGAAGTGGTGCTCCACTACTCAGCCTCGGGGCGGGGACAGGCCATACCGGGCTTCATAGGGAGTGAGCAAAAAAAATGGTCAAAATATGTGGATGTGGTGGAAGGGGAAGTGGTGCTCCACTACTCAGCCTCGGGGCGGGGACAGGCCATACCGAGCTTCATAGGGAGGGGAGTTTAAGCAAACCAAAAAGAAAGGATGCTCACCGATCTAGAAATACACCGGGGCCATCATATGCAGGCAGAGTGAAGGTAGGCAAACTGAACAGTTGTAGAATAGTGTGTTGTGGTGATCGTGTGACTTTTCAAAGTCAGCTGGCAAATGCCGCACAACAAACAACACGTCCTGTGAAATCATTGTTCTATCTTATTCTTTAGCCTGTAATAATGTACCAAAAAAAAAAAAAATGGACAAGGTAGCAGGCACTGCCATGGATGTGGCCCTGCAGGACTTATAATACAATGCTAATGCAGTGTGAAGTCAAGGCCTTTTACAATAAACATATCACAGATGGCTTGTCACACATTGCACAAGCAATACCTACACTCATACCTCATACTTATGGTCCTTTGTATCTTATTTCACCCTGTGGAAACTGTAAAAGAAGCAGCACTGCAGCTGCACTGTGACATATCTTGCATTCTTGCCATCCGGCAAACTCACTACCTACAAGGACGATCCCCTGTTGCAAAAGCTGGTAGTTTACACCTTGCTTAGGAATATGCCAAAGGTCCATCTGACCATGACTGCTTTATGTCATATCTTGTACCTCCAGACCCGGAATTCTGGATTCTCCCCTATGAAAGTCCGGGTCTCCATCCTGTTCTCTGTCCGGCGCTCCATTTTCATCTCCGGACTCACACCTATCTCCTTTTAGAATACTGCTCTCTGGCTACTGGTTGTACACCTTTCCACCTTGCTTACTGATCCGTCCGTCTGCACTTCATTTCCAACTTCATTTCTTTGATCTGTTGTATACTTACTAATGGACTTTCCATATGCTTTGGGTATAGCTTTTCACTTTGCTGACTGATTACTTACATGATATCTACAGTATATAAACTCCTGTAAAACTCCATACCTCCTTAGTTTGAATATCATCTTAGTTCCTGCTCATTCCCGTTTCTCCAGACTTGAGTCTGATCTCTTGTCCACCTCTGAGTTTTGGGTTTATTCCTTAAGACTATATCTGTTGTTCTACCTTAGGGTAGTCTATCTCTGTTTCGTTTCTACTCTGGACTTGTCTGAAGTAGCCTTACTCTATTTACTCCTAGCCTTCCGGAGTTCTGCTGAACTCCCCCTGTGTCTGACCTCTGGACTTACCTGGACTTCCATTGGACTTCCCTTCTGCCCCTTGGAAATTAAGGGCACGTACTCGGATAAGGGGTGCAGCGCACGAGATGAAGCCAAGCCCTTTGAGTTACTCTTTCCTTGAGCACAACCTTAACACTTTACCAACATGCTTCACATTTCCCCTATGGTTTTTGTGTTGCTTGATTTAATTGAAGACCATCCTGCATTCTATAATAATTTATACAATTCTCAAACACCCATCCAGACTCAGCTTGCTGTCACACTCTGTCAGATGGGTCATTGTGGAAATGGTTGGTCACTAGAGGACATTGCTTGTCATGCAGGGATCTTAGAGGGTGGAGTGGAGTTATTTATGGAGCAATGCTTTGCTGCAATTGAATCCTTGCATGATGCATTTGTTCGCCTACCAACTGCCAAAGAGAAGGAGATTGAGAAGTTGTGGATAGATCATGAACTTGGATTTCAGGGAACTTGGAGGGAAAGCTGGGTAATGTATGATGGGACTATTGTTGTCCTGTACACCAAGCCAGGCCTCAATGGAGATGCATACTTCACTTGAAAGTCCAACTATGGTCTCAATCTCCAGGTAAGCCTACACTACATATCTGTAAAAAAAATATAACCATCACATTTTGAACAGGTTGGAAATCTACCATTCAATCTCCGCATTGTTGATTATGCACACAGACTCACAGGCTCTGCACATGATGCCTCTGCATTTGAGCATACTGCGGCAGCCAAGCATACTGAGTGGTTCTTTAAGGGGAATGAATTTGCCTGGGTCAACTCTGCATATCCTGTCAGTCCATACACCATTCCCATCCACAAGTGCCCTGCTTCCCTCTTACCAGAGAATACCCTTTTTGATAGTGCTGTTGCACATCTTTGTGTGCAATCTGAGCATTGTATGGGGGTTTTGAAAAGGTCATTGGCAGTGCCACTAGGGACTTCATGTCACAAATTCCTAATACAAACCATTTTTCATTTCTCGGTTTTCCTTCAGCTACTTCTAATACCTGAACCGGTCACATAACCCCGTACCGTTTCACATCTTCACATGTCACCTCTTCACCATTTCACATTTCACCTAAATCACTTAATCTCTGCTATGACCTCATCACTTATATATCATGATGTCAGGATACGTCATCCACAGTATTGTATGATTCTTTCTCATTGGCTGATTTCTTTTATACTCAGGCATCTCCGATTCAATGTTATGTATATAGTTAGGGTAGTCGTAGTCAGTACTCCTTAGACTTAACCTCTTCGTTCCTACCCAGTGTAGACTCAGATGTTCACTCTCAATATCATCTCTTTCTCTATACTTTAACAAGTCCTAGTGGTTGTGTAAAACCTTTACCATTTGGTGAACATTGATCATAACACTTCAGGTAAACATCAATTCAAAATGCAATGTGAGAAAGGAATCCTGAGTAGGTACTAGTGAGCTAGTAAGATATTCCTTTGAGAGCGAGTATTGCTAGTTGTCTTAAGGGGGTTGCTACTGAGAGGTAATCTTCCATGTGTTTGTGCAAAGGAGAATATGAGTGAATGGACTTCCAAATGTTGCAGACACTTGTGGTGGAGTTGCACACGAGGTGAAGAATGCAGATGGGTTATGGGTGAAGGTGTGGGGGCACACTGCAGTGCAATAAGACAGGAATGCAGTGTGGATCTGATGTGGAGTGCATATAGCATGGTACAAGGTAACACATGATGGGTATGACAAGGTAATGGGTTTCGGCAAGGTATGCAGGTTTATGCAAAGTTCACTGGGATCTGTTCCAGGACTCACAACAAGGTAAAAGCTATATGAACTACCACTAGCTTAATTGCACCAAGGATTGGGATCACTTGCGCAAGATAGGCTGAACAGGAATCAATTGTGCAAGATAAAGAACAATGTAACTAATGATAGTGACTCCGGACACTGACTCGGACGGAAGGGATGTAGAGAAGTAAGTAATAGTGAGTCTGTGATGGGTTTATATCATAGTCTGTAATATATCAGAACATTGTAGGTGGTACTGGAATGCACAAGTGAGGGTGCTGCGGGATAGTATGTAATAAACCCTTACTGGCCTCATGTATGTGAACGCATATGTAAGGTACCTGCAGGTGGTCAAAGACAAATGGAAATAAGCTAATAACACACCAATGGGGATAGACAGACATGGGATGGACATGGCAGGACTGTGCTGGGCGACTGTAATGAGATGTGTATGCATTGCAGACCAGAGCAAAGTATGCGGAGTGCGTGGGTATGAGCACAACTATTTGCAAGGTGTTGTCATATACCGGATCCGAGCACCCCAATACCACCTGTGAACATCCCCACCCCTGGTCTGACCCCCTGTTTCCCCGTCCACTCCATTCCTCCTTCCCCGACAATGCACGAAGTGCATCTCAGCAGGATTAGCCCTGCTACCTCTGCCTGACCCTGTTCCGCTTTCCCGACACTACCCCTATGTCCCCCAACCTCATACCCCTTCCATCCGACCCTATCTGGGGTTCCGCTCCTCCGCCCTATCAGTCCGCCCAATCCTACTCCTACTCCCTCTGCTTTTCCGACCCACGGGGTCCTTCAGTTCCGCTCATATTCCCCCACCTGACTGTTAGTCCATCCAACCACCTCACCGGTCCACTCCTAGACTAGGAACCACTCAACTGGTCCTATCCCCGTTTAGTATCATAGTTCCGCTTTTTGGATCACTGGTAATCCCTATACCCTAGTGATTCTGATCCATCGCATACATACTGTTCCCCTAGCCTTATTCTTGTATGTCTCAGTCATCCTATTGTAATCCTGTACACTCAGCACATAGCCTCTGCTATGCTATGCTCATCACTTAGAGTATATAAACATATGTACATTTGTCTGTAAATACTCAGTCTGAATATTACCTTTTCTAAGCCCTGCTCTTCTGTTCTTTGACTTGGGCCTGATCCTAGTCAACTCCTGTTAAGCCGGCCTAGGGGATTGACTCCCTAGGTTGGCCATCCTCCGATCCTCTGCTCCTCCATTCCCCCGTTCCCCCATTCCTCCATCCCTCCATTTCCCCATTCCTCCACTCCTCCGCTCCCCTGACCCCCCATGC